CAATGCTGCTCTTTCTGCTTCTTCATTGTCCTCATGCTTCTCTGTAGTGCTCGGGCCTCCCTTCTGTGTGCATATAAGCAGCTCTGTAGACGTCTATGCATCCCCATCCTCTTCTGAAAGACAAACTGCCAGCTTAAGACCATCGGTCTCGGGCGCTAAACGGCATCAAATCCCAACAGATTAAGAGTCAAAGGCTTCTACCCACGATACCTTTGAGACCAACGGTCTCAACTGTACCAGAACCTTCACTCGAGGATCCCACAACCGCCTTCCGAGGCATAGCAGTCCGCTGCTTGTTGTAGCATCGCTACACATCGAGGTTAAAGCTTGCTGCCACCTTTCCGAAGGGGCACACACCTCCACTCTCCCACGGTGGTCCGCCACATACCTACTCCATCTACTACCTCATATCCAACATGGCTCGCAACGAATCTTCGTTCCCTTCCTGGTCCGACCTCAAGGACAATGTCCCGGTCCTCACCTCCACCGACAACTTCGAACGATGGGACAAAGCTATACGCACGTACTGTCTAGGCAAGGGCATCCTCGCCCATGTCAAGGGCTTCGTCCTCGACCCGTACCGAGCTCGTGACAACCAGCTTCCGCTTGAGAACCTGCTCGCGTTCGAGACAGACTACATTGCGGGTGTCGAAGCTCCCACGGGGCAAGACATTGACCGTGAGGCTCTCCACGACCTCATGGCCACTGCTCTTGGCGACGATGCGCTTCCGGCTGAAATTGCTGAAGCAATCGATGAAGCTGGAGATGAAGTTGTTCTGAACGAAGACATGTTCACACGCTGGAACCGTTGGGCCCGTCTGGAGCGTCTTGCACGCACCGTGCTCCTCCTCACCATTCATGACGACCTCTCTATCGACTATGAGACGCTGCCTACGGCCCGTCACATCTACCTCGCCGTCGAGTCACGTTTCCGTACCGACAATCCTGAGAAGGTTGCTCTCTTGCAGCGAGAGCTCCATGGACTCTATCTCAAGCGCGGATCTACCGCCGACGAGACTGACAAGTTCTACATGGAGTACGTCCGCATCTACGCGGCCCTCGTTCGCCTGAACATCAGGCTCAGCGACAACGACAAAGTCGCCAACCTGTTAACTGCGATTCCGACTGAGTATTCTGTCATGCTCCGCTCGCAGTGGGCTTCCGAGCCCCTCAAAACCTGGTCCAGGTTCACGGCTGTATACGCCACCTTTGTCGAGAGCCTCCGGGCCACTGAGGAACGCGAAACGATCGCCAGCAACGGAGCGTCCGCCGCTACCGCTGCCAAACTCAACCTCGACAAGAAGTCCAACAACACGCAACAGCGTAGCCGCCAGCGCGGCAAGGGCAGGACTAACAACTCCCAGACCTCGGGCAACAAGCCCAATCTCGTCTGCGTCAACCATCCTAACGCGACGAGCCACAGGACCGAGGATTGTCGCACCGGACCAAAGGTCGCCGCTTCCATAGTAGTTGCCGATGGATACTATTCTGCGTCTGTAGTTCCTGTAGACTCCCCTTCCCCATCGCCAACCATGACTACGACCTTCCTTGTGGACAGTGGTGCCACACATCACATTGTAGGCAACCGAAACCTCCTCGTCGACGTCAAGAAGGTCGCCAAGCCCATCAAGATCCAGCTGGCGGGCACCAAGTATAGCATCTCTGTCTCCGAGGTGGGCAATATTGTGTTCCTTAATAAGGACCAGCACCCTCACACCGTCGAGAACGTGCTCTACTCGGCAGACACCACAGACAACATGCTCTCGGCCTCCGCGCTCACCCAGGACGGTTGGAAGGTCACCCACGATACCATGACCAAGGGCGATGACGTCATTCCGCTCTCCAACTCCTACCTCGGTGGTCATCTCGGCGTCGCGCTCGTCCTCGCCGACCATGGGCACTTCGCAGCCTCGGACCGCGCACCGCGCACTCCGCTCCATCACCTGCACCTCCGCTATGGCCACCTAGGCAAGCCAGCGCTCCTCCGCGCCATCCACAATGGCTTGATCCCTGACGTCACCTTCGACGAAGTCAAGGACGACCCTTTCACCATGGCCAACTGCGAGCCCTGTCTCGCCCACAAGACTGCCAACCTTCCTCGAAGGGGTCCCTCGGATCGCGGCAACTCAGCCACACGCGAGTACGTGCACGTGGACATCAAATCCATGTCACACCCGACCACGAAACGCCATCTGTATTGGCTAGCGTTTGTGTCCGACTTCATTGGATACCGCCTTGCGATCCCCCTCACCAACAAATCCGACGCCACGGCTCGTATCAAGACTGAAATCGCAGCCCTCGAGCGACAGGCCGACGTCAAGGTCACTGTCATACACTCAGACCGAGGAGGCGAATTCAAGTCCGGCGAGTTGGCTCAATGGTGTCGTGCGCAGGGCATTAAGCATCAGCTGGCTCCTGTAGATGACCAAGCCCTCAACGGCGTGGCTGAGCGTCACAACCGCACCGTCTCCGAGATGGTCCGTACGCTCCTTGAAGACACAAAGCTCTCCCACGACTACTGGGACCACGCCACATGGTATGTCAACCGCCTGCTCAACATGACGACCATGTTCGATGACAAGATCACTGTCTATGAGCGCTACAGTGGACGCAAGCCGCACCTCGAGCGGTTCATTCCATTCGGAGCACGTGTCTTTGTTCGCAGACCAGCAGAAACAAGCATCCCGACGCTATCGCGTCCACGGTCGGTACCAGCCAGAATCCTTTCCACCTCGTTAGAACTGCCAGGGTGGACTGTCCTCTTCGACAACAAGCGCGTTGCCAATGTGTACGACGTGTTTGAAGTCAAGGATGGCAAGGAAGGCAACAAAATACAGCCCTTCGCCACCATTGAGGACATCGAGACCAACATAGACGCTCGCGAGAGCGACGATGACGTCACCGCCACATCGACTAGCGCCCCTGCTACTCTCAACGGTCTCGACGACTCCGACGATGACGAAGCCCTTCCTGCAGCCTCTGCACTCGCGCAAGATGGCGAGACGGCTTATCTTGCCTCTCTTGCAGCCGAAGCCATCGTTCTCGGTGACCCCGTCACCGTCAAGGAAGCTCTCGGCGGCCCTGACCGCCAATCGTGGATTGAGGCCATGCAAGCCGAACTCGATAACCTCAATGGCAAAGGGACATGGACTGGCTCTGAGCTGCCCCGCGGCCGAGTACCCATCACTGCCAAGTGGGTATTCAAGCGCAAGACCAAAGCCGATGGCTCTATCGCCAAATTCAAAGCTCGTCTCGTCGCGCGCGGTTTCTCGCAGGTACCCGGTGTTGACTTCGAGGATACCTTTGCCCCTGTCTCCCGTCTCGCCAGTCTCCGCATTCTCCTCGCGCATGCCGCCACCCACGACCTTGAGCTCCGACAGATAGACGTCAAGGGAGCCTATCTTAATGGTCCCCTCTCTGAGGAAATCTATCTTGCCCCACCTCCGGGTGTCGAGGTCAAGCACGGCAACACCCTCCGTCTCAACAAAGCCCTGTATGGACTCAAGCAGTCCGGACGTGCATGGTGGCTCGAGCTCGACAAGGCGCTACGCTCCATCGGGTTCAAACGCTGCGCTAGCGAATGGGGCCTCCATACAAAGCCCACCAAGCTCGGCCCCATCCTTCTCCTTGCGTATGTCGACGATATCCTTATTGTCAGCCGTACCAAGGCTCAGGCCAACACCGTTGTGACCGCTCTCGCCAAGTTCTGGGCCCTGACCGACTTGGGTGAGCCTAGCCAGATGCTGTCCATCCGTATCGACCGCGACAGAGCCACAAAGACCATTCGTCTTTCGTCAACCGCCTACATCGAGCAGATCGCAGCCCAGTATGACCTAGAGTCCGTCCGCACAGGCAAGACAGCCCCTCTGCCAGCCTCAGGGGAGCTCAAGGACCTACTTGCCGACGACGACACGGTTATCAACGCGCACGATCACCGCGTTTACCGCGAGCTTGTAGGCAAGGCACTTTGGCTCGCCATGTCGACTCGCCTCGATCTATCCTTCTCAGCTTCCGTCCTCTCGCAAGTCCTTCGTTCCCCCGCTCCCAAGGCTCTCGAACTTGCCCGGCGCATGCTTGCCCACGCGCATCACACCAAGAACGCGTATCTCGAGCTCGGCGGTGCCATCGACAACCGACTCATGGCCTTCGTCGACGCCGATTTCGCCGGCGACCTCGAGACTCGCCGTTCGACCACAGGTTTCTCCGTCCTCCTCTACGGCTCCTCCATATCATGGGCCGCACGCCGCCAGGGGAGCGTAGCCACCTCGACAACTGCCGCAGAGTACGTCGCCATCGCCGAGGTCACCAAAGAGATAATTTGGCTCCGTCAGCTTCTTCTTCAACTTGGTATCGCCGACGACACCATTGTCGAGCCTGTCCGCATCCTCGTCGACAACCAAGCTGCCATAACGATTGCAGAGCGTCCCGTGAACTTCCCCTTGTCCAAACACATCGACGTCCGCCACCACTTCGTGCGCGAGCAAGTCGACAGAGGGAAGATCACCCTCGAGTACGTCCGCACCAGTGACCAGCACGCCGACTGCCTCACCAAGGCTCTACCTGGTCCCCTCCATGCTCGGCACACTGCCTCCCTAGGTCTCAAGAACCCGACCAACGCTGTCAACATGGTCTCTGAGCCCAAGGACGAGCACCACGACGTGTAAGATGTTTCTCGAGGATAGAGATGAGGGGAGTGTTGAGATTACGTAACCACTTGCGCCACTGCAGTGTGGCACCGAGCTGACCGGAGAACGAGGGTACCGCACCAATGCTGCTCTTTCTGCTTCTTCATTGTCCTCATGCTTCTCTGTAGTGCTCGGGCCTCCCTTCTGTGTGCATATAAGCAGCTCTGTAGACGTCTATGCATCCCCATCCTCTTCTGAAAGACAAACTGCCAGCTTAAGACCATCGGTCTCGGGCGCTAAACGGCATCAAATCCCAACATCTACTCATACTGAAGCTAACCTTTTCACCTACCCAATTTTAACCAAAACATCAATGGAGACATAGCTCAGCTGGGAGAGCGAGCGACTGAAGTTCAGTCATTCAGCCTTTCCTTGTGAAAGACATCGCTAGGTCGGGTGTTCGATCCACCCTGGCTCCAAACCCGCGCTCTCTTCGCAAGAAGGAGTGCACATGCGTACCCTATGGCTCAGTTGGCTAGCGCGTGGAGCTGTTACCTGTAACAAACTCCGAGGTCCACGGTTCGAGCCCGTGTGGGGTAGATTTTTGCTCCCGGGGCCATCTGAAGACCTCTGGGAGATACGTCTGCGTCTCCTCTACATCATGGACGTGTTTTGAGGTCGGTTGGAGCTGTGGTTGGCGCTGGACGATGGTCGGAAGATAAGGGCGGCGGGGTGGCATGGGGCGGCGTGCGGTGCCACTATTTGGGAGCATCGTCTCGTGGGTTGGCTAATAGGTATGCATGGCAGCGACCGGCAAGACGGTCTACTGATACTGGGCTACTGTTTAAGGACGCTTTGGGGCTGGTAACACCTGCATGGACGTCGGAGGATGAGCTGGAGGGGAAAATAAGGTTAAATCGCCAAAAGTCAGAACGAGCCACAGCATTGTCACTTCGTTACGTCAAGATCCAACCCCCCAAAACCCTCATAACGATAGCCTGTCTTCCAAGACCTCTCAGCGGTAACGTCTTTGACTCCAAGGATACATATAGACAGTACATGCAACTACAGCTCTACCTCGGCGCGCCCCACTTCTCTCCAATCTCCGCCACTTTGACCAGCACGCCCGCCGAAGCCGCACGCACCCTGCCTTCCTTCCTGCCGGCCGCGCCGCCGGCCACCTTGCCGCCGCCACTCTCGGCGCTAAACACCGCACTGGCCCATTCGCCCGTGGCGAGAACGAGCTGGGGCGCATCGACCGCAAGTGTCCGGCCCTTGTCGAGGTCGACAGCGGCGTCGAGTCCCGCCAGTGCAAGGTCGAGGGCGGCGGCGACGACGTGTGCGTCGTTGCCCTCCGACTCTGGCGCGTCTGGCGCGGCGGGGTGGCGCGCGCCGACGGTGACGGCCAGCTCGAGGGTGGTGGGCACCACGACGGCGAGGAACGTAGGTGCGTGGCGGGCCGCGTGGACGAGCAACGCCAGTGTCAAGAGGAACTTTTCCAGCGCTGGCGGGGAGAGCACGAGACCGGTGCCTGCGCCGCGATAGCGTGCGCCGAGGCCAATGGCACGCGACTCGCGCACGCTCGCCTCCTGGAAGTAGTCCCAGAAACGATTTACGAGCGGGAGAATAAAGTACTCTGCCGCGACGGCGGTGTACGGCTCGACGGGAGGCTGCTGCGACGACGCGTCCATGCTGTCCACTTCGACGACGCCGTCGGGCACCTTGCGCCGCTTGTTGACGCCGACGCGAAGCCGGCGCTCGCGGCCAAGTTCGGGAACAGTGTCCTCGCCCTGTTTGGCGCCCTTTGACAGGAGGAGGTTGCGCATGCCCGCGACCGCTTCCTCGAGCTGGCCCCCGATGGGTGTGTCCTCGGGAGCGACGTAGCGGGCGTGTAAAGCCGGCGGGAGAGTCTTGGTGGGGAAATCAATGGCGCGGTTCGCCCGTGGTGCGTCTGGGACGTAGAGGCCAGCAAGCTCGCGCGCGCCCATGGAAATGGCCGTAAGCATGACGGACTTTTGGAGGAGCGAGTAGCTCGCAGAGAAGTACTGCTCGGCGAGGTATCTGAGGGTTAGCCACAAGTCCAGGCGTACACAACCCACGGTGGTACGTTGCGTGGCGAGCACGCAACCAGCGCAGTGAGCAGCCCCTGGCGGCGCTCCTCAAACTTGTCAAGCTTGAACGGGTCGGCGAGCCCAATGGCAGCGGCAGCTACGGCCACGGCGTTCTCGGTCACCTCGCCTCCAAAGTTGCGTTTGGCACGGACGAGACCCTCGCCCCACTGGAGTGCCATCTCGATGCTGTCGGGCTTGTCCTTTTCGCGCAGCAGCTCGGCGAGCTGGCGGACGTACACTGGCCGCTTGAGCTTGCGCTTCTTTGCGGCATCGACAGCCAAGGACGGGTCGGCGGTGATTTCGGCTAAAAACTCTGGTGTGGGTGACGGCGAGCGAGATGACGACCGCGCAGATTCGTAGCCCTGCAGCGGGTCCGCGAGCTGGTCATCGTCCAGCATGACGACCTTGGGCTGAGGCTTTGAGCGGCGCGGTTTACGGCCGCGCTCGGCTCGTGCAGGCTGTGGCGGGTTTGACGCTGCGGTCGCTGGGGCAGGCTCGGGGACAACCTTGTCCACTTCCCAACCCAACATCCACGCCTTGCCTCCGGAGTCAGGCGAGAGAATAGCGTTGCCGTCCTGCAAGCCAACACACAGCCTGAGCAAACGGCACTCCTCCCTACCGTCCCCAGTACCGTCCCACATACCCCCAAACTTGAGCCTCTTGGACCCACGTGGCGGCTTTGGGGCCTTGAACGTTGGCTCGCCCGTCTCGTCGTCAACCTCGAGCGCCGCTTTGAGGTCGTCCATCTCGTCGTCGGGGCTGGGTCCCGTATCGCCATCTCCGTCCTCAATGAGTGTGAGTTCGCTGATAATCTCAGCGACGAGCATGCCCAGGCGACGAATTTTGCCGTCTGGGTGCGAGAGGTATGCCTGGACGGCGTGGAGGAAGCGGCCGCGGTGAGAAACCGCGACGAGGTGCGGGTCCATGGGCGGCAGAAGGGAGAGCGAGAGGACGAGCGTGTGTGTGAGGTCTGGCCGTCAGCTTAACAAAGACATGTCGGAAAAGCTCACTAAACTGGTGCGAGTACGACCCGAACCGGATGTGCTTGGGGTCGCCCCACGCGTCCATCACGGCGTCTATCAACGCTTTTGCGGCTGCCGTTGTCAGCTGAACCTAGGATTCTTAACTCACCTGGCGCACCGCCCGTCCCAACCCAGGCCACCACCATTCGCCTCTGGGCATTCTGGATCTCCTCCCTCCCTCCGCCGCCCTTCTTGAGCAGGGCGGAAAGTACCGCTGTCCACGCCTCGCCTCCCACGACCGGCGGGCCAAGGAGCTGGGCGAGGACCGTCGCTGCGCGGCGGACACGCTCTTCTGGGCGGATTTCGAGGGACGGAGGCGTCAAGTGATACGGGATATATGTGAGGAAACCGGCCGCAAACGCTGTCAAGGCCGCCGGCGCGAGTGGGAGGAGGAGCGACGGGAAGAACGCGTCCGGGTAAGGTTGTGCAAGGGCTGGCGGGTGGAGGTGTTCAAGTGTGCGCGGGAGGAACCCCGGGAGGAGAGCTGGAGCTGGACTGGGTTCTGGGGTGGGGGTTAAGAGTCCCAGTGTGACGAGTTTCTCCAGTAACAGGCGGAGCGGGGCCGGGTCGTCACCGTTCTGAGCGACGGTGTAGGTCAAGCCCTCGATGCGAGCCGACAAGCGGTCAAAGTATGCCCGCGGCACGAGGGCAGATGGGACCTCGAGCTTGCTTGCGTCCTTGTCCTTCCACCGCCCCACTGCGTTGGCCACCTTGGCTGGCACGCTGCAAGCGGAACGCACCGCGTCGTCCCACATGAGCGAAAGGGCCGAGTCAATGCCCTTCCCTTTGGTCCTGTCCCCGCTGCGACCGAACACGGCGGTATACAGCGCGTCAACGCTGTATAGGTTTGTCAAGCGCAAAAGAGTGTCAAGCACAAACTCGCGCGCGGGCACTGCCAGCGGTGTGGGCGGGTTGGGAGCGAGCATGGCGCTGAGGGAGAGGTATGCGGCGAGCGCAACGGTGTTCTCGAGCGGGGCCGCGCGCGGCTGGGGCGCAAAGAAAGCGTCGAGGAGGGCATGACCGCGCGTATCCAGAGCTGGAAGGAAGGTCGGTACGGCACCTACCAGTGCTTGCTGGACGGCAGGCAGGTAGCGGGTGACGGCTGCCGTGTCCTTGGCGCCGAAGGAAGGCGAGACAGCAACGACAATGGACGCGCCTCCAGGTGGGGCAAGGCCGAGCACGTCGAGCGTGGACGAGAGGCGGAATGTAAAGTCGTCCACGTCCTGGATACCCGCCTTGAGCGCATCGCGCAGACTGCGGAGCGCGGACGCTGGGTCCTCCATTGGTGTGTTGCGTTCGATGGGTTAGAGGTCAGTTGCATCATTTGTGGGTCAACCTCCACCTGCACTTAGTTGGCGGAGGAAGGCGGAACCAAATCGCCCAACAACAGATGACGGTGTGTGCCATATTCGACAACCTTCCTTGCCTTCCTTGCACCATCATCACGATCATTCACACCATGTCTTCCCTCCTCGAAGAAGCGTTCGAGGCTCCCCTTCCGCCTCCTGGACCCTCCAGCGTCGCGCCGGCACCTCCAGTCCCCTCCTTCCGCGTCCGTCGCGAGGTGGCCGGCGTCGAGACCGAGCTCCTCATACAGACGTTTGTCGACCGCGTGTTCGTCTCCGTGAGCCAGAATGGCAAGGTTGGATGCCTGGTAAGTCGGACGAGTGGGGAGTGAGAGGAAAGCTGTCGACGGCGTCTTCTTCACTTTTGCAATCAGTGCGCTGACCTTGTTTCTTTCTCAGACACAAGCCACCCTCCCCGCCGTCCACCCGCTCCTCGCGCCGCCAACCGCGGCCTCGCAGCCCACGGCACTCTCGGCCCTGCCCCCTCCTCCAGCGAGCATTGCGCTCACTGCGCTCCTCGGCTCGGCGCCAGACCCGACCCTGCATGACGTGTACGTCTCGCAGATCGCCACGCTCGTGTGGTGGTCGCTCCAGCTCGCCAGCGCGCCCCGCCGGCCGGTCATCGTCGGTCTCGCGCTCAAGCGTAGCCCCGGCGACGATGAGGTCGATGCCGAGGCTGAGAGGGAGCGCTTTGGCGGCGTCATGGACCTGGTGGCTGCCTGGCCTGGACCGCAGTAGGGAGTGTTTGAATAGGCAGGGAAGTTTTCTGCATTGTAGTAGACATGTATAATACTAGATAGTGGGAAGGGGGATTGTCCATCCTGCGGCTTGTCGGTGGGTGGGTGGTATTTTGGCACATTGCGAGCCTCATCAAAAGTCCGTGCATGCGCGTCAATGTGTTAAGAGAGCTATGGGACGTGGTACTGGGGGAGCGTGGGCCCGGCCTCCGGGCCCGTCTATGCGTGGGTGTGGTCGTGCAGAGTTCGCGGCAGCGGCGGCGGTGGCGGCGGTGCGCAACTTTACTGGCGGCGCTGAGCCATTTCGACGTCGTACGACTGAGCAGCGTCGGTGTATGGCTGCTGCTCCTGGTACTGAGTCGAGTATTGGTTGTCGTACGGGTTGCTTGGACTGAAGCCCTGGTGCTGCGGGTAGGCGGCACCGCCAGCGGCCGCGCTCTCGGCAGCGGCGGCCTTCTCCTGGGCAGCAGTAGCGGTAGCAGGGTCAGCGATACCAGAACGGGTACCCCATCCAGTCTTGTGAAGGGTGAAAAGAGCGTAGAGCTTCATGATGGCAAAGTAGTAGCCGAAAGCGATGAAGCAAGGAACGTAGAGAATGTCCTGGGGGCGTTGCCAAAGGTGGGGGAGGAGCTTGAGGGTACGCGTGCACATGAGCCAGACGATGTAGGACACGATAATGTTCCAAGCGGGAAGGTGGTAACCGCCGTCCTCGACGTTCTTTGTCGACTTGGCAATGAGGTAGGCGACGAGACATGGGCCCACCAGAAGGGTGAGGGGGTTGATAAACTTGTCAATCATGGTGTAGCAGACGTAAGGGTGCTTGGTCCAGACGTAACGCTCAGTGAACACGGAACGGAAGTCTGAACGCCACGTGTTACGCGTCCAACGGAGAACCTGCTTGAGGAAACGCCAGTTGGGCTTCATGGTCGAGAGCAGCTCGGCCTCGTGGCAGACCTGAACGTACGTGTTCCAGCCGTGCGAAACCATCCAACGGGTAAGGAACTTGTCGTCACCCGAGTTGAGGTGGTACTTGCCGAGCCAGAGGTCGTTGGTGAAGCCGTGGAGGAAGTCGGGGTCCTTGAGAATGACAGTGCGGTAGGCAGCAGTACGGCCCGAGAGACAGGGGATACCACCGTCAATGTGGGTCGACGACGAAATCTCAATGTTACGGATAGTGAGACGGAATGCGGCGAGAATCTCCCAGACGGTCATGCGAGGGCCGCAAGGCTTGACACGCTGCGAGGTACCGACGCCACCGACCTGCTGGTCCTCAAAGCACGCGAGAACGTAAGGCAGAAGAAGAGGGGGCCATATGGCGTCGTCGTCGGCAAACACGATAATGTCCGTGGTAGTGTTGCGAATGCCGTGGGCCATCTGGAGACGCTTGTTTGCAAAAGGAACGGTGAGAATGCGGATACGCGAGGGGTCGACACTGTTGGCGAGCTCCTGGAGAGGGCCCTTCATCTTCTCCTCGGTGACAATGATAATCTCCTTGGGGTTGCCGACGAGCCACGAGAAGGCGGCCTCTGCGACCAATGTCAGTCCAATGTACCAATGTTGTGTTGCGCAAAGCGCTGCTGACACGTACCGCGGAACTCCTCTCCGGCGTCGATGGTGGGCACGATAATAGTGACATCCTCGTCGGCGCGGTCTGTGTGCATTGGTCAGTTTCTCGTGTCTGGTGGTTTCACGTATGCACGCGAGCCATACGCACAGGTAGGGGTCTCAGGCAAGGGGATAGGGCGGTAAACGAAGCGGGCAATCAAACGGATAATGTACCAGAGGTATCGGTAAAAGCTGTCTCGTCAGCGTTCAGTCGTCGCGGTAGAGGAGCAGTGTGGTTTTGCACCATGGCAACGCGACTGCGCCAAGAAGGCAACCGACGGCGACCATGGCCCAAGCAGTATTCTCGCACGTACCCAATAACTCCAAATGGCACGACTAGTGCATGTTAGCAGCGAACACGAAGAGTAAACGAGTGCGAAGGTGGATGGGGGGGAAGAGGGGGGGACGGAAGGCGTAAACGCTAACGGGGGGCGGTGGGCGCCGCGGTTTATGGGTGACGAAAGTACTCACACACTGGAAACTTGTCCGCGGTGAGATCTGAGAGGCAGTGTCAGCGACGATGCTATGCCATGGAGCGGAACCGATGGGGAGCACGGCGTGCGCGAGTGCACTGAGGTGGACGCCATGGTGGTGAGAAACGCACAAAGCATGGTGGGCGAGCTGCCGGACACGCGCCGTAGCGCGCTAGGGTTGGGGGGTAGGGAGGCGAAGGCAAGAGCGAAGGGGGGATGCCCGAGTGGTCACGGCCAAGTGGTTGCTCAACACTGCTTATGGAGGAGCAGCGGAGCGAGGGCGGAGGGGAGGAAGGGGTCGGGTATGAGGCGCAGTGCCGAGAGGAGGAGAAGGAGGAGGTGAGGAGGAGGTGGGTGGTGGTGGTGGGAGAAGGAGAGGGGTTGTATGAAAATGAAAGATGCGGAGAGAGTTGCAAGGATGGTGGGTGTTCCCAGTTGGCAGAAAGGGGTGGGAGGTGTGTGACTGCGCAGCGCTGGGCTGGGTCGTTCAATGGGTTCAAACCGGGGGCAGGCGGCAGAGAGGGAGAGCGAGACCGACCAGAGACACGGCAGCCCAAACGTTCAGGCAGAGAGGGCAGGATACCCCCGCGCGGCCGGGCGATCGAAAGGTCCCAAAACACGCAAACCCGGCCTGGCTGGCGGAATTGTATGGGCCGCTTGTGGCTGCTGCGTTGGGTGTGTACGCCGGGGGGGGGGGGGGGGGGGGTGAGTGTGTGTGCCAGGTTTAGCGTGGAATGATGCGCCGTTTGCTGCTTCTCTTGCACACGTAGTCAAAGTGGGGAAGACGGGGGAGGGTTGTTGTTGACCGGGAGGAGCTGGCAACAGCGTGGGTTGGATTGTCCCACACAGCAAATAGCGAATTCAAGCTGCCTCTTGCGTTCTAGCTTGCACCTTGCCTTAGCCACCATGCACTTGTTGATGCAGCTCGAGGGCCATTTCAGTGAACCTGTATGCATGTGTACCGTCTCTTGTGTTACAGAACGCGCTGGCGCGCCTTGCAGGGCAGAGAGCAGGGCGGCGCAAAGGAGAAGGGTGGGGTGCCAAACACACCCAACGTCTGCACCTGCACACGCGCACCGTTCAAGGCCTAGCCCTCCCGGCGGCGTATACGGGAGAGAGGGACGTTCTCTCCTGGGATCCTGGGTGTGTCAATCCCCGACGTGCTTCTCCTCGATCTCCTCCTCTCTCTCATTCTCCTGCCAGCTGCGTGGCCAGAGCTGCATGCATGCCTGCCTGCCTGACTGCGTTTTACTGCGCGTGCGGGGGCTGTTGTGCACTCTTCAGGCTTCAGGGGCTCCCTCCGTGGGTGCGACACACCCAAACACGCACAAATGCACAAACATGTGCAAGTTTTTGCGGTGCACAGCAATCTTCCCCTTGTTGTGGTCCCTTAGTGGCCTAGTGGTGTGCCGCCTCTCGCGTCCCCCTGCAACACACAACACACCCACTTTTGCTCCCGGCAACACTGGTTGTTTTGCCCATATCCTCTCCCAGGCCCCCCCGCCCGTCGCGGGCCGCCAGTGCGCCAGTGCCGACGTGCAAGACGAGGGACCGCCATGTGCTTGTTGCCTGCCGAGCGCCCAGCACAACCTCAAGCCCAGCTAGCCCAGAAAGAAGAAGAAAAAAACTCAAACGGACCCCCTCCCCCATCTACCTGTTGGCTTGGCGCTTTGAATACGTCATTGCCTGGGTGTGTTTGTGTCTTTCAAACACAAAAATACCATTTTGTTGATTTCAGAGCCCCTGCAGATCTCCCTCCCAATAGATCAATAGACCCGTTGACGTCGTTGCTAGATTCGTTGTTTTGTTCCCACCCATTCACAACAACAGCTCCTCTTTCAATACACCCCATCCATGCATCCCGCGTCTCCCACCACATCCTCTGACCCTCTGATCCTCTGACTTTAACACATCCCGCCCTGCAAGAAAACGATAGGCAAAGCATGCAATAAAAAAATAAATAACAAAAACGCCCCGAACGGCCCTACGGCGGTCTCGACCAGTCGCGTCGCGCCGCGACACCGCGGCCCTGCGGCGCCACACGCGGCAGTGGCATCCAATGGCCCGTCAACCCAAATATATCGCAGTCGCCAAGCATGCACAAGATCGCAAGCTGCACCCAGAGCACCCAGCCCGCATATCTCATGCCCCCGCCAAGCAGGGCCGCGTGCTACTGCGCTGCTCTGCCCGTTGCAGCAAGACGTGTTCCAGGAATACATTCATGCATGACATGAAAAATGATGATCAATGTTTGGTCGGGACCCCAGTGGCCAGTGGGCAGTTCCCTTATCCACCTCTTCCAAGTCCCGAAATGCCCTCGCTCCGTCGCTCCTCGCTCTCGCTCGCTGGTCTCTACCGCTCTATAACACTGCCACCGGCCGTGCGCGCGCAGACGCACAGTTGGTCGGAGCCTACATCGATCGCAGCACCCTATGCACCTCACCTCACCTCACCTCACCCCACCCACCCACTCTACACACAAGCCCGCAGCATGGGTCTTACTTGCGGACCACCACCAGGGTACCCAGGGGTGGGTGGTGGTGGTGTGTGTGTTTCGTGGCGCAACCGGCGTAAAAAAACTCACCCCCACTCACGACATGGCCGCGTTGGTGAAGTTGGCGTCACGGAGGCGCTTGGCCTCTGCACGGACCTTGTTGTCCCAGTGGCGCTCGGCGAGCGGGTCCAGCTCGTACAGCGACGTCGTGTACGGGTTGGTGAGCTGCGGGTCGTCCATGTCGGGGCGGTACACGCCGTCAAACATGCGTTCCTCCGTGTCGAGCAAGTTGGCAAGCTTGGTCTCGCGGGACGCCAGGCGGCGCACAAAGGCGAGACACTCGCGCGACGTGTGCGGCGGAAACGTGAGCGCACACTCGCACAGGCGCTTGGCAAAGGCCGCAGCACGCAGGGGCGGGGCGCTGGCGGCGCCGGCGAACATGCGAGGGAAGAAGACGGACTCGAGGCAGCGGAACAACAGGGCAGCAGTCGACAAGGTGTGCGCCGGCGGGCGGTCGGCGGACGCGCGCTTCGTGCCGGCGCGGTACTGGCGAGCGGCAGCGGCGGCGGTCGCGGCGGTGAGGTTGGGCAGGTCCTCGACACCAGTGTCCACTGCCAGAGGGCGGAGAAGGCCAAAGAGCTCGGTGACAAAGTCTCCCAGGTCAATGTTGAGGGCCTCACCTTGGCCAGACAGCAGGTCAAAGGCGGTGACAATGCCCAGCATGCGGATACGCACGCTCGCGCCACCGTCGTTCTCGCCATCCTCGGCGTCTTCCTGTGTGCGGTCGGCAATGATGCGGCGGAGCACCACGAGCAAGTCCCGGAAAAAGTCAATGTTGATCATGTGCGCGAAATGCGAGATACCCTCGAGCGCAGGAGCGAGCAAGGGGGAGCGGCCGTCCCACTTGAGGATTGAAAAGTAGAGCACGAAGAGGTTCTTGAGCGTCTCGGTCTGGACAACCTCGCGTTCCTCAATGTCGACCTCGGCCGACGCCTCGTCCATCTCCTTTTGGATCTCCTTCATTTCCTTTTCCTTTTTGCGCGCATTCTTCGTCTGCCACTGCTTGCGGACATCCGACTTGAACTTCTTCTCGTCCTTGGAACCACCGTCGCGGCCGCCGCGGCCACGCTTGTTCTTGCCATCGCGCATCTGGCCGAGCTCGGTGCGCAGGCGCAGGTGCAGGAGACACGAGAGGACGTTCGAGTTGACCTGGAACTTGCGCTCCTTGATCATACGGGCGATGAGGCGCACAAGCGCTTGCGAGTACGTGGCCGAAACGTCCTGGCGGAAGACGGCGACAAAGGTGTTGAGGATAACCTCAGAGTCACCGTCCCATCCCTTCCTACCGATACGGCCCACGAGCACGCCCATAATGTTCTCGGAGAAGTTGAAGTGGGGGATGGAAGACAGCAGCTCGCACATACACTTGAGCGCAACGCTCATGAGTGGAGTCTTGTGCTTGACGTGCGTCTCGAGGCTCTTGAGGTACGCCTTGTAGTTGCGGACGAGCATCTTCTCTCCCTCACGCATACGGCGCACCTCGTCACGAACCTTTTCGGCTTCCTCGGCAGCGGTCAGCTGACGGATACGGTATCCGGGAGCCAGGTCCTTGAAGACGGCGAGCTGCGAGAGAAGGGCCATGGCGCGGATCGAGTTGGGAACAGGCAGGTTGGCGGCGGCTCCCTCAGTGTCGGCTTCCGGGTTAGGGACAGTGGGGAGGGCGTACGTGCTCAGACGAGTGAGGACGGGGGAAATGTCCACGAGCTCGCCGCCGGCAAGGATTTCGGCACCGATGCCGGCGAGCTGCTCCTTGGCGGCCTCGAGACGGCGCGCATTCTTCCAGCCCTTGGCGGCGACAATCTCAGCGATACCCATGCGGCCGAAACGGCCAGGCTGGGAAGCCATTGCCACGGCCTCGGCGCCAGTGTCGCTGGCCTCGGACTCGGCCTCGCTCTCCTCCTCGCTGTCGCTCTCGACCACAGGCTTCTTGGGCTTCTTGCTTGCGGGAAGCTGCACGCGCGTGGAGCCCTCGACAAGCTGGACCTCACCAGTCGGAAGCTTGATTGGCAGTCGGCCAACCTCGACAGTGTCGTCCTCCTCAGCCTTCTCAGCCGCAGTCCAGCGGGCGCGACCAGTAGTCTCGTACTCGGCCTCCTCCTCTGCGGCCTTCTTCTTGCGCTGCTTCGGTGCGTCGTCCTCGCTGTCGTCGTCATCGTCAGACAGATCGTCGTAGAGTGCATTGCGCTCGTCCTGGTCTTCGTCGTCCGTGTCGGAGATGGAGCCAAAGTCGGAGCCACCAAGGTCCGATCCCGACAGGTCGTCGTCGTCGTCGTCGTCGTCGTCGCTGCCAGCCTTACTCAGGTCCTCGTCCGAAAAGTCCACCTCCGAGTCAAAGTCGTAGTCGGACAGGTCAGAGACCTCGACCACGGGCTCCTTCTTCTTGGACTTGGTCGGCATCTGCTCGCGCGTCTTCTCGAGGTCATGGATACGCTTCGACTCCTTGACCGTCCTGTATCACTGTCAGCTAACCAGCTCTTTCGCGCCGCGAAAGCAAAATCAAGCTGAAACCCACCTCGAGAGCGACCTCGAGTCAAGGCTCTTAAGGAAGCCGGTAGCACCGACCAGGTCCTCGTCCTCTCCCAGGTCCATGTCCATGAGCTCATCGTCGCTCAGGTCGTCAAAGTCGGTACGGGGTACGGGGAGCACCTTCTTGTCGCGCAGCTTGATCTTCTTTGGCTGGTCCGCGGGGCGCTTGGGCTTTCCCGTAGGGCCAACTTCGCGCTCCGGAGCCGCTGGCTTGTCGTCGCCGCCCTTGCCAGACTTGGGCTTGCCGCCGCCCTTGGTCTTCTTGGGAGCCTGGAACGCAAGTCAGTCAAAGGTGTCCCTCTTCACATGAATGCCCGCTCACACTTCCGGACGGAGCCGATGGCGCCTTGCGCTTTCCGAGCGCCTTTTGTGATGGCTTGCCCATGGTGGTGGGGTGTTGTTGTTGTTGTGGGTGTTGGAGTGTATGCACGGCGTAGTTGCATGCAGCCTCTGTATCCACCTGCAGACTGGAAATCCTCTTGATCCTCTGAAATTCTCCACGTGGAAATACTTCCGTTGCCACTCAGGCCCCTCGCTTCGCGGTGAGATTAGACCCCGCCCAAGCTCACTCGTCATGGTGAGCATGTGGTGTCGACTCTCCTCCTGTCCGCCCCATCGCATCAACATTAACAAACCTCTCCATCCCGCACCCTTTCGCTCTTGAGATCCAGCACAAGCACAGCACAGTTGTTGGACTAAAGGAACATTGGCAAGCATGTCCGTCGCGCTGGCCTCGATCTCAAACCGCCTCACATCGGCACAAGCCCAGCTCCTCGAACGCTCTCGCGTCCTCACGCTCGGTCTCGTCCCTTCTCCCTCGGCGACGACGTCGCTCGTGCGCACGCTCACAGGTGTGCGGAACGACCTCGCCAAGGCCGAAGACGAAGCTGCGTTGGAGAACAACGGCCTGTCTGTGGGCGGCAAGGCACCGCGGACAGGCAAGCGCCGTGCATCCGATGCGCTGCAGCTCGACGAGTTGACGGCGCGCTACGACCGGCTGGTGGAGATGCTCCAGGCAGACGAGGATGGGAGGGGCCGCGCAAAGGCCTTGGTACGCGAGAAGCGGTAAGTCCACGCCTACTGGAATGGCGACTCCCGTCTAATTGTCCACAGCGCACCCAGCCCCGCACCAGAGGCCGACGAGGATATCCACGTGCCAGACGTGACGGTCGAGCCGCCAACACCTGCTGCACCCGAACCTATCCGGCCGTTCAAGGATTACGACGAGGAGGACGATGCCCCGCCGCATGAGATTATTGAGCAGCAGCAGCTCATGATGAATGGTAGCTATCGCACGCCGGCTCAGCGGCTAACAATTACAGACCAGGACGAGCGCCTCACCCTCTTGTCCCATTCGATCAACAGGCAAAGTCACCTCTCTGTGCAGATTGGCGATGAGCTCGATATCCACCACGAGCTGCTCGAGGACACGGACGCAGCCATGGACCGCACGGCTGCCCGTTTGAACTCTGCGCGGAGGCGGCTCGACCACGTTGCCGACAATGCCAAGCAATATGGTGGGTGGGGCCGGTTCTCAGAACAAGCTGACCCATGCAGGGAGCACCATTACAATTATCGTGCTCATTTTCGTGCTGTTGCTCCTCATCATTGTGTTCAAGACGTAGTGGCAGCCTCGACGAGTGGAGCCACCCCAATGATGACTTATCTTGGTTGTATGTTATGACTGTCTCTGGGTTGCAGCAGCATCCGAAACCTGTGTCACCTTTCCTGCTCTGACCTGTGTGGTTTAGTGCATAGCCTCAAGACAGAAGTGCTAACCACCACGTCTTGGAAACACAGACGCGTTTCTGACGCATTCTCCTCACTCACTGCGTTTTGGATCTTACTTTGATGCCACAGCTCTGGCGACCCCCTGTGGGCGGTCAACACTCTGACCGCTCCATTCTCCCGCTGTAAAGGCCCAGGTCGCACCAGTCTGGTCTGGAACACCACTCCGTCCTTGGATGGATACATACATGGATCAGGACACCGTAGGACACATCTGCTCCGCATGGACGGTAGGTATTGCAGCAAGTAAGGGGAAGACATACAAGCGAACAATGTGCGCCTTCCTCGGTGCCACACCTTCATTCTGCCACACCTACCGTACCTACAGCCTGGGATGGGTCTCGGCTCTCAATCCCGCATACCCATCTGCATAAAGTGGCCGTACACCTCATATACTACCCTTTGTCCGCGGTCGGGCTCTCCTCTCGACCAGCAGCTTCGACATGGGTACGTCTATGCCTTGCCCCCCGGTACGTATTGCTGAGTGGATCCCGCCTACGACAACCGCCACAGAAACGCCGTTCTGTATCCACACCCACCGCCCTCCATAAACGCACAGCCTCTTCCTTACCGCAGTATTGATCGTACGCATGCAATGTCTCCAACTGACGGTGTAGGGACAGTGCGACCAGCCCCCACTTGTCACCGTCTGCGGAGGAGGCTGCCAGCACGAGGAAGGGTGGCGGTGGCGCTCCTGCCGCGCCGCAGTGCTGCACCGCGCCGCGCCTCCGGCATAGGCAAAGTCGATAAGCGATGGCACTGGGTATTGATCAATGGCCACAACAAAAAGGTGCGCGTGACATAGGGGCCCCCCATACGCCAGCGCCCACCGAACACACCGCCATTGTTCCTGCCCATTCCTCGTGACTCGCTGGATCGCTGTCGTGTCGTTGATTGTTTGACCTGTGCGCAGCTGCCACAGGACCGACCGCGGACACCGAGTCTGCCGCCAACGTATGGCGTGGTATCCTCGCGGCCCTCGTCCCGTACAAAGCTATGCCAAGACGAGGTGCAAGAGCCACTCCCTGCCGGCGTCGAGGCCGCCCCCGGCCCCCGGTATGGTCGTGCTGTGGCCCGGTGCGGCGCCCGGCAATTACAAGAAGACGTTTCGGCGATTGTTGACAGGTGTACTTGTTCGAGGGTGGGATTTGGTAGAACTTGGTTGGGGGGTTGGACTTTGGCGGACGCTGACGTAGTCTTCGTCGAGCGTGTGGTTTCGGCAGCTGCAAACGTCATTGTAACAATTGTAATGGAGCTGTGTCAAGTGCCATGAGACAAAATACACTTGTTAGTTCCCACCGTCTTAGATCCCTGGCCGACCAAGGAGGCTACGTCAGTGGTCAGTGGGAGTCAGCACACACATGCGACGGACAGAATAAGTAGCGCGATCCATAGTCTACAACCTACACCTGCCGCACGCCTACCACGCCGTGCACGTCCTTGATCACCTGCACCACCTGGCGGCCGTTCTCCCACCACCACTCGCCCTCGCAGTCGATAGCGTCGCCGTCCCGCGTGACCTCGAGCGCCTCGACGAGCGAGGGGTGGTGGTGGTCTCCGAAATTCAGGTCTGCGTGGAGCTTGACGTTTATATGCGGGAACGCAGTTGCGAGCGCGTCGTTGACAGCATGCACTACTGTGTGGCCGTGCCGCACCTCGGTCTTGAGAGAAGGGTGGCGATTATGCTGGAGGCGGTGGGAAAGAGAGCGGATAATGTTTGATTCGGTGGGGCAGGTGGCAGCCTCGTGCTCGTGGTCGCATACATGCGTTGTGACGGTAAGGTATGTGTGTCCGCGACCGAGGAGGGGGTCTGGGGACGCTGGGGTGATGGGACGAGACGTGCCGGCGGCGAGGGCGGCAAGGTGGTTGGAGTCGGTGTCGGTGGGGACGGACGGTTGTGCAGTGACGCCCGGCGAGACATCGACGGACAACGTGGGTATGATGGTTGGGGTTGAGGTGACAGTCATTGGAGTGATGGGTGGGGTGAATACGCAGTCGACGAGGTTGTCAGGTGGCGATTAATAGTCGACAAAATGATGGAGGCGGTCCGGTCCGACACGAGGCGTTGCCCAACAATGACGATGACACAATAGGCGTCTAACGCCTGGAACCTCGCCCATCGGTCTCAAGAAAGCCTCTGCCAAGCACGCGCCCAGTCTTTGAGATGCTTCACGCACGATATTCGGCCTAGATTGTATCCTTCTAAAACTCGTCGCGGCGTGCACGTTGCTTGTGCACGAGAACCTCCACCTCCTTGACACCCGGCACGCTCTTGACCGCGTTCACAACACCAGCGTCCAGCAAACTGGGATCGATGGCCTTGCCACTGTTGGTCACTTCGTAAATGTGCTCGTCGGCAAGCTCGCCCACTTGTCCGCGGTACGTGAGCTGCACCGTTGAGCCGTCCACACTCGATGAAAGAGCACCAGTGAGGGTGTCGGGTGCGGTGGCGGACGACACACGCAGATACGCGTGGCCCGGGATGAGCTCGGGGGGCATCGCGAGGGCGAGAGGGAGCGCGAGAAGGAGGGCGGAAAGACGTATGTTGGGCGTGGAGAGGTGCTGGGGCAGGGCTCGAGATGATTATACGCGTGAAGGAGTGTTTGTTTAGGTATCAGGATGGCGATGTTGAGGAAGACAGACAGACAGGTCGCGTACGGCGCGTCATGGCAGGCAGAGGCATCGGCCGGCGGTTGGCTTAAGTGGGGGGAACATTCTGCTTGCCACCTCGTACGCAGCGCGTTCGACGTGTCGGTCAACTGTCCATGGATCCACATGACGACAACGCCCACTCCATCGGTTGAGCAACAACAGCAGAGGTAAGTGTCGTCGAGGCCAACCCTAGGAAGTATACAGTGAATCCTCGGTCGCTGGAGAACTACAACTGCCCAGCAGCCACCCGGTTAAGCTGCCCTTACTCCGACCTACCATCTCGTTCTATTGTGTGATACGTGGACGTCGAGGTTGAGACATGACTGCTGACGCTCCACGCAGATGATCTCGGACGGCACGCTCACCGACATTTCGAACGGCCTCGGCGTCGCGGCCATGGTCCTCATCGTGGTCTATCACTTTGTCGCCGTCAACGGCAAGCGCATGCAGGACTAAGCTCCCGGCGAGCTCGGTCTGCAGTAGCCCGCGTAGGCTATGGCGCCCATTCAGCCTACAGCTACCTCGACTCGGCTTTCTTCTCTCAAACTCGTTGGCGTAGACTTTGAGTCCGAGTTCCTGCTCGCTGGCCACGGACCCCGCACCTCCCCAACCGAAACCCACAACATCGACACCGCCGACTGCGGCAGTATACCCCGCCTTTCTGCTACGCCGCAGTCCGCACAGCCGGTGTAGTGGATAGTAACAACGTAGACACCCAAAGTGTATTCTATCTGTCTATCTTGGGCTTGTGGGTTGCAGTCTAACGTACTGATGTGGTGGAGCTCCTCCGGGCATGGCTTCGCGGACGTCAACAGGTTCTAGCCTTGCGACTGTCCTGAACTATTGACGAGGGCAGCATGTCATGACAAGGATGTTTGGCTAAAGTGCTGCACTAGGTAGGAACACTTGTAAGATGAGGAAGGTGCAACAGACAGGTTGAGGGAAGGCGGCGAGGGAAGACGAGGGCGGAGGAAGACAAGGACGGAAGGTGAATGCGACGAAGTGGCAGAGTCAATCGCTCGCATCATCCTGGCCTCCTGCAGGATGGACCGAGATAGAGGCTCATATGGCAGTCCACTGGTTAGGCTGCTGGGAGTAGACGAGACAACCGCAAGGATTCCTGCGAATTGTGGACTGACAAATGCCAAAGAGCTCGATGTTTGCACACTTTCAACTGGGTCCACGGACCTGATGTACAGGCTGACATACACTGTCCTAACTAGTACAACCTCGCACTGGTCTCCCTTCCTCTTGCCAATAGCATAGACTCTATTAAGGAAGGCGCGCAATCTCTTCCTGTACCGCCTGCACGCGCTCGGCGCGGGCGAGTTGTTCAGGCGCAATCTGGCATGAGCGTTCACTCTGGTTCTAACAACTCACAGTGGCCAAATTCGAAAAATTGGCGACAGTCTTGCCCCAAGTCTCCAGTACTTCTGCATGGCGGGGTGGTGGGGGCACATCTTCTGGGCGGATTGGTCGTGCTGCAGTGGTCAGACGTGCACGGGAGATAGAGTCGTCACATACCTGTCGACTTCTCTTGCTCCAGATCTTCCGCGGAAGGCGCCCACGTCGCTGCGTCGCGTCGCAGTTCGAGGTCGTCCAACAGATTCGCGACTTCTCCGGCTTTTACGCGTCGACGTTCCACCACCTTGGTCTCCCAGTTGACACGCTCGGTGTTGACAGACCAGATATCGCGGTCGAGATGCTCGTCAAAGGGTTCGGTTGCTGGGCATGAGCTCTTGGGCGTCCTTGTGTGGACTCACTCTCCACAAAGTCTTCATAATTGAAACCATTCACGCGAAGGTTGGGCTTGGCCATCTCCCACATGCGCGCCTGCAGCGCCTTGAGACGTTCCTCGAGCGCAGGGCGGACACGACGGGCAGCATCACCCTTGCTGCCTCCTGGCAAGGCGGAGAGACGGGCCTCGAGGGCGGATTGAAGTGCTGCGTCAGAGTTGCCTTGGACGCGTATCCAGTCGGCTTCTCGTTCGACTATGATGCGGGGTAAGAGCTCGTTCTGCATGGTCGAGATTGAGATGGAGGATGGACAAGGTTGTTGTTGTTGAATGAATGTTGCATGTTGCATGTTGACGTTGTTGACAATAGGCGTGCACCCTCCGCCACTCAAGATTTCCCACGGTCGATACAAAACTCCAGGGCGGCTGTCGCCATGACGGAGGGGGCGTGGACAAGCGGGGGCGGGCAGATCAGCCGTGCATGCAGCACGGGGCAGTGGGCGTGGGGTGGAGTTGCACCAAGTTGCCGCGTTGGTCTCTCGCACAGCATCCCCTTTGTCGAGTCTTCACTATCGCCCATTCATCCTCTCACCATCAGCATCGGCGGCCGCACACAGCTCCTTACCACCGGCACCTCTCCCAAATCTCCCCACTTCATCAAACGCCCGCTCGGCGCAGCCACCCGCCACCTTCTTTCACCCCGCCGTCCACTCGGTAGTGCAGGCTTCTGACATACGCGTCACACATCCCCTTCCCACCTGATCTCCAGCCTCTGTCCATCTTCTCTCCCACACCACCATGTCCAAGCAACCCGTCACCGTCCCCTGCCAGGTGCGTTCATCGGCTATTGACACAAGAGGGAAAGAAACGGAGCGAGCTGGGAGGAAGCAAGCAAGGTTCGCTCACTCAGAAGGGAATGCTGACGCACCATATAGTACAAGACTGGCAAGACCCTTGGCAGGTGAGCATGCCACCCACAACCCCGCACGCACTTGCTAACATCTCCAGCGGCACTTAGTAGGTCGACTGTTAACATATTACGCGCAGCGGACTGACGAGGCAGCGCCGTCGTCAAGGAATGCGTCCACATCAAGGTCAGTCGTTCGGATGGCCTTTCCGAGAATCGCGGAAGGGCGTCCGTGACACCTCCTTTGTCTTGGCGCATTGCTAGGAGGGAGCTAGCACAGCACAGATGTTGATCGCCCACAGACTGGCCAGTACTATGCGTGCAAGGTCCTCAACAAGAAGTTCCTTACCGTGAGTTTGAATTGGATTTCAGAGACGGAGCGCTAATGGGCAGGGCCGCGAGCACATGGTTAGTATTGGCATGTGCCAGAGATGACCCGCATCGCTGATCATCTAGGTCCGCAATGAAATCAACATTCTCAAGAAGGTCTCGGCTGGGCACCGCAACATTGTTCAGCTCCATGATTTCTTCGAGACGAGCCACAACCTCTACGTAAGTCCCTAGGTCTGAATCAGTACTGACGTTGACCAGCTCGTCTTCGACCTGTGCACTGGTGGCGAGCTCTTTGACCGCATCTGCGCCCGTGGATCGTACTACGAGAAGTGAGGAGGACAATCCCGGCCTGCGCGGACAGGTTATACTGACGTACAAGGGACGCGGCCAACATTGTCCGCACCATTGTCGACGCCGTTCAATACCTCCACGACCAGGGCATTGTGCACCGTGGTACGTCATTTGTTGTGTGGTAGAGAGCTATTTACATGTGACTGACATCAAAATTAGACTTGAAACCCGAGAACATTCTCTTCAAGTCCAAGGCTGAGGATGCCGACCTCATGCTTGCTGACTTTGGCGTGAGCCGTGACTGATTTGCGCATTGAGCTGACAGGCAGCTGTCAAAGGTGCTCGACGAGGAGAACTTCTCGATCCTTACCACAACCTGTGGCGTGAGTACCGCTTGGTTGTGCTGGCGCTGACTCTTTACAGACCCCCGGTTACATGGCCGTGAGTTGAGCAACGATGGTCGGATCTAACCTCTCAGCCTGAGATCTTCAAGAAGTCGGGCCACGGCAAGCCTGTGGACATTTGGGCCATTGGTGTCATCACGTAAGCGTCGCACCTCGGACGAGCCGTTAGCCCACGTGCTAAACCTGTGCCTCCAGCTACTTCCTTCTTTGTGGCTACACCCCCTTCGACCGCGACTCGCAGTACGAGGAGATGCAGGCCATCTGCAACGGCGACTACAAGTTCGCCCCCGCCGAGTTCTGGAAGGACGTGTCGGAGACGGCCAAGGACTTTGTGCGCGCATGCCTCACCATTGACCCCACCAACCGCCCGACCGCGGCTCAGCTCCTGCAGCACCCCTGGCTCCAGGCCGCCACTGCTACGACCGTCCAGGCGACCGAGATTCCCGCGGGCGAGGTCAACCTGCTGCCGAACGTCAAGAAGGCCTTCGACGCGAAGAAGACTTGTAAGTAGTTCTTGCGGGACATTTAAACCTCATTGGCTAACACCCGGTCCACAGTCCGTCGCGCTGTGCTTGGTATGATGGCCGTGCACAGGCTAAAGGACAGCAGCGAGCAGCACGCCGGTGTCGCTCGCACTCCCGACGAGAACGAAAAGCTCAAGGAGGAGGTCGCCAAGTTCAAGGCCGAGGCCGAGCGGGTGAGAACCAATGATAATGGCGAGCAAGGCGCGACGGCAACTGACAATTACCCAGGAGGATGTCCAGGACGTTCTTGCAGGCAGTGCCCAGGCAATCTAAGATGTACCATGGCAAGCAGTGCGACGCTTGCTTCAGATATAGTGCGAGACATTGCGTCCCGTGTTTGTTAGCGTCGTGGAACCTCTGCCGTATGTGCAGAGAAGGGTTGGGTATTGTCGTAGTTTGCCAGTGCGCGGATGCAGTTGGTTTCTCGTTCTGTACTCTTCCCGCCTTGCTTTCTCTGCTCTCCCAAGCCCATCTCCTGGTCTGTTCCCGGCGTCGTGCGTGCGTGCCACAAAACTCCAGATCTCACAGGTATGGGGTCCCGAAGGTACCGCCATAGACTTGTTTGTCAAGTTCACGTTCAGGTGCCGCAGGCACGGGCGGGCCGATATGCGTAGAGCCCATGCAGATTGAGCGGGAAAGAATGGACAGGGCAACACCACACTTGGTACACTACTGGACTAGCTTATTAGACTGCATAGGGAATATGAACAAACCTCGAGGTGGTGATTCAAGCCTGCTGTTTTCAAGGCCTTTCTTCACGTAGGCGAGGCCAACCCGTCACAGGCCCGTTCCGACAGTGCGGAAGGAACGAGTCACTCGCCGCGCGTAGTTTATCGTTTCGGGGAGTTCCCATGATGTCGGCGGTACCGAATAGCACCGTTTGCTGAGAGTACGAGGGGCGGGGAACGGCGCTGGGCGCTGGGAAGGAATATGGGAAATACTTGGAAGGAGGGCGGATCGGCGGACGCAGATCGAGTCGAGCAGTGCCTACTCTTTCATCTTATCCCCCCCGGTCCCTTACGACATCTCGCCAACGAGCTCAAAGGCCAGGCGGCAACGGTCGTCGCGCGCAGGCGGCAGTTGACCGTGCCTCGCCCTGCCGGGAACCTACCATGGCCACAACCCCCTCGCTCTGTCTGTGGCGTTGTCGATTGTGCGATTGCTCTTACAAGGCGGGAAGATGGGGTGATTTTGTTGGGGTGTGCATGCGGCCCCACACTCGCTTGGTGGGCTTGGAGTTGAAATAGGTCTTCTTCTATGCCGGGGTCTGCGGGTGATTCCCGCAATCAGCCTTGCTTGTCACTGAGTAGGGGGAGCAGCCGTTTGCTGTTGACAGGGAGGTTGGAGACATGAATTGATCATGCGGGTGTGGTGTTTTACTGCCACAAAGCCCACCTCTGTGTGTCTTCCTCGTAACCACCTCAAATTAACACTGCTTCCCGACGGCACGAGCAGATCGTGTGGCAGCCCGACAATCCGCACCATGTCACAGCCGCTTTCCACGGGTTCACCCATCGCAGCCTTGACCCAGACCGTCTGGGCTTGTGTACTCCTGCTACGGTGGGTACAACCAGATCCGGCGCTTGGTATGTGACGTGGCGGTGATGGAGAACTTCGTGGGACGCGAGAACGTCGCATAAACTGCCGGCGGAGGACAGGTAAGACTTTGCCCACCAACTGCGCCTAATACATTCCAGCTGGGTTCCTCGCCATGGCCGCGGTCTCAATTCCTCTCGACGTCACCTCCGCTGTCCTCTCAATCCAGCTTTCCCCAGGAACTTTGGCGCTAACGAGTTATGCCACACCGCAGCTGCAGAGCGAGTTCCGCAGCTGAGAAATGCATACAACCATCTCGCCAGCGCCTGGCATGTTCACACAAAGCTAGGACATGGGTCTGTCCTGTGTTTGCGCGATCGGCGACGTTGCGACGAGGACAGGGAGGTACCTATGTCCAGGCCAGGGTGACAGCCATGCTGCTCCGATCTCTGCCGGAGTGATACGAGTTCTGAACGATCGTTGCTCCGCCACGCGGAGCCTCGGAAGACGATCGTAAGCGGTTAGTATCTAGGATCATCTCATTGCGTGTCGTGTAGCAGAGACCGGTAACATAAACGCCACATCAGGACTCGGCCCCGCTGTTTGTTGCGGTCCCGATCGTCGGAGCACTCCTCGGACCCTCGGAGCGGATGAGTCCTAAGTTCATTCTGTAGCTGGGAGTTCACCTTTCACCAGCATGTTCGTCAGTGGCTTTGCGAGAGCGTCGTCTGCGGAATACACACGCAACAGAGACAGACATGTTCGGTTCCCAGCTTCCCCTGCCTTGACTTTCCTTCACGGTTGGTAAGGCTCAGTCCTTCCTAGCCGTATCTTGCTCTTGCCCACACGATCGTCTCGTCCGAGAAAGCCCCCTTGACATAAGGTTGTACTGTGCAAGGGAAAGGATCGTCGCTGACTGAGGCGGGAGGTGTCCTGATTCCCACCCCGCGGTGCTGTGCTCACTTCTCAGATACTGTAGAGGATGGGTACCAAGGTCTCACCAAATGGTGTCAGGGATGCGAGCAACGCCGGTGCCACACTTTCATGAAACCGTGAACCGAGAATGTGCGGGACCGCAGTCCAAAATGGTGCTAAGCTATAAGCGATTAGCCGGCCAGCGATCAGCGACGGGCCTCACGGTGCTTGTTTGAAATCCAGTGAGCACAGCCGTATCCCAGGATACCACTGTGGAGTCGTAGCAGACAGTGTTGTCTCCTGCACTGTACTCCCATGTGGACGCAAAGGACAGAATAAGAAAAACCCTAGGCATTGGAGCGGCTCCAGTACGTCGTAGCAGCGCCCCAACTCGATGACAACCGAGCTACATACTACCGGTGCAATAACGCGGGCTATGACGACGTCTCTCCAAACAAATCGGTCGACCTGTCACACTGACAGGAACCTATATGTAACCAGTTACACCACTAGCATGGCACAGGGCGACGGAGAGATGGCACGCACGTTTTGGCTCACAGCCCAAAAACACTCCGCAGCAGGCGTCGACGCCCACGACACGCATCTGCAGTACCGTGCATACACGCCCGGAAAGGCTTTGCCCCTCGGCTCCTTTGCCTCCTTCTCACTCTGCATCAGTTGTCTACTCCGTATGATGAACGGAAAGGGGGTTTCAACCCAATCTGGCGGTGATTACTCCTAAACTTGGTGCAAGTCGACAAGATTTAGTTAGGTGTCGGCAAGCTCCTTCTTTTTAAATGACCCCAAGCCCAGCAATCCGCGGAGCCCTTCTAGCCAAAAACTGTTCCTTTCGATCGTCGCTGTACTGGGCGCCTGCGTGTATTGGTTGGTTATAATAGAACCTGGTCCCCCTCACAAACGCAAACCAAAGATGCCCAAGCGAAATAAAATATAAAATAAAAGTCAAAAATGAAATCAGCCCATCCATGATCGGCGGCGCCTCGTTGCCGCGAATTTTTCGGCTCAAACGCGCGCGTGGGTACGAGACTAACGGCCACCCTCGGGCCCGTGCTCTCATGTCCCGGCATCGAACTAGTGCAACCTTGTTGCTGGTCACGGGCGCGGGGAACGCGGATCGACAGATCGGGAGGTTTGCAGCTCTCGGCTGGGCTGGCAAAGAGCGGAATATTTATATGCATTGCAGCTGCGGACGGGCGGACGGACCGCTTTTTTTTTTGGCGGTCGTTGGCGAGCCCATACAGTGGGCAGAGCTCAAGTCTAGCCCTTTGCTCGCTCCCGAGGGTTGGGTCGAGGTCAGCATATGTGGTTGGGTCGTCTGTGATCCGTGTCCACGATCACCTCCGTACAGACGCGCAAGGGACGCATTAGTGCAGGAAACTGCATTCACTATATCATAGGTACCGATAGGGGCTCATGCCAAAGGGGTAAAGAGGGGTAAGGAGAAGGAGAGGGGGTATTATTACAGCTCCCAAGCGCGACGGGTATAATCTTGTTGCGCTTGGCCTGGGGGAGGAGGAGGGGGAGCCTGTCGGCGCCAGTCGGCCTCACGGCGGGGGTCGTACTGGCCATGCTGGGCGGGGTAATACGGGGAGCTTGGTGGGGGTGGGTATGAAGCATATGAGCGAGGGTATGCCCCTTGTGGGTGAGGAGGAGTTGTTGAACGACGCGAGCCGGGGTATGAAGAAGAAGGACCAGGCTGTCGGTAGTGGGTGGCAGAACCAGGGCGGTAGCCACTGTCAGGACGACTAGGAGCGTCGGCGGCTGCAGCGATAGAAGAAAACGATGGGAGGGCGTGCGCAGGCGGCGGTGCCAGAGGCGTCACCGGGGTGGGGGGCAGAGGAGGGCGACGCGCAACGACGTCCGCGGGGACGTCATGGTTGGAAATGAGGAGGCACGACACGACCAGATAAATCTTGCCCAGCGTGTTGGGTTCCCATAACGAGCCACCCAGACCGCCACCTAGGTGTATGCGCACATTGAACAGGGCCCATGAATTGTCGGAGCGGAGGATGCGAACGTTCTGGTTTGGGTAAGGCTCACGCATTCCGCTTGCTGGCGACAGGAGCTCGTGCTCAGTGCAGGTCATGACGGCAGCGTGAGTCTCGCGACTTGACTGGAGCTGGCCAGAAAGGTAAGGGACGGCGACGAGACGAGAGCGTTCCATGTCGATGAGCTGACGGTCGTTTTGGTGAATCCAGTCGAGCAGGTTTAGGTTAACAAACTCGTGCGGGTGGTAGCCAGTGAGAGGGTGGCTCGCAGACGTAACACGGAGAATCTTGAGGTCGGTCGTGCAAAAGAGCGTAAATAGATCTGGAGTCGGCGGGGGTGGAAGGGAAGAAGCCGCCATGGGTGTCGGCATCGTGTACGACGCCGTTGTGTCAAGCGAGGTCATGCCAACCACACTGCCAAGAGACGCCGATCGTGGCGGAGACGGCAGGCGCGAAGTGAGCGCACCCAGGGGAATCTGCTGAGGACTGGACGTCATCTGCCCGTATCCAGCTTCGTATGGAGGTGGGGCAGGCTTCCACTTGGAGCCATCATCTGAAGGTCGCGACGGGCGTGTAGGGTATGGCTCGGACGTGGGCGGCTTGTTGACTTTGGGTCGTCCGCGCTTCTTGTGCTGAGAAATGGTGATCAGCACCGTGCCGCTGCAGTCCAGAGGGAACACTTACTGGAACATCTTCGCACTGGTCCTCCTTGCCCATGTTCACGCAGCGCTTGCAGGGACGGGCAACGTCACAAGCCAGGTGTGCACGCTTGCACGGTCCACAGGCGCTCGAGACATTGGCTTTGCCGCCGACGCGCTTGATTACGGGAGGCGCGATCGGTGCACTGGCCAACGAAGGGGGGCCAGCCCGGTCCGCAGACGCATAGGGATGAGAGTGGTGGGACGAGGGTGGTCGGTGAGAGTAGCCGCCGTGAGGAGGAGGGTAGTGTCCGCCTCTGCTGTCGTGTGCGAGGTGACCTCCGCGGCCATGTCTGCCTGCCGGGGAAGGCGGGTCAGACATGCCGGGGGACTGCGACGACTGGGCGGCAGCAGACGACGGACCTGGTTCGCCGAGGATGGTACGCGCGCCGGGGCCGTCGAAGCCTGATCCACTAGAAGGACGCTGGCGGTGCATGACGGCAACGGCGTCGGCGGGGGGAAAGGGGTGGCACGATAAGAGTGCCGCGCGCAGGTGCGCTTGTGTGCTCGTTGATGGGCGAGTGGGTGTGGTTTTGCTTCTGTGCTCTGTGGGCCCAAATGAAGACTTGTCACTGCCAAAGTCGACCGCGGTACCCTCCAGCCGTCACTCTGCGGTCGGCGGCGCGGCTGGATTCACGTTTATGACGGCGGCGGGCTGGATACCTCGGCGTGACGGGTATGCGGGGCCTGAGGATGTGCGTGCAATGGGCACAGTCGTGTGTGTGTGTCGGCGGGGACGGGGCGGCGGCGGCGGCGGGGGCTGGGGGAGCTAAGAGGAGTGTATGTGTGAAGGTGAGTGGGGATGATGCAGCTTTGCAGGCTGGCGCTGGGCGATGTGCTTGTCGGACGGACCGTTGGCAAACGCTGCCGAGGAAACGAGCAAAGGTGTTGGGGTTGAGGAATGGAACGTGATGACGACGACCGGTTGCGGTCCGAGTAAAGCCAAAAGACAAAGTGACCGGTGGGTCCGAAAAAGTGTGAGGTGAGGGGTGGGTGGGTGTGGGTTGGATGAATGGAGATGTGTGTGACGCCAAGAGTGGTGATGGGCGGCCGGGGACAGATGGCGATGAGAGAACAGAGCAGAGTTGTGAATATTGTACGCATCTTTCCAGACGCCTGTGCTTAATCCCATCCGTCCGTCGTCCGTCGTCCATGCGCCATGCCTCGTCCCTCAATCCCTCGTCTCGTCCTCTGCTGCTTGCCTCCAGCCCCGCCAGCCAGAGCACACCAGCACCAACACCAGCAGCAAGCACCAGCAGCACCAGCACCAGCGCCAGCACCAGCACCAGCACAGAGCGAGCAACTCACCGCGGCGTACGCCATCCATGGGTCCGTCCCTTTTCCTCCGCCCACCGTTTATCCTGCCCCTCTGCATGCAGCAGCAGCAGCAGGTGTCGCGTCGGTTCTACGGGGATCTGATGATCCAGCCAGCTCCAGCCAGCCTGCAGGGATGCAGAAATCGGGCCCCTCTGTGCGTCTGCGCTGAGGGAGGCCAAGGGAGGAGAGAGGCAGACATGGCAGAGAGAGGCATGTTTTGCGCTTGTCGTTCCTCCCGTCGTACCTCGTGATGGTTCAGTCTCACCGCGCGCGTCCGCGCGCGCGCGCTCTCTCTCTCTCTCTCTGTCTCTCGCAGTTCCTTCGGCCCCACCCCACCCATAACGAGGGCTGCCCCTGGACGCACGCCACAGGTCCTGGACCTGGGAGGGGCCAGAGAGGGGGACACGGGCAGGCAGCCAGCACAGGCGCGCGCAGAGAAAGCAAGGATGCGGGAACAAGGTCCCAAGAAACCCGACAGGCCGAGACGAGAGCCCGAACACTCACCTCACCTTTGTCTCGTCGCAGGCTCTCTCTCTCTCCCTCTCGCGCGCTCACACAAGGCCCCAGTCCGGACCAGCTCCGCCGCCGCCGCCGCCCGCCGCGATGCCAGGCGCCGCCATGCAGCCGCCATGCGCTCGATACATGCCCCGGCTGCCTCCAGGGAAACGGAATCACGAGGCCGCGGAGGCGTGCGGCTGCGTGCGGAGGGGCCAGGCAGCAGGAAACAGACGGCCCGCTCTGCCCAGCGCAAACAGGCAAACAGGCCCAGATGGCGCATTCCCAGCATCCTTCTTCGCCGTCTCGTACACGAGTTTGTTTGACCACACCCAGGCCCAGATGGCGCATTCCCAGCATCCTTCTTCGCCGTCTCGTACACGAGTTTGTTTGACCACACCCAGGCCCCGTCTGTCACCTCGTCGCTTAATCTTTTTGGCGGTGATGTTCCAGCGCTTGGGTCCACACGCGGGTTGTGCGCGGGTGTTTCGCCGCGCACAACCGCCCGCAACCGCCGAGCCCGCACTCTGTCCCGATGCCGATACCGCATAAACTAACAACCACGCAAGCAAAACCAAAAGCAGGTCTCTACTAAAGCTGTAAACAGCCGCATGGCAGTACGGCATGAAGAAGGGAAAGGCTGTACCCGAACACTTGCCTACCGGCCTTGGCGTACGCGTACACGGGTTGGCGTTGACGCGGCTCAAGGATAGCCAACTGCCAAACACGTATGCAGGATACATCGGCAGGGTATGCTGGCTTGTTCATCCGGTGTGGAATCGTTCTCGACTTCGGACAGGCCTGAGCTGACCATTGAGGTAGTCGTCGGGGTCCTGATACAAACAACCCGTTTTCTGCTATTCTCCTGGCGTCCTGGGACCCCTATCTCTCCATGGCCCCGTCACCGGAGTCGCGTGGTCGGTTGGGTCGTTGCCCAACATGATATAACTCTTACCGCAACTCTGGGTAAGGGGTGTCTGCGTCATAGGAGCGCCGGTTGCTCTTCGCCTTAATCTCTCGGCATATCATAAAGGAAGGAAAGGAAGTAACCCTCAGCCCCCTCAACTGTCCCCTATTGGTAGATGGTTGTTGGAGCTGCATGAGGGTGACTCATCGCTTTGGAGGCGTTGGAGCGCTGTTCTGGCGGGAAAAGTCGTCTTTGCCCAGACCGACAGAGCTGCCTACTGAGCGTTGCCGCAGCACAGCACCATGCCAGTTGCCGAGGAGTTAGTGGGCAATGCAGAGGGGTGCATACCACCAGTTTGGTACATGGCACGGCCGTATGGCTTCCCCCCGGGACCCCCGTCCTGTGTACGGCAGTGGCAACGGCATGGATCCCGGTACGGGGTAAAAAACAAAAGCACGGCGCCGGAATGTAACAACAACGTGTAATCATAACGGCAACGGCAGGCGAATCCTACTTTTCTGACATATATGGTAGGCAGGGAAGCCACCATTGTCGCGAGCGCGTCCTGCCGGGCATGGATCAAAGTACTGCGCCACCTGGCGCGAAAAATGCTCATGCGCAACACGAGACTGCCACGCACAGAGGCACTCTCTCTCTCTCTCTTTCTCTGACCTCCACTCTGCTCGCCCTGCGCTGTGATCCCAAAACATGGCCCTCCTGGCCTCCTGGGTCGCTTCGCAAACGATCACAGGGCAAGAGCGCAGAGCCGCCACACTGCAGCGCCGCACTTTCCGGTAATGGCCCAGTGGCGCTCCGACCACGCCGCCCTGTCGTCTAACCCGCGGCGCCGAGCCCTACACCAATTGGGCATTGCGCGGATGTTTCGCAGTACAGTTCAGATCAAAGCTTCGGCGATTGGAGTAATAGATTCCAGTACGACTGCAACGGAGCGTCATAGCCCACAGGCCGACGCCGGAGAGAGCGCCAAACTCAACTGAATCAACAAAGCAGGAACATTTGAACGGGCGGACGGCAAGACAGAGGAGTCGTCGGGCCATGGGGCCACGCTAGAACGTGACACGCACTAGTCCCAAATGTTGGGACGGAATATCGTCTCTAATAGCCTTGTGTCTCGGAACGAGGAAGATCACGGAATTGAGGGAGGGAGAGCGAGAGGAGGGTGTGCTCATGACCTCTTAAACCTTCCTCTGTCGTCTCCCGAAATGGCCGGCTGATATGTCGGTCTTAGTTTATCTTGCTTCTCCGTCGCTCAGCTCCCCTTATTCCGCGGCAAAGCTACCAAGACCCCTCTTGAGTAGCTGCAGTGTCAACCACCACGGCTTTTTACCACATGTGTTTGTGTTTCGTGTCCACATGAGGTCGGAAGATATTTGGACGTCGCACGCGTTCAAGGCCCAGACAAGTCGCGCCCATCGTTCGAGCCACTCCGGGACAAGCATCTGGCTTGACACTGGTGGCCTGGCCGCACTCTCTCTCGTTTCTTCTTTTGCGCGTTTGCGGCGATGTTCGTGAATGATGCTACTGGACACGCGGGACTCAAAACCCAAGCGTATCATCTCATGAACACTGTCGATCAAGTTCGGCACACAGACACACCATGGAGCCGAAGGGGGCGCCTAACAGGTGACGAGAACGCGAGAGTACGCGGATGGGCATCTGTCCGCTGCGCCGCTGCAAAGCGGCCCCAACACTTATTCCCAGGAACAGATTCGGCGCAGTGGGACGGGTTAAGCTTCTTGCCAGACAGGTCCACGCACCCCTCACCGTCCCGGTCCCCACCCTTTCCCCGATGGCGGCTATGGCATCCCCTCCAAAACCCGCGCCCAAACGAGAGAAAGAACACACCAGATCATTTCGCACTTGCCAGCTTTCAACGACACTGACGAACCGTCTGACTGGCAGAGCACCCTCGGGCCGAGGTGGGGCGTCCAGTTGTCCCGCTCGTCTGGTCTGAGATATCCCACCCCTGACTGGGGAGCACGCACCAGCTCGCAAACATCGATTTAGTTATTGTATGGAGATACCAAAAGCAGTAGTAATGCGAGAGTGTGACTGGCATGAAACTGCTGAATGGCACTACCATGGCTGTCGTTCCTCTCGGCTCTGTTGGCGTGCCAGACCATGTGGTGCTCGTCGGTGCGCACAGGGACGGGGGACGGCGTACCATTGGAGTGCGCATGACCAACAAATTGCGCGCGCGCGCGCGCTGCGCTGCGACATGGCAATCTGCGGCGTGCGCCAATAATGCCGGGTCCAAAATGACATGTCAAGGAGTACCGCTTCGAGCCAAACCCATAACCTTCCTCCGGCGAGTATACCTACGCCTGTCCCTGTTGACAATGCAGACCCAGAAGCGCAGCGACCACGTCCGAAAGCAACGAACGGTGATCCGGCGCAGGCACCCGTCGTGCTTCCTTCCGACAGTACAAAACAAACGGTTCAACGCACGGTGCTCGGAGGTTGAGGCTGGTCAAAGACCAGACTGCCACACAACTCCGGCAGGGCCTGGTGGGTATCGGACTCCTGGTATCAGACATCGCCATACCGAGCCTGCCGATGGCACAGGCGCTTGAACCGCTCTCGCAAGGACCTTCTCCAACTCCCTCTAAGGCGGTTTACCAAATCCCTTTGGGAGTGTGTTGTCTTCTTCGCCCCATCCATTCCGCTTGCGGACATCCAAGAGAGCGGCCCGCTCAACCCAGTGGCATCCGCATCCCAGGTCAGGTGGGGAGGGCTCGTTCATTATTCCAAGCAAACAGTAATGCAACTACTGTGCTTTAATCTCGGGTGTCGCTCCCTGTTATCGGCCCTTTGCTCACCTTACGGAGCCACACTGTATCCTTTCTGCCACGGCCTTCGTTTATCATCTAGTTTCAGCCTCTCCGCAGTCCACATCCTAACGCCTGTCTAAGGTTCTCATTTTGATCGCCCTTAACCGCGCATGCCATCCTGACCACTCCTACTGACTGGCACCGTGGAGTTGAGAATAAAAAAAATACAAACATGCTTGCGTGGCCATTTCGGTCAGCCACAAGCCTCCTGCGACCGGGCTCGCGCCTGCCCAGCGCCACCCTTCCCAGAAAGAGCTGCCTCCGAGCATTCTGCCCTTTCTCATTCTCCCTCAAGAACAACGAGTCCCTTCTACCGGGCCGCGACGACGCCTGCCGCTGGCCATTGCCCAATCCCACATCTGCATTTGCCTGATTCCGGTAGAACAATCGCACGTCAGTGCGGGTGCCACAAGATGTGGCGCAGGACACAGCAGCACGCTCAAGCCACATGGTAACGGTTTGCGGCTCGAGAATCTTCGCCTGGGCTGAACAGGCACTCTGGGCTCTTACTGGCAAGCTACGCACTGGCCACATGCACCGGACAGGTGACTCTCGTCCACGCGTTGGATGAGAGACACACAGAAGACAGAAATTAACCGTGCCGATGAAAAATACCACCACCACCCGGGGCGGCTGTGGCACCGCCTCCGTGCCCTTACTCATACCCAAACAAGCGAGACAGAACACGCATGGACACCTCGGCCCGCAGCATGGCGCAGAACCCCGGGATCCCTGCACCCACGAGCCCGCCCACCCTTGCATGATCGCAGGATGGCACACTGCTGTCATTTCGCTGTAGCCCTGCTGTGTTCGTGGGATATGCTTCGAGACATCTTGCCACAGGCTAGAGTTGCTCACTCGCCGGGGAATGCTAAAGCGGAGCCCACCGCCACGCATTCCCCGGCGCGTTTGTCCCGAGCCCTCTCCCCGTGCGAGGGCCGTCAAGGCCAACAAGGACCGCTCATCTGAGACATCCGAGCACTCCGCGGTTGGGCTCACGCAATGTTTGGCAGTCAGAACGCCGGCGCGGTAAGGGCCGAACCACGAGCAGGACCACACAGATGTTATGTTGTAGGGTCGTCCCTCTGAGGACTACGGGAGGGTGACTATGCTGACCAATGGCCGCGTAATGTGCGTGCGGCCGGTCTACGTTTTCCAGTCCGTACACTCCCCCGGATAGACACACCGGTCGCCCGGACTTTCGCTTCTTTTGTGGGCAGGGATGCAGAGGGTCAGGTTCGGCGGTGAGGGCAGCGACCTGAGTGAGAGCGGACCAGGACCCGACGGACCCGCAGTTGGTGGGTGCCCATGCGGAACATGTGGTTCCCAATAGGGATACGCGACGTTCCCTCCAAACTCCTGCCTGTGTGGCGCGTATCAGATTGTTTCCTAACACCGGCTAGCGTCAGGTTGAAAAGTGGGGAATCAGGTGGAATCAGGTATACAGCGTTTAGGTTTCGCATGTGATGCCCGAAAAACAAACAAAAAAAGATCGGATCTCGGGAACTCTGTGGTTGCTGCCTGCTGGCTGGGGACTCCAAGTTTCCAGGTCTGCCTGTGGCGTGACCGGGTGGCTGCGGTGCTGGTCGGTTGCAGGCGCGGTGTAACTTGGACGGTCGCTCGTGCACGGACCACGAGCTCATGGGTCGATCCACGAGAACGTTGCTATGTGATATATGCCCATGGATCGACGAACAGCTGATCTTGTCACGCCTTGGCTCCGAGGTATGCTGCGACATCGCGCACAGTGCCGTGTAAGGTTGTTGACCTGGGGCTAGAGGTCGGCCGATGTGGCACACGGTCGGGACTATTGGTCGTTGGAGGCCGTGCTGCCACAGTTCCTGTGCCACAGACAAGGGCACAAAGTCGGCCGAGGAGTGTAATGGCAGGCGCGTCCATTGGCTGTTGGAGACCGTACTGCCACGGATCCTGTGCCACACGCGGGTGCCGCCCCCCTTCTCCGCAGCATGATTGTAGCACAGACAGTGACGGTGGGTCGGGATCTCCGCCACTTTCCGGACCGGTTCCTACCGCAGCCTCCCCCTTGTGACAATAATTAACTCCCCCGCCAATGCGCCGATGGAAAGCTGTGTGGTTTGTGGCGCGTGACGCATCTCTGGCACACACCTCCGCTGGGCTGTCTTACTCCCAGAAACCCCGTGCAACTTGCTTTGCAGCTGAAAGTGCCAGTCCGTGGGTATGTCTTCAGGTATCGCAGCAGACTAAAATGCGAGGCGGACGCACCAGCAATCATATGAGACTGTGGAATGCCATAGGCAGCTCAGACATTTTTGGCCGGGTTTAAACTGAATTTTCCGATCTCCCAGACCCCTATCTTCGGAGAGACTTGCAAAGCAGCCGAGACATAAGATGCCACATAGCGGGCCAAATAAACGCGCACATGCACAGTACCGGGAAACACCAGGCTTCGGGTATCGGCGCTGGTGAAAGTCATTGCGGACAAAGTCTGCGGGTAGTGCAAGATCTGGCGAGTGGTGGGCGAGTGGTGGGCAAGACTACAAATAACATCGGGCACCGCTCCTGCCATCCCCACTGTAGGGATCCCGGTGACAGATCTCATGGGCAGACGCAGACTAGTAGAAGCGCTTCGTTGCTGGTTGCAGGGACCGTTGCTGGGTGCATGGGACGTGTGTGTGCCACACGGAACCTCCATCAGTGGCACTTTTGCGGCATCCGTAGGCTCCCTTCCTCGTTGCTCCGTCGTGATTCCGACGGACTGAGATCTCTGAGCTGCGGTCGGGCAATACACGTACCACAGCGACTTGCATACCGCACTGGGCGACGTCCGCGTGGGTGATCGTGGCATGCGAGGGTGCCGAACAGTGGGGGTCAGTGGGGGTTATTCACCGGCATGCCACAAACCTAGGTGCACACGTACGTGGATCTGAGGAACTGATTCAGATCTCAGACGCCAGTCGTCTTTCGTGTGCTCTCAGGATGTTAGCAACGTCCAGACACCGCGAGTGCACTTGAGGCCTGGTAGACAGACCATAGAGGTTGTGCATTCGGAAAAAAAAAAAAAAAAAAAGAGGGGACGGAAGTGGCGGATAATTGTCTTGGACATCCATCGTCGAGTCGTCCTTCTCCCACGGAACTCTCTTCTTCCCTCTCCAACCAAGCAAAGACAGAACTTCTAGTTGCTCTCGCAACGCTGCTTGTGGTCTCGGAACCCTGATTCGAAGGGGCTACGTGTCTATGGCCTCTGCATGGCCAAAATGGAACGAGTAAAATGGGTCTGGAAACGACCGAACGTCGGAGCTTAACCTCCGGAGGTTCACGGATGATTTCTTCCAATGGGAAGGCAGGGGTAGACATAACCTTTACTGTCTGGCGCAATACCACTATGCTAGTCAGAGCACTGACATGGATCACTGACATGGAGCTTCCGGGCATGTTTTTAAGCATCTGGGATGTCCCGCCAGTCGTTGCATCAGCTCACGAGACCTCTTCGTGGAAATCCAACGGAGCGGGCGACGACGGCAGCGGGACGGCGGAGGGCGGGGGCAGGAAATTCATTGTTATTGGGACGGTAAATGAATGTTCGTGGCGAAGGAGGGGAGTGCGACGTCTCGTGTTCCGTCTGCGTTCTTTGCACAAGATTATTCTGACATTGCTCGTTCTGCTGCACCCACGGTAAGACTGGCAGGTCCGGACTCCCGACGACTTTGTCACCTCAAAGAATGCACACCAGGTTCAGACACCAGTTCCGATGCGTACCTTTCGTGGGGGCCTTACTTTGGCTTATATCATCATCCGACGGCCTTCACGAAATCAATGCCGTTGGTGACCAACGACTGTTTGTTCTCACTCTGCCAATGTATTTCTAAATCACTTGCACAACGGCACCCGAATTTGCCATCACCCCTGCGTTGGGTGACATAGGGCGGGCCTTCAAAGTGAAAAACGTCTGGAGGCACGTCTCTGCTGCCGCCGCCGATATTATCAGCGTCACGGGAATGAGGAAGGAGGGGAGGCGACCTTCCCCGTGGATTGGCGTGGGGAGACGACATGACAATGTCGTCAGGGAGTGGATTGTTGGCGCAGCCACTTGAATCACATGAAGACCTCTGTAGATCTGCCGACAGCAGCAGCCTGTGGCAGACTGAGTCCCGTGTGTCGTTTGGTTATCCGTTCCGCCGATAGATGTGTCGACAGATCAACGAGGTCCGGCCTACCATATACGTCTACTCAACAGATTTGTAGCTGCGGCCTCCACTGCTGCTGTCGGACTCCGGCGGACATAACGGCCGAGCACCAGCGGGTCTGTAACAATGCCACACGCCACACACCAACTTCAATATCTACCAGGCTGCGTGAAGTGTGACCTAGAGTTCATAGGGATGTGTGGTACGTGTACGGGATGATGAAAGAAAGAAGGTAGAATGAATGTGCAGACGCGCGCAACAACGTGGCGCTGATCCAGGTGGGGGACAGGAAACTGTCTGTGAGGTGAAGGGGGTTGGAATAATGCGACCTCCCTCTAACCGACGCGCGATTAGAGGACCATGGCAACGACGACGGCACCAGCGACAGCCAGGCCGGCGGGGAGAGTGCGGAGGGCACCCGACGTGGAGGTGGACGACGAGGCGTTGGCAGCCGAGGCGGCGCCAGTGGTCGAGCCCTTGGTCGAACCCGACGATCCGGCCGACGAGCCAGCCGAAGCGCCAGAGGCCGAGGCGCCCGAGACGGAGGCGCCAGCGGACGTAACACTGTCGGTCGACGAGGCGACAGTTGCGCCAGAAGCACTGGTAAGGTCAGTTGTGCCGACGCTAGCCGACCCAGAGGCAACGGACGCTGCGGTTCCAGCCACGGTGGCGGCGCTGCCAGTCGAAGCCGAAGCACCCGACGAGGCGGCCGACGTGGCGACAGTGGTCGAGCCCATGGCGGCGATGGCCTCCGTAAGGTAGGTGATGGCGCCAGACTAAAGGTGTCAGTCAGCCAAGTGCCCAAACCAAAGTTGGAGGACATACCCAGTTGTCCATGTGGGCGGCCCAGACCATAACACCAGTCTCGGGGTACGAAATCTGCGACTTGGCCTGAGCGAGGCAGGTGCCGAGCTCGGTGCCGGTGACGACCTCGGCGGGGACGGCGGTAGCAAGGTCAGAAGAGTCCCAGAGCTGGCCGACGGTGATCTTGGACATGGGGATGGAGCACTCGTTCGAGATCTCCTGGAGCGAGAGGAACGCGGTGTTGGTCGACGACCACATGACGTGCTGTTCCCGTGTTAGTTGACGTTAGAGGAGGCTGTCCTGCCAGAGGCATCGCCACTGGCAAAGCCAACTCACCTCGCAAGTGTCCCAAGTGCCCGACTGGCCGTTGTAGAACTGGAAGTTGTACCAGTCAATGGTGCTGCCGACAGCACCGTTCAGCTGGCAGTAGACGGAGGAAGCGCTGCCAAAGACCGAGCCGTACATCCAAGCGGTAGGGGTCGACGAGATGGCGTAGGTGCCCGACGCGAGCTGGCTGCGGAGCTCGTTGTGGAACGAAGTGAGCCAGCTGAGGGCGTAGGTCTGGTTGTTCTCGAGAGGGGTGAAGTCTGACATGTCAGCTTGGTGTCATAACACTTTTCGCCAGCTCACCCTCCATGTCAATGTCGACACCGTCAAGGCTGTAGGTCTTGACGAACGTAGCGAGGTTCTGGGCAGTGGTGACGGGGTCCTTCTGGTTGGTGATCACGAGGTCTGGTGTTCGCGTTAGCAATGGGAAAGACCAATGTGAACGCAATCGACCCACCATCGTCGCCAAAGGCCGAGACCATGACAGCGATACCAGCGTTGTGGTAGTCGGTGAGGATAGCCGAGCGCTGGGTGTCGGTGAAACCAGACCACGAACCAGCCGACTGCGACAGTTAGCTCTCGGAACCAGGATCCCGATGGAAAGCGAAGGGGAGAGAGAGGCATGGTCTGAACATTGCACCACTGCAAGGCACCAAAGAAGAAGCATGCCAGTCCTCGTCCTCAGTGACAGGCGATACTCACTGCCTGGGCACCGTTAGTCTGCCAGAAGGCGAGAAGGACGCGGTTGTACGGCGTCACGGTGGAGGCGGCGGGCCAGCTCGAGTACGAGATGGTGTCTGCAACTCTGTCAGCTCATGTGCCCGTCTTTTCCATTTTCCAAGCTGCTGCTCCGGCTAGTATGCGGCGAGCAAGGACACGCACCATCAAGGTACAAGCTGTAGTGGGGAGCGCTGAAGCTGACGCCGCGCTTGTCGACGTTGGCATGCCTGGCGTGTCCGACGCGGCCAGAGTGGGAGCTGGCGGCGGCGGGGAGGGCGAAAGAAAGGAGGGTAACGAGCGTGGGGAGCAGAGTGGAGACGAGCATGGCTGCTGCGTTCTGTCGAGGGTTAGAGGAAGAAAGGACACGGACAAGAGAGAAAGAGAGAAAGAAAGAAGGTCGCGTTGTTTGAACGAGCAGGATCCTGCCAGCCTGGATGGTGATCGGCCCCGCCCGCACAAACGGAGCGTCTCGACCTTTCAGGGTGGACTCTCGATTTCTTTACTTAGCGATCAAAGTCTTGGGCGGTTTGGCTCAAAAAGGCTTTCAAAACGTCCAAAAGAGTGTCCAGCTGCCCTGTGCGCTCCTGGATGCGGGGGGCGCCACAGCAAACCACCACCCACAAATCACTCGCAACCCAACGCGCGCGCATGCATGCATGTGTGTCTGTCTTCTGCGTGTAGCAATATGTATACCCTGCTGTAGAATAACCGACAAAGCGCGCCTGCATGCCATCGCTAGATCGCGTGCGGGCCGCCGGTGCAATTCCGAGAGGTCGGAGGATGTGCCTCCGTGCCTCCGCCAGCTCACAGTCAACAACCTCACAGTCAACAACAAAGATAGCTCAGGCTCCACCGAATTGGCATGGCCCTCCAGCTTTAAACCTTACACCCCCACAGACATTCCTGTTGGCCTGTTGCCTACTTGACATTCAAACTCACGCGCACCACCAGTTTCAAGATCTTCTGAGTTACATATCTTCACTACGGTATGGTGTGTGATTGACTGTATGGCATTGTGCAACTAAATGTGGGGTTGGGGTTGAAAAGGGGCTGCTTCGAGGCAGTACAAAAGAAAACAAGGAAGTGTTCGCGTGGCCGCGCGTGGAGGTGTGTGTGTGTGTTTGTGTTTGTGTTGGGTGGGTGGGGGGTTTGTGGCTATGTTGTGTGGTCCTTCTCCGATGCAAGGAGGGCGAGCGAGCCGGCGCTCAGACAGGCTACTACTATCATACTCCTTTAATCCTTGGCGGCGCTGAGCTCGACGGCAAATGCAATGGCGAGCTTGGAGAACTCGCGCATGTGGGTAAACGAAAACTCGGGGTGGTCGATGGTGTCCTGGGACGAGTGAATGTTCTTGTTCGAGTCCTCAAACGTGCTCTCAATGGCAAAGGCCGACTGGTAGCCAGCCTTGGTGAACGAGGCGTGGTCCGAGCACGAGTAGCCACACTGGGTCTTGACGGGAGGGATGGCGAGGTACTCGGTCACGCAGGCCTCGACAAAGTCGGTGAGGGCCGGGTCAACATAGTCCTGGATGACACCGACACTCTCGACAGTGTCCTTCTTGACCCAGGCGGTCATGTCCATCTGGAGCATGGCACGGACCTTGACACCCTTCTCCTCGTAGGCCTTGGCAACGGCCTGCGATCCAAGGAGACCACCTTCCTCTGCCGAAAAGTAGTGGAACTCGACAGGGTTGGGAGGGGTGAAGTTGGCATGGACAAGAGCGCGGAATGCCTCGAGGGACGAAGTGGTTCCCGAGCCATCGTCATCGGCACCAGGGGCCGGGAGGAAAGGCCACATGTTGGTCGAGTCCTGGTGGGCACCGACAATGGTGACGGGGCCGTCCGCGACGCCGGGGAAGCGCGCAATGATCGAGTTCTGACCCCAAGAGTGCGTAAACTCGGTAAACTCGACGTTGGTGCCGACGGCAATCTCCTGGAGGGTCGCAAGGAGGAACCTCTGCGACTCGCGACCAGTGTCGGAACGGTAGTAGCGGGTACGGAAGCCCGAAAACTTGGTCAGGAAGGTCTTCATCTTCTCAACGCTCAGCGTCTTGGTGATGGCCTTGATCTGGTCGGCCTGCTTGCCAGGCTTGGGGTATTCTGGGTGGTCGTCAGCCATGTGATACAGGGTCCAACGGAAGGAAGTGCGCGGGCCGTGCGTTGCTCTGCGGGGAGAGGGCTGCACCACAAGCACTTATCGCAGCCCATCGTCTCGGGGGTCGCTGATACTCACTGTACTTGGTAGCAGAGGCGGGTGCGAGGAAGCTCGACACACCAAGAGTCCGGGTCTCAGTACTACGGTGCTCATCAGCATCCAAGTTGGGGATGGATTCGTCGGGTCAGACGACTCACATGTCCATGAACCGACGGCCGGCGGCCTTGGCCTCAATCTTCTCCAACTCGGTAATCCAGCTTCAAGAGTCAGTGACCATTCTCGGCCCAGCATCACTGGGTTGCTACTCACACAGGGGGATCGTTCTCGGCAAACTGGACGAGACGCAGCTCTTGGAGGTCGATATCAACCTCAAAGCCGCCAAGGGCGGCCGAAGCTGCGGAGCCCGAACCGGGGCGGCCGGCAAACACAGCCTGGCCGGCCCCGCCGTTGCCCTGCACCATGAATGGTGAGGTGGGGACGGCAGCTGCGAGGAGAGGGAGGGTAAGGAGCGTGGCGAAATGCATGGTGGATGGAGTGTGATGTGAAGTAGTAAGAAGGACGATGGATGTGAAGGAAGGTCAAGGTGGGAACCGGGAAGCGAGAACGGCCAGAACGGGTCTGATTGTGCGCGCGCCACCCGGAGACCAATGGCCCGAGTGCCCGCATGGGGCCAACCTTAACATCCAGGGATCGATGGCTGGCCCGACAGGCCATTTAATGAGTCAACGGTTGCACACTGTGGCATTCCAATGACGCACACATTGATCACTTCTGGCACATGCATCTACCCATACGAATCACTGCTGGCTACAGACAAACCATACTCACCTAGACCTTGGCCTTCTTCGCATCCTGCTTGTCAGCTACATGTGGCGCGAGCACCCAACAACTCACGGGAGCATCGCCGTTCTCTGCGGGCTTGATGCCAAACTTCTCTGCGCGTTTCCTCTTCTTCTCCTCCTCAGCGGCCAGCTCGGCGGCCTTTTCACTGCTTTGTCAGCTGACAGCCAAGATGGTTAAAGCTTACGGAGTGAGCTCCTCCTTCTTCTCTTCAACCTTGGCGGCGGCCACCACCTTCTCAACTGGGGCAGCAGGCGCCTTTTTCTCAGGCAGGCCAAACTTGGCCGCGCGGCGAGCAAGAATCTCGTCGCTCTCGCCAAGGGGTGCGGTGCGGTCGATGGCACTGGGCTTCTCCTTCTTGGCCTTGTCGGCAGGGGCAGCAGCGGGCGCGGCCGGGGTGGAAGCAACGGGGGCAGCAGCGGCCTTGGCTGGCTTGGCCTTGGGAGGGTTCCAAGGCATACCGAAGCGCTCGGCACGCGCCTTCTGTTTCTTTTGCTCCTCAGTGAGCTCGATCTCGACATCGGCCTCTGGTGCGGGCTCGGTAGGGTCGGCAGGCGCGGCGGCAGACTGAAGGTTAGTTAGCGGATCGCAAGCTTGGGTTGAGTCCGTTGACTGGCAGCTTACCTCAGTAGGGGCCGGCGCAGCGACAACAGGAGCAGCGACGGGAACACTTGCTGGAGCTTCTGCCACAGGTGCGGCACCAGGAGCAGCATCGACGACTGGGGCGGCCACAGGCGGCTCATCATCAGGGATGTCAACCTGGCATGTCAGTTCATGTCCCACGACCACGCTTTAACCCACAAGCTCGTCGTCGCCGGTGACACCGGCGTCCAGAAGACGCTTCACGAGGTCATCCTTCTTTCCGGTCTGGGGCAAACGGTGCTTGACGAGAAGGTCCTTGAGCTCGGTGACCTTGAGCTTTTGGCTGTGTGGCTCGTTAGTTTACGCCTTGTGCTTTTCACGACGCGTCAAAAGCGCGCGCCATCTGGCCTGGCACTAACAGCTTGGCTTCAGCCATTGTGGAGACGAGGTATGTGGTCGTTTGGGTTTGAGGCGACCTTTTGGAGCTGTAGCTTTACAGGACAAGCTACACTAGTGTGATGGAGTGGTGGATGATGGGAGTGTGGGCGATGGAGTGATGCAGCCTGCAGCAAGACAACACGTCTAGCGATGAACGCGGAACCGGGAACACAACAATAACGTGGCAGGCGTGCCAGTTGTAGGCGCGCCGCCACACTCCACTAGTATGTTTTCCCATTTTGCTTCCGCGCCGAGTTTGACAACCTCCCTCCAGCTCCTCTCCCCAATTATGACTCATTGTCCACACCCGTCGTTGTTTACAGTCTCTACGCGTGAAGGCCGAGGGACCCACAACAAACCAACCCATCCACCCCAGGCATCACCTCAGCCGCTCGTCGACAAAGGTCTGCAACGTCTTGCAGCTCAAGGGGACACCTCCCACTCCCTCGGACGACCCACCCAGCTGTAGGTTTTCGCCGCCCACCGTTGAAAACAAACACACCACTGATACCCGCTCCCCCACCAGTGTCATCCCACCACTTTCGCTGCATCCATGGACCCCACTCTGGACACGACGCTGTCACACGTTCTCGGTACGCTCTCTTATCCAACATGTACAAGACTGACAAACAGAGCCACTCGAGGATGCTGTGTCGGCCGTACCAGTGCCAGATGTGTCTGTGGCGCCCCTTGCCGACGTGATGGCACCACCGCCCGAGACACCAGTTGCACGACAACGCAAGGCGCGCAACAGCTCGACCCCAGGCTCCAATGCCGATTCACGACGCAGAGAAGCGAACCGCCTGGCAGCTGAGCGATCGCGTGGACGTCAGCAGGAGAAGATTGTCGCGCTTGAAATGGCTGTCCAGGCGCTCGGCGACGAGAACCTCCGCCTCAAGAACGAGGTGGCGCGCCTCGAGGGACGCGAGCGCGACGATGGAGGCTCACAGGCCGGCGCCGTTTCCAACACTATGGGAGTGGATCACGCCCTCACGGAAACGACCGTCGCGGCAGTCGAGGCTGCTGCTGCAGCGGCTGTGGCTGCCGCCGAACACACCCAGGCGCAACAGGACTCGCATTCCAGAAACATTCTCGCTGCCCTCCTTTCTGGAGCTGGCGGTACGGGAGGCATTGAAGATGCCCTGGGCGCTGGCCTCGATGGTGACGCCGACGGCGAGGCCGCCAACTGGATGCGCGGCGTCGAGAGCCTGTTCAAGGAGGCCGAGGCCAGTGGTCGTCTCGGCGAGCTCGCGGCTGTCGCGGCGGGCGAGGGAAGTGACGCTGCTCCTCACGACGCTGTTCTCGGTGATGTGCTAGAGGACAATCGCGCGCGTCAATCTTCCGTGGTGCCCATGCCATCCCTAGGCGCAACAACGTCGGCCATCGCTCTCGCTATCAACAATGAAACCGAAAAGCTCCTGCGCGACGACCTTGCCCAGACCAAGGCAGCCATTGCGCATGTCGAGCGCGAAATGCTTCGTCTTCGTGGACTGCCAGTGTACGACAACGCTACCGACGGCGACCAGCCGCTTTCATCCACCCTTCCCGAGGGCATCATTGGTGCTGATGATGCGACGGTTCGGGCGCGCGACGACGAGATGCAGGGCGAGATCACAAAACTCGAGTCCGAAGCCTCGGTTCTCCGCGAGGTGGTGTCGCGCATGCGCGATGCGCACACTGAAGAAAGCGACAAGGTCAAGGCGCTGGCTGAAGACCTCCGTGCCCTCGGCATGGACGGTGGCGAGCGTGAGCGAGACCAAGTCTCCATGGTCCTGAGAGCGCTCCGTGCGCAGATCACGACCCTCATGAGCGTACCAGGGGTAAGTTGAACGATGGCCAACAATATTAGGATGTGCTAACGTTGCTCAGGGCGACTTTACTGCCAACCCACTCGTGACTCCCTTCTCATCGCCCGCGACTGCCCGTCGCCGCCGCGGCCGTCCTCCCAAGCACGGCGGGCTTCCTGCCGTCAAGTATGTCTACTCCAATGTTTACCCGTCGCCCTCGACGCCGGGCGGAGACGGCTCCATGTTCTCCGAGACACCCACTGCTCGGCCAGTTCGCTCAACACGCAAGAGCGGTCTCGCGCATGAAATCCTTGCACAAGAAGCCGTTATCGAAGCCGGCCCCAGCACCGAGATCGATGTTGGGGCCAGCTCCCAGGCTGCCCACGCCCACGCCCACGACGACTACCTGTTGAGCCACCTGACCGAGGCCGCCGATGGCAGGGGCGATGGCCAAATCCCCCTCGACTCGTCGTCATTTGCCGCCTTCCTCCCCCAGTCTCCCACCGATGCCGCCCACGCGCACGAGCAGCTCGAGTCAACACTGGCGGCGGCCGCACAGGCAGAGGAAACTGTCGCGCAGGCAATCTCCGAGACGCCCAACATTCTCTCCCGCCTGAAGCGTGGTCCCCCTGGCAGCTGTGACATTTGCGGACGCACCCAGACCAGTGTCTGGCGCAAGCTTTCGCTCGGTGGCGAAGACCACAAAGTGTGCAACGGTGAGTTGAACATCGGCGAGGCCATGCAGCTAACATCCAGCGTGTGGGCTGTACCACACCAAGTTTGGCATCATCCGTCCGCCCGAGCTGTGGGGAGACGGCAAGAGCGTCAAGAAGCGCAAGGCGTCGGCGCGCACGTCAACCGCGGGCTACGACTCGCCCAACGGTGCCAAGCGCAAGCGCAAGTCTGCCAAGTTTGGCAACCCGTACGACGAGCACGAGCTTGCGGCGGCCGCTGGTGGTATGGTGGATGGCGGTGACATGGGTGCAGTCGTACCCGGTGCAGAGGCCTCCGACCCGCAGAGCCTGGGAGATGTGGGCCGTGCGGTGGAGAACATGTTCGCGTCAGTCGTGTGAGCATTAGTAGTAGTGGAGCATGTTGATGTAAATGTGTAGCCACGCCTGGTATGTGGCACGATGGGTGAGCGCGTGTGTGGCACATGACTAGTCAGGCGTGACCATGCGACCCATGAGTTTACCAGTAGGTGACGACCTGCTCTGACTGGGTGGCAAGGAGTCGCTTGAGAGCATCACACGGTCATGTGCAGGTCGTTTGGTAAAAGGCAAGTAAAGAGAAAAATGACCAACTAGACTCGGCGTCACCCGATCCGTCATATCGCCAGATAGCGATCGCGGCATGACCGGCAACGGCGGTCCCGTTCAAGGTCGCCGCCGTGTATTCGCACCATGCGAACCATGGTGAGCAATGCATACGGAACAGACCGGACACGCCGCGGAGTGGGGGGGAATGGAAGGAAGACGACACGCGAATCCGTATCAGTCGTATCCGTGGTCCCGTACTTTTCTTTTAGCGTGTGTCCATCCGGAACTGCGAGCCGACGCGGTGGGCCGGGGAGATGATATCCCGGGTGGAGGTCGGGACTTGGTGCATGAGCGCGTCCAGCTGGCATGTACTGTATGAGTCATGGCCTGACAATCTCGCCTGCGATGGCGTACTGTGCGTTGTGCGCTGCCGGCCTGACGCGGCTGGCCGCCACCGACCGGCTGCACCCGCCTCGTAGAGTAGAAAGCCGCAGAAGGTGCTGTATGGAACTGGGCCAGGCCACAACAGCGTGGCGAGCGTGCGAGCGTGTACATGCACAGTACTGTACAGTACGCGCGCGTGCTGGTGTTTCCCGGTCTGTCCCGAGAGCTGCCTGTTTAACATGTTCCTCATTTCGATAATTCGATGGTTTGCCCTGCTATCCGGGCATTTCGAGTAATGAAACGGCGATTTTCGAATAATCTTGAACGATGAATTTCGAACGGCAAAGTGAGCGCCGTCGCAAGCCGTATACCACCGGGAAGACTGTGGGCCGCGACGCCGCCAGAGCCAGGGTGTGCAGGGTGTGGGTGCAGGCGCTGATACCGTGATCTGACCTCTTGATGGCTGGTGACTGGGCAGCAGAGCAGAGGGGGACACAGGGGATGAGCACACAGTAGTCACCGGGGGGACCATTACCTGGTATCGAATCCCCCGGTCATGACATGCGGGCGCCCAGCACTCGGCAGCAAGTACGCGACGCAGACAATGTATTTTCGAAGAGCTGTGTATGGAGCGACAATACGCGGCACGCCGGCCAGAGCCCGACGGCGTGTCATGAGAGAAACGAGCCCTGGTTGCGAGCAGCGTGTAGAAGGAGGCAGCAGCTGTGTGCAAGCTCTTGCCACACTTCCTGGCATACTGTGCTCACTGCACGCAATCAGTAGCAAGGGAGAGTGTGCTTTGCATGAGTGTGCACCGCTGGTAGGGACACGATCGCAGAGGGTGGCAAACGGAGCTCCACATGATGTGCCATGGAGGTCGCACTGTCCTGGCTGCGGGGTGGGCTGGCGACGGCTGGCAGAGGGCTGTGGGGAGGGCTGTGGCACTGTACGTACGGTGGGCGCGGCGATATCGGGGGACGACTCCGACGCGTTGGCAATGACAAGACGACGCTCCGAAGAAATCCGACGACTGTACAGTGGCATTTGGCCGGTCAGCTGGCCCCGGGGCTCCTCGTGCCGTGTTGAATGGCGGTGGACGCGGCTGGTCGATCCTTTTTGCCGTCTCGCATGTGCACGATGGCGTCTAAAGCGGCGTCTCTCGCATCGCCATGGGTACATGGGAGCCCGTCGAGCCGCGTCCTGAGGGCCTGAATGTCTCCATGGAGGGCCGGATCTCCACCAGCACGCATCCCGGGCAATCTCGGAAACACACGGGGGGGTCGTGTGCGGGTGTCGATACCGACAGACCTGGTTACATATAAGGACAGCAGCACCACCACCTATGCATTGAACATCACCCCCCAACACCTCTCTCCCACCTCCTTCCACAGTTCTCCAGTCCTCCCCCGACCACTCCGACTGCCACCGAGCTAGGTAAGTACGAGCTCGACGATCATGACTGCCACCGGCGGGGAAAAGGTTATTGCCACACACACACACATAATACACCGGAGGCCGGCAATCTTGCAGCCGGCCGGCAACAGCGCTTGGCACCGAGAGGAGCATTTGGATATTGCAGATCGTGTGTCTCCAAGTTCCAATTGTCACCTGCTGTGTGTGTGCGTGGTGGGCGCGGGCACAACCTCGTGCCGTACCGCATGCCAGCCGCTTTCAGTCTATTGCAGACACCAGGTGCACGCCTTCTCGGGTCTGGACGGGCAGGCGGCCTTGTCCCCCCCACAGCGCGGGACAGACGGGCCAGAGCGCACCCATGTCCCAGGCCGAGAACAGTGGTCACGGGCTCTCCGCGTCACTCGTCTCAAGCGCGGCATTCTCGCGCTCCATGACGCTCTCAAATAGCCCCCCCCGCTCTCCCCCGTGCTCTTATAACAGCCCCCACCCACTCTCTCTTCCAGTTCATCCGCTCACCTCTCCCTCTCAGCATTCACACTCCTCCCCACTGCATCTGTCCCACCCACTAGAACCCCCCACCGCATCTTCCACCATGGCTCCCACTGCCCACCACGAGGCCGACAACCAGTTCCTTGGCAAGTCGCTCAAGTACTTCTCGCAGGCCGGCTTCGACCTGGACCGTATCCACATCAAGGTGAGTAGTCTGCACGGGCACCTGCCCATCCCCCAGTCCGGGGCCGCGCACTTGGTGGCTGTCGGTGGCTTGGAACCTGGAGTGGCTGCGAGCTTGCTCTGTGTCCTGCGATTATTTTGTCGCTGGCGCAGTCTGCTCGCACGACACCCAGGCCGTGGTCGACAACCCGACTCTCACAGACCACCACCGAGTGCGAAGTGCTCCGGTGCTCCGGCCGGAGAGGGGCGCAACTTGCTGCGAGACACAAATCTCTCGAGTTCTCAGCTGACCACTGTTCCCAGCGCAATGCTCCCATTGCCTCCCTCTACGAGGACGCCATCTCCAACGAGGGCGCCGTCATCTCGTCGTCGGGTGCTCTGATCAACTTCTCGGGTAAGAAGACTGGTCGCTCGCCCAAGGACAAGCGTATTGTCTACGAGGACTCGTCCAAGGACGACATCTGGTGGGGCCCCGTCAACATCAAGATGGACGAGCACACCTTCGAGATCAACCGCGAGCGTGCCATCGACTACCTCAACACCCGCGAGAACGTCTACGTCTTTGACGGCTTTGCCGGCTGGGACCCCAAGTACCGCATCAAGGTCCGCGTCATCGCCTCGCGCGCCTACCACGCTCTCTTCATGCACAACATGCTCATCCGTCCCACCGCCGAGGAGCTTGCCAACTTTGGCGAGCCCGACTTTATCATCTACAACGCTGGCCAGTTCCCTGCCAACCGTTTCACCACTGGCATGACCTCGACCACCTCGGTTGAGATCAACTTCAAGCGCATGGAGATGGTCATCCTGGGTACCGAGTACGCCGGCGAGATGAAGAAGGGTATCTTCTCGGTCATGCACTACCTCCAGCCCGTCAAGTTTGGCCAGCTCTCGCTCCACTCGTCGGCCAACCAGGCCAAGTCTGCCGACGGCGAGTCGGGTGACGTTACCCTCTTCTTCGGTCTCTCGGGTACCGGCAAGACCACCCTCTCGGCCGACCCCAACCGTCTCCTGATCGGTGACGACGAGCACGTCTGGTCGGACACTGGTGTCTTCAACATTGAGGGCGGTTGCTACGCCAAGTGCATCAACCTCTCGGCTGAGAAGGAGCCCGAGATCTTCGGCGCTATCCGCTTCGGCTCGATCCTCGAGAACGTCGTCTACAACCCCGCCGACCGCGTTCCCGACTACGACGATGTCTCGATCACCGAGAACACTCGCTGCGCCTACCCCATCGACTACATCCCCAACGCCAAGATCCCCTGCATCGCATCGGTCCAGCCCTCGAACATCATCATGCTCTGCTGCGACGCTTTCGGTGTCCTCCCGCCCGTCTCGCGCCTCACCTCGGAGCAGGCTCAGTACCACTTCATTGCCGGTTACACCTCCAAGACCCCCGGTACCGAGGACGGCATTGTCGAGCCCTCGCCCACCTTCTCGACCTGCTACGGTCAGCCCTTCATTGTCCTCCACCCCGGCCGCTACGCCAAGATGCTCGCCGAGCGCATGGACAAGAACAAGGTCAACTGCTGGCTCATCAACACCGGCTGGACCGGCGGCAAGTTCGGTACCGGCCGCCGCTGCCCCCTCAAGTACACCCGTGCCATTGTCGACGCCATCCACGATGGCTCGCTCGCCAAGGCCGAGTACACCAACTTCCCCATCTTCAACCTTGCCATCCCCAAGGCCCTCGCCGGTGTCCCCTCCGAGATCCTCGACCCTGCCCAGGCCTGGGCCGACAAGGCCGGCTTCCAGGCTGAGATTGAGAAGCTCGGTGGCATGTTCCAGAAGGCGTTCACCAAGTACGAGTCGGACGTTGGACCCGAGATCAAGGCCGCCGGCCCCCTCCTCTAAAATGTGCAAGGACAGTAGTAGCAGCATTGTATTGTATTGTTGACATGATATCATTGCCTGGAAGGTTTCACACAAAATTACTCTGGTGCACTTGGCAGCACAGCAGCACATGGTACTGATTATTGTTCTTCCTCTCTTCGACTTTTGGCGAGCCCCGGATACGATTTACCGTGCTACCGGGTTCGGACGCCCTCGCCGTCGATAACAATCCTTCTATGGTAATCCACTACAAGCATGACATAACACAATGTCCGTTTGCTGCCACCATGTGTTAATGTCTCCCGAAGCATCGTGCACCTCGATCCCGGAACCATCCGCTGCGGCGCCATTAGGACTGGAGGGGGTTTTGGGTTGTCATTGTCGATCCCCCGCCCTGCGCCACACCGGCCGCCACAGCGTGGGTGGAACACGGAAAGGGTCGCCGAACAGTGTACAGTAGTGTGGGGTTGTCCTGTTGGTCCCCGGTTGCACATGCTCCATGCGTGTTCTTTGGTGCTGGTTATCTCCTCACCGGAGAACACAAGGTGCCAGATGATGCCAGACGGCCACGGCCACGAGCCTGCCACCAACGCATACTAACGCCGTTTCGCGACGATTCCACGAGCAGATGACCGACGGCGTTGGTTGACGACAGTCGCCTGAATCTCGCCTGCTTGAGCGCGGAGCAGGAATGGCCAGGCCAGTTGTTGCTCTTGCATTTATGATTCTGCCTACGTCAACGTCATGTCCCAAGAACGTGCCAAGGCAAACACATCCGTCAGCGTCTAGACATTGGCATTTCGCTGATTGTGTTCGACGACAACGGCCACCGGCCACCGGGCTCAGACACCATATCGGATCCGAAGCTATATCAGATATAAGCACGGCTTGGCCTGGACGATACCGCCCATTCCGAAAGACAATAACATTCCCACAACACAATCTCACACACCATGACGACTGCCACCGACACCGTCATGAACCCCCTCATTACGGGTCTCGCCACCAAGCATGTCGTCGTGTTTGGCGGTACTGGCCAGCAAGGCTCGGCCTTTGTCCGTGCGCTGGGTGCATACAACACCGACCCAGCGGCGCCACACTACACCATCCACGTGTTGACGCGCTCCAAGGGCCCCGTCAACGTATCGTCTGTCCCGGGCGTCAAGGCCGTGTACTGCGAAAACTACATGGACGTCCCGCTCATGGCGTTCGAGGCGACGGGTGTCCTCATGGGCCAGATCCACGGCGTCTTTGACGTGCAGGGCTATGTCTCTGAGAAGGAGGACGAGGAGCAGGGTACGTGTCTATGGGGGTGGTTCTGTTCTGTTCTGTTTTGTTTCTGACGGGCCGCGAAGGCAAGAGGATCGTGGACGCCGCAGCCGAGTGGGGCGTCAAGCACTTCATCTACGCGTCAGTCTCGCACGACGAGACGGTCACGCTGGGCCATGACGGCCTCGACACGAAGCGCGCTGTCGAGCGCCACCTCAAAGCCAACGACGCCGGCATGAAATGGACCATGCTCGCAGACACAGACTTTATGGACAACTGGCTGCCCGACCAGCGCTTCACGCTCAAAGCGTACCGCACCATTCTGCTGCGCAAGACGTTTCACAAGCGGCCCGACGCCAAGCTCGCCATGATCTCCACGCGCGACATCGGGCGTGCTGGCGCCAAGGCGCTGCACGAGCCCGAGACGTATGCCAATACATCAATCTACCTCGCTGGCGACGCACTGAGCATGTCCGAGGTCGTCGAGATCTACAAGGACGTCATGGGCGGACCTCCAACCGAGACCTGGGGTCTCGTGGCGACCATTGGCCTGTGGTCGGACCCGCACGCCAACAAGCTCACAAAGGTGCGTGGTCGTTGGCATGTATGATGTTGTTACTGACCTCCAGTTTTATGACGCGAAAGGTTACGATATCAACCTGGAGGCCACCAAGAAGGTCCTCCCAGACGTGGAGGACTTCAGGGCTTTCCTTGAACGCTTCAAGCGCGAGCATGCCAATAAGGCGTAGTGGAGCGGACGGGCAATGGTGGAGACTGGTCGAATTGTATTAGCACTGTAATGTCATGGAGCCTCAACCGGGTCTGTTCCCCTGCTTTGCGGTGTGTACGAGGCTCGAGACAGCACGGCCAGAGCGTCAACTGACAGGTGACCATTGTCGTCTGACGGATGTAATGAAAGCTCGTGCCGTGCTAGCGTGCACTTTTGACTGCCACTCCAAATATCACGTCCAATGCATACACCGCCGATGCCGCAAACCAGTATCAGATATCTACGTCGTCCCCTCCGTGTCTTTTTAAAAGGTAAGAAGTAGTAGCTTACATGCCGTTGGCGTCCGGCTTCAACGATGACCTGCCGGCGCGGAGGATCTCGTCGGTGCCGAGGAGGTTGACGGCAATGACCGAGCAAGAGTGGAGCATCTGCCTCTTGACGCGGTAGTTGTCCCAGACACCCTCGGTGATGGGGTTCATGGGCTCGCCGGAACGCAGGTCGAGGCCGACGGGGTCGTCGGTCTCCTCGGCCTCCTGCTGCAGGCCGACAATGGCGTCCTGCACGTCAAAGCCGCCGTTGGCCGCCAGAGTCTTCGGGATGATGAGGAGCGCCTCGGCGAACGCCAGCACACCGAGCTTCACGCGGCCCTTGGCAGTGGCCTTGAGCGCGGTCTGCAGGTGCTGCGAGCAGGCAATCTCAAAGGCGCCAGCACCGGGAATAACACACTTGTCCTCAATAGCGTTCTTGACTGCGCGGAAGCCGTCACGGAGCGCGTCCTGGATCTGAGCCATGGTGTGGGCGTTGGGGCCTGTATATGTTGTCAGCCACATGTGACGTGGGGTGCAGCTCGAAACAAAACCGCAAGCAGCTGCACTGCCAACACTCACCCTTGATGAGCATGGTGACACTCTTGGGCTCCTTGACGTCCTCAACAAAGGTGTACTTCTCCTCGCCGAGAGTGTGCTCGTACACAAGACCGGCCCAACCGAGAACGTCCGGGGTGAGGTCGTCGACCGAGTTCTGCGCAACACCGCCGCACGCCAGCTGCAAGCGCTCCATGTTTCTCCTCTTGGCACGACGAAGGGCGAGGATGCCGTTCTTGGCAAGGACGTCGAGCGACATGGGGTCGATACCCTTCTGGTTGATAATGACAAAGCCCTTGGGCTTCTCGTCCGAGCCGAGGGCAACGTCGCAAACGGCATTCTTCAGCTCCACAATCTTCTTGAGCTTCTCGTCCAGAAACCTGCGCTCCGACTCGACGAGCTTTTCACGCTGGTCAGCCGACGAGTAGAAGAAGCCAGAGTTGACCTCGGTCTTCTCGTACTCGAGCGAGACGTTCAGGGTAAGGACGTAGGCGTTCTCGACACGCTTGGGCATGTCGGGGTGGCGGGCACCGTGGTCCATGACGAGACCCTTGACGAGCTGGGTGTCGGTGTCGGTGCGGTGCTGCATCTTCATAATCTCGATCATGTGCAGGTCAATGGGCTCGCGGTAGGCGGCGGCGCCAGTGGCATCCGCGGCGGGCACGGGGGGCTGGATGGCAAGGACGGCGTCGACACAGTCAGCGGCGAGCTTCTGGGCAAGCTTGGCGTGGAGCTTGGTCGAGAGCGAAGTAAGGCCGACCTGGATGAGGTTGGCACGGTCAAGGACGGGAGTCTGCTTGAATGAGTCGAGGAACGAAAGAGCCTCCTTCTTGGCAAGGTCAAAGCCCTCGCCAATGACGCGAGGGTGGACGCCCTCGGAGATGTAGCGGTCGGCCTGCTTGAGAAGCTCGCCGACAAGGAGGACAACCGAGGTGGTGCCGTCACCGACCTGCTCGTCCTGGGCGACAGCAGTCCGGGCAATCATGGCGGCGGTAGGGTTCTGAAATGTCAGCTACATCCGTCATCGAGACTGGAGTGGATCACAACTCACCTGGATCTGCATCTCCGAGAGGAGGACCTTGCCGTCCTGCACTGTCAGCTAAACACCCATCCCACTGACGCACCTTGGTCATCTTGATCTGGCCCGAACCGTCGACAAGCATCTTAATGGTACCGCGAGGGCCTGGACGTCAGTTTCCACTGCCCTCAGTGGGAGGCGGACAACTCACCGAGGTTGCTCTTGACGACACCGGCAAGACCGACAGCACCAGCCTGCCTGTTAGTACTATCCCTCACAAGTCCAAAGTCGCTACACGCCAAGGGACACGTACAGTGTTGACCTGGAGGGCCTGGGTGCGGCGAACGCTCTCGGCGCGCGGGTTGATGAGCTCGAGGGAGGACATTTTGGATTTGTCGCTCGCTGGCGGAAGGTGTGATGGGTTGATAAGAGCTGTGTGTGCTTCCTTGTCTAGCTAAGTGGTCGAGGCTGCGAGAGGAGAGCTGTGGGAGATGTGGAGAATGACCGCTGGAATGTTGCAGAAGGTGTCTCCCTCGCGCGCACTTTGCTCATCGTCAACGCGTGGATGGGCGCGCAAGTGCCCGGAATCAAATTCGTGTATATTTGGTCCCGCCCTGGTCTGACGGATGGTGGAGGCAAGGTCCACTCCTCCCAATGTCATTCTGAACAACCAACAACGACCACTATCACCAGCAATGGCGTCCCTCAACAGCGTCGTCAACAAGCTGGTAAGGGCCGCCGCATCGGTTCCCGAAAACATCTCCGACGCCGACCTCGACGCACACGTTGCCCGCGTCCTCGCAGCCGAGGCAAAGGCCAACGACGTCAAGTGGCAAGAACTTGGTCTCGGTGCGTACCTCGGCTCGGGAGGCTCTAGTAGTCGTGACTCGTGAGTATCTGTACCTGCCTACCTCTTTCTGTAAAGATTACTGTACGCAGTTGACTAATTTTAAGGCCTGACCCGGACAAGCCCAAACCCAACAAACGCTTTCTCGCCAGCGTCATTCGAAATGTTGACGGACACAACCAGGCCCTGTTAGCCCAACAGGCTCAGGATGCCCGCGACGCTCGTTCGGTGCGTACTGGCCCAGCAAGGGACTCGACACGCGGCGAAAGGTCGCGCGGAGCAGGCGGGTCTAGCGGTGCAAGCCGCCTGTTTGGGGGTGCGCTCGCGAGTATGGGCCGTGACTCTGGGCGACGCAGCGATAAGGCCAAGGAGCGTGAGCGCGACCGGGATCGAGACCGCGAACACGTTGGCAAGGAGAGGTCAAAGTACGATGACCGCCGCCAAGACGAGAGGCGAGAGAGTATGCGGCCACATGACCGTGATCTTTCCCCTTCTCGTCCTCGCGAGCGCTCTCCTGCTCGTGATAGCCGGCGCGACCAAGACCGTGAACGGAGGCGCAGAGACGACTCGGATGATCACCGACGGAGGCGGCGCGCCTCGGACTCCGAGGACGACAGATATGACAAGCGCCGATCACGCCGATACGATTCCGACGACGACCGAGACAAGCGCCGCTCATCGAAGCGGTACGACTCGGACGACGAGAGACGAGAGAGCCGGCGTGAGCGAGACGAGACCCGTAACGGCAAGGACAAGGGCAGGAGGCGGCAAGATCACGACGACGACGACGATGCCGACCGACGACGCCGAAGGCGAGACAAAGAACGTCCCAGCCGCCGCCGTTCTCCGACACCACCACCTCCTCCACCTGGAAGGCCACCGTCCCCACCTCGCGAGCCCCAAGCTCCATCAATCTCGCGAATGGACAAGTACTTCCAGTCCGACTATGACCCGCGTATGGACGTTGGTGCCGTCCCCAAGGAAGGACCTGTGGTCGACGTGGGATGGGACAACATGCTGGCCGTGCTCAAGGAGCGCGGTAAGAAGGTGAGCTGCGACACTGTGCTTGGAAGCTGACAGTCAAGCGTCGCCGCCAATCGCCTGGACTTTCGCTCTCTCCCGAACCCGAGAAGAGGTTCCGCGACGAAGGCAGAAACAAGGAGAAGAGCTACGCCGAGCAGCTGAAGAGCATTTTGACGGAAGCCGAGAAGACCGTCATGGACATGGAGTATACGCGCAAGGGTGGCGTCCGCGAGTGGGACGTTGGCAAGTGATATAGTAGTGTATTCATACATGCACCCTCCTGCAGTACCAAGCCGCACGGAGCCTACGTCTACCAGAGACCAGACGCGAGGTTCTTGACACCCGTGCGGGCGTATGGGATGTACGAGAGCGAGTACCACGCCATACTGCGGTTGGTAGTCAGCCACAATCACAACAGCAACAACAACAACAACAATCCGCAGCCACACAGCTGTGGTGGGAGGACTCACGCGAGGTACTGAATAATGACGAAGATGATGCACAGGACTGCAGGCAGGACGAACGCGGAGACGAACGTAAGGACAATAGCCGCGAACATGATAATTGTGGCAACAAGTCGCACAGGCTTCCACATCATCTTCCATTGTGTGGCAAAACCGCTGGGTCATGTCAGCATTGCCGGAGGAACTCAAGTGTGATGAGAGACGAGCCCAAGTGAACCTTTGGAGAGCGGCCAGGGCGCCTCATGCCCGAATACTAGGTATTCTGGGCCATCGGACTGTCCAGCGGCGTTGCCAAGTAATGGGCCGACGGCAGACCGAAGGGGCCTGTGCTTCCACCCTGTGTACCACACCACACCACCGTCGTTGTTGCGGCCCACATTGCGGACAACTAGACCGGCGCGCTGGAACACCACAGGCGATGCGTTGACAGCGGCGGTGGTGTTTGCTGGAACTCTCCGCAGTGGGGAGCACAGCATGCCAACAATTGGATCTGCGATCGTGGCTCCGCAATTCCCGGCCACAGAGGCTGAGACAACAACGGGAAAGGGCAGTGGGAAGAGAACGTACACGAGGAAACCAGTACCGACGAGGGAAACGATGGCGCCCAGCGCAAAGAGAACTGCCCCGTTAGCTCATTGCACACCATTGCGTCGAGCGCCCGTGCTGCGCGTCATGCTTGACGAGATACTCACTTGCCAGTGCGCCTCCTTGTCCGAGCAAGAACAAGATGGCTCCAAGGAGCGAGATAGCAAATCCGCCGACGAAGCCTGTCGCCAGTGTCAGCTTTCTCGAAGTCAGGCAATGGCCTGCGGGTGCAGAGACGTACATGCGCCAAAGCCCATCAGGCGCTGCATCTTGGTGAGTTCGAGGCTCGGCCAAGCCGACTTCTCCTGATCCTGTCAGTTTCCAGAGCTGTAGCGAGAGCACTCACGCCTCCGAACATGACATCCTCGGGAGTCGCATCGAGATCTGGTGTCAGCTATAAGCACAGGCAGTTCCAACTCACTAAGCCAGCCTGGGGGCATGTTGACGAGAATGAGTGAATGTAAGGAACGCAAGCAACGCAACCTCGTCGCGACACATATATCATGGCCTTGGCACTGAAACACGCGCCAATCTTGGGTGGTGGTCACGTGACATCCTTAAATCCAGGTCTAGTCACCCGCGCTCCGAGCCACGACACAGCCCGCTTGCACGGTCCCCCCATTTACCATTTGATCCCGCTTCCCGTCCACACACCTTTTTGCCACCCATTCTCACTCCTCTTCACTCGCCTTCCTCCATCGCCCCATCCCCATCGCCATCATGACGATGGTCAGCGCTCCCCCGCCGGCCATCGCGGCAAACTCGGCGCCTTCCCTTACAAAGGGTAGGCAGTCGGCTTTACCACCTCTCGGCGCCATGCCGTCCTCGCACGACATGGGCCGCTTTGTCAGCGCGACACCCTCGGACGTGTCCGTCCCACCCCTCGCGCCGGCGCTCGACATGTCGCTGCTCCCAACGACCCTGGCTGCAGTTAACCACCTGTGCGCCGCCCGTGTCCGCCTCCTCGCGACTATGCCTACTGTAGGCATGGCTTGGAGCTTGTGGTGCGGCCGCTGCGGAGCGTTGCGCGAGGGCTTTGGCGGTGCTTGTGCCTACAAGTTGCGTGACAAGAGTGGCAGTGCGACACCCTCCTCCACGACTACTTCGCGCAAGCGCAGTATCAACGGCGAGCTCAAGAACTTGTCGATGGACGCGGACCTTGACGCAGAGGGCGAGGATGCGTCTCCCGCCGACGAGCTCGAGCGCGAGTTACACCGCACTTTGGCCGCCATGGCAAACGGCTGCAACACCCCGCCTGCGATGCCCCCTCAGCGTCGCCGCAAGTCGCCACGCTGCACCGCGTGTGGTTCAAAGTTCCGTCGTCCCCAGCCCCAGCCTGCGCGTTTCCCACCCGCTCGCTCTGTCGCGCGTACCAGGAGGCAGTCCTCTCTGGCGGCCGAGGTCAAGAACGAAGAACCCGAGGCGACCTCGACGACTCCTGCTTCGAGCGCAGCTCCGTCGTCCAACGGTAGCCCGGCCGGGTCCCCCGTGGCCTCCCCGGGTCCCAACGCGTTGTCGCGCACGCCGTCGTTGCAGCACATTCCCACATCGCACCCCTCGACGCCGACATACCCGAACCCCCCAGTTGTACCTCCCCCGACATCTGGCGGTACCGCCCCGCCCGTCTCGATCCCTCCTGGCGGCGGAGCACCCCCGGCCAAGAAGCGCAAGACCAAAAAATCGGGCCTCGCAAAGCTCCTCGCACAGAACGCGCAGCGCGCGGCGGAGAAGAACGGCAGCGGGATGTGGGGCCTCGGGTAGGCTCTCTCATTTCTCGTTTTCACCACGGCCACGTTCTCCGTCAAAGCGAGCCGTGGCCCTCTCTCCGTCGTCTCTGCCTTTCGCCACGCTGGCTCTCAGCGCGATTGACCTTTGACCGCTTCAAGCCCGACCGATTGCAACCAATCGCGAAACGAACCGTCTCCCGTCGCCAGTGGCACCAGCGCGCCTGCGCTCGGCGCCCTGTACCACCATGTTGTAGCTTTACCACCCTCCCTCCCCCTCACATGCTCACCCTCCTTCGTTCTCTGGTCTGTGCTGGCTGTATAATTCGCGCCAATGTGTCACCTCATACTGGATTTGAGCGTGACCGACTCGTATGGCCTCGTATGTCATGTTCACGTGCCTGTGTATCGAGATACCAGGGTACCTTTCCTCGCAGTCTTCCTTATGAAGACTTGTTGGGTAGGAGATCCACCTTCGTGCATGTTTCTAGGGCCGTGATAAGTGCTACTGTTGCAAAAACGAGCAGCTAGAGTGCGACTTGACAAACCGACGCGACTGGACTGGAAGGCGAGCTGTCATCGGCTATATCCGCGTATCATCGTCATGGCTCAGGAGAACCAAATGCCACATGATCCGGCCAGAAAAGAACACACGCCTCTCTCCATTGTCCACTCACCCTCATTCACCACCATGGCACCGGTACTCACAGCCGAGCAGCTCCAGCAATGGGAGGACGACGGGTATGTCCAGAACATCATGACGCGAGTGACTCGGCGCTGATACAGACTCGTACCTCCATCCATACCTATCCCGCCTCGCCCTCGTTGGCCGTCCATGGACACCTCCACCCTCACTGATATCGCTGTTCACACCTTTCAGATACCTCGTCCTTGAGGGTTTCTTCTCCCCCGCGGAGACCACCGAGATGCTCGACCGCGTCCACAAGCTCCTCAATGAGTTTGACCTCGAGGGGCATCCGCTCACAACGTTCCGTACTGATGAGGACAAGGAGGGTCATATCGGCGATGAGTATTTCCTCGGCTCGGGCGATAAGGTGAGTGCGCCGAGCGCGTTCGCTGGTGGGTGGGGGTAGGAGGGGCAATGGAGGAGCGGGCGGAAGAGAGTTCAGTACGGTTGCTGGGCCGAGGCTACCTGAAAGCCAGCGACGCTCACTCAAACTTCCCCACTTGGCCACATGTCCTCCTCCCCTTCCAAGCCCTACGCACTGAGGTGGACTGTCCTCACTCACACCGTCAGATCCGATACTTTCTCGAACCCTCGGCCGTCTCGCGCGCAACTCCCACAACTCCCGCCTCTCTCGTGGTCCCGCGCGAACGCTCCGTCAACAAGATAGGTCACGCCCTCGCTGTGCTCGATCCCGTGTTCCACAAATACACGTTTGAGGACCCCCGGATCAAGCAGGTGGCTCAAGACATGGGCAAGAAGGATCCAAGGGTGTTGCAAAGTATGGTTATTTGCAAGCAGCCAAAGATTGGCGGTTCTGGTGGGTTGCAGCGGTTTGAAGAGGAGGCGCCTAGGTGACGTGATTTGCGATACTCACCTAGCCCAGTGCCGTGTCATAACGACTCGACGTTCCTTTACACGGACCCACCTACTGCTGTGGGATGTTGGATTGCGCTTGAGGCGTGCACGCCTGAGAATGGGTGTCTGGTGAGTGGATGGCTAGGAATATCGTCTCGTAACCAAGAAACTCGCTCACACACCCGCAGTCGTTCCTCCCGGGCTCGCACAAGAAGGTCCGTATCAGCTCGCGCTTCGTCCGCGCCTCTGCAGGGGGCACGACATTCGAGACCGTTCCCGGCGTCGAGCCGAACGAAGAGAAATGGGACGAGCTGGACGGGTGGAAAGAGGCGCCGGTTGGTCCTGGAGCGCTCGTCCTGATTCACGGTGAGTTGTTCCCGGTGTCTTCTTGCGCTCAACTGACGTTCCGTTTGCAGGCAGCGTCATGCACCGTTCTCCGCCAAACCCGTCAACCAAGACGCGAATGATTTACACTTTCCACATGATTGAGGGCGGGGCAGAGTATGATGCCAAGAACTGGCTGCAGCCCACGTCCGAGATGCCCTTCCAGCGTCTTTACGCTTGAGCCAATCCCCCTCCTGTACACGCATTTCCTTCACTACCTAGGATGCATTCGCTCTATCCCTGCTACAATTACCTTCTTTACCGCCCATCTACAGAATCTCGACCTTTGCGCGCTTGACGAGGTCCGCGGCAGGCATGTTTGCCAGCTCGTCAATGAGCGCAGCCCTAAAGGTGCCAGGACCACGGACGTCGTCGCGCTCAGCAGCACGCTCGGCGGCGCAGTTGAACACGAGCACGCCGGCAAGTGCGCCCAGCAGCATGTCGCCCTGCACGAGCTGCGAGTCGTTCTCAAAGACACTGCCCTTGCCGCCGGCAAGGTGGTGCAAGCGAGCAGCAGCACAGAACGAGGCCACAAGCGTTCCGGTCATGCAGCCCGAACCTGTAATCTTGCCCAGCAGCGCATGGCCGTTGGACGTACGCAGGACGACGTCGCCGTCGGACAGGTAGTCTTCCTCTCCGGTCAGGACGACAATGGCGGCACGCTTGCGTGCCAAGGTGCGCACGACGTTGGCCGGGTCGGCAAAGCCCTTGCCGACACTGTCGACGCCGCGGGACTCGACCTCGGTGAGCTGCGCAAGGGCGCCAATCTCAGCGGCGTTGCCCTTGATGACGGTCGGTTGCCAGTGCGCGAGCAGCTCTGTATCATTGTCAGATTACCCATCACGCAAACATCCATCTGACCCACCCTTCGAAGTCTCCCTCCTGAAGGAAGTAGCACCAACAGCCACGGGGTCGTACACGAGCGGCTTGCGGTTGACGTTGGCCTGGCGGCCGGCGACGAGCATGCCCTCCTTGTCTGTGATGGTACCAAAGTTGACGAGGAGCGCGCCAATCGCAGGGGACAGATCGGCGACGTCGCGAGGGTTGGTGGCCATGATGGGGGAAGCACCAATGGCCAGGGTGGCATTGGCACTGTCGTTGATGACAACGTTGTTGGTGATCTGTAAAAGAGTGTCAGAGCTGAAAACACAAAACATGAAAGCTCCACTCACCTGGTGCACAAGCGGGACCTCGCGCTGAATCACCTCCATGAGCGCTGCCACGCCAGAGACGAGCGCCTCGGTCGAGCGAACGGGCGAGCTTTCGAGGACGAACGCAGGAGCGGCAGGCGCGCTACGCCGCACGCGCTTGAAGCTGTCGACAATGTTACGCAGGTTGGCAGCGGCCTCACGCGGGGTTTTGGAAGCCACAACCGCAGAGATGACGGCAATGCCGTCCAGCGAGTTGCGCGCGTTGGGCGAGATCGAGCCGTGCAGGAGGAAGGGGACGTTGGGAGCGTGGATACCGCCTGGAATGGGTGCACATCGAATCGGGTGAGACGAATACTTGTCAGCTAGTCCTACCCGCGGTGCTCGTTCTGTCTCCTACTCACCGATGGCCACCGCCGGGGTCTTTGACTCGGCCAACACGTCGAGCACACGACCAACACCATCTGGGCCGAGCTTGACCTTCTTGGTCACGTCCTTGCTTCCCGTAGGCCACACTGCGCCGACACCGACATAGTCGGCGTGTCCAGCAATAGCAGCCTGTGCCTCGTCGATGTTTCCGACCGAGATACCGATCACAGCGTCGTCACCGGCCAGGGCGCGCGCCTGAGCGAGAGGCATGTCGCTCTGGCCAATGTGGATGCCCGCGCAGCGGACGGCAAGGTAGACATCGATACGGTCGTTGATGAGGAGAGGGACGTTGTACTGAGGAATCAGCGACAGATCCAAGCCCAGTCTTGCCGTGTCGCTTGATGTCGAGGAGACGGCGAGGGACGCGTGAAGGTAGCGGGACAAGATGCAACAACACAGCTGCGTCCATGTCGCCCTGACACCTCACAAACAACAAGTAACTCACCTTGTCCGTAATCTCCTTTGTCCTGCGCGCGATCTCGACAAACTCTCCAGTGTCGATGTCCTTCTCGCGGACCTGGACGACAGTCACGCCTCCTTGGAGAGACTCTTCCAGCGACTCGTAGTAGTCCTGCGGGGGAGTGTCAGTGGGCTTATGGACAGCGGAAAGAAGGCGGGGGGTGGTCACTGCTCAGTGGTCTCCCGCACAATCCCGAGCACTCATTGTGGAGTGTGGGAAGGAAGTTGTGATTGGAGATGAGGATATACAGCGTTGTTGCCTAGCTGTGGCCAGGAGGGTGACATAGCAGCTGGGTTACGCGGAAAAGCACGCACCTTGCCCTCAGGCAGCAGCTCGCGGCCGGTGACGAGGTAGAGCGAGTAGTCGATATCAGCCTTGGGCATGGTGAGTGGAGTGGGTGGAAAAGGACAAGGCGGAATGGAGTGCGGTTCGAAATAATCTCACCCGGCGCGCGTTTCTGAATGATCTCATCTTGTGTCATGTTGCCCCAGCCAAAGATCCAAAGATCCGCGGTCGGCACGCCGGCCTCCGCTCGTTGGTGCCGCAGACGGACGCCGAACCCCCGCCTCCCCTTCGCGTCCATTTCGTCGCCGTCCACTGGCAGCGCATAGATGGCGGAGTCGGTCCCAGTCGTGCAGCTACGGTCTACTGTGAATTGCAGATACCCCAATTGCTGGACTAGTGCGCGGCCGGCGCCCCGACGACCCTGTGTAGCCGCCGCAGTGCCACTGGCATCGACTGTTGGAAACAGCGACGACGCACATCCAATGCTGCTTCACTAGGCGCGCAAAGTGCATGCACAAGGTTGGGCTACGACGTGCCGTGAAGGGTGCGAAATCTACGGATAAAATGGGAGGGGGAGCGATGTGGACGGACGGGATAGGAAAGGTGGGAGGGTGATGGTGCTATGGCCTTGGAAAAATCTACGGCTAACTAGCACGTCGTTCACAGAAAGGCAGAAGACCTGTCTACAGAAATGGTCCTTGGTGGCGAGGTTGATATAGTGTTTGGTGGTACATCCTCGTAAGTCGAGGAGTGCGAGGGCTGGTCGCGATATTAAGCCGCGGCCACAGCGGCCGGGGCAGCCTTGAGGTCGTCGTTGTCGTTGGCGGTTGCGTACTCGGAGATGTCGGACGTGACGAGTGGGCCCGGTTGGAAGCAGAGAGTGCGGAGAACATCAAGCTGCGTGCGCTCCAGCCACAACTGCAGGTGGTTCGAGATCCAATGATGATGAGTCGTCGATCAAAGAAGGAACAGTTAGAGATCCGTGTGAGCGAAGGAAACGGTTCACGAGGAGGCCTGCGCATACATGGGTGGCCGAGTAGTACTTCCAGTTGGACCACGGGAAGAGGTAGCCCGACAGGCCCGGGATGGCAAGCTTGGACTCGTCGGCAAGGATCTAGCAGAGTTAGCCCCGCTGTAGGTCCCGTAACTCACCTCGCGCTTGAGTGAAACAAACGCAGCGACCTTGTCGGTGAGGACGGCCTTGACACCCCAGCCGATAGCAGTACGCATCTCGTTGGGGTCGTTGACTGTCCAGACACAAACCTCCTTGCCTGCGGCACGGCAGTCACGAATGAAGGCCTGGCCGTCCGAGCCGATGAGCATCGCAAAGGCGATCGAGAAGCCCTCGCACGCGTCCCAGAAGTACTTGCGGGCGAGCGAGGGCGAGATGCCAATGTGGTAGCGACGGAGCTTGGGGAGGTACTTGAATGCGGGGCGAATGAAGATCGGGTGCCACAGACCGAGGATCAGACGAGGAGCAAGAACCGTCTCCCAGTTCTCATGCGACCTGCTGTAAGATGTGGCCCGGGCGTTGCACTCCACGTCCAACTCACGCAATGATACGGGCCATCTCGGGCTGATATGTGTTAGCTGTGGAGCGTAACCTCGGTCCCGTTACTCACGAACATCTCCTCGGGGTTGTTCTGAATCTTGCAGTCGATCTGGGATAAGCCGTCTCTCTGAAGGGCCACTCACGTTGAGAATGACATGCTGGTTCTCGGGGAGCATGAGGAGGTCAATCAGCTCGTCAAAGCGGGGGATGGGCTGAACGGGCTCCTTGACGGTGCGCACATCCCTTCCTTGTCAGCGGCTGCTGCGGAGCGGGTGACATGGGACCCACTCGATGACGCCCTTCCACGGCTGCGTGTGGATCGCACCAGTACCCGTGGTGGTGCGGTCCAGAGTCGGGTCGTGGAACATGAGAATCACGCCGTCGGACGTGATATGGACGTCTGTGGTTGAAACGTCAGCGCTCCGGTGACATGTCGACCACGTGCAGTCGCGTCGCCACGAAGTTGCGTACCACTCTCAATGCCCTCGGCGCCCTCCTTGATGGCCGCTTGGAAACTGGCCAGCCTGAAGCGTCAGGTGTCGTTCGGTGCGGAGCGCGCGAGCACTCTAGATAGCTGCTGCCCGCGCATGCTCTCGCTCGTGAAGGGGGGGGTAGAAGGGGGGCAGTCCGGCCTCACGTATTTTCGGGGAGGAAGGCGGAGGCGCCGCGGTGCCCCCAGCACTCAATGTCCTTGAGGGTACGAATAGCAGGGGGCTTGGGAGTGGGAGCGGTGTCGGGGACGGACGCGTCTGGCATGGTGGATGAGTCTTATGTCTATGGGGTGGAGTGGGTGGCAAGCGTGTGGTGTGGAGAAAGACAAGAAGAAGAAGAGGGACCAGCAGAGTCCGGGGTACATTAAAAGGAGACACGAGGTCGGTCCGCCGTCGGTCACCCCCGGCCAAGCCCGTCCGTCCACCCAGCTCCCTCTCGTCGTGCTCCTTTCTACACATGCATCGCCAGCCCCGACTGTGCACGGGGGGTTCGCCGAGAGGAGCAGAAGGGCTGCATTGGGGGGCCCGGGTTGTCGACAAAAGGCACATTGCCCGACGGTGTTGGCCTCCCGGCCTCCGTTCTACCACCGCAGGCGCAACTCCCGAACAACAACAAATGGGTCACTGGATCATGGATCGTGGACAACGCGCCGAGCCAAGACAGGCCACGCTCAAATTCCTCATTCCCCAATCTCTCAAGCTCCTGCGCTTTTCGTCTGTCTCCTTCGCTTTGCATTCCGTCCCCGCCTGTTGCTGCTTGGGTATACAGAAGGTCGTGGCCGAGGTGGAGCTATGAACGCCTTGGCGTCGGCAATCGGTGTCCCGGGCCGGCGGTCGAGTGCTGTAGATAGAACAGGATGCGACCTGCGCAGCTTGCCTTTTCGGTATGAACGTTGGTGCATTGGTGCGCAATGGACACGTTGCCCAGCTGCCCACTGTACCGCTGTACCGCTGTTACTGCTGTTGCTCTCTCTCCATGCCTCGGTCGGCACCGCTTAGTCGCGATCAGTAGACACGAAGTGGAGTTCCAAGAGATCCGATCACAAAGCAATTAGAAAATATAATTAGGAGGGCCATTAGGCTAAAGTTGTGTTGTGCCAGACCAAGAAACACATAGAGTGCTGTTGCAGTTGTGCTCTATGTCCGGTAGTGTGTTTCTGCCGGGTCAATTTCAATTTTCTATCAAAAGGGGATCAAGGGGTATTTAGTGCACGTCAAGATTCCAGTTATACAGTTAGATTTACCAACTGGCGGCCGCTCCATTTGAAACCGAAAAGCGAGGGTCTCCCAAGCAATCATTACGTAAGCATAGACTGATAAGGAGTCGGCAATGTCCGCGGCCCCTGTGTGGGATTCCGATCTCGTGCTCATCGCACCATCTGTTCCCCTCGACCGCTTCGTTGCGTTGCTGACATTGCATTGCACTTCGTCCTGCACACTGTCGCCTCCAACCCACAATCCATACCCAGCATGACTCTATCCCCCGCTGTCCCCCTACCTCCACTCACCCGTATCGCCATCGTCGGTGCCGGCGGACCGTCTGGTCTTGTCGCCCTTCGCCAATTGCTCGTCGCGGGCGTTCCCGCCAACAAGATTTCGGCTTATGAAGGGCGCGACCGCGCTGGCGGAGTGTGGAACTATGAGTCGGAACCCGGGACGATGCACGTCGAGTGGCGTGAGAGTGGGCCACCGGTGGTGAGAGCTCAGAACGAGGTTGAGAACCCCGGCGCAAATGGACCGAGTGGTGAGTGCGACGATCAGCTGCTAGGCAAGGCACTATAGGAGCTGACTGAAAGCCATGTATGACAAGTTGAGGACCAACTTGCCCAACAAGATGTGAGCTAGGCAGTGGATTCGAAAGCTGACCATCCAGCATGAACTACCGCAACACTCCCTTCCCCAAGGACACACCCATCTTCCCCACCCACGCCCAAATCGCGACATACCTCCAGGAATACGCCCAGGACGACAACCTCAGCTCGCACATATCCTTCAACACGCGCGTTACCGGCGTATACCACACTAGCGGGACCACAGATCCAGCTGAGAAATGGACGGTTGAGACGGAACACCGCAAGCAGGACGGCACGACCATCCAGTCGAGCGAGAAGGTCTCCCACGTCGTCATCTCCAATGGCCACTACAATGAGCCGTTCCTCCCGCCCATCCCCGGGCTGGATGGATGGAAGGGCCAGCTGCTCCACTCTCGCTGGTGGCGCAATCCGGTCTCTCAGCGTGGCAAGAATGTTGTCGTGGTGGGCAGCCGCGCGAGTGGATCAGACATTGCGCGCGAGCTCGCCATCGACGACGAGGATCACCCCGCCAACCCCAAACGCACCATCTATCACAGTGTACGCGGCCTGAAGCCCGGGGATACAGTGTGGGACGACGATTTTGCCTGGGCCAAGCGTATCAACGTCGTGCATGAGATTCTGAGTGTTGGGGACGATGGAACAAGCCTGCATCTCGAGGACGGCACGACGCTTTCCGACGTGGACACGCTGGTCTTCGCCACGGGATACCTGTACTCGTACCCGTTCTTCCCAGACAATAAAGCTCCATGGGACAAGTATCCCGTCACAACAGCGCTGGCTACCGCGAGCAATGGCCTACCAAGGGCTGGAGGACAGGATATCCGCAACTTGAACACGAGCGATACCTTCTACGAGCCGGACCCGACGCTGGCATTCATCGGTCTCCGTGAGCTTGGCCCCTCAAAACTCGCCGCTCCTGATTGCTGACATTTGCGCAGACTATGCTGTCAACCCGTTCCCCCTTGGCGAAGCATCGGCGCGCCTCATCGCCTTCTCCTACACCCACGACCGTATCCCGCCGCTACCCCCGCTGCGCCGCGCGACGGACAAGCCCAACGACAAGACTGTCGGGTGTCCCGCCGAGTTTGATAACCAGGACGCATGGTTGTTGGCTATTGGCGAAGGAGGGGTTGATGGCGGTGGAAAGCCTGGTGGCTGGCCGCAGTCGACCGAAGAGACGAGAGAGATGAGGGCCAATGCGCTCAAGATGCGTAAGAAGGTGTTGGGTTATTAGAAGCGATACACAGAGTTAGACAAAGATAGATCTAGGGGTGGTGACAGTATGGGCCACAGGGGCGTACTGTACACTGTCCAATGCATTACAACTGCACAATGAATGTAGGAAGACGATAGTGGGGGTGATGACAACGGGATGGGTGTGTTAAAGGGTCGTGAAGGAGATGGAACAGGGTGTGATGTCGTAAAGGGATTGGTTTGTTGCCAAGAACAAAGGACCGGCTGGCTGTTTGGTCCGACATGGGGGGTTTGCTGGAAGGGTGCAAGATGCAATTTTTCGGGGATAGAAGCATAACGTTCAAGATGTGCGATAGGAAGAAGATGGCAACAGGGTTGTCTGACGAACAAGGGGTTAGGCCTGGAAACAGGGTGGTTGGTGGTAGTAACGCTTGAGGCTGGTCGCGGGCGTCGTACTTGGTTGCGCTCGACATGAGGTTGCACAACACCCACGTTCATGGGGGAACGGGGATACACGCCATGCAATGTTACACCTGCGTGCGGTTGCACCCAGCGTCACAACTCACGTCCCAGCCGGCGACATCGCCAGAGCGTATCAGGTCCCAGCCGTCGACTCGGCGAACTTTGCGCAATGTTGATCGACGGTGGTGAGGAGTGTGGCGGGGGTCTTTGCTCGGTAGACTCTTGACTGTCGACGTGAATGCGCGATATGAGGCTAGGCGACGGTGCTTGAGCCTCTTTGAAAGCGAGGCCGATGCACTGGTATCTGAACCCGAACCCGAACCCACAGAACGGCCCGAGTGGTTCGAGCGTACGCTGCTGCGCCGCCTGGGCCTGGTCCCTTGGGTAGACCGTTTGTCGCGATTCTTGTGGGAGCGACCAGTAGCGCGAGAGCCCGCTGTCGCCGCGAATGGGTCGTCGTCTTCATCGTACTCGTGCAAAACGTCGAGTTGTCTAGAGCGCCGCTTGCTAGGACTGTCGATGTAGGACAGGCGGTTATGGCACCTGGTGGTGGCACTGTCGGAAGTGTTGCCCAAGGTCAACCCGAGCCCCGACGTGCGTCCGCTGTGGGTGTAGTCACTGCCGAGCTCGAACATCTTGTACTCGTCGTACTGGCCACTGTATCGCTTCGTCTCGCCGCTGAATCGCTGCAGACTTGAGGCGTGGCTCGAAGTGCGTCCCAGCCCGCTGCCTCGACCGCCTGGGCCTGCCATAGTGGGCCGCAGTGGCATAGGATGGGAGATGACGGAGTGGCCAGGGGAGAGGGTGAGGACGGTGGAAGTTGGAGATGGCCGTCGACGCTTTGCAGGCAGGCAAGGGATAGATATGACGCCGCCCATTGTTGAGGGGGGGTCAGAGTGATGAAGAAAGAAGGAATGGAGAGAAGTGGTGTGTCAACAACATTGGGGGACCAAGCCAAAGTGATCTCATCCGGTGGAGGTTCAAATGGGTGGGTGCCTATTTGATCCCGCCACCCACCGTCCTGGTGGTCCACATGAGTCGCCACCCAACTGACATCGAATCGCTCTCTCATACAACACCCCATCATCTCAAGATGGACGACGGTCCGCGCCGCACAGGCATCGGCTTCTTCCCAGAAGCAGTAGTCATCCGTGCAGGCCCGTCGCGTCCACAGCCTGCTCCTTATGACGCAGACGACGGCGAGTATCCCACTCCTTACTCGGTGAACACCAACGCCTCCGCTGGCCCGTCTCGACCACCTCCTCCTCGGCTTACGCAGGGCCGCGACTCGTGGTCCCTCTGGAAGGACTGGCACACAAATCCTTCTGGCCATGGCGGCAGGCGTGGACCTCCAGTATTCGTGCCTGCTACTCAGACGTACGACGAGCTGGGACGCAGTGTGCTGGACGGGTTTGGCGTTGATGTCGACGCGGGCGAGGTGGAGAAGAAAGATGAGGGGGAGAGGCAGGAGGCTGGTGGCGTGGCGGATTGGTATCGCTCCTTGTCGGCTGGCAAGTCCAAAACCGAGGTCAAGCCAATAACGGCGCCGACTGTGCCTTCACCACCACAACCCACGGCCAGCACAATTGTTACGACAACCTCATCAACAACTCAAACACCTGCGCCACTGCGTGTCCCCAGATCTGAATGGTTCATCCGACGAGCCCTGGCCAACAGCGCCTCTGCTTCCTCGTCAACACCAACTTCCCGCCCCTCCACACCGTCCTCCATCGGCTCGATGCTGGGTAACATTGACACTGCAAACCCCAAGGTAGCACCAGCCCCTCGAGTCCGATACGCCCTGGGTCCCGACAACGTGGGATACACCCGCCTTGAAGCCCTTGGATGGGGCGGCGGTGGCCTGGGACGGCCAGAGGGATGGGAAGAGAGGGAAGCGGAAGTGAAGCGCGAACGGGACGAGACACCGACTCGTCCTCGCCCTCGGTCGCCACCCAACTCGAGTGGATCTGGCTCGGCGACGCCGATAGACCTCACGGGGGATACCGACTCGGACTCTGACTCGCCCTCCGGTGCCATCTCCATCCCAGTCTCCGACGACGACGATGACGACGACAACGCACCCCGCGGTCCGGGACGCACCGCCCCCATCGCCACGGCCCTCAAGCTCGACCGTCTGGGCCTGGGCCGCTCGCGCGCCGAGAAGAAAGTCACCCATACAGCCGCGGAGATTGCCAGTGCCCAGCGGAGAGCACGGGGCGTGAAACCCAACAAGCCCGGCGAAGCGGTGGGCAAAAAGCCAAAAGTGAAATGGGCTGAGAAGGAGAGGCGAGAGAGGGAGGAGAGGAAGCGCATTGCTGCCACGCTCAATGCGTGGTGAGCAATCAGTCAATCAACATATACAACGCGTGGCGCGTTTCATGGCATTATCGCATTTGCATGGGTAGAAAGGAAGAAGATGTAGAAGTTGGTAGGAAGATGTATGGTGGTAGGGCAGTGCCATGAGAAAATGCTCGGTGTGACTCTCCGTACAACAATGCTGGTGGGTGTGGTAGTGTAGTAGATGACACAAGAAAAAAAAAAGGTGGGTTCAAGAGCGCGTCTAAGGGTGTGTCGGATTGCATGTAGCCAGCGCGCCAAGGCTGGCTCGCGACCGATGCTGCGAAAGGGATCGTCAGGTGCAGCAGTCTGCGCGCGCAGTATCTCTTAGATCTGCTGCGGATCGCCCGCTGGCACTCTGTTCGATCTGTCACGATGAAGCGGAAACATCCGTGCTAGAGCGGGTACTGGCGCTGAATCGGTCGTCGACATCGAGACCGAGTCCCATGTCCGACTGAACTTGAGGCCAGTGGCTGCTGTTCGGTCTGCTGGCCTGGGTTGCCGTGTCGGTCGCTGCGAGCGTGTTGCTCGCCACGGCAATACCGAGACTCTCGACGCGGGCAGATAGCCAGCCTGCAAAGCAGCCACTTTTACAGAATGCGGCGTAAAAGTCATTCTCGACGCGCGATTTCCCCGTTAGGCCTTTCGCCTTGAAGAGTAATGGGTTGGGACCGCGCGTACGCAGGTGGGTGAGGAACGCTGGGTGGGAGAAGGGTTTGAGCGTTGACAATGACAGGGCGGGTGGGGGAGGGAGGTTGGGCGTGCTGGAGCCGCTGGTCGAAACGGGCATGTGCATGCTCGACGAGGAAGCAGACATGGCTGGCGACCGTGGCGGGACAAGAGTCTGAAAGTATCGGTTGAGCGGGACGAGCATGCGTTCCGTGAGTTGCTGGAAGTGCATGCGGAGCGCCTCGTTGCCTTCCGGGTCGTCCAGCTTGCCCTCAGCTACGAGGGCCTCGAGGCGCTTCAACAACGCGCGATCCTTCTGGACACTCCGGTTCCTCTTTGTCAAGAAACCCTCTGGCGCATCCGCCTTTGGCTGGTTTTGGGTGCGCGGCTTGGCACGCCCGCTCGGCACCGCGATGACATTGGGCCAGTGACTCGCCGCGTTGCGGAAGAACGGGTTGGTCACGCCCACCACGACACCGGCCTGAGGCTTGTTCGAGTTGACGAGCAGCGAAAAGTCGTGGTCGTGGATGTGGAGGTATGGCCGGAAGTCACCGGCAAGGGGGATAGGCCGCACCATCTCGCGCAGCCACCAGACAATCTCCGAGCAGGTGCGCGGGTCTGGCGCAATGACGAGGACGGGCTCAGCTAGCACTAGGCACTCCCAAATGGACCAGAGGGACGGGAGGAACGTCGCGAACGCGCGGAGGGGCGTGGAAGGGGGCAACGACGCAAGGGTCTAATGGCAGTCAGTTTGAGATGTATTCTTGAACTCACGGGCTCTGGCTCGCCGCGGAGCTTTGTGGCACCGACAGCCACTTGCGGGTTGTCCGTCGAATCGGGCAGCTTGACGGTAAGCACCTCTGAGAGGAGCGGCAGCTCAAGCAGGGCGTCGGGGCAGGGGTCAGGCCATGACGCAATGCCATGGCACGCAACCTCGAGCGCACTGTATCCGTACTTGAAGAAGCTTGGGGCAATGCGCGCAAGCACGGCAGAGAATAGCGCAGGGAATGGGAGGTGCGTGAGGATCACAACAGATTTCTGTATCGTCAGCAAACTGTGTGCTAGGTCCGAATTATACACTCACCTGCATGAACCCGCGTGCAATGCCACGGTCGCGCCTCTGTTGGAACCACACAAACCCGTACAGCCACTCGCGGCCTCGCTCGTCCCAAGCGCGGTACTCTGCCGCCTTGTCGCGGTGTACGCTCGACTTGCGCGCATGATGGGGCTTTGCGCTGTTGGCGAGCACTGCCTCGTCTGCCCTGGCGGGTAAGGGCGAGGGGGGCTCTGGGTATGCCAGCGACTTTGGGTCGGGAGGCACATGACGGATCTTGAAGCTGAACTGGATAGAGCCCTCCGTGAACAGCGATGTGTCTGGGAAGGAGGAGAAAGCGCTGTCGATTGTCAGCTAGTGGTCTCTGTTTCACGCCACACAGCAGACTCTTACACGTTCTCTTTTTCTCCTGGGCCCCATCGCCTCCCGACGGCACGGCGCTCAATGACAGGCCCTCGCTCCAGGTCAAAGTTGCAGACCACGAGCTCCTTGACCCATCGCGACATCTTGTTTGCCGTCTCGCCGTCCACTAGAGGTGGAGGGCGCGGCGACGGTGCCAAGTGGGTATTGCTCGCCGGCAGGCCCAGCGGTGGTTGCGAAGACGTTGCCGAGACCACAGATGTCGCAGACCGCTGGGTCAGATCAACGCTTGGGATGCGCACATTCAACGAGTGTGAGCGCGTGATCTGCCGCCTTGCGGCAATGGTGGGCGAGTCACCGGCACCCGAACTCGGGCCGTTGACACCAATAGTTGGGATCATTGACTGCGGTGACTCGTTCACTGGTGTCGGCGTCGGTGAGGGGGAGGGAGAGGGAGATGGTGGACGCCATGGGTTGGCAGCAGCGGAGTATGGCCTGCTAGGGCCAGCATCAACCGACAGATCCGGCCAACGACTGGATGCGCTTGCCGATCGGGGTGGGGATGCCTGAGGTGCGGCGTAGCCATTGGCAACGGCGGCGTCGTTCCACAACCTCCTCGCTAATGGTGTACTGGATGCCGGGGCGGTCACATCCCTCCTTGCCCGTGGTGTCGGCGTGACGGTCGAGGGGTGGGCGGGTCGTGCGACGCTCGAGGAGGAGCGGGTGGAGTGAGCCAAGCTGTGTTGGACAATGGCGTCGGAGAGGGCGCGGTCCGATGTCGATCGTGGGAGGGAGAGGGCAATGTCCCCCGAGTCGTCTTCTACGCTTGATGGGTCTGCCGACGCGGACATTGTCGGCGACGGAGAAGAGTGAGGAAGAGACATGAGATGGGGTTAGAGATGGGTGGATCACTAGCTGCTTCATATTCATGGCCCTTTCTGCTCCCGGCGCTTAAACCTTGCGTCATTGACGACGAGCTATGAACCACTGCAGTGCACCCCCCAGTGTCCTCCGAACAGCGGCCAGTCAAATGCACACATGCATGCACGCATGCAAGCGCTCTCCCTGTGCTGCAAACCGTGCCGCGTCAACAAGGTGACTGCGGCGCCATCAAAAGGGGGCTCTGACGTTCGAGAGGGATCGATCCCGTCTCCACCATTCATCCGCTGTTTTTGCGCCACACCTTCCGCGCACGGCACCAGTCACCCCTTTCAGATGGAAGGCAGGCCATTGAGAACAAGGGGCACAACAGGTTAGAGAGTGGATACAATGCATAGAAGTGCCAGACGTAGCAAACGCAAAATGGCAAAGTGATGTGCGTAGGTGTAGGTGCGTGTGGGTGCAGAGGATGATGATAGCTGCAGGTGGGGGATGTGGGCGGTTACTCGATCACCTCGGAAACACCGTCGGTGAGGCGGATAACCTTGCCGTGCTTCCATGGCACCTCGTCCTCGTAGTGGCTCACGCACACCACGGCCTGCTCCTTGCCCTCGGCACGCATCTGCGACCACTCCTCGGACAGGAACTCGGTGCACTTCTTCCAAATGTTCTCGTCCATGCCCTGGGTGGGCTCATCGAGAACCAGGAAGGGGTTGCGCGCGACGACCGCGCGGAGGAAGATCAGCAGAGCCTGCTGGGGCTTGGTGTAGTGTGCAAACTCCCTGTTGGCGAGCTCCTTGAGCGCTGCCTCGTCGGTGATGTGCTGCTTGGACGACGAGAGGAACTCGGAAAAGTAGCCAATGAGGTACAGGATACGCTCCTTTTGCTCTGGGGCGAGGTTGCGGCGCGAGAAAACACCCTCGTAGCCCGAGCCGATGGCCTGGGCGGCCGAGAGACCCATGTTACGCGGGAAGGCGGCAAAGATCTCCGGCGAGAGGTGGCCCATGAGCTGCCTCAGGACCGGGGTCGCGATCGTGCGACGGGGCTGCGAGAAGAGGTTGAGAGCCGAGACGGGGAGCGAGTACGACTGCGGGTGGTGGCCGAGGAGGACCGACAGGAGGGTAGTCTTGCCGGAGCCTGGATGTCAGCAGCTTGTCGAGAAACTTTCAGCTCACCGTTAGATCCCTGGAGGTGCCAGCGGTCTCCGGGACGAATCGTCCAGTCGACATTCTTGATGATCGGACGCTCCCCTTCGCCGTACGCCACCGAGACGTTCTGGAGACGCACGATGGGCGCTGCATTCGTCGATGTGTTGCCCTCTGGCCTCTTGTCGTCGTGATTTATAGGCTGGCGGGACTTGCGGTCGAGCCACTCATTCCTAGTACCAACCCACACGGTTCCGTCATTGACCTCGCACACATGTGTAATCCACTCGGCATTGAGGGTCTCATCGCCCTTGTCACGGAGGACGAGAACGATGCGGGCCTCGTCCTGAGTGGCATTGACATCGCCGAGAGTGTCGGTCACAAGCTCGCGGCTTGCGGGGTCCAGGCCAGCCATGGGGTCCTCGAGCACGATCATGCTGGGCATGGCCACGAGGGCCTCTGCGATACGCGCGCGACGCGTCTGGCCACTGCTCAGCGCGACGGCGGGAATGTCGATAAGGTGGGAGAGGTTCATCTTATTGAGAGCGCGGAAGACGTTGTTTCCTGCTGCCTCGCTAGGTGGGTAGGCCGACATCAAGGTGTGTCGCAAAGTATTGCTGTCGCCTTCCTCCAAGTGACCGTAGCGCGCCGTGTAGTCGATGAACTCGCCGGTCGCTGACGGCTTGGCAAAGGCCAGATACACAACGGGTTTCCAGGTTTCCGGATCAATCGACCTCATGGGGGCTTCTTGTTGGGCGACGGGAAGTGGGCCTGGAGGAGGCGTGCTGGGGGTGATACGATGGCGACCAAGAATAGTCTGCGCAGGTCAGTGAATGAAGAACATGATAAATGTTGTTACGCACCTCAACGGCAAGCTTCCTTCCCTCGGCATCACCAACAATGGCCCATCCCTCGCTACCACCGTCATTCACCACCATACCACCCTTGGGAAAGCGAAGGAGCGCCTTGGTCTCATCCTTGACATCGGCTGCTCCATAGGGGAAGATGCGAGCTTCGCTCGGGATGCGGACGAGGGGGACAGTCCTGACGGCACCACCGCGGCCGATGTAGTCTGATGCTTGGACCTTCTGAGGCTTCAACTTCATCGCCTTCTTGAGCATCACTCTTGTCGGGAACATGGTGGGCAGTGGAGGTCTTTTGGTGTGGGTGTTGTTGGAAGATGAAAGAGGGGGCCCACGGATTCAGTAATGCGAGAGTGGGATCCTATTGCCGTTGAAATACATATTGGGCGGCGGCAGGGCGGTGAGCGGCGGACAAGTGAGGCGGGTGAGATGGCTGGGCCCCGCAAGGCCGTTGCCAGAGGAGAGCTGTGAACGACGTCTGTTGTTGTGGGTGTGGGGGACGGACGTATGCATATGGGCCGTGGGGAGATAGATGGTCACACAGAGAGCTATCGGATGGTGTGTACACTGCACAGAGCAGCGACGTCAAGCTGCATGGTCCTTCTCGTTTGCCAGCAAAAGCCGACCCCGTCCAACCCAAACGCTAACCAACCAACCAAACATCCCTCCACTCACTTCTCATCTCCGCCCACTTCACTAACTCTGGCATGCCGTTCCCACTCGAAATCTGCATCGACTCGCTTGAGTCGGCACGCACCGCCGGACCGTACCTCGGCCCCGGGGACCGCTTCGAGGTCTGCGCAAGTCTTTTAGCTGGTGAGGCATTGCCCCAATTCCGTCTGGCGGGCCCCCCTTGCTGACGACCAGGCGGCGGGCTGACGCCCAGTATGGGCCTGGTGCGGGCACTGCGTGCTGACCAACCACACATTGGGCTCATGGTAGGGTTCCCTTACAGTGCTGCGTGTGGGTCGGTTATTCTGACGCCGACGTTCAGGTGATGGTTCGCCCACGTCCCGGGTCCTTCGTCTACACCCCGGCAGAGGTCGAGGTCATGCTGCTCGACATTCAGGCCGCGAGGGAGGCTGGTGCCGTTGGGGTGGTGTTTGGGTGTCTCACGGTGGAGGGTGAGGTGGATACTGCTGTCACTACACAGCTGTGTAAGGCTGCAGAAGGAATGGAAGGTGAGTTGGACACCGTGTTGAAACGGCTCTAACAACAGTGACCTTCCATCGCGCGTTTGACGTCACACCATCGTGGCAACGGGGTGGGTACAAGTCCATTTGCATGTTATTCTGACCAGTACGCAGCTTGCGACACACTCGCCTCAATCCCAGGCATCACACGTATCCTCACGTCCGGCCACGCCCTTACCGCGCTCGAAGGAGCGGCCGAGCTCGACGCCCTAACACGACACTTGCAATCCTCCTCGTCATCCTTCCCGCTTACCATCCTGCCCGCTTCAGGCATCAACGCCATGTCGTTGGCAGAACTGCGTAATCGAGCACCACTGTTGCAAGAAGCACATCTCAGCGCGAGCGGGATCATACCACCTCCCGACGCCAGTGCCGTTGCCATTGGCAAAGTGCTCGGGTTCGGGAGCGGTGAGGAGTGGCGGCTCGACGGGGACAAGTTGAAAGCTGTACGGGAGCTGGTGGATCGTGAGGGGTAATGGCATTGACATGGTACACGAAAAGGATCACAACTGGCTTGGGTGTGGCGGATGCTCGACGGACATGGCCTTTTGACGAACACGTCTTCGTCTTGGATACAGACGGGCACGTCAATCTACATCTCCGTCATCTTCGGAGAATATGGGGTTTCAAGTGTAGGCGTCGCATGCAACCCGAAACCTCGGAAGGCAGATCTCACCACTTAACCCACTCCACCCCAACCACGTGCTCAACTGACACCGACAGCAAAAGGTGGACAACCTCTCACGAGGATGCATCTTCTCCGCCAGGGAGTTGAACCCTGCTCTACCGCGATGTTCCTATTAGGAAGCTCCCTATTGAGAGGCGGTTATACTAACCGATATACTAGCGAAGAAACGATATCAACGTTCCCGACGTGCTCACGCGGCGTGTCGTGGCCGCAGATTTTGTGTTTATTCACGAGTAAATGCCTACATGCTACCCTCAGGGTGTAGGAGAGATACCCCACACATGTCTTGACTCAAAGAACGAGCAGTGTACAGATGGGAGAGGAGGGAAAGGGCGGCTACTTCAGGTTCGTTTTTGGCAAATGTCAGGGATCAGTGGTGATGAAGACCTGCGAAGCGTCTTGCCACAACCAACTTGGCAGCAGCTCTGCCTCGACTTAAGCATCTACTGGCATATATGTATCACATTTTGATTGTCTAGGGAACTACAGAGCGGTGTTGTGGGTCGGTTGGTTATAAAGGTAAAGGTTGAAGGTCTTCTAATGGGTACAACGTCCAGGAAGCAGCGGGCACAGTTTGCTGATTCGTCTTTCTCACTCAACCGTCTCATTCTCATACACTTCGTCTCCCATGCATGCACGGTACTCGTCATGCGTGAGGATGTCAATGTATGCCTCGGCCTCCTCGTCCATCAGGTCCGGGTCGCCATGGAGGGTACGGAAGGCCGAGACGAGGCTGCCCATGGCAATCTTGCGCAGCATGGCTACGGCCTTGACGTGGTCGTCGCTCGTGCGAACCGTGAACCAGGCATTGACAAACGCCTCAATTCCAACCAGGGTGAAGCGTCCTTGCGTCGGCAGGAACTTGGTGGCGACTGAGACGAGGCGGATAAACTTGCCACCCAGGTCCGAGGTCGTGGTTGGCTTTGGCGTTGCGATAACGACGACGACGTCGCGGGCCGTCTCCTTTGTACTCGGCATGGGGTCGGTCCTGAGCTGGCGTGCAGGGTCGTACGCAAGCACAACCACGTGCTTGGCCCCACCATGCTCCAGAGACGTCGAGGCCGTGGACCAAGGTTTGCAGAGGTCCACAAAGTCGACAACGCACGGGACGGCGGCCATGTGAGGCGTAAACTGCCACCGGCGCAGGTAGTCGATGTTACTCATGTCCATGTCCTTGAGCGAGAGCGCCTGGGTGGCGTGAACATCCACAGTGCGCGCTACCACCAGCAGCGGTGTGGGCTCGTCCTCGGGGGTCGAGGGGGCAAAGGCGCTGCCTCCGCTCCTGCGGCGTGACAAGGCACCACCAAACGTATTTGAAGTGTTGTTGGTGGTTGTAGTGCTGATGTCGGCCATGCTTGCGGTGTCACTGATGTCGGTGTAGGGGTACTTTGTGTTCAGGTCGGTCATGATGGCCTGCTTGCTCGTGCGATCAACAAGCTCAGTGTTGCACGTGTTCGTACGGAGCACGAGCTGGGCCTTGCCAGTCGCCCCTACAACGAGTGTGACGGTCGGGAACTGGTAAAAGGCCTGATTGCTGTTGATGGAGGTGCCGAATGTGCCAATACTGGACATCAGGCCCGATGGGTTGCCGTTGGAGGTGTATGCAGCGGCGCAGCGGTTGGTGTTGGAGGATGAGAGGTAGGAATAGTTCAAGAGAGACGTTGATGGGTGAGCGAGTTGATCGACTCGAAAAAGGCTGGAGCGGTGGCGGCTATTGTTTCTGGCTTTCTGGCTCTTGTTTTTGTGCCATCGTCCCGGCGCACACGTGCATTCCTCAGACCCATCGACCATCTCCCTCTTCCCATCCCCCTTCCCCAATCCTCTCTCGCAGTGACGCGTCTCGGTGACATGGGTGACATGCACATGCGCACCCTTTGGCCTTTGGGCATCACACTGGGGTAGAGCGTCACACACGACAATACCCCAACGACACACCGTGCGCGTGGGCAGCGCCGCTGAAAAAGTCAACATGCCCCCCCCCGCAACCCCGCGCGCCGCGGCCCACGTCTCGATGGCGCAGTCTGTGTCATGCGCGCATTTTGGGACCCTTACTTTTACTTGGCTCGCCGCATGCACCGCGGTATACGTGTGCATGGGGTGCGGCATTGCGATCGTGATCGTTTGGGTGCCTCTCGGACCGAACAATGGGCCGGCGGGGTATTGGCTGCGGGCAATGCGCACACCTGTTCGGTTGGGACGAGGCGTGGGGGTGTGGGTTGATCGCGTCGCGTCGCGTCGACGCAACCGAGGGGAGTGACATCACTGGCCGTTCCCATTCTCACACTGCTAATAGCTCTTTGGGGAGACGGGAATAGTGCACAAGCGAAAGGACATCGCTAGATAAACAAGCGCGCCGATGATCCCCATCGTATGGGATGCCGTGGGGCAAAGGGGTGCGTGGGGCAAGGAGGGAACGTAGCAACTGGGAAACCCACTTGGTGCCTGCACATTTTGCCTCTGCGAAAAACTCAGGAACCCGCCGGCAGTGGCTATCGAGGCTATCGAAGGCTATCAAAGGTCGTCGTCGCCTTATCCTGGTCCCGTATCGCGTCCTTTGGCAGCGCCGCGATTGCCCAAGGAGATAGCGGTTGCTGCCATACGATGGCTGTGAATGGATAGTACGCTGACCAAGTTGTCTCGTACTCTGACGTAATGTCTGCAGTGGAGATGAGGTCGAGCCCCGGCGGTGAGATGACTGCGACGTGTTCAGGTTACACACGCAGCTGGAAGCAAGTAGAGCCTGAACGGTGCATACTCCTTAGGAACGCCGCCTTGATATAACACATATACACAAACACACACACGAAATGGACAGCCACGCAATGGCATCTGCCGACGATCGCGACTTAAAGCTTACTCTCTCTCATGGGTGTCGACTTCAAGACCACATGCTGCGAGAACAGGCGCGAGTCATCGACGCGAGACGGGACTCGGTGGTTGAAGGCGAAGACGTCGGCGTACTCTTTGGGCAGCTCGCCATTGAGGCCTTTGACAATGAGGTTTCCGATGACGGGGAGGAATTCTACGACAATCAGCCCAATCAAAGACTGGAAACACCTACTGAACGCATGGCCAGAGCAGCCTGCAGCCACAAAGAGCGAATTGTTGTATTTGGGGTGGTAGTCGAACAGGAAGTCACCACTGGGCCGGTCGCTGTACCAGCACAGACGAGTACCGGTCCACACCCTATCGCTAAACTCGGGGTATACACGTGCGAGACCAGCCTTGAGCTTCGTAACGGCATCGTCTGGGATACGCTGGAACTCATACCCACGACTGAGGTGGGTGCGTGGGACAGAAGGGAGAGTGTCTGTCGGGCTCAGATAGCCCTTTTGGTGGATGGCAAACTTGAGCAGACCGGAGGGTGTGGGCTAGCCGTCAGTTCAGCGAACATGGCCTCGAAACTCACGGGGAAGATGTAAAATCCGATATCACCAACCCAGGTCGCGGGTGCAGCCTTGTAGCGCTCATACTCCTCCGGCGTGAGTTGGATGAACGCAACAGCCTGGCCTGTAGGAAGGCACTGTTCCTGGAGCTCAGGAACGAGCGTGGGCGTCCACGCTCCCATACACAGGACAACCTTGTCGGCAATGTGACGGTCACCAGCCTCAGCAGTGGTCACACCAGTGACTTTATTGGTGCGCTCGTCAATAATGAGCTCCTTGGCAGTACCTGCGCGGAACTGTACTCCCGCAGCGCGGCATTTGGCGACTGCGTCCTCCGTGGCACCTCGCGCGTTTGCCCAGCCACCAGCCTCGTTGAAGTCTGTTGCGTCAGGTACACACACTCCACCAGGGCCACACTCACAAGCACGACCATCCGCAAAGGTGCCCAGCTTGACGTCGGCAGGGTACACGTTCTCGACGTCCTTTCGAGCCGGGAGGTCACGCGCAGACTTGCCCGGTGTCCTCATATCCGGCTGGCGTGTGACAGCAAGTGACTTGTCTACATTGGCAGCCTCGGACGAGTCCCGTGCCGCGGACACCACAACCCCACTCTCGTAGTAGTGCTGGGACCACTCGCCTCGCCAGCCCACCATAGCGTCACGGGCGAGCTTGGCGTACAATGGGTCACTGTACTCTTGGCGGATGACCTTGTTGTAGTCGAAGGACGCAGCATCGGTCGCAGGTGGTGTGGCGCAGCGGTCAAGAACGGTGATGAGGTGCGCCTGGCCTTTGTACGGTCCCCTCGCGAGTTCTAGAGCGGTTGTGGCGCCAAACTCACCGCCACCTACAATCTTCGATGGTCAGCTTCACTTCCAAGTCTTCGAACCCCCCTCACTCTTCCGACTTACTAAAACGCGCTGAGGAGGAGCCAGCTTGGAGGACATGGTGTGTCAATGGGATGCCGTCGATGGTGGCCCGATGTATAAGTCTTATGCACATGCAGGAGCGCGACATATGCAACTGGTTTAGCCAGATATCGCCGCTGTAATCGGTTTGGCCGATAGGCACCGGTGGCGACGCGGACGTTGCCGAGCGGTAAAGCTCGGCGTTCAACCGACAATGCCCTTGTCGACGCCTCAACATTGTCTATCTTTCACTGCCCACCTTATCTTCGGCAAAGGGTGGCCCTTCTCCGCATGGCATCAGTGACAGAGGTATGAACTCCGTCATGGGGCTGCATTGCATCATACATAACTCGGGGAAAGTCCTGGAGGGCGTGCACCCAAGAGGCGCCACACTGGCTTCTCCAACTTATCCACCCAGGTCTAGTCACCAGGTGCTACCCTCTGTAATTGCCCCACCTACCAGTATCAACCCAGTTACCTCCCCATACCATGTCTTCAATCGACGTCCACCCTCTTTCCGCATACGATAACGAAAAGGACAGCGAGAAGGCGATGGGTCATGAAACAAACGTCGCAGTCGTCGCGGTCGCCGCCCTCCACGACCCCGTGTTTGGTGACCTTGAGGCGAACGGTCCCAACTACCGTGATGTATGCAATTTCGCGTTCATCCAACTAACATATAGGTCGGTTGGTTGGGTACCGCAGTTTTAATGGTCAAGGCCACCATTGGTCTCGGTGTTCTTGGAATCCCGTACTCGCTTCAAACTCTCGGCTTTGTTCCAGGCATCCTCGCGCTGATTGCCGTTGAAATCATTGTCACGTGGGCAGGTTACGTCCTCGGCCAGTTCAAGCGAAAACCACCCCGAAGTGTACACCATGGGTGACGCTGGAAGCGTGATGTTCGGTCGTGCCGGGGAGATTGGCCTCGACGTGGCTTGGATGCTCTGTGAGTGGCGCCCGTCGGCATTTTGTTTCTGACATGACAGACATGATCTTCTGCACCGGAATGGCAATGGTCAGCATTTCCACCTCCCTCAATGCCGTCTCCATGCACGGCACCTGTACAGCCGTGTTTATTGCGGTTGCGGCCGTTGTCGGTCTGGGCTTCGGGAGCATCCGGACCCTTGGCAAGATCACATTCCTTGGCTGGATTGGGGTTGCCTCAATTACTGCTTCCATCATCACCATGACTGTCGCTGTTGGAATCCAGGACCGTCCGGCCGACGCTCCTAAGGTCGGGCCCTGGGAAAAGAATGCTAAGGCCTTCGGCGACCCGACTTTCCCTGCCGCCATGTCCGCCGTGTCCTCTTTCTTGCTTGCGTCCGCCGCCACGCCGACATTGTGAGCCTCGTTCGGCCATCGGAGCCTGCTAGTTGCCACTAACACAGCCCAGCTTTGGTATGATCTCGGAGATGCGTGACCCGCGCATGTATACCCGAGCCTTGTGCGTGGCACAAGGTACTACCTCATGCTTCTACATTATCATCGGGTCCATCGTATATCACTTTTGCGGGCAGTATGTGGCATACCCCGCCCTTGGTAGCGCCGGCCCGCTCATGAAGAAGGTCTGTTACGGGCTTGCTATCCCTGCCCTGGTAGTCACCCTCACCATCTACCTTCACGTGAGTATTTGAGCACTTGCATAGGGCTGATCAATAGCTTCCCGCCAAATTCGTGTTTGTTCGTCTCTTGCGCGGCTCGGAACATCTCAGTCGCAGCACCCCCACCCATTGGATTACATGGTTTGGCTGCACGATCAGCATCACCATTGTGGCGTACATCATCGCTAGCAGTATCCCGATCTTCTCAAGTCTCATGGGTCTCATTGGCGCCAGTCTCTGTCCGTGAGTTTAGTCCAGCACTACCCAAGACCACCGGCTAACCTCGTTCAGCTTCGTCTCTGTCCTCCCCACTGCTCTCATGTGGCTGCATGACAATTGGTTTGGCAACCCCCGCGAACGCACTCTCAAGGTCAAGGCAACTGCAGCGTTCGCCGTGTTTGTCTTCGCAACTGGCCTGCTAATTTGCGGAGGCGGTACATACGGTGCCGTTATGGACATCATCAGCAGTGAGAGCGCGCGCCCTTGGTCGTGCCTCGACAACTCCAATTCGGTCAGCTCGTAGTCGGGAGGAGGGGAATGAAGGCTCGTCCTTGGAGCAGAAGAGCGAAGGTTTGAACAGCGAGAACCCAGAGGTTGTAAAAGGAAAACCCAGAGGTTGTAGAATGAAAGTCAAGGTATCAATTATGAATGATTTGTGAGAGCCCCATGAGTCCACAGGAAGCAGCCAGGCTGCACAAGTGGGGAACCGACTCGACGAAAATTAAAGAAAAATCGGGGGTAATAATCCAGATTTGGGAGATGTCCGGAAACGACCAAAACCTCGAGTGACCCACTCAACCTGGCATTGCCCCCGTGACGACGCTAGTTCAATGCTCGCGCACTTCAATTGCGGCGGAGGGACGCTAGTAGTGATGGAATTCATAGGATGCGTAACGCCAGCACGCGGTGGAGCGTTCTGCATGCGGATGTTCATTTTGGGTTCGCTAAGGAAACAAGACCGGACCGTTCACGCTAGCCTCTCGAGCTCTCAATGTGCTCTACGTTGCTACTGTGCACGCCTCCATTGAACTATGCTCAGGTGCGGCCTGATAGGATCCCTAGCTACATCACATGTGCGTGCTGAATGTCATCGCATATAAAGACACGTTGTTGGCCAACATTTCTCCCCAACTACTGCAACATCTTCAACCACTCCCACTACCGCAGCTCTACACTCTCCTATCTCCATCGGTGGCCGGCACAACCTTTCTATTAGGACGTCCTTGACAACATGCGCTTCAACTTCGTCGCCGTGTCTGTCCTCCTCCTCGGCCTCGTCCACGCCATGCCCTCGGACATGGTGGCCCGCAACGAGGATCTTTCCCTGGACGAGCGCGACGTCGTTACCCTCAACGAGCGCGGGGCACCTCTGGGCCAGCGCTGCCCGGTGGGCCAGACGGCCGTCTCCCTCGGCGTAGCCCCAACCCCCAACGGATGCGGCACCAAGGCGATCAATGTCCCCGAGTTTAGCTTCCACGCGTGCTGCAATGCCCACGACACGTGCTACTCGACGTGCTCGAAGAGCAAGGCCACGTGCGACACGACGTTCAAGACGTGCATGAAGGCCTCGTGCACGGACAAGTACAAGTGGTACGACCCCCGTCGCTACGCGTGCAACGACGCCGCGAGCATCTACTACACTGCCGTCCACCTCGCTGGCGAGCCTGCCTTTGACAGTGCGACTAAGAAGCACTGCAAGTGTGTCTAGGTGGATCCTAGTCGCGAGTTGCGGAGTCCGGCTGAGACGGAAATGACTTTGGCTCGGCACTAACGAAACAGACCGCAACGATCATGGCCGCCATGGGACGTTGTTCTCGTTGGGAGTTCTTGGGTCAGTTCATACCCGTTGCCGCGCCTCTACGTTTGTTCACCACATGGTTCTGATAGGTCTTGGTCAGCGGGCGAGGAGAAAAGTTCAGTTCGGAAGTAATGTCTCTTGGCAGGAGTTTGTAGGCAGATGGATAGGTCATGTGGGGAACATCTTGTCAAGTAGTGGGTTCAGCTTCCTTAGTTTAGCACTGAGCATCAATTGACAGCGACTACTTCCAATGACTTGCATAATGGCACCGCGAGGTCTCGCATCAACAGCAAGCGAACTGTGTTGGGTGAACACATTCTAGCCCACCGTTGCGACAGCGAGTGATCACGGGGTCGATTTCAACCGTCACGCTGCCGCCACTTTGGCGTCGAGCACATGGTGCGAAAGTTCTATCGGACAATCTGACAGAGAGGCGCGAAGTCGCCACAACGTCATCGTTTTTGCATCCCTTTTTGACTCTTACAGTAGTTCCCCGCACTGTGATATCCTACACTCACGCCTTCTCCTCCCTGCGCGGCTCGGGAAGCGCCTCAACCTGCATGTCCTTCATGTCCCGCTCATCGACGACATTGTGCGACTTGCCGAGATAAATCTCACGGGTGAGGAGCGCGGGAATGAACGCAAGGAGCGAAATGATGAGGGCGGCGAGGTACAGTGGGCGGATACCGTCCGTGTATGCCTGGTTGATGAGGTCGTGCGGCTCGGCCTTGCGCGCCTTGAGGAGCGTGCCAAAGATCTCGGCACGCTGCGTCGCGTTGTATGTGTCGCCCACATACTTTTCCAAGTTCTTCGGCACGTTCTCGTTCCATACGGCGCCGGAGATGGCCGCACCGACGCCGCCGCCGAGCTGTGTCCACAGGCCAATAATCGCGATGGCCATGGCCATGTCTGCGTGCCCGACCGATGCCTGCGCCGCGACCTGCGTCGTGATGAAGAGCGTTCCGCCACCGACGGACATGAGGATGCGGCCAATAATGAGGGTGCCTGCCGACTGGTTGCCGCTCGCACCGAGGTACTGGATCCCCTGGCCACTGAACATTAGCAAGTTTTCAGGTCCTGCACTCACATTGACCGGATGGCAAGGCCGCCAAGCTGCACATACTTGTAGCCGTGCGTGACGCGCATGAGCACACCGGCCACAAGCGCAAAGATGCACAGGCCCGTGATCATAATGTTGCCGTAGTAGGTGTAGTTGCGGTCGCTCCACTCGGGCTTGATGATGTAGATCCACGACAGGTCGTACGTCTCGCCCAGGCGGCGGGTAAAGTAGTACTGGAAGTCGAGGATCATGCAGCAGACCTGCAAAGTCAGAAAGGCCGGAACCCCGGGAACTTACATAGGTGCGGTTGAGGAGCTTGCGGGGCATGAGGGGGTGCTTGGAGAAGAAGTACTCCCACACGCCGAACACGAAGAAGAGGAAAGCGCCAACGGCGTACAGCGCGATCAGGGAGGCTACTGTTAGTTTAGAAGGTAGGGGTGTCTCTTACGGTTCGAGAACCCGCCCTTGGCAGTCGTGCGCAGGGTTCCGGGGGCGAGGAGGCAGGCAAACGAGGTACCGATCAGGAGGAGGCCGATGATGTCCACCTGGGTTACGAATGCCTTGACGCGCGCACCGATGGTCTGGTCGTGTTTGGCTGCAGTCAGTCGCAGGAGCGATGGAAGAGGTAGCGTCGGCTCTCATTGACGACTCATGTCGGCGAGGTGCTTTGACGGGTCACCATGGCCTCGGGGACTCTCCAGGTCCCCCATCCCCCACTCCTCGTCTGCACGTCATACTCACCGTCAATTTGGTCCTTGACCTTGGACTGGCCCCAGAAGAGGAAAGCGATTGTCGGCGCAATGCACACGGGTACGACAATCGTGAAGATGCCGTAGCCCCAGCGCCACCCGCTCTGGGAGTACGCGTTGATACCCTGCGAAATGTAACCCGCGATGAAGGCGGACAGGATCCACGGGACGCTGGTGAGTGCCTGTCCGACGCCGCGCCACTCGAGGGGCGTAATGTCCGCAACGAGCAGGATACACATCTGGCGGATACCCAGCTGGCCGAACTGGTTGAGCGCAAGTCCCACGACCACGTCTGAGACGCGCTTGCTCGCAGCCACAATAATGTACCCGACCGTGTACATCACGACGATGAAGCATAACGCGGCGGGACGCGATGCCAGGTCCGAGATCTTGCCGACGATGGGCTGAGTCACGGCCGCGACGACCGCGGAGATGACACCAATCGTCGCTACGAGCGTGTGCTTCTTGTATGCCGAGGTCGCGAACGGCGTGTCTGAAGTCAGCCGGGTCGTTCTATGGTTGATGACAGGCAACGTGTGAATTCGATCTGACTGCGGATCAACTCTGAGACTTTGTGACTCACAAGCAAGGGTAGTCGACTGCTGCAGCGCATTGACGACACACATGAGCCCAATCATTCTTGATATCAGCTCCGTAGTGCGGTGGACTCACCCCCAGAGGAACCACTTGGACCAGCCCTTACGCAGGAGGCCATCTGGTCATCAGCTCAGCACTCGAGGGGATACGTACACATGGCCTCGATGCGCGTGACGCCAATAGGCTGCTCCTCCGTCTTGACCGCCTCGACGCTCCTCTCCTTCTCCTCGGTGCGCACTTCTTGTTGGATTGCTGCCATGGCGACGATAAGTGGGAGTCGAGGGAGGCGAGCTGCAGGTCACTTTTATAGGCAAAGGGGGAGGGTGGAACGGCATGCCAGCTAGCCGGGTCAGCTGCGGATCATTGCGGGTATTGTTCGTGATCTTTTTTTTCTTTGATCGCGACGGCCGAGCGCACCGCGTGCACAGGCTGACTGACCAAACAGATCGCGTCGGCGAATGACCAAGGAGTATCTTAATCTGATAGCGAGGCGTTAGACTCGGCCGATAGCTTGGTAGTTGCTCGGATACAAAGGCTTGGCCTTGGCATAGGGTCTGGAGTCTCCAGAGGGAGGTAGCGATCGTATGTGAGGTACCTGAATAAAGGAGCGCTATGGTGGGGCTCCGATAATGAAGCGAGGAAAACGAAGGGACATAGGATATGGCTCGACAGGATCCAAGTGGAGCATGATTACCGAGGTCCGATCCGGACATCACGTGACCATTGCCCGGAGCCCCAAATATAACCTGGAGCTAAGTCTCGGCTCATCGCGGCGAAGTGCGGTTGCGGGCCGAAAGATACCTGACAACTTCCTCTCAATCAACAGTCAACTCTTGCACTTTAACACGTTCGGCATCCATCGCATCCCTATCATCATGTCGACCGCGGCTGTCCGAGAGAGGTCATCGAGCGCCGAAGAGGCTCCTCGCAAAAAGCCCAAGCGCACTTATCGCGCCTGCTACCCTTGTCGCTCGGTGAGTGACCGTCGGTACCTTCGGTGCTGTGGGTGGCCTATTGCTGACTGTTCGAAGCGCAAGCTGAAGTGCAACTTTGGAGAAGACCCCAATCGACCCTGGAATGGGCCTTGTCTCCGCTGTATCCGTGAGCAGCGCGAATGCGTGCGCTCGATGCCCACTGTTGTACGGTATTCCCTGCCTGGAGCCGACGGCGTGATCGCGTTTCCACACGAGCTGGCATCGGGCTCCGCAACCACCGCAACGTCTACCAGACCGACTGTCATCACGACAAGCACTGGTGAAGTGCAGCCTACCAGGACCCACTCAAAATCGACCTTTAGGAACGAGTATCAGGGACCGAGTCCTCGGGACGACCATTTCGACGACGCCGCCATGGACGCTCATCACCACGGCCGTGCGGAGACTCCACCATCCAGTGGTGGAGACGACGGAGGCAGTGCCCTAGTCAGCTCCAATCTCCAGAACCCCAACGATGCGCTCAAACTCCTGGCAAGCGCCAGCAGTCTCCGGTATCGCAACCATGAGGAGAATCATGGATCGCCCAGTGAACCGATCCCCGATGGGATCAAGGGCAACGCCTCGCCGTGGCTGTCTTGGTCACCCATTGCAGAGGGCCACCTTACCGAGCAAGAAGGAGGCGCACTTCTCTGCTTGTGAGTTATCATGGCTCAATCACGCTGACCTAGAAGCTTTGAGCTGCGCATGGCGCCCCTCTACCCACTGCTCCACCCGGCGATCTTTGCAACCGACTACCTTGATGCCTTGGTGCGAAGCGAGTCGCTGCTGCTGGGTGCGATCATTGTCATCGCATCCCGATACTCCAACGTCCTTGACCCAACCCGGGCAAGCACCATTCATGTTGAGGTTGCTAAATGGGTGCGCTCCGAATTTGCGGCTCTGATCGATGGCGACGCAACGCTCAGGACAGTCAGCACCGTTGAGGCTCTCCTACTCCTCTCCGAATGGCCGATGCTGCCCCTTCGCGAGCGTCAACGTGCGGGGCCGGACTCGGAAGAAGCTCGTCTATTGAGACCCAGCCTGCGCTTTGATGCATACTGCTGGGGAAACATTGGTGAGTAACCCATGGCAACCTCGTTTAGATCTGGCCGTTGACGTAATAGGGTGGGCGGTGCGTCTCGCCCATGAACTGGGCATGGAGGAGGTCGTCTTCCAACTGCCAGCAGTGGCCAATACGCCTGACGGTTGGAAGCAAGACAGAATCTTGAAGAGTTACATTTACTGCTACAATGCAGAGCAGCAGTGAGTTCAAGACGATGGGCTGTAACATTTCACGACGTGCTCGGAGAGCGTCATGGCATGGTTCGGTGGCGTACTGGCCTCTGCCGATCATCAAGCCCTCCCTTCTGCCTTCACATTTGCAACTGTCTCCCTTTCTTCTATCAACGGCACACAAGCTTCTCCAGCACCTGCGACATCTGCTGACAATTCAGCATTGCCACTCGCCTTGGCAGAAACGCCGTGATGCAACCCAATAAGTCGACCGCGTGGTGGGAGTCTTTGTCGCGAGAGGTCAACTGCGCCGCACCCGAGGGTGCCTCTACCGATGCCTGGCGTTCCGATCTCATCCCCCCTGCGTGCAATGCGCAACTTATGTGCAGTATTCAACAGCATCTCTGTGAGCTCTATGATTGCTTCCCTGAGCTGACAGCAGACTGGAGTAAAGAACTCACCCACACTCTCCTCCGCACGGGTGCATGGGAGTCGTTTATGCGCAGCCTCCATCTCGATATGGACTACAGCAGCAAATGTTGTGAATCAAAACTGAGCTCCGGTACTGTTAGCGGCTCGCTCCTGCAACTCGAGTTCGATTACATGGTCCTGTATGCCAATTCGCTCGCTCTGCGGTCTCTACAGGGTCGCATGAGGCGCGGCCGCGCAGCCAAGGACCCAGCATGGGAGACACCGTCGTTGCTCAACATGGTCGAAGGAAAATGGGTGATTGGTGCCCTCGATGCGGCTCGTTCGATCATCGATATCGCCCTCAACGTTCTCCAAAAGCGCCAGTACTTGAGGTACTGCCCCTCGCGCATCTTCCAATACATCCTCTTTGCCACGACGTTCCTGTATAAGGTGAGCCTTTCCCGTGCCTCTAGTACTGACTTGATTCAGGCCCTTGCCAGTGGTGTGGTTGAGCATGGTGAGAGCTCTGTTGCTGGCTTGCTCGAACGCACAGTTGCAGCACTCAGTGCGGCGGCGATCGATGACGAACACTTCCTTGCGGGTTTCGCGGTGCTTCTCGCTCGACTGGGAAAGCACTGGCACGGCCCCAAGTCGGACTCGTCCGGCGTTTTCCGCCGCCACGCATCCTCGGCCGCAGAATCGCAGCCTACACCTTCCAGTTATGGTGCGCCACCTACTCTGCAGGTGAATGGCCAGTTCCCCAGCGCCATGGATACTGTAGGAGAGGGGCTCCACTTTGGTGACATGCCAAGCGCCCACCAACTTCCGGGCCACGCACTCCAAGCGCCATCCGGAATCTCCGACAGCTTCATGTGGCAGCTGGATCTCACGTCCCACATGCCCGCTGCCGACCTCGAACAGGACATGTTGTTCCAGAGTATCTGGGATGCCCACTCGGACGCCGCCATCACCTCGTCCAATCTGTACGCGACCCTTCTTGGTGGCGCTGTGCTTGATTTTCCCGATACAGCCTGAAATAGTAGCGAGCCACGTTAATGCATGCGGTTCACACGACAACAGCCTACGCTCTGTGCCAGCGTCGTAATAGGGTTTGAGATGGACTTGCCCACTCTTCGTCCTCGGAAAAGCGGGGCGCCGAGGACTAGTCTGATTCCTATTACCTGGTTCCTATCCACAAGCTCACCGCAGGCTGTTATCCGGATTAGCGGAGCGCTCGGCATCACACCTCCACGCTATCCGGGTTCACGGGGCACAGATAGCACTGTCACCGTGTTCTGACCCTGCGACCCTTCCATGAGCTTAATGTGATGGTCGTGTATGTCATAAATCATGTAGATGTTCGTACATGTTTGTACAAGTGCATAGAGGTCGCGTCCTTCGCGTCAAGGCCAAATGTTTTCGGCATACATTCCGTCGTTTCGGGCGGACCTTCGGGCCGTTCGCGCCTAGCATGGCCGTTTCTGTCTCAGTTTGGTTTGGCGCGTGCCATTCGCCTTATCGCCCGCCCATTGCTCGCTGCCGCAATCTCCATCTGCATAAGGGGCAGGCCGGTCAGGTTCCGAGTCACCCCCGTCTTCCAGGGCCTAATGGCGGTACCAAGCGTCGCAGAAGATGGCGGCAGGACGCGGTTGTTGCTTCGTGAGGAAAAGGGACGGAGTGGGGTGCCTCAGGATCATGAGGAACCCCACACGGAGTCGCCGTTGCTTTCATTTGGCGACTTTGGAGAGCCGAGTGCCGCAAGGTGGGGGAAGAGGGGGGACCTAGTGCATGCCCAGTTGCACATAAGAGCAGCCAACAGCAAACACTGCCGCGTTCTCGCTCCATCCATTGATCTATTATCACGCAGAGTGGACGCTCACCAACAAATTCCTACCGTCTGAAGTCTCCGATACCTCAACTGAGCCTCGCCGTGGATCAAAAGGCTCCGAGATCAACAATCTATCATGTCGGCCTACTACGCCGATGAAAAGCAGGACAAGGTCGACGTCGAGGTCGTGACCACCGATGGGGCCGTCCACGATGCCGTTTGGGGCGATATTGACGGCAAGGGGCCCAACTACCGCGGTCTTGGCTGGTGAGTGGATAATATTCGTCGTAATTTGTCACAAAATTGGGTAGACCACATTTCAGATGAACGAATATCTGACAACTATACAGGGCCCGCACTGCTGTCGTTCTGGTCAAAATCCAGATCGGCCTCGGAGTGCTGTCTATGGCTTCGTTCCTCGATGTGCTAGGCCTCATACCTGGTGTACTCGTCATCATTGTAGTGGGCATCTTGACAACCTACACGGATTACATTGTCGGCACCTTCAAACTCGCCCATCCCGAGGTATACACCCTTGCCGAGTATGTGAAACGTCTGGAAAGCTTGCACGAACGGCATGCTCATACCACAGTGTTGGCCAGTTGATTTGGGGTCCAATCGGCCGCGAAATCCTCTTCGTCGGCTACTGGCTGTATCTCGTCTTTGTCGCGGGTGCTGGTCTTTTGGCCATATCCACTGCACTCAACGCCGTCTCGGACCACGCCATCTGTACCGCGCTCTTCACCCTAGTCGGTGCCGCTACTGTCATGCTCATCGCCTCGATCCAGACCTTGGACCGGATCTCCTGGATCACCTGGGTCGGTGTCATGGGAATCATGACTTCGGTCATTACACTCACAATCGCGGTGTCTCAACGCGACCGTCCGTATGCCGCCCCTCAGACCGGTCCCTGGGACAAGCAGCTCAAGCTTTGGGGTGATGCGCCCTTCGTCGACTGCTGTGCTGCAGTTGCCGCTATTATCTTCTCATACGCCGGTGCCCCCGCCTTCTTCTCTGTGGTCGCGGAAATGAAAAACCCTCGCCAGTTCACGCGGTCCCTCCTGGTGTGCCAGGCCGTTGTCATTTCTACCTTTACCATCGTCGCGGCTGTCGTCTACCACTACTGTGGAGTGTACCTCTCCTCGCCTACGCTCGGCTCAGCCGGTGGGGTGATCAAGAAGGTCTGCTACGGCTTCGCTCTCCCTGGACTCATTGCCGGCGCCGTGCTCAACACACATATCCCGGCCAAGCTGCTTATGGTGCGCTTCCTCCGCAACTCGGAGCACCTAGCCAACAACACGAAGGTCCACTACATCGTCTGGTTTTCGTGCATTGCCTTCAACGCCTCCATCTCATTCATCATCGCCGAGGCCATCCCAGTGTTCAACAACTTGCTGTCGGTTGTTGGTGCCTTCCTCGCCACTCCCCTGTCCATGACTGTCGAGTGTCTCATGTACATGTGGGAGGTTCGTCGCAAAGACGAACAGCCCACAATGAGGGGAAGGCTCATGTACGGGTGGAACTTTTTCATCTTTGTCCTCTCACTCTTTGCGATTGGAACCGGAATGTGGGCTTCTGCCATGGCGATCAAGGGCGATATCGACAAGGGTAATCTCCTCAAGCCTTTCGGATGTGCCGACAACTCGGGCTTCCACCCGGCGTCTTGAGGAGTCTTGAGGAGTTGAAAGGGGAAGGAAATCAAATACGGTCTGTAGGTTCAGTATTGTGTGGATGTCAGCGCTTGTAGAATGTTCTGTGGTGTTGAGCTGCTTGCGCATCAGCTAGAGGCATTCAGTATCGGTGCACAGTCACGGTGTCGCAACATTTCTGGGACTGATACCACGGTAGGTCGTAGACACGGATAACTGCAATTTACCCTGGGAATCTGTCGAGGGACGTATTGCTGTAGACTGGAGGGGATACATTGGCTAGAGATCAATAACAGGGGGTCGATACGATATAGGGCGTGATTGGCAGGTATCCTTGCGCTAAAGCTTCGACTTGCGAGTAGTCTTGGTAGAGACATACGAGTGCTGCTTGTTAGCGGGCACAGTCGGGTGTTTCACAACTGCTCACCCAGTACACATCGATTCCGTCCGACAGCGACATCTTCCTGGGCGTCCAGCCAGTAAGAGCGTGGGCAAGAGACGACTTGTTCAGGAGCGGGCTGATCCAGGCGACCTCATAAGCTGCACAGCGTCAGCACTGCAAGACACGCACAACCCTGTGCCTAGATGGGTAACTCACCGTCCGCAGTGTCCTTGCGCTTCCATCCCTTGAGTCCAGCCACGCGCACCACGCCGTCGAGGATATCCCTCAGGTTGTCGGTGCTGGGGTTGGATGCGACAATGGCCTGGCCGCGGCATACGCTACCAAGCTCTGCAATGCGCACAAACAAATCGGCGAGGTCATCGGTGTGAATGGTCGAGATCTTGCCGCTGTCCGAGCTGATGCTTTCAAACTCCTTGTCACCGCGCTGCGCGGCAGCGTACGCGGCGTCAAAGTGGTATGCGGCGAAGTACGAGCCTGCCTTGCCGTAAAGGCAGGTAGGGCGGATGACTACGCCGTTGACCTTGTCACCTGGGGAGTGAGTTCCAGGATACGTCCAGCTACGCTCCACTTACTCTTCATGACTGGTACTTCAATCTGCGAGCGCCAAATGGTGCCCTTGTTAACAGGGGCGTTGGCAGGCTGACGCTCGTCCGACCATGCTTCCAGTCCGCCGTAACCGCGAGCCATGACGTAGTGTCCACTGGTGTAGAGGTAGGTAGGCAAGGGAGAGCCCTCAGGGCGTCCAGAGATGGCCGAGAGGAAGGTGTGGAAGATGGCAAGGGCCTTCTCAGCGCCGCCAGAGGCAAGGCAGTCGAGCACTGGAGAGTTGATCAGTGGATGGCAATGCGGGTTCAGCTCAGCTGTACTTACGGACGTCGACGTCCTTGGCCACCGCACCCCAGACTTTCTGACCCTCAGCAGTGTGAGGGTCACAAACGACTGGTAGGATCTCATGGAGACCAAACTCGTTGGCAGAGTCGTGGCTGCGGGTCTGGCCCCAGACAATGTGTCCAGCACGGACGAACGCGTCGGCCGCTGCGCGACCGATGAAACCTGGTTCTGTCAGCTCATGTCCAGGTAAGAAAGAACTCACCACTTGCACCGAGGATAAGGACCTTCATGATTGCTGCTGTTGGTGTTGTTGTTGTTGTTGTTGTTGTTGTTGTTGTTGTTGCCGAGTCTGCGGAACTGGGGAGATGGGTGGGCAGCCAGAAGCTGCGAACGGTGACTTTAAATAGTGGGTGTGCAATGACGTCTGACTAACAACAACCCGAGCGGCGTCTCCGGATTAGCGGATCCGACGGCGACTCCGTCCAACATTTCGTTTTGTCTTCTCCATGACAACAGCACTTGATTGCTTGTGCATGAACACTGAGTAAGCATGACAAAGATACCTCCACACCCTCCACCATCCTCCACCGCAGGAACGCTCCTTGTGTCGTGTTCTTTGCATGTTGTGTAGTGACTGTGGTGAATCAGCTGTGACCGGCGATCACCGCAACAGCACCTCGGTGCTTTCTAGGCGTTCACGTCTTATCCTCCAGAGACTTCCGCACATTCCCTTCTCTCAAAGCACACACTGATAAACATGAAAATGAACATAATGCATACAGGTTGAATAGCTAGAGCTTCTGATTGACCTCGTCCATATTAACGTCCGTGTGCTTTGCTTCCACCTGGCCCTCAGTTGGCAGCGTTGCCTCTGGGTCCAACTCCTCTTCGACTTTAGGCCGTACACCGCAACGCTCCAGCACCCAGTTCTTCAATGGAGGCGCAATGGTGAGGATACCAGAGAGCAAGAAGGTGAACCCGCAAAAGATACCAGCGTAGGTGAACTTGGCATTTCCGACCGTGATGAGTTCTGAAAGTCAGTATGAAGCATGACAGGCAAATGTGGTACTCACCACCACTGATAACTGGGCCAATTAAGCCAGGAAGAGCGACGCTGGACCACATCATACCAATGCGCATGCCGATCTCAGTGACGGGCGAAATGACAGCCGTGGCTGAAGCCGCGACCGTGAACCATCCGCCGGAGAAGATTCCGTAGAAGAGCAGGCCCAGTAAGGTTGGTGCGTCACCCACATTCGGTGGCGTCCAGAATGCGAACATCGTAATGGACGTGAGGAACGGGATGCACCCGAATACGTTCCATACGCCGAACCGGTCGGCCATGATCCCAGCAACCACTCGCCCGACGAAACTACCCGCCTGGAGGATGGCCACGGCGTAGTTGGTGATCGACGGTGAGCAGTCGTTGGACACGGCAAGGGCCTGAGCGTTGAAGTATGGTGTGAGGATGTTACATCCATACAGGCCAGTGCCAATGACCAGGAAGACGAAGCGGACTTCAGTCAATGGGCGCTTCAGAGTCTTGAGCGGAGGTGGATGACGAGGGGGCAAGCGGGCCTTGACCCAGAAGCAAGCCGGGAACATGAGTGCAAGGTTGAAGCATGCAACAATGAGCATGGTGTCCCGGAAGGCTTTGACGTCAGCCACCCATCACCAGCTGCGCGTGGCTTACATAGTCTCTTAACCAGTTGGGTGATCATGATGGGGTAGATGACGCCCCCTAGGCCCGATCCGCCAACAATGATGCCCACGGCGGTGCTCCGGCGCCTGAGGAACCAGTGACCAGCCACGGCCGTCGCTGGTGCGTAGATGAGAGTGCCGGAGAAGGCAAATGCCGCGTGAGACAGGAAGAAGCCGTAGTACTGTTGGGAGACTGCAAGGGTCAGAGGGGAAGCCGGTGCGATCTCAACTCACATGCAATGCCGACGACAGCAGCAAACGCGATGACGGTACCAGCAATGGTCAGGCGACGGGCGCCGTGAATGTCAAAGTATCGTCCAGTCCATAGCGCAAATCCGAACACGATGAATGGCTGAATGGACGAAATCCATCTGCAAGACGTCAGTTCACAGCCGCAACGGTGACTAACGCGATCTGCGATCTTGAATACTGCTTGAGCTGATGTTCGCTGTAGTATGTGATCAAGACACCAGCGCTCGTTACTGCCAGTCAGAATGTGGTCCCAGAGCTGCTCACTCACTGAGGCCAAACACAGTGAAGAGCTGTAGGAATGTGCCCGCAACGCAAAGCCAGGCCTCCCGGCCGCCGTCTGGGGGCGGGCCAACATCCAGGGGCACGCCAGTAAACGGCCGCTCGAGATCGCCGGGCTCTGGTGGATCCGGCTCCGCCGAGATGCCAATGCCAGTGCGTGCGGACTCTAACGAGGTTCGTGAGCGCGTTGGGCTCATGGAATCATGATGGTGGTGGTGGTGGTGGTGGTAAGGGTGAGGGTGTTTGTGGGCCCCTGGCCCTGGGTCGGATACGTCCGCCATGAGTGGGCTTGGCGAGGCTGCTAAGGTGGTGGGTGCTGATGAAGATGAGTTGTCGCTGCCGAATGCATGGATCAGTTGTAGTGGAGGGGAGGTCGGAGACTGTCGAGGTCTTGAGTCATGTAGCGGAAACAGGCGGGCTGAGCTGACTCAGACTCTTTGTTGCTCGCAACTCCTTCGAGTGGAGCAGTTCGTAACGAGTAGTCGGGTATTCAGAATACGCGTCGTGAAGGCCGAGTTAGTGCTGGTTCAAGGCGTAGATCACTTCCAATGCCGACCTTTGCCCTCGATGCAGAGCACTTGCCGTCGGTCCATCGCCGTCTTGCGGCCGCAATGATGTAAATGGCTTGTATTCACGTGAACAAAGGAGGGTTTGTAGCGGTTTGTAACGGTTTGTAGCGGCTTGTAGCGGAGTAAAGCGGCCGATGGTGGGCAAGTGTAGTTAGAAACAGCCCCCGCTCAGGCCTGTACCGTAGTCGCTGACAAACAACGCAAAGAGGCCGAAAGCCGCTCCGCAGCCCAAATACCGAGAGCATGCATGAGTCGATGCTGATTGCTGGGGGTGCAAACGATGTCCATGATGATGCGTGTCTATGGCTAATTATACTACAGTGTCTAGTGTCCGAGTTCAAGTCGCAAGACGCCGATGTTGGCGACTACCGACGGACCGTTGTCCGGCGACCAAAAAGGTGCTGCTCGTTCAACCTCAGGATGCATTCGGTACCGTTGAGGTAGTGCCTGCGATCACACGAGCGGACCTTGCACTTGCCCTCAACACACGTCACTGAATCGGCGCCTGGAATCGAGCTGCAGTCGACTCCTTCACTGGTATACGGGCAACCGCCACATGCCTCGAGGTCGCGCGAGGTGTCGAGGCACTCCCATCCACCGTTGCGAGTGGGGCATTCGGTCATGCCATGCGAACACCGGCCGCCAAAGGGGAGATCACGCTTCCTGAGAGGTTTGGGAACACCAGATGAACATGTCTGCGTGGCGGGGTTGATGCAGTACGAGGTTCCGCACTTGGTGTATCCAGCGTTGCAGGTGAAGCCGCAGGAACAGTCGGTTGGAACAAAATTGGCCGAGGGGTAGGTACAAGCTGTGATGGCCCCAGCGGTGCCCCAGATCGTGGTCGTGAACTGGGAGACAATGTAGTTGGCGCACGATGCAGCGGTTGAACACGAGGAACCGCACTGGTAGGCACACATTTGCAGGGCCCACGATCCGTTTGTGTACGCTGTTGTGGTCTTGGACGAAATGGCGGCCTGGACGTTGGCCTGGAACGAGGCTATCATGGCGCCATTCTGCCAGCACCAGCCTTTGGGGTTGGTCGTACTAGATCCGAACAGCAGTGGCTACATGTGTCAGTGTTTGTAGGGCATTGTATGTACCTACGATGTACTGGTTGTTGTACATAGCCGAATTCCTGTAGAGGAAGGAATAGCAGGTGCAGCCGGTTGTAACAGTGGCACGTGCTGCCAGATCCAGCTGGCTTTCCACATGTTTATCAAAGCTGCTGATGCTGCCGGTGTCGAACAACCCAGAGGACCGCACCACGGAGGTGGATGCCAACGCGACCAAGGCAGTTAAAGAGGTACCAAGACGCATATCGACGGGGGTGTACACTAGGAGTTGCGGGCTTGAATGTTGCGGGGGGGGGGGGGGGGGGGGGGGGGGTTGGGTTGTCAACGTCAACGTACCCATCCAGCTTTTATCACCCGCGCTTGCACTGTCCCCACAGGCCACAGGGGGCCCAGGGGCCCGTCCACCTGCTTGAACATACTGGGGGAGATGGTAAGCAAATCCTCCAGTTACTAGCACGATTGGTGCATGCGATTGGTGCATGGCGCCCATGGTAACAGAGGGGAAGAAGGTGAGCACAGAAAGCAACAGGCCGAGACTGCATGGAGAATCACACATCCGCGGCCATCGGGGATCTACAGGAGTTGTTTGAATTGATGGTCCAGGGAATGTTAAGGGGATGACTACAACCTAACAGTGTTCGGGGCGATGCATAAGGTCTGGAAGTTGACAACAGACAGGGTTCCGGGCTGATACTCTCCTCTCATCGAGCTGTGCTCTCGATTAAGACCACATGGGCCAGAGTGCTCCTGAAAGTAGGAAGGAATGTGGGCCACATGGAGAAGGATATTCCGCGTGTGGACTGTAGTCCAGGGTGTACAGTTCGGATACAGTGTTAGTGGCATTCACATAGACTAAACCGCGGAGCTCTTTCTCGGGCCCATCCGCAGAAATGGCAGGATAGGCGGCAGTGGCGCAGTGGGTTTGGTCGACATCGGAGGTCGCATACATTGGGGGGGGGGGGCTACGTGCCAAACTGTTGAGTCACCTCCATTCTTCAATAATTTTGAAGAATATTTACAATATCCCAAGTCTCGCCCCTCCACAAACACGCATCCTCAGATCCTGCGGGTACCTGCCCCCTCAAGGTGCACAATCCTTTCCGGTTCGGTGGCGTTTTCTTTCCAAAGCCGATTGCAGAAGGCTGGACCATGTCACCACGGGGTGGCAAGTTTTGGTAGGTTAGCTGCAGCGGCAATGAGCGGTTGGCTGGACAAGGTTTGTTCCATTCGAGCCCCTGGACGATTGCCCTTGCTGGTTGCCCAAAGTAGGGACAGTAGGGACACGAGCTGGAGTTTCTGCAGTAGTAGTAAGTAAACATGAATGGGATGACGATACCGGTAGTCCAGAACTGACGCCTAGCAGGAATCTTAAATGTCGGTTCGGATCCAGGATGAAGGACCGGAAGATCGCCATCGGCTCGCTCCCTTCATTGTGCTGCAATCCCGGTCCGAAACCCCTGTACCGGTGTGTCCAGACATGCCCAAAGTCTGGGCTGAGCGGAGGATGCCGCCTCTATAGCCCTGTTGGTGAATGAGTGCGACGGCATGAACAATGAACAAACATAGACAAATTTCCGTGCGCCTGGCCATTCCAACTCCTGCTCCTGTGGCAACACACGCACATTCACGATCTCGCCCCCGGGCGTGCAATGACGACCCCTCTCCTCTCGTGACCCGATTAAATCGGCACTCCGGGTAACTAAAGGTTCTCGCCCAGACAAGGCTGCGCCAATCAGCAGAACCAATATGGGCATGGTATTATTGGGCGCGACCTGTTGGCTGGTGTAACCCGAACTGTTGTACCAGTGGTAGTGTGCCACAGATTGGCAGTCCAAGGCATTTGCATCCGTCCACCCTTCGTGAGCGGTCCACCAGTCGCGTTTGTGGTGCATGCGTCTCACCCTGTATAGGGAGCTGTCGAGCTGTGGTCACGGTACAAATTTGGTACATTCAAGGCTATGGTGCTATGCAGGGATGGGGTATACGATGTTGCAGACGCTACATGAAAGAGAGTGCGTCCAAACGACCACTGGCGAGTGGCTTAGTGGGTGTGGATCGAAATCTGGGTGTACGGGTTGTGGTAGTCGTTCTTGCTGGTCTTCTTGTGGTGGTGGTCCAGGAAGCCCATCTTCTCGGCCTCATCCATGCGACGCTCACGGCGCGAGCGGCCGCAGCAGCACTGCCAGAAGGAGAAGAACTGGGCGACGACAAGGCAGAAGAAGGCGACAACTACAAAGGCAAAGGCTGGGCCGTATGATGCCGACACGCCGGAAACCTTGTTGACCTCCAGTCGGATAAAGCTGAAGATCAAAACGTCTACGAGGAAGACGAGGAAAGTGAAGAGACCGGCGATTCCCGAGGCGATGTTGACAAAGACGAAGCCGAAGCGGTTGGAGAACAGCGAGATGAGGAATGCAATAAAGGAGAGCAGAGCTGCCAAGGGGTGGATGATCATGGCCTTGGTCAAGGCATCATACTTGTCCGTGACGTTGGTGCCAGATGCCAGGCGGTTGATCATAGCGGAAATGGCAAAGCCAATCTTGGGAGACGTGCATGATGTTTCGGGCGAGACCTGGCAAACACCGAGCATTCCGACCCAGGACACAAAGTCCTGACCATTGGTCGAGACTGTGGTTTTCAAGAAGCCGAGAGTGTGGATCACGGGCGTGCTGACTGAAGGTCAGCTGGGAATACGAAGAGTGACACTCACTTGTACACAGCACCAGGAGGATGGTAGCTGCCAGCAGGCAGGCGGTGCCGATGTGGACAATGACGGGCATGTCGAGCGAGAAGTGTCTTCGCTTATGTGGGTCTCAGGGGTCGGCGCGGTCGGTGCTCAAGAAGTCAACGCAGGCGTGCAAACGCGGGTGCACAATGGGTGTGAGAGTATGCTTGTGAGGGAGACTGGATGGGAAGTGGTCGCACCAGACAGCGGTTTATGTACATGCATGCTTGGCAGATAGTGACGGGGTGGGAAAGAAGCCATACTGCTAGGCTCCCCTTGGCTTCATCGCTTTGCAGTGGTGGGCGGTGCATTTGAGCGCCATCACGGGCATTACCCACGGCATCTTTTGACGAGCCGCACACCGCTTCCCCGTAAGGAACTTGCAACGGTGCCAAGCACATGCCGCACAGTCCGGAACTCTGGAACCCCACCACCGCATATCCGCATGCATGCAACAGGCCAACGGCCAACGGGCCTGGAGAGGGGTGGTTTGAGAACACCAACGAATGTTGCCAGCCAGGCAGCTGGTCGTCATCCCAACCCGGGTAACTCCGCCGGGTACCTCGAGGGTGTGAGGCTTGCGATCCTTCGAAAGGTGAAACAGAATCGGAAAGGTGGTGCACAGGTCCAGAACATCAATTCGGCTGCACTGTCGTAGGTGCGAATGGCTGCTGTACTGCTGTGCCTCCCCCGAAAGGTGTCTACCGTCAAAACCGCGGTTACTGGTGTGGAGCTGGCCACCAAAACATCGCCGACACCCAGCAAATAATAAAATCCCCGGCAGTGAGGTAGCCCAGAGTGGCCTGGATCAGTGGCCGATCAGCGGACGTTCATCGTCTTGCATGGCATGCCTTGGCGTGGAACAAGCCTTGCTGTGTCTTCATAATCGAGATTGGCTCGTTGGTACCTGCGCCGGCCGTTTGATCGCTCGGCGACTGTGGCTCCACGCTCACTCACAATCGTCACGGCGATATCACGGTCACAGCAACGGACGACAGCAGCACCGCAGACAGAACATAGCGACCGAGTGATATACCACACATCGTTGTCTGAGAAACCGTTTCGAGTGCTGTACTGTCTTGTTGAAAGGTTGCACTACTCACCCGGAAAACACGGGAGAGTGTGGGAGCGGTTCAGACTGCCGAAGCTGTGTGGGCAGCTGACATTTCTACTATTGGATAGGGAGCGAACCCTCATCCTGAGATTCCGGCGGGTTTGCTGGGTTTGGGAGTGTGGGGTGGTTTGAAACACACCAACGATTGGTCTCGACTCTCACTCCGGTCCATATCGTTGTCCCAGGTTTGAATTGCACTGCTGGACATCTCATACAGCGTGGTTGTTTGTCAACGGCGGAGTGCGCCATTACCAGGTCCTTCTTGCACGTGCGCATCATCGGCGCAGAGCTTCCCGGCGGGTCGACATGCCACTCCATTACGCTCGCCGAGCGAGGTCCACTGATCCGCTGAAGCGCCCAAACACCTTGCAGATCAGGTCCCAATACATGCAATACACCCGATTTAATATGCCGACGGCATGCGACGATTTCGCCCGGAACCAAAATCGTCAAATTGCCGTCCCCCAAACTACTCTGCATCTCTGCATCTGCCCACCTATCAACGCGACGCAGATGTAGACGACGGCAAATGCAATAGAGATGCCCACAGGGCAAAAAGGATACATCCAAGGGGACTCGAACCCCTGTCCCAAGCGATATTGTATTCAAATGGTTGAATTCAATGGAAAGCATGTATACTAACCCCTATACGATGGATGTTTGGTGAAAATTGGGTTTGTAGTGCGGTCAAAAGCGGTGTGATGTGTCCGCGACTGCTTTATGTCTGTGCCATCATGCCTTGCCCGTGTACCCGTGTATTATTCATCTGTATGTATTGCTGGATTCTCCACAAGACCATCTTTACCCATGGGTGGAGAGGAAGAACTGAAGGAAAGCTGACCCGGAAACCCATGCCGCATGTACTTGTGGCCGAGTATACCTGGCAGACACTGTGTCAATCCTCACCTGTGCTTCCATGGTCTGTAGAAAAGAGTCGTGACCTATGCATGATCCGTATTACAATACGGCGGGGTCCCTTACACCCCGCCTTGATTAAAACTCGCTGGTCTCCACCACGCGCACACCCTCGACCTTCTTCTCCTCCGAGTCATACGCCTCACTGCCGCTCTCGTGAACAATGCCACCGCTCTTGTCCACCAGGTCGTGCACCGGCACCTCGAGGAGAGTCTCGTGGGCGGGCCAGAACCTGTTGAGGGTGTAGTACACAAGCAGGGCAATGGCGTCGCCGGCAATGTTGCTGACCATGTAGACGTACTTGATGTTGCCAATGTCCAGGTTGGCGTTGATGGCAGCGGCCATGCCGGGAAGGTTGGGGGCGATGGCACAGCAGAGGGCGGCATACGAGCGCCAGTTCCAGCCGCCGATGTAGCGGTAGATACCCTGAGGCTTGTACAGCTCGTAAATGTCCATCTTCCTGGACTTGACGACGAAGAAGTCAAACGCCATGAGAGCCGCAATGGGGGCCAGCACAATCGAGTAGGAGCTCATGAACGTGAGGAAGTTGGCAGCCGAGTTGAGGACCTTCCAGGGGGCAAATCCCCACACGCCAATGGTGATGGCGATCATCTGGCCACGACGAATGTTGAGGTACTTGGGGGCAAGCGAGCACATGTCGTTGGCGGCCGAGATGGAGTTGGCGGTGATGTTGGTGGTGACGTTGCCGAGAGCCCAGGCGAGGGCACCGACAAACATGCAGAAACGACCAACGTGCGAGGTACCCCACTTTGCGACGACGTCGTACGGCTGGTAAAGCGCGTCACCGTACACGGAAAGACAGCAGGCAGCGGTAATGGCGGAGAGGATCGACATGACAGTAAACAGCAGGGGGAAGGCCCACAGCTGAGTCCAGGCGCTAGTGGGACGCTTGCAGTAACGGGAGAAGTCACCAATGTTGAGCGACAGAGTGGCCCAGGTACCCGACGTGGCAGTGACCGAGGTCATGAAGGCGACGAAACGGGCTGTGCCGGGCGCAACGCGGTCGACCGGGTTGGAAAGGGCCTCGGCTGCGCCCGAGCCAGCCTTCTTGACCGCCCAAATGACAGTGCCGATGGCGACGATGGGAACGATGATAGCCTTGACGTTGAAAACCCACTTGAGCTTGGAAGGGTGGATGAAGATGAACGGGAACTGGATCAGCCAGAAGAGGAAGAACGAGAGGAAGTCCTGCGAGGTGGCGCCCTGCGAGACCGGGACGTGGTTGGCAAAGTCCTTGTACTGGGGCCAGATGGCTTCAATCATGAGCGAAACAAACTGGCCGCCAGACCACGAGTTGATCGAAAGCCAGAAACAGGCGATAACGCAGCGAGACAAGACCACAAACTTGCTGCCCCAGTATCCGAACGTGGCACGCGAGGTGACGGCAAAGGGAGTGTGGATCGTGGCGCCGATGAAACCGTTGGCAGTGATGACGATAGCGACAAAGCACGATCCGACAAAGACCGCAAGACACGATTCCCACCAGGTCAAGCCAAGGGCGACAAAGGACGAGACAGTCGCCCACGAACCGCTGTGGCGTGTCAGCTCCGGACTCCTGGGACAAAACTGAGTGTGCCCATGACTTACGGGTTGATGAGGTCAGAAATCCAGTACGACACAAAGGTCCAGTTTGTCCAGACGCGAAAGTCTGGAGGCGAGGGGTCCATGTCTGGGACAGCGTCAGCACCGTGGCCTTTGCTTGCTGTCACGCGACTTACCTTTGTTAGACCAGACATTCTCGGGGGCGATACACGACTCCTCCTTTGGGAGGACCCAGTAGTCTCGACTAGCCATCTTTCCGATCTTCTTCGACATGATGTTTGCAGTTGCAGCGTGGAGAGGGGTGTGCAGTGGGAGTGATATGGAGGAACTCCACTGCAACCACCGTCAATGTACTTTATACGTCTATCTTCGGCCCGTCTATCTCAGGCACTCTTGCTGAGGCATGACCTTGTCGCCTCAAGACCAGATAGCGTTTTCCCGGGACACTCTCTCTATCTGGCGCCGAACCCCGCGTCCATTCTCCCATCGGAGTGTTCCGGCTTAACTCACTCTCTTCGTGTCTGATCCCAGCAGGAAGCAGACCGGTATGGGAGCGGCGCGGAGCGCCCTCCGGCATTTCATCGACCAGACGACCGAGGTCTCGTGGCCCATATTGGTCCGCCAGGCTCGGAGATTCATGTTTGCCGCCCTGTGGACGGGTTAATGCGATAAGCCATCAGACCAATGGGCGAATGGCAGGTCGGCACCGTCCAAAGTATTCTGGGATGTAAAGGCTGGACCGGGACCGGCAGCCTGACTGTGGTACTGTGGAGCACCGAAGACGACGCCCAGACGGGCTGCCACCGTGGACCACATGGGTTCGCGGCTCAACAAAGTAATTTGGTGGCGCGAGGCTTATCGGCCTTATCATCAAAAGCCACTACACAGAAGAAAAAACCCGTGCACTGGATGGAGGTTGGGAACTCGGTTGCCCGCACAGGGTGGCGACGCTTCAAGCCAAGCGCGACTGCGTGAAGCAGGCAGAGCCAGTCCCGACTGGCCTCGGACGGCCGTGTTACCTTAAGTCGCAGCAATAGCCTTTGTCGCGGTTCTGGTTCGCTAACATATAGCGACCGCAGTCGCTTTGGCCGGCAAGTGGCGGCACCTCGGCTGCAGTACACTACACTGGGACACATGGACAGAGTCAGACAGTGGTCAACGCCATGGCGGGCGGGTATGGCTCTGAACGGCGTCTGCGAAGCGACAGTAGTGCCTATCGTCAGACTGGCCGGCGTACCGGAAAGCCAGTGATGTCGACGGCAATTTCCGTTCGTTTTCAAAAAACGTATCGGTCACTCTGTTGTCTCACCGCCACATGTTCACAACGTTGTGCGAGGCGTCCACTTGGCACAGTGCCGACGTAGACCTCTATGTACCTGCCTCTGATATCCGCAAAGTCCAAGCGCTCGCGACATGGTGGCATTGTTCTTGCACTGATACGTGCCCGACCGAAGAGGGTTTGGGGAGAGCATCAAAGACCATTCGATTATCCAAGGCTTTGTTGCTGCAAGGTACAACTCGAAGGGTGTCGGCGGTCGATACCTTCCAAGCTCACGGTCACACCTTCTGGATTGGGACCTGTTACAGGGACGCAGTGCCGTGTACAGATCCCCGAGGCTGTCCGAGTATTTTAAGACTGAGTGCGGTATATCTAGACTTGTGAGCAGCGCAGTCCCAAAAACATGGTGATTTAAATTGGTTGTTCGGTGCCGGTGCTGATGCTTTTTCTTCTTCTTTTTCTTCTCTTTCCTTCGGCGGTTCTTTCTCACCACCCATGTGTCTTGACTTTTTAAACATGCCCGGCCACACGACCTCCAAAATGGACTAGGAGAGAGAACCATCTACTACTGATAACATGTAGATTGCCGTTCGTGGCGATCACTGCAGGGTGCAGTGTATGGGCTCTGCCGCTCGCATCGGAGATGGCGATGGGCTGCGGGGAGACAATGGGGCTCTATTCAACGTTCCCACATTCTCAGCTGCTGTGCCCTGACACAAGTCGCGGGTTGGCAGGTGACGGAGGCGGGTTTGCGTGCCAGAGGAAGCGGTGGAACAAGATGGGTAAGCAGGGGAAGCAACAACCAATGGAGATATCTTTCCCAGTTCGCCTCCCCGCCTCCCGTAACTGGACTCTCTTCTCTGCACCGGCTCACTGCAACGTAACTTTTGGGTGGTGCTGGTTTCAAGATGCATTGGTACAACATCTACACATGTTGGTGCGACTCTACATTATACTTTACTGCCTGTGCGTCTATATAGCAGCAAGGTGTGTGTCTCTACTCGGTAGCAAGTGATGGTCTACTCGGTAGCGCAATGTGTCTACTCGGTCTTCGCCTCCAGGGCGGTGGGGGCACCCTCGGCCTCCTCGTTGTAGCCCTCGAGGACCATGTCCGAGATACCGAGGTCGTCGTTCTGCTCCTTGGTGCGCTCGTACTCGTCAATCTCCATGTCCGGGTCGGGCTCGGGAGCGTTGAGGTTCTGGAGGTACGAGTTGGCGACGGGGTCGTCGAGGATCAAGGTGAAGTCACGCTTGACGGCCATGACGTCCTTGAGGCCCTGGAGGAAGTCGGCGAAGCCGCGGGCCTCGGGGTCCTCGCGGCCAATCTGGCCGACACCGGCAGTGGCCGAGTCACCAGTGCGGAAGACCTTGGTGGAGAGCTCGTCGTAAATCTCGTTGAGGATACCCTCGAGGGTGGTGAAGCGACCGCCCAGGGTGCCCGGCTGGAGGGCGAGGTCAATCTCGGGAATCTCAAGACCGCAAGTGTCCGACTTGAGCATGTCACGCGAGAGAGCGTCCTCGTCACCGGCCTCGACCTTGAGGGTGATGCGCTTGCCCTTCTCGGAGATCTTGCCGCCCGACTTGACCTCGACGTCACGGTAACCACATGCGTAACAGTTGGTCGACATGATGATGACGTCCTTGAAGTAAGGAATGTTGATGGGCTTCATAAGAGTCTCCTGCTCGTGACCGCACGACATGCAGGTAGAGGGGAACGAGAAGACCTCCTCGGGGACAGTCGAGCCGTCCTCGGGCTTGACGGCGCGAGCGCGGTGCATGGCGTCGGTGGCAGCGGCGGCCGACTCGAGCTTCTCCGCCTCGGTGGTCTCGGCACCCTCGGCGACAAGGCCGAGCTTGACGTTCTGCTCGTTGGTACGGTTGTACGCGCGGAGGTTCCACTGGGGGTCGGCAGGCGACTCCTTGAAGGCGAGGTACGAGTTGCCTGAAGGGTCGTCGACCTGGATGGAGAAGGGGACAAAGGGGCGTCCGGTGTCGCGGTCCTGCTCGACCATGACCTCGGTGTCGCCGTCGCGGCCGGCAGCTCCATCCTCGTCGCTCTCGTCAATGTCGAGAATGTCGCGGAGGGGCTTGAGGAGCGCGTCAATCTTGGCAGCAGTCTCGGGGTCGACAATGCGGCGAACGGGCTGCTCAATGGCGAGGTCACGGACCGTGTCGCGGATGAGGCCCTCGACAGTCGTCAGCTGGCCACGGCCAGGAGGGATGGTGAGCTGGAACTCGGGGATGGTGACGGTCGCCCAGTTCGACTTCACGAGCTGGCGGCCGAGGTCCTCGCGCGAGAGCATGTGGACGGTAAAGGTGCAGCCCTTGGGCTGGATCTCGCCAGCCGACTGGATCTCAGTGTCGCGGAAGCCACAGTGCTCGCAGTAGAATGACGAGACAATAATCTCCTTAAAGTAAGGGATGGTGGTGAGGAGAAGGCGGGTCGTGCCCTGGTCGTGACAGCGCATACACAGCGACTCGACGGTCTGCATGTCCGTGAGCTCCTCGCCCTCAACGCCGTTGGACGCGTCGGTGCGGTCCGCAACATCGCCAAGGGACGGGAAAAGTTCGGGATTTGACGACACTGCGGGTCACTGTTAGCTATAGAGCTCGGTGTACGCGCGCTTGGATCATGAAAAGGATGGGGTTGGTTGGAATCTCAGACGAAAAGGCAGGTTTTGGTTTCACGGCCGAAGCCTTTCAAACGCAAATTACATTGAGCATCATAGAAGGGGGAGATGGGATGGGTGGAGGCGGGTGTGGGGTGGAGTCTGGGGAGCGGTACTTACTGTTGCCGTACGTTTTGGTGGTGATAATACAAGAACAGGTGGGAAGAACGACAATTGCAACGTCCTTTGATCTGAAATTTAAGCAACAAACGGTGCGAGCAGGAGGAATGCGCTGGAATCTCCCACGAGTGATACCCGCACGGAACCATTTTTGCTGACACATGCACGAGTGTACCAAAGGGAGCCCCAGGTGGTGCTGACGAGAGAGTCGCGGGACTCTACCTTCTGCATCTGCTTCTGCATCTGCAGTACGTGTGCTTGCCCAGGGCCTGGCGCAGCGGTCAGACACGTAGCAAGGTCCAACAAATATCACGATTGGGACTGTGGCAGGGCCATCCAGTAGTACGCGGAGGCAGATTGGCGCCTGGGCAATTTTGACAGTGTGTCTCCGATCTCTGACCCATCATGACGGTGACTGGCAACGACTATGGGCTACCCAGTCGTTCTCTCTGCTCTCGATAATGGCGACTCGGTCTCCTAGCAGACACGCCAGCGCTCCTTGTCTCCCGGTATCCGCGCTCTCCTTTCCTCTTCCTCTTCCTCCGCCCACGACCCGTCGTCAGTACATTCCTCTTCGTCCGCTGCACCACATGATGATGCACCTCTCAAAAGTCCCGTGCAAATGAAGTTGGTACATGCGCCACTATCCCCGAGGCCACAATGCGCCATCAATCTACTCCTCCTGGACAACGTTGGTGCGCTCCGAGATGTAGACACCGTCAAGGAACTTGCGGATATCCTTGTTCTTCACGCGGCACTTGTCGGTGATCGAGGCGGCCGACTGCGAGACCTTCTCAATGTCGTTGCCCTGGAGGATGAGCTCGTCCTTGATCTCGGAGAGCGAGACCTTGGTGCCCTCAAGCATGGGGCACTCGCGGACGATCTTCTCGCCAAGGAAGTTGCGGATCTGGAGCGACTCGCCGTTGTCCGAGGGGATGGCGTTGATGGGGAAATGCGCGTAGACGAGCTTCATCTTGTAGAGGAAGCCGCGGGTGACACCGGTGATCATGTTCTCGACAGCCGACTTGATGGTGCGGAGGCAAGCAACGTGCTTGCGGCCACCGTGCCAGATGGTGAAGACGATCTTGTTGTCCTTGGCGGTCTTGACCTGGAGAATTGTTAGCATTCTGCCCGATTTCGATTTTGGCGGTGGACACCACGACTGGATGGCAGGCGGCATGGCACTACTGCGGCTTCGTCTGGGCGTGCTCTTGGGAGAGCAGAGAAAGCCAGGGACAACAGAGAGAGAGAGCCGTGCGTTGATCGGGAACAGAGTGAGACACGCATGAACGTTGGAAAGTTTCCAGGCGAGACTTTCCAGGTCCTGTGCGTGCCATATTCGGTGGCCCTTCCTCGCCGCACTCTCTCTCTCTCTCTCTGCTCATCGACAGCCGGTCCTCCTCTCTTCTGCGCGGACTCTCCCTTGCCGTGCACTGTCTCTGTTCCCAGACGCTTCCGCGCGTGCCATGCCAAAATCCTTTTTCCTTCCAGTCTGGCGCCGGTTTTGCCAGACTCACGATCTGGATGTCCATCTGAACGTGGCCAACGTTCTTCTGGAGGGTACCGCGGGGACCGGTGACGGTGACCTTGCGGGCCTTGATGGCGACGGTAACGTCGGCGGGGATAACGAGGGTCTCGACCGAGGAGATGTCCTTCATCTTGGCCTAAATGTGGAGAATTTCGATGTTTCGAGGGAGAGGGAGTTTGCGAGCGTTGGAGGGGAGACAAGAAGGCAGGGAGAACGGGGGAAACGCGAGATGTTGAGATATTCGATGGAGAACGCTGCGTCAGCAATGGGCCTTTTCGGTGTCGTCGTCGTCGTCGGCAGCACGCACGAGATTTTTGTTGAGGGTTGGGAAGGCTGCAACGACGGCCTCGACTAGGTCACAGACAGACTCGCCGTCCGGCGCCCAGGCCACAGCACACCCACCGCCAGGGACTGTGGCTCCCAGCGGCCGACTCTCAAAACGCCGCTAATCCCGCAAACACCGAAGTAGACGATCGGAGTTTAGGTGTCGGGTTTTCTGCCACATGACGTCATGAGTTGTTTGCAGTGGCTAGGAGTGGCTAGGGCGTGTGAGTTGACCTTGAGCTTTGTCGCTCATGTGTCTGGCGTGCCCCACACATACCGCTCTCAATACTTAATACTTCGTCCGTATCTCACTGGATGACTGGGCTTTGACCGCAAAGTGTCGTTGGCCGTCGATCACGCCCACGGTGTTGTGGGTCCATCTAGATAGTGCCAGGAGCCATTGTAGCGCTCCGCCTTCCAATGGTTGGCCATCACCGCGGGCCGCCGGGACGGTGGTCTCGGCTTCGATAGGCCGTCGATTATGTTATGCTGTTCCGGTGCTGATATGCTGATCGCCCCATTGATCCCACTGATTGAAGGTCTTGCGAAGACGAGGCGATGAAGGGACGTGCAGGTTGGTGTTGGCAGTTAGGATGATAGCGTCTCAGATGGCACAGCATTGAACCGCCTCGCCTTGGTCTCTGAACACTATTGGGAGCTATGCGGTATGGTCTTGTTATCGACTGGTGAGCGTAGCAGATGAGGGCAAAGTCAGTCACGACGACCCGGGCAAATACGGAGTAGGAGCGAGCACCAACAGCAGGTGCGTAAGATGCGCATAGCGGCAGGGGGCCCGGCACTGACGGATAACCAGGCGTTAACAACAATCTACATACACTCGCGGTTCATGCCAGACCGTTGATCCGCACATGGCTGGCTTGCTGCTGGCCTGCTGTGGGGTGTTGAGGAGACATCGCATGGGGACAGGAATGTATTCTGGACACCAACGCCCCAGTGATGGCAGTGATGGCAGTGTGATGATCACTACGCAATACGCTGTGGGTAATAGACCTGGAAGACGAGGGGCCGAGGAAGGAATGTCATGTCAAGGTTGGAACCCCCAAACAGCGCAGAATGTCAACAAAGACACTTACAAAACATGTCATTACGTAATAACACGTTTAATTACGTAAGGATTGATACTGCCGCAGATCCCCTGCCTCGGCCACTTTAAGCATGAATGCCCCAACCTCTCCCGTCGTCCTTTTGATCCGTGATCTGTGATGCCTCTGCCCCATCTGTTCCTTCATCTCTATCTCATCCTCTTACACCAACTCGCGACACCCGGTTGCTCCCGATCAGAGCAATCACCCATCACTTCTTGACGCTAGCTAGCCGCCGAGCTGCCCGCCACTCTGTCGCTCTCTCTCTCTCTTGTAGCCCGCCGGCGACTGGGCCGACTGGGGCAGGCAGCACGCTCCGTTCCTCGGAATGTGGGTTAGAGATCGAGGTCGGGGGACCGTGCACCGAGCTAAGGGCTAGGAGGTGGACGAGAGAGTGCAGGTGCGCGCCATTGCTCCGCCTTGGCTGCCCCACCTCTACACTGGTTTGTGCATGGGAAACACTGCTGTCACGATGCACGAGGCCCACCCACATCCCCTTGCACCTTGCCTCTGATACTGGGTGGCCGTGCTTCTGTTCTGGTCTGCGTCCATCACCCCCCTCCTCCCCTCTTCTCCGTGTCTTACTCCTCCCGCGGCCCAGCGCAGAGTGAGCAGCGCCGAGCCCCTTCTGGCCGCGAACCTAAACGCCTGGCATGTGCGGGCCCCAGCCCCCCAGCCCCCTCAGGCCCTCCCTTCACCCACGAGAGAGGAGAGAGAGCTTGGGAATCTATGAGTCTGAGCGGATCTGAGGGCGTGTCGGTGGGTGTTTTGGCGTTGATTGATGGCCGCGCACTGACTGTGCCGAGTGAGGGGGGGGGGGGGGGGAGACATGACCCAGGGAGGAGTCCAATCCAGGGGTGCGGGGCGTGTGTGTGTGTGTGTGTGTGTGTGTGTGTGTGTGTGTGTCTGTGTGTCATTGTGTGGCGGCGGGTCCTCTCTCTAATCACTGATCTGACTGATGGCGGGGGGCTCTCTCTCCAAGTGTGTGTCGTCCTCTCCTGTGTCTCCCCCGTGTGGTGCATCCAACCTCCGAGATCCAAGGCGACAATAGCGTACCAGGTCCATGCTCAAACCCTCCTGGCACAGCTGGCAGGGGTTGTGCAAAGTGGGTCGAGACACTCCGTGTACGCTTCCCCTATTGTGACTACCACGCACACACACACAATCCACAATCCACAATCTGCCTTCAAGAGCTGATCACTTTCAGCACCGACTGGCCGCCCCCCCCCCCCCTCGCCCAGAGTATACAATACTTCACATCCTGCAACCAACAAACCACACAACACACATCCTCCATCCACCATCACAGCACACTCCAAAGCTGCTTTCTCGTCATCACCACCCCCCTCTTCCTTGCGCCCTCTCGACGGCCGCAACACTACTCTGATTCCGATAAACACACACAACCCACCACTCGTCGATCAAAGCCGCCGAACGTCCACACACAACGTGACAGGAGTCCTTTTTCCATCCCATCAGACGGCTGCCCATCTGCAACCCCCCAGCCTGTACTAGTCGCTCGCTGCACCCCTGCCCTCGTATCGCACTCGCACTCGCACTCGCTCCCTTCACCCAGATTGCCACCCGCTTTACAGTGAGTTGTTTGCTACCAGATCCGTGCCAGACCCGTCTCCCACCCGGCGCACTCGCACTTGCATATGCGGGGACTATCTCCCCTCCCTCCACCGCTATGACCTCCCTCCCCGTACCTGCTCGCAGACCCACACCGTCCAGCGTGCAGCGTGGGTTGCCATTGTCCCCCCCACCCTCACATTGCCTGCCAGAGGCGTTCTGGGGCCCATCTCCGGCAGCAAACAAGGCACTATGCCGGGCGCCGCATGGCTGCCGCCTTGGCCGCCACTGGGCCACTGGGTGCGGCCACTGGACGCCATGGCGGCGGCCACCGAGCCGGAGACGGATAGATGAACATCAGCAGTGTCCGTGCGTGTCGTCGGGCTGAAGAGTTGTCGGACTAGTCTTGGCCGCGTGTGTTCGCGCAGGAGGGGCAACGTTAATGTGTGCTTCCTTTTGGTTCATCACCATATACCTTCTCCGCTGCGCGTGACTGCCCTCCTCGCTCACCATGTCGGGTTCACCCCAAATGGGAGGAAGCCCGACGGGGGAAGGGGGGGGTCTGGAGTGGGGGTTCATAAGAGGGTCCTCCTTCTTCTTTCTTGGGTTGCACCCACCACATCGCCACATCGCTTCGCCCCATTCCATCTTCACATGAACTGACAACTGTTAGTACACTCGCCATGGATCTTATCATCACCTCCAACTGCGCATCGCCCATGACAACCGACTCGAACCCCCTCCCGACCCCGCCGGACGGTAACCACAACGAGCTCCCCATCCGCGAGGCTTTTGTCAGCTCGGTGGTTCGCAGCCTCGAAGAGTCCAAGGCCGGCGGTGGTCTTCAGCTCTGCTTCGACCAGTTGCTCGACCCCCAGCTCCAGGACGAGACTGCCATCGCCGTCATCCCTGCCACCCCGACCGTCATCCCCCCCTCCACCCCCGGCTGTGTTGGCCTTGGTCTCAACATCCCCTTCCTGTGAGTGGCGAACTCCCAACTGACGGTCAATACTGACACTTTATTAGCAGCAAGAACGACATCGTTGCTGGCGACTTGCTGCACACGTAAGTTTATTTGTAACGCGCGAGAATTGTGATATGTGGCACTGACTCGACAGTCCTCCTAACAAGTACAAGCCGCTTTTCCGCACCTCGCCCCGCGCATACACTAACTTGTTGCCGGATGGCCTCGCAGAGGCTGAGGGGGCTTCCTCCAGCAACACCGGCCTGGCCTTCAACCCCAGCGCATTCACTGCCGCTTACAGCAACATGGGCGACATGGGTAGCAGTCTTAACCCGGGCTTGGCCTACCGTGGTCCTCACCCCGACCAGCTCGACCTCGTTCTCCCGCCCCTCAACCCCGGCCAGGCCTCCACCGTGGCCTCGTACTTGAGTACCCCGCCGCCACCCCGCCACCTCGACGCTTTCCCTTCTCCTGCGCTGCTCCTCTACACAAACAACAACATTACCTCCAAGCTCCAGAACACGATCGCGCCCCGCCTCATCAACTGCCAGGCATATGAGCGGATCAACGCTCAGCTCATGACGCCAGACGACAGTGTCAACAATGACCCGTCGCCGTGGAGCTCGCCCGTCAACCTGCCCGGCTCGATCGACTACCACAGCGGCGTCGCTCGCTGGGACGAGTATTCGGACGAAGAGGACCAGCCGATGCTGGGACACTACACCAGCCCCATGTCTGTGGCCGGTGGCATTCCCGATGAGGGTCGCCATGTCATGCAGCATGCCCCGTCGTACGCCCATCACGAGCCCCGGCAATACGTCCCCAAGGCCCCCGTCGCAGCCAAGCCCCGTGCCAAGCCTGTCCCGTCGTCCATGGGCATGAACACCACGTTTGTTGTTCCCGAGGACGAAAACGAGCCCTTCTACGCCGTCGCCGGTGCTTGTGTTGGCAAGTGGCGGTTTATCGACCACGCAGACCCCCCGCCCACCGACTATGTGAGTTTGGCTATCATGGTGCCACACACCCACACGCGATCATCCGCGCCACGGCGCTGCCGAAGCGTAGTGCCCCCCCCCCCCGGCGCGAAGCCTGCGTCGCCGAGAGCGCTGTGTGGCTGTGTGGCTTCTTCGTGGCGTTCTTCCGGAAACCCAAAAAAAGCTGACTGGATACCACAGGACATTCGCATCTGTGCCGACTGCCGCACCGATCAGCCCGGTGGCAACACCTGGCGCCGGTCCATGGATGACAAGCACATTGTAAGTGTGGTTTAGGCTCGCCACTGGGCGACGATGCTAACCCCCGCTCTCCAGCTCTGCAATAAGTGTGGTATCTACCAGCGCACGCACCACCGCCAGCGTCCGCCCAAGTCGAACGACCACCGTGCGTGCTTTACGCTCGCCGAGCTGGCCGTCCGCGAGCCTGGCCAGGTCACCAAGGGCAAGAACGCCGCCCCGTCCAAGGCCGGCAACAACAGGAAGCCCAGCGTCGTCCCCATCTTTGGCGCTGTCCAGCCCGTCGGCGCGCTCTGGAATTCGCACGGCTCTGGCTCTGGTTCTGGCTCTGGTCGCGGTCTCCTCCCCTCGCCCAACATCGGCTCGGGACCCAACCGCCACCGCCGGCCCTCGTCCCGTGCCGAGCCGTACGGCCGGAAGAAGAGCCGCGACGATGATGGCGACTGGACGCCCTAGACCCGTCCAGTACGGCCAGTACATACGAGCCACACCACCACCACCACCACCACCACCACCACGCCAACACTCCCTCACACACACACACACCAGATACCCTGCGAACACATACCCGACGCGGCGATACCAACGAGGAGAGGAGAGGATCGTAGAGGAGCGTAGAAGGGTATAGAGGGGAGAGAGAGAGCGCACGAGGAGGAAGCGACACGCCACGAGGACGACGCACTGCCAACGAGAGAGAGAGAGCGAGAGAGAGAGAGACGGCGACCCGAAAAATCCCAGAAAAAACAACACCATTAGAAGTCCCCTCCCCAACGCCCCGCCCCATCCGTCACCATACAATGTCCACGCGCCCACCCCACCCCCACACTTTATCTTGTCGTGCTGTACTTTTGTCTATAGTCCGGCATTGGCCGCCCCCCTGTCCGTCATGAACTTTGATTGTACACGCCCGCGGTGCAGAGCATACATGGTACAGCGGTACGCAGTCTCCACTGATCCACTGATCCACGGACGTGGTCCGCCGGGCACGGCCTCACCCCGAGGACGGGCTTGAGAGTTACTGCACGCCATCTGCAGAGCTACAGAGCTGCATCGCCGGGAGGGTCGGAGTCGAGGTCGACATGTCCCCAGCCGCGAGGCAGACGGTCACCGGTCAACCGGTCAACCGTACCCTGCCACGCGAGGCGTCATGGGCCATTGGGGGGGGGGGGGGGGGGGGGGCATGGGTTTGACCCAGGACGCGGGGGTGGCGCCGCCGCCCTCCGATACCAGATCGAGCAGTGTGGGTCCGGGCGTCGAGCATTGTACCGACTCGAACCTCACCACACAGTACAGTACAGTACACATGCTGCGCGTGCCGCAAGTCTACGTCCACAGGCCAGGACCGCGATCCCTGTTTATCGCGATACCGACCTTTCTCTCTCCCTCTCTCTCTCTCTGTGCACAGATACCAAACACACAATCTCATCTCTATACGTGAATAAACAAAGGTCTCAAGCGCCGCTTGGTGTGTCTTGTCTTGCCTGATCCCCGCACACTGTCCCTCCATCCCACCATCCCGCCATCCCGCCCGGCCCTCGCATTTGATTGTCCGCCTGTCTGTATTCTTCGACATGTCCCTCGTCGGTCGCTCGAGTGTGGTGTTTTCCACGCATTACACGGCGGTCGCATGCTGTACGGTGTGCTAAGATCTCGAAGAGGCAGAGAGTGAAAAGAGAAGAAGAAAAAGAAGGAAGAGGAGAGGTAAGGTAAGAACGCCATGCGCCCGCCATTCCCCACACAACCCTACACTGGCTTAGGCAGTGGTGGGGGTTGCGTCGCCCTCGGGAGCCTGGGCGACGACGTGCCAGGGGCCGGCGTTGGAGAGGGAGCAGCCGCCGACGCACTGACAGGTGCCGCCGAGGTTCTTGGGCAGGTTCTCGGCGGGGATGTACTTGGTGAGCTCCTCCTTGTAGTTTTTGCCGAGGATGTGGATCTTCTTCTGGGTAGCCTCGTCGAGCCAGGGCTTGATGAGCGACCAGACGGTGGCGAAGAGGTAAGGAGCGTTGATGATGAACATGTGGCCCATGGTCTCGGGGTAGTAGTTCTGGCCAATGGTGGACGCGGCCGAGACATAGTCCTTGACTGGTGTTGGGTTAGCACTGTGTCAGCCAGTAAGGAAACCCACCCTTGTAGAAGGTCGAGATACCGGCGTTGTACAGGTCAAGGATGGTGCACGAGGTCTCGACGAGGGTGCCGGTCTGCTCGGAGCAAGCGGGGAGACGCTGCGAGAGGAACTTCTCGTAACCGTCGACGAGGTGCTTGAGCTGGCGCTCCTGGGTGGTGAGCTTGTAGAGGGCGGTAATGTCGAGCTTGCCGAGCTGCTCAATGTAGACGGGGCGGCCCTCACGGTCGATCTTGTGGTAGAACTGGGGGTAGTACTTGTCGACACCAGCAGCCTCAGCGTAGTCGAAGCCGTTCCTGTGGCGTCAACAATATGCCCCCAGGTAGTGAGGGAGTGTGTGTCGTCGGCAATGCCAGCCACGTCTGGGCACGCGAGTAACGAGTGACGCGAAAAAAATGGGCAAGCACGAGCGACAAACTGTCCCCAGCTGTGATCGCAGTACACGATAGCACATACGAGCTGGGGTATGTCCACCGCGTCTGCGCGAGGTGTACAAGGAAGCCATGCACGTGCGCTCATGACCGGCAACTCTCACGTCTGGACAGCGACGCGTGGGCCGAGAACAGCGGGCTCCCGAGAACGCATCGTGGTGTACATGGCCCGACAGAAGGCATGTTCTCCACTCGCGCCTGTCACACCGTACGATCACGCTCTCTTCTTATCCTTCTCGGCGCACAGAGCGGTGTCAGGACGGGACTCACTTGGCAATCTCATCGGTGCCAAACTCCTTGCGCCACTTCTCGTTGGCCTCCCACATGAGCGTGGCCTTGGGGAGGTCAAACTTGCGGGCACGGAGGAAGCGGAGGAGGGTGGTGTCGTCGAAACGGTCGTAGCCGACAGTCTCCTTGGCGGCGGCGAGGTCGGCGGGGATCAGACCGGCGGCGGTCAGCTCCTCGCGGAACTGGGCGAGAGCAGCGGTCTGAGCCTCGTCGCTGCACATGTGTCGAGCAAAAGCGAAGCAGGAGATGTGTCACAGGACAGGTCGTGTGGGTCAACGTATCAAAGTCGTAGGCGCAGACAGGTGGGACAGACGGGAGCGCGAGTTGAACAAGGCAGCGGCGAAGAAGGCGGTGGTTAGCACGGTGCAGACTGGGTGGATGCAATGCAGCAGGCATAGAGCATGCCTGGCACCTTGGAGAGGACGTACAGGTGGCCGGGGTGGCCGGAGAGGAAGTCCCTGGGAGGGGCAGCCTGTACAAGTCAGTGGTCTGCACAAAAGTGTGTTTAAACGTGTGGAGCGGCAACGCAAAGGGTGACGTCGGGGTCCAGAGCGGTGGCGGGGAGCGCAGGAAAGAGAGAGAGAGAGTACGTACGGCAGCCATTGTGGGGTTGAGTGTGTTAGGGGGTAAAGAGGGTGGGGTTGCTAGAGCGAGGGTGAGAGATGGGGGGGTTATGGACACTGAAAGAGAACGGTCGGTCAATGGGTGTGTGGTTGAAAGAGGAAAGTGAGAGATATCTCTCTTCTCCACCGTATGGCCTCCAGCGCGTTGGCAGAGATGGGGTTGAGTGTCACGTCACGCCGCGCCAGCCCTCACACACCCGCCGCAGCCACCGCCCCCTCCCCCGGGCCATTAGGTTTTGTTGCAAAAGCTCCTGTAACAATTCCCCTATTGAAATGGGGTCTGGAGGGCTATTACACGCCCAATTACCCAATTACCCAAACCCTAATCCATTTAGGAGCAGGCGGTAGGCGTGTCAGCAAGGCGTGCGCGCATGTGGGTGGCCCTGTTGCTCTGTCTCACAATCTTCAAACCCACACCCCCTCTCTCCCTCTGACGCGCAGGACGCGGTACGCGTCCCTTGTAGCAGAATCAGGTCGCGCAGGTGGGACTTTTGCCTGGCAGTGCGGCGACAGCGAGTGTCTGCCAGAGCCTGGCGCGCACCCACGCATGCTTGTTAGCTTGTTAAGGGGTGAGCCGGCTGTTTTCCCCACCCTCTCCTCCGTAGGACGCCGCCGGCCGCGCACGCCACCCAGAGAGACCGACCGGGCAGACCACCGACCGGCAAACCCATGAGAGAGCGATTGTGTAGATGCCTCGTTGTCACCTCTTGGCAACCATCTCTCCTCTTGACTATCCTCATCTCCAGCAAACCCCCCACCTCAACCGCAGCCCCAAACCCCACCCCGCTTTCGCTCTTGCTGCGCACATATATAGCTATTCCTACCACGACCATATATTCACGCGCGCGCGCCTGTTTGAGTGTCCACGTCTGCACCCCCCTCACCCCCACCGCCCGGCTCGCCCTAGCACTGTATTGTGCACGCCAGGTGAACGCCGCCCCCCGCGGACTGCCCTTTTACAGCGCGCCTTCCCTCGCAGTTCTCGGACCGCCACTCGCTGTATAGCTTGTATAGCCCCCGCACCCACCGCACCCAGACCACAACCCCGTCCGCCCCGCGTCGTCAATACGCCATGGCCTACCTCGGACGCCCATCCGCCGGCGACTCGCCTTTTGCCATTGGAGACCGTGCCATGCGCGACAACTCTGCACCGCAACCACCCAGCCAAAAGAATCCCATCCCCCGAGGCGAGTTCATGGCAACACCGAGCCCGTACGGAAGCGCCAGCGACGAGGCACGCCGCCGCTACGAGGAGCGCTACGCAAAGAAGCGTGCAGAGGACGAGGCCAAGGCTGCGCAGCAGGCAGAGGAAGAGCATCGCGCCGCCAACCCCGCTCCCCCGGCCCAACAGCAGTGGGCAGCACAGCAGCAGCAGCAGCCTCCTAGGCAACAGCAGCCAATGCAGCGCCCACCCCCCAACGCCGCCCCAGGCTACGGCCAGCCCCCTCCCCAGCAGCAGCAGTATCAGCAACACCCCCAGCAGTACCAGCAGCCTCCTCCCCAAGGCCACCCCCAACAGCATCCCCAACAGCACCCCCAGCAGCAGTACGCGCGCCCGCCTCCAAGGCAGGCGAGTGTAGGCCAGGATGGTCGCTCGCCCGTCGACTCGCGTGCCCCCGTTCAAGGATTCCAGCAGCCACCTCAGCAGGGTGGACATCCTCAGCAGCAGCAACAGCAGCAAGGCCACCCCCAGCAGTACGCTCAGCCTCCTCCCCGCACGTACTCGCAAGGTGCTCCTCCTCAAGGCTACCAGTCGCCCCCTCCCCAGCAGTACCAGCAGGGACCCCCCGGTGTTGACCCGCGCCAGGTAGACCCCCGCCAGCAGCAGCGATACTCGGGCCAGCAAGCCCCTCAGGGCGGCGCGCCTCCTCAGCAGCGCGGCTACCAGTCCCCCAGCCCTGCGCAGCACCCTCAACAGCACCCCCAGCAGCAGCAGGCTCCTCCTCCTCAGCAGCAGCAGCAACAGGCTCCTCCTCCCCAGCAGCAGCAGCAGCAAGGCGGATACCAGTCGCCCCCTCCTCCTGCTCCCCGTGCAGAGGACCACGAGCTCCGTGCCATGTGAGTCGACGCGTCGGCCACCGCGCAATGTGTTTACTGACAAACGCCAGGTTCAACCAGTTTGACCAGTCGCGCACGGGCCAGCTCAATTCGTGGGACCTCCAGCGCCTCCTCGACAAGGACGCGACGGTGGAGGCTCGCGAGGACTGTGTCAAGATGGTGAGTTGTTATTGCCTCCGCCAGCCCTCCTCCCCCTCGTGCCTCCCCCCCCCTTCTTGCCGTTTCATTTCAATCTGAATCTGACGCGCTGACGCGCCTTTCTTTTTCACAGCTCATGAACATCTTTGACTCTGACCGCTCTGGCTCGATCAACTTTTTGGAGTTTGAGGGCCTGTACCGCTACATCCAGGACTGGCACGACATTTTCCGCCGGTTCGACCAGGACAACTCGGGCCTGATTGACCGGCGCGAGCTGCACGCCGCGCTCGAGGGGTTCGGGTTCAACCTGCCTGCCGAGATGGTGCGCAAGCTCGAGAAGCGGTTTGCGCCCCCGCCCAAGGCCGGCGAGGAGCGCGGACTGGGTATCTCGTTTGACCGTTTCCTCATGGCCTGCGTCTCGGTCAAGCACTATACCGAGGCGTTCCGCCGGTTCGACCCCAACAACACGGGTCGCGCCACTATGGATTACAACACCTACGTGAGTGCAGCTCTGGGCCCCCTTGTTGTCCGTAGCTGACATTTCCCGCCACAGATGGACATCGTCATGGATGCCCCGAGCTAGTACCCCGGCCCGACGTCTAAGACGGCTCGCGAGCCTGTCGATAACGAACGCAGCTATTCCTTATGACATTGCGATATACCTCGAGAGATGGATCACCATGCCCCCCTTTTTACCATGCGCGATGGAACTGACCAGTTTTGTGTGTGACTGCAGCCACCGCTCCAACAAACGAGGTCCTCATCAACGGCGGTCTGATGCGATCAGAGGCGTCAACATCAACGCCGTGTGTCCCGGCCTCGCCGTCCTCGTCCGGGCACCATCACCTTCTCACTGCATCACCTCACCTCACCCCACCCCGCGCCAGCCGCTGGTAGACTGCCTCGGCGGCGATCAGACTGGGCGCCTCGGAGACAACGAATGGGTGAGATGCAGACGAGATTGGGTTTTAGCCACATCACCGTCGCCACAGTGATCACTGATCAACTCCCACGGTCATCAATGTTGCCAGACTCTTACGTCAGCTGTCCACCCAGTCGAGGCTGTGAGGCTGCGAGGCTGTGAGGCTGCGAGGCAATGAGCATGGCTGTAAGCATGGCAGACTCGGAACAACCCGGAGAGGCCATGGACGGGTGGACGGGGTGGACGGTCTGCTCGTCACAGTGGGCGGTTAGCAACAACGTGGCGACCTCGAGAAGGGCATCTCGGCGTAGGGAGGGACCCCCGGACGGGGTCCATCGCTGTGGCCCGCGTCTTCTCGCCAGAAGCACAAAGCACAAAGCACACAGCCGATGGTTTGGATCTGTCAAGGGGGCGTGTGGGTGTGTAACGTTGTCCGTGTCCGCGGTCTAGAATGTCTCACACTCTCAGCCAGCCTCATCCTCCTCTTCTCCTCCTCCTGCCACTCAGACGACAAAAGGTTCGTGGCCGCGTCGTCTCGTCCGATCCATGTCTCTCGTCGCTTGTGCAGAGTGGAGAGGTGGGTTCTTGCGGGGCGCTGAGAAGCACACAGCAAGCACAGCGCAGTTCGGGCGAAAGGAGGGTGTTGTGGCCGACGAGAAAGGAGGGGCAGAGAGGGTGCTGTCGTGGAGCAGCCTTTGGAGCAGAGCGCGGCAGCTTCACGGCATGCACACCCACACGGTGGGTGCCCAGACCATGCCCAGACCACGCATGCACTACGGCCTGAGAGGCACACGCCCACGCCCATTCCCAATTCCCAAGCCGCGCATCCCGAGATCCCAGAGTTTCTTTTCTGCTTTCTGTTTCGGACGGACAGGCAGTGCATCGGACGGAGCACTGTGCGGACCGCATCACCTACCCGAGGAAAAGGTGACAATCTCCGTTGTCCGAAGGAGAAGCGTTGTGGTGAATTGCTGCGGCGTGGGAAGATGTTTCAGAGGGAGATCAGAAGCCTCTTTTTGATGGCTTTGCTTCGCATGTCGGGGGTTGGGGGTTGGGTTATGGTTGTTCGGGGACACGAGGGATACGAAGGAACGTAGCGGGGAGCGGGGTGGGGGTGTGTAGTTGGGATGGTTGAGGCAAGAGGGCGGTAGAGAGTGAGGTTGGGAGAGGGAAAGTGTGCGTTGTGGTGGGGTGCACGCATTTGGGCAGTTTTGGGAAGGCAGGCGGTCCAAGGTTGGGCGGTAGGGAGGCGCTTGAGGATGAAGGGGGAGCAGTGAGCGAGGACGTGGTGGACGCGAGGCAGTATCTCTCGGGATCATCTGGCGCTTGCATACATTGTCGTGTGTGGTCCTTGGGTACTACCCATCAGCACACTTGACGGCATCCACTGATGAACACGTCAGACGAAAAACACAACATGTTTGCCACCCACCGAAGATGCCCACGAGACGCTGATGAGAATGAGTGTACAACACCAACAACGACATCGCCGATCCTTTCACCCAAACCCACCGCCGATTTCCGACTGGTGCCTAGGTGACATACCCCCCGTGCCAGGATATACGCCAACATGCCACACAAACCCCGGGTTGGCCTTTCGCCACTTTGGGTTTTCCATTCCCCCGCAAGCCAAACCGCCACTGGGTGTGCCATGGGACGGCATGGCTGTCCGCCATCGATCTGGCGTAGCTGCCACCACCACCCCCAGTTCCTCGCGTGCAAGCCTCCGGTCTCCTCGTGTTTGTACCTCGTAAGGACGAGGGCTGGAGGCGCCGGTGAAAGGATCCGCGCGCACACCGTAGCCACTATGTACTACTTGTTGCCTAATTTCCTTGCTGGGCGTGATGGGCGCCACAAATGTGCAAACGGGCAATGGCGCAGCCGTGGCCTGCCGGAAGAAAGCTGCAGCATGCAGGAGGCAGGAGGCAGGAGACGGCCCTTGCGCTAAGGAGGAGGGGTGTACAAGACCATGCAGCTGTCCGGTTTATTGCCACGGCTTTACCGGCCGTCTTCATGAGCGTGAGGACTGGGGATTGTCCACATAACAAGCTGTCATCTGAACCCAACCAGGGAGGTTCGGGCCAAACCTAAACGGGTTCCACCTGTATACACGAGCTAGAGAACGGTATACATAGTCAGAGTAACTGTATCCGTGGTTCTCTAGCGACTGTATCATCTCCTGTCTACAACAATAGACATTCTCTCAACTAGTACTACAACAGTGTAACCTCGACTACCACTGCTAGCCGTCCTGCTCTACCACCGGGTCAACCTGCATTGTGTCCTCTGACAGCTGCACGCTATAGAGCTGCGCAATGGGTATGCGCGTATGATGACTTTTGCCACGTTGCAGAGTATTGACATCGCGACATCGGCACTCGGTTAATCGGGTGGTTTGAAGATCCGTGCTCTGGCAGACAGTGCGTGGCCGTTTCATTCACGCGGGTCTGCGCAGCACAAAGCAGTGGCCTGGGTCAGTGATATATCGGTGGATCAGTGGATCAGTGGACTGGTCCGCCACAAGGCTCTCTCTGACGAAAACTCACTACTGCCTTTGCCGCCACATTTGGTGGTTTGTCGGCTAGGATCGGCACAGCATCAACAGGTTGTGGGGCGAGCGAGCGTCATTGCAAAAGTTGTGGAGCCATAATTTTTGGAGCGTGACGCGTTGTGCGCAGCTGTGACGACACACCCTTGTCGTTATTACAGGGCAGCCGGAGCAACATCAGTGCCTCTCTAGGGGAGGCTGACCTGTGCTTTACAAAATTCATTACATTTGCATCAGAAACTTGTAATACGTTCTCCAATTCCATTATAAACTTTGTAATGAGGTCAAGGGACACGGCGTCATCAGGCGCCTGGCTTGGGGTGGGTCCCAAATAGCAAACAGAACGGTCTGCAGTGGCTTGGCAGGCAACGTGACACGTTCTGAACGGGGTCTGGACGTCTGGACGGTCTGGCCCTTATGCATCCGGCCTGGGGAGTTGCAGGCAGTCGGACACGGTGCCAAGCCCTTCGATCAATAGACGCGAGTTTCATCGCTCCGGCACCGCACCCAACACGGCATGCGGGCTGTAAGCTGTATGAACCGCACACAACGGACACGGGAAGGACGGCCCCAAGTAGCGCCAGACGGAACGGTGTCTATGTGCATGGGGGGCCGCTGTTTGGCTGAGAGCTGCGCACCCAGGCTGTGTTTTGTGACTGGGTGGTGTGAGCCTCTTTGTGCTCTGGTTTCTTGGCGTCAATCACTTTTTTCTATTACCGTCTCCCCAGTCTCTTGGCCTCTCCACACACTCGTTCACACCTTCAACACACTCTTCTATTGTTCCCCCCCTTCACCCCTCCTCACCACCCTCCATACATCGCGGCCATGGCGTCCACGCCTTACACCGCCGAGCCAGACTCGTTCCACATCCCCGCCCCCTCCCCGTCCCTCGGTCACGACAGCTTCACCACCGCTGAGGGCCTCGCCGCCGACACTTCCACCTCCACCGCCGGTGCATCGGGCATTGATGGTGTGCGCCGCCGTGCCCCCGCCGCACGCGGCGTGACCATTGAGCAAGGAGCGTCTGGCGACGGTGTCGTGGCCGCTGCGTCGCGTCGTAACACCGACCGCTCAAATCGGTCCCGCTCCAAGCACTCTGTCGACCCCAACGCGCCCCTCCTCAAGCGTATGACTACCGGTCTCTTCACCCCCGAGAAGCCTGTGGGCAAGGCCCCCGGCTGGCTGTCGAGTATCAGGACTGTGTTCTTCAACTCGTGGTTGTGAGTAGTATGACTTTTGTGTGGTGGTGGAGCGGCACTGGGACCCTGGACTGGTGTGTTTGTTTCATGCGCGTCGACGAGGCCGCAATTGTTTTGTCGGCGTCCGAGACTGTGTTGGGTCGATCTGTCCTCCCGGACTCGGGGTGTGTTTGTGAGGGCGTACAGTTCTCGACCAAGTCGAGGAGGTTGGTGCGTCCGCGCTAGCGTTCGCTTACGAGCTGGGCTTGTTTGGCACCCGCAGCCAAAGTGAAGCTAGTGACCGGTGCCACCATCACATTTCACCACCCGAGCAGCTTCCCCCCCACCCGCAACTCCCAGAATGTCCGTTGACGCTGCAGTAACATTCTCCTCGTCTTCATCCCCGTGGGCTGGGCCCTGCACTTTGTCAAGGCCAACGGCAACTCCTCGATCTCGGACACTGTCGTGTTCATCATGACGTTCATTTCCATCATGCCTCTTGCGGGCCTCCTTGGCTTCGCTACCGAGGAAATCTCGATGCGTGTCGGCCAGACCATTGGTGGTCTCATCAACGCCACCCTCGGCAACGTCGTCGAGCTGATTGTCGCCATTATTGCCCTTGTCAAGTGTGAGATTGCCGTTGTGCAGTCTTCGCTTATTGGCTCGATTCTTTCCAACCTCCTTCTCGTTCTCGGCTGCTGCTTCATTGCTGGCGGTTTCAAGTTTTCCGAGCAGACCATGAAGTCGACCGCTGCTCAGCTCAACTCGTCGCTCCTGCTCATCTCGGTCGTTGCCGTCCTCATTCCCGTAAGCTAGATCAGAACCGTACTTCAGCTAACGTCCTCCAGTCTGCCTTCCACTTTGCTATCGGCAGCGACAACACTTCCAAGGACCTTACTGAGGCCGAGGAAGCCCGTGACCTTTTGTCGATGAGCCACGGTGTCGCCGTCATTCTCCTCTTCCTCTACCTGTGCTTCCTCGTCTTCCAGATGTGGTCGCACGCCCACCTTTACGATGACGACGACGTGTCCACTTCGGTCCGCTACAGCGACAACATTCGCAACATGCCCAGCCGTGTCAAGGACAACGTCAGGGACAAGGTCCGTAACATTCGCCACCGCAACGACAGCGTGGACGAGGAGAGCGCCGTCGAGTCAAACGCCGAGCCCAAGGACCTTGTTGCCGACGGCGAAAACGTTTCCAACAACCAGTCGAACAACGGCGAGGAAGAGGAAGAGGAGGAAGAGGAGGTTCCCCAGCTCAACTTGCCCGTCACCATCATTACCCTCGTCGTTGTTGCCGTTCTCGTTGGTGTCACGGCCGAGTTCCTCGTCGACTCGATCAACGGTATGGTCGAGTCCAACCCTTCCCTGTCCGCCGAGTGGGTCGGTCTGGTCCTTCTCCCCATTGTCGGCAACGCCGCCGAGCATTTCACCGCCGTCTCCGTCTCGGTCAAGGACAAGCTCGACCTCTCCGTCTCGGTCGCTGTCGGCTCGTCCATCCAGGTCGCCCTGTTCTGCATCCCCTTTGTCGAGCTCATTGCCTGGTGGATTGGCAAGCCCATGACCCTCCTGTTCGACCCCTTCGAGTCGCTTGTCCTCTTCTTCTCCGTCATCGTCGTCAACCAGACCCTCGCCGACGGCCGCGCAAACTGGATGGAGGGTGTCGTCCTCGTTCTCCTCTACCTCATCATCGCCATCTCGTTCTGGTACTACCCCGGCACCAGCTCCATCATCGCGTGCACTTAAGAAATCCAACAGTGCCCGCTCATTCCCCTCCCCCCCCCCAACCATGTCTTGCTGTGGGCCATGTGGTGAGCTAGAAGGCTCCCTATCAGCGCCATTTCCATTTTATTATTTTCTGTGGCCCCAGCTACTCGTAGATACAGACAGCGTCCCCAGTTCGTACCCCACTTTATACACGATGGATAATGACCAACGCCCATCTGCAATGCGTGTACTGCTCACAGCTTCACCAAGCCAACAACTCGCCTGACAGATCGGTAATATGCCCCCAGGTGGAAGCCGATGTGCTCACTCTCAACTGGTGAACTGTGACCTGAGAGAAGAGCGCACCAACTGTTGAAAGCCCGCCATGCTCACCCGCGCAAGCCCCTCGGAGATTGCCGAGCACGTCTCCACTTGGCACGTCGCACTGAACAAGCCCTATAGCCAACAGTCCCACCCAACATATCCTATCGACAGCCCTCCATAGCCAACACTAAGCTCCGTAATAGCCAACAATGGTCCGCCAGCGTGATTGTTGGCTATTCTGCCCATCGTTGGCTATCACGGCTCGTTGCGGCATGCTGGTTCCCCCGGGCCGGTGGTCCGCAAAACCCTTACTTCCGGCTCGGCTCAACGGGTTGTCGGCTCAGCACGGCAACCACCGCCCACCAGTGCTTGCTACATAGGACCACGATGCAAACGCGGACAGTTGCCTCTTACTCCCTTCTCATCCGCTCTCACTGACCTCCTTGAACCCCTACCTCAACGATGCCTACCTACGACGCGCTCAAGCTCCCTGCCCATGTCGAGACGGTGCTCCTCACCGGCGCCGGCGGTATGTCCCTCCTCCTCCCGCCCAGTGCCCTGAGAACGTACTCTGACGACACTTGTGCGCAGGCTTCGTCGGCCGTGAAGTCACCAAGCTCATGCTTGAGCTGTACCCCAAGCTCCGTATCATCACCACGGACGTGGTCGAGCCCCCGCGCTTTACGGACGACCCGCGTCTGCGTGTCGTCAAGGCCGACCTGGGCAAGCCCGAGGCGCTCAAGGAGCTGTTTGACGGCGAGAAGATTGGTGGTGTGATTGCTCTCCAGTGAGTCGAGAAGAGAAAAAGGCCCAGTGGGTGCTGCTTGGATGGCCTACTGACCCGTTTGGACGCTGCTGACGTTGCGCAGCGGCATCATGTCGGGTGGCGCCGAGGCCGACTTTGAGCTTGGCTGGGCTGTCAACGTCGACAGCCACATTGCGCTCATCAAGGCGGCCCACGCGCACAGCGACGCCGTGTGGAAGCCGCAGGGCAAGAAGATGGTCTACGTCTTTATCTCCAGTCTGGCCGTGTACGGTGGGCCCAAGGCGCGTCCTGAGGACCACGTTATTCCTGCGTGAGTCATGTCGATGGTGTGCCTGGTGTTGGCCAGTCCTCACACACCCGTCGCCATTGAGCTGCACTGACACACGCAGCGACACTCCCATCATCCCCGGTTCGTCTTACGGTGTCCAGAAGACCATTGGCGAGTTCTACGCATTCGACTATGGCCGCAAGGGATACCTCGACACCCGTTCCCTCCGTCTCCCCACGGTCGCCATCCGTACCGGTGCTGTGAGTTAGACCACGCTCAGCTGTGCACCAAGCTAACTCGTACCCTCCTCCTCCTCCAGCCCTCCTCCGCCGCCTCGTCGTTCATCTCAGGCCTCATCCGTGAACCCCTCCAGGGTATCGAGAGCGTGTGCCCCATCGCCTCGGGACCCGAGGACCCCATCCTCGACGACATGAAGGTCTACCTCTCGCGCGCCAAGACGGTGTTCCGCAACATTGTCTGGGGCCTGTGCATGCCCGAGGAAAACTTCAAGTATGGTATCGGTAGCAGGAGTGTCAACATTCCCGGCATCACCGTGACTACGCGTCAGATTATCGATGCTCTGTGAGTCACAGGACAGTGTTTTGGTGGTGCGACGGGCGCAGATGTTTTTGTCACTTTGCTGCCTCCTTCCCTTCCACCTGCTCTGCCAGCGACCTTGGGGTCGGTCCATTGCTTACATCCGCAGTGTCCAGCACGCCGGCCCAGAAGCCCTCAAGCTCGTGTCGTACAAGAAGGACCCGGCAGTCATTGCCATCTGTGAGACCTGGGCCGGCTCGTACGACAACACGGCCGAGCAGAAGCAGGGCTTTGAGGTCGACGACGCCAAGACGGGCTTTGCCAATGCCGTGGGCGACTTCAAGGCCGAGCTCCAGGCGTCCAAGTAGGGTGGAGAGTAGGGTGCGGTGAGGGACGGTTAGAAGTTTTAGTCGAGAGAAAGTGGCACGCGTGTATGTCACAGCGGCACCAAGATCATGTATGCTTTGGATCTACGAGATGGGACTTTGGGAACTAACGAGATGGAACCTTGACGAGAATTCAAGCTGGCTGGCTACAAGGTACAATCGATACACACTGCCTACGACCTCAGACCATCGCCACCTGGACGGCCAGTAGCACGAGAAGAGCAGCACCAGGTGTCACGAGCGCACCACCCGCGCTGCGTTGAGTCGCCGTCGGGCTGGCCGTCGCCGTATACGTGCGAGTGACACCTTGTCCAGTCTGGAACGTTGGCGCAGCCTCAGCCGTCAAGCTCGCGATCGAGCTCGACTCGGCCGCGTTCACTGGCCATCCCGTAAAGTTGTGAATGTTGGCAGCAAAGTAGATGCCGGGCGGGCTGGAGACAATGTTGCCTCCGGGCCAGTAGTTGCACACAAAGTATGTCAGGCTGGGGAAGGCGGTGTTGTTGGAGCAGTTGATGTTCCACCCGCACCCGACGGTGTTGCTTGCGTTCCACGTCATCTGTAGAAGCGGTGGGTCAGTATGTACTGTCAAGTGGTGGGGAGTGGCACGTACAGCGGTAAAGTGCGAGTACGCCTGCTCCTCTGGGTGCGCAAACGGATAGTAGGCTGCGCGTGTCAGCGAGGGCTGTGGGCAGCACACATACTCCACTCGTCGGCCCACATCTCGATCATGCTGCGGACGCCGAAGCGCATGCTGGCGTCGGAGCCTGACTGTGAGGCACTGGGTACGTCAGTGCTGCCAGCGATATCATTTCGTACAGGTTATCGTTTCCCCTGGAATAGAGTTAGCCCAATCAAGCTGGCGTTCGCAACTCACCAATGCTCCCAGAGACAAGTGTTGGTGTGGTTCTGCGCAATCCTCGCTGCAGTCTCGTTCCAGGTCACCGGCTGAGAGCCTACAGAAGTGAGCGACATGGGACATTACATCCGCGGTTGCTTACCGAACTGCGCGCGCCACGCGTTGGACGCCGCGATAATCCACTGCGCCACGTCGCTGTTTCCCGAGAGGTCGTTGTCGGTTGCACTCTCGTTCAGCATGTAGTCGTTCATACTCCTCCCATCGGGGTACTGCGGCCACCACGGATCTGTCGCAGTGGTGTTGGGCGGCGGGGTGTTGTTGTTTGTAGTTGTTTGGGCGGCGACAGACTGCACGACGAGGAGGCTGGTCGCCACAGCCACAACACAGGACCAGGACACCATGACGCAGATGTGTGTCGACGAGGGAAGTGGGAGGCTCTATAGTCGCGAGATGCTGGGTATAAGAGTGTGCAGAGGGGTCGTTATCGAGTGTGGGCGTGATGGCGATGCACTGGGCATTGCGCAGCAGTTGCTTGGCGCAAAGACAAGATCGTGGACAGAAAACTACGCAGGCGCTGGGTGGAGGTGGAGGTGACTGGGAAAAGGTCTGATGCCGTCATGCGTAATGTTCGCTTTTGTGCCTCTCTGCTTCGCGCTCAGTACGTGTAGACGGGCGCGTGGGATGCATAACATCGCGGGTGACTTTGCTCGACGCTTCACTATGCCTACCCCTCTCTGGGCCACTGTCAACGGTCCATGGGAACAACGCCAGCGCCCAACAACAAACACAACACAACAGCGCCCAACAACCACCTCTCCCGCTTCGTTCGGTGTCTCACTTGCCCACTGGGAATGGCTCTGCTGGGAACACACACGTTCGCGCCTAGAACCATCTTGCCGCTCATGACCACCCTGGGTTCATTACCATCTCATGCTTGGCGGCTGCGCAACTTCACCGCTATTTCACCACCTCCACCTCAAAAACCCCATTACCTCCACTTGAAACCTGTGGGCCACGGCCAAGAACCAGTCGCCACTCAAAGGACATGCCGGAACCGAGATCTTCAACTTTCGTCATATCTCGGCTCCACCAACCCCGCGGCCGTGGCCGACAACGACCTTGGTCGTAAGTCTGTGCCATTTTAAGCCGCTCGGCAGAAGAAAACGTGCTACGAGCAGAGAAACACACTGCCTAAGCGAGATCTGAAAATCTCGTTCATGGTGTGTATCTCGACGACCTGTCCTTGGGCGTGCAAGATGGTGTGCTGGATGCGCGTACGGCCAGTCTGCCAACGTTCATTGCGTCCCTCGTGTTCCATGAGGCCTTGGTTAGTTGTGTTGTGTGCCAGAGCGTCATAAGAGGAGACTTCACGATGGCACTCTTTGGTACAGCGGGTGGAGCGGAACAGAAACACGCCGCCGACGAGCGAGAAACACAATGTACGGACCTGCACGCCTCCGGCTTCAGCCTGTTGTGTTTCTCGTCTGGGCGGCTGTCTACATCCGCGTCAATAAAAATGGCGGATTAGGGTTGTGGCGTGCTGGGAAATGACGGGTCACATGCAGCGGCGCGCAGCGGAGGTACGGCGTAACGTGGTTCCGCCACTTTCGCTGGCTGTGCGCAGGATGGGTCTCAGCCGTGAACACGGTCGTATCCGTACAACCCCCCCAGCAGAACATGTATCTTGTATCTCTGCTTTCGAGCCAGCGATGTAGTGCGAGTTGCATGTTAGCTGCGCCGTTCTGTACGCCCCCGACTTGTAGTCTGGTATTGAAGCGGAGCGGTGTCCGTCCACCGCTCCGCCGTACGCGGCCTCGGACACCCGACCCGCTCACCGATCACTGCACCATGTGCTGCACGCAACACGGTGCCGCTCTGTCATACTACACGGAGGGTTTAGTCTGGACGCACTGCACCTAGTGATGGAAAATACATACATGCGTGTAGCTTCGTCGACGATGGATATATGCCGACCACTCTGTAAATAGGAACAGGCCACACAAGAAAACGGCGACTGCATGACGCTCAGGACCACGGCGTCGCTGAGGGAGGCGTTTATAGAAGGACGTACAGCAGCTGCTATGCGTCAAACTGCTTGTGGGGGTGAAAGTGCACACTGGCGATAAAGCATGGTCTAACAAGGCCACATGTGGCATTGAATATCCTGAAGACAGTGGCCCTCCAACCGTACTGGTGATTGAGAACGGGCCGAAATGTGGCAGCATGTGGACCACTACAAGGATGCCTGCACATGCATGAGGGCTATTCGCCACATCCCTATAACCGCAACCACACATACACTTTGTACATCCAATCATACTGCTACACAAATTGAGGCTCATGTGCTGTGAGGCAAAACATGTGATGGTTCGGTGGCTAGGCGTTCTTGCACGTTCGGTGTTTTGAGTTGGAGATTTTTGGGTCATGGTTGGTTGTCACAGGCAGACTCGAAAGACCCCATCTGGACTGTCGCAAGCAGGTCGAGGAGACATTGCTGGGACATGGTAACGGTGGTTGGTTTGGTTGTTGTGATGGAGGCTGCTGCGGCCAGAGTCGTGAGACCCCACCTGGGACGAGGAGACGCTGCTGAGACATGATCGAGACAATGATGAAAGTGGAGACGGAGAGCTTTGGAATGACCGGGTTGAGCGTGCATGACGGCTCAGAGGCGGCGCGTGACCTGCTTGCGGCCCGCCCAGTCCTCTTGGATTTCGCCGTTCTGTGGGATCGTTAGCTGAGTTCACACTTTTAGGGTGAAGGCCACTGTTACTCACCTGGCTGTGACCAGACGACGACAGAGCATCCTTTTGCCGCTGACGCGTGCCGTCTTGTATGACACGATGAGCCGCACGCAATCGACCTGCAGGGCCTTCTCGCTGAGCTTGAGAAGGCGCTGGACCTCGGCATCGTCCTCGCTCGGCACTGTGGCGTCAATGTCTGCCTCTGTACCAGCCTGTCTCCTGTCGTCAACTCACGGACACTGTCGTCGCCGAAGGAGTGGTCGACGAGGTCGAGGTCGTTGCGGACAATGCCCTGAGCATAATGCAGCGTAAAATGGTTGCCGTCGTTTGACGTCAAGCCATTGCGCACACAGATCATGCTCAGCTGTGTCAAGGTGTACTTGTGCTGTACAGCCTTGACACGAGCTGCACAGTCGGTGGCGGCGTCGGTCGAGTTGTTGACACTGCTGGAGGAAGGACCTGCGGCGGAACGGGTTGCGATGTCGACGAGGAGAGCGGTCTCCCTCTCGCTGCGCTTCTTGGTCTTCAACCAGTGCTCCTCGTAGGTTGACAGGAGGTTGCTCCTCGATTCTCCGATGAGCTCCTTATACCGCTCGCTGGCGCCTGCAGACTTTGTCAGCATCTGCAATCCCTCACTGTCCCCTCCTTTCACTCACGAGGGTCACGGTAGCCCGAGCCACTGTACTCCGCCATCTGCCCGACGCGCTCGGCCATCGACGTCTTCAAGCCGCCCCACGAGTCGGTGGGGCGAGAGGCGGAGCGTCGCCGTCGAGGAAGTTGGAGATCCGAGAGAAGAGGTCGTCCTCGGCGAGGGGCGATTGCTTGGGCAGAACGTTCATGCCGGAAGTGGGACTCAGGCGGCCTGCCTGGCTCTCGGTCAAAGTCGGCGTCTTGCTGCCAAACGCCAACCTGCGCGCCTCGTCACGCTTCATGATCCCTTTCATCGACTCCTCCCAACGGTCGTTCTGCACCTCCAGCGCAATCCAGCGACTGACGTCGCAGGTTACGCAGAGAAGACGACTGGTCATGTCCGTGCACTTGACCGCACGGTCGCCGAAGGGGTCCTCGTTGGTCGCCTTGGTCGCCGAGTACAGCGCGTGCTTCTCGCCGACGCAGTAGTGAGCGGCGCAGGTGCCGTTGCACTTGGCGGCGGCCAGAGCGCTCTCCTCAAGAAACAGCCAGAATGCCCTCTCTTCCTTCTCCTTGGCGAACTCCTTCTTGGCCGACTCGAGCAGGTCGTGCTCGACACAGGCGCGGAAGGTGTTCCAGACGTCTGAGACATCGGAAGCGCCCAAGGACTGGATGCTGTCCTCGAGCGTCTCGGCCCACTCGACAGCGACCTCGGCGGTGAGGAACTTCTGGCACAAGGTCTGGCGACCATTGGTCCACACCACCTTGTGGTGCATCTCACCGCCAGAAGGGGTCTCGACGCGGACGGAGCCCGACGCGAAGGTGCGTGAGGACTGGTCATTGTTGGGTGGCCGAGCGGGGGAGACGAGGCGAGGCTGAGGAGGCGCAGGCGAGTGCGCGGCTGAGCCAGGAGAAGAAGCGGTGGAGACGGGGCGAGGGTTAAGAGGCTGAGACGAGTGAGAGGTGGAACCAGAAGTAGCAGAATCAGGAGAAGGGCCGAGAGCAGAGCGTGGGGCATTGGAACGAGCGGGCGACGGAGGTGAGGCAGTCGAGGTCCAAGGGATAAAGGTCTTGGGGGATGGTGTCACGGTGGCACCCGCCCAGGCAGCGATATCGGTCTTGGCGTGGTCGTCGACGACTCCTCCGTTCTCAAGTGCGGCGCTGACAAAATCCTTGACAGAGTTATCACGGTCGCCGTCAGAGATGGGCGGCAGGTCGGCGTCGGCGACATCAGCGGTCCGGGCCGCCTGCTCGCGAGCTCGCTGAGGAAGCGACTCAATCACAGCACGCGACTGGCGGTTACGAGCTGCGCGGCGCTGAGAGCTTAAGGAGGGGATGGAGGACGCGTCGGCGACATGCTCGTCGGTGTCGGTCTCTTGCGCGAGCTCCTCCACAGAGTCGTGAAACTCCTCGTCGTCGTCGTCGACAGCAATGGCGGAGCTGGCTGTGGCACCTTGCGTACCGGGCACCGACGACAGCCTCGAACGCTTCGCGGCAGGCCTGCTGGACTTGGCGGAGCGGGCGGCCGACTTGGCCAAGGCGCGCACGGCGTTCTGCTTGACGGCCTCGGGCTGCTCACTGTCCGACTCGGACGAAGAGTGGACAAAGCGGCGCTTCTCCGAGGGACGCTGCTTGCGCCTCACAAACTTGGGCGTAGGGCGGGCGGCGATGGCCGAGTTCTCGGACGAGTCATAGAACACGTCGTCGTCGTCGTCATCATTCTCGCTCTGTTGGTCCTTGTTGGCAATGGTTGGGGGAGCGGGAGCATGAACTGACGCCGTAGTGGAGGCGGCAGTCGAGGCGGTGGCAGCACGAGCAGCCGTCTTCTTGCGCAGACGCTCAAGTGCGCTGGCAATTCCCTGCTTGTGGGCCGTTTCACGACGGATGGCAGGGTCGTCGCCGAAGCTGACTTCCCAGGCGGGCGCCGACGGCGACGGGCTCCTCTCATCCATCGAATCCCCGTCCGGGTCCTCGTAACGGCGTGGCATGCTACCAAATGTCAGCTCGGTCTCAACAATCGCCACCAGTGTGCAGGGCCACCGTCTTCCGCCCACCCGTTCAACGCCACCGAGGGTGGGAGCCGTGCTGCAGCATCGGGAACAATTGACTTTTGAGGACCAAAGTGACCCAAACTGCCACACACCGCCGTCCGCAACCGTGAGACAGCGATTCATGTCACCAAAGCTGCCACAAGTGCCGCAACGTGGTGCAGACGCGGATGCGACCACATTGGCGATCGGTAACCCATGCAAACAGCACTGCTGCTGCTGCATACCCCTTATTCAAAGGGCGTTGTTGTGGGAAGGGAAGGAGAGAAGGGAAGGATGGAGGGAGGGAGGGAGGGAGGGAGGGAAGGAAGGAGGGAAGGAGGGAAGGAAGGAAGGAAGGAAGGGACGGAAAAGGAAGGAAAGATGGATGGATGGATGCATGGACGGAAGGAAGGAAAGAAGCAAGCAAGCACGGAAGCAAGGAAGCAAAGAAGCAAAGGACCGTGTAACAGTAGGGGAGGGAAAGGAGAGGTGAAGGTGCTTGGACGAGAGAGAACAGACGCTCACCTGTAGGCAGCAGTCACGAGCAGTACTTGAGACGAGGTGATGAGAAGGGGACGGTGTGCAGTCTGAGAGGGAGCGGGGAGGAAGCTGGAAATGGTGGTGGTGGTGGCGGGGAGGCGCTGGCTGTACCATAGGTGAGCTTTGCAAACAAGTCGACTCATACCCAAATACCCCAACTCACTGAAGGTCACCCAGCGTCTCTTTGTAAGTGGTGTTATTGACGAGGAGCATCAGGTAGAGTGCTGGTGCGAGTGAAGAGGGTGTTGTGGGTGGTGGTGAAAGCATGTGACGTGCTTGGTGTTTGGTGTGAAAGAGAGAGAGAGATGAGGGAGTGGCAAATGCACCAGAAGCGTCTTATACCGCCCCGTTCCAACAGCCCCACGGGCCACGGGGCGCAGTATGTGCTGGGGAAGGCAACGACACGAGGCCCAGCGGATTGACCTCCCTCCGATCCCTCCTTTCCAACTCCCACCATGCTCAGCTGCTGCATAGTTCGTGTACAGCAGTTTGGCCAGTTCCCATGGCCTCGCTGTGAGAACGTAGCCAGATAGCTGCAGATGGAAAACGTGGGAAAAAACGTGAAAAATGATCTGCATTTTGGGGCGCAGGGACCTCTCCTGCGGCTAGGCGTGGCAGCTGGGCGTGGCAGCTGACTGGCTGCCAACTGCCAACTACTGGCCATCCTGGCCGGCTCTTTTGTGGTTTCCCTCCCCCCGGCCTTCCGCCCTTCGCCAGCCTCACCTCGGTGGCGACTTCTTCGGCTCGTGCTGCTGCGAGGGTGTGGATCTGACAGTGCACCGAGCACTAGAGCGCCCCAACCGCGACCGCAACCTCTTCCTTCAGCTGTTGCTCCCGCCTCTGCCGGGCGGGATGACCGGTGGGTGAGAGCGAGGACAACAAGAATGAAGAGGATAACGACAACGAGAGGGGGTTGAGGAGGAGGACGACAATGGGGACGCAGTCGAGGAGTCGGGGGAAGCTGCTGGCTACGCCCCAAGTGGCGTCCCTCAAGTGGGATGGAGGAACATCGCTGCAAGTGCAGCCATTGTGTAGCACTTGGGAGACAATGCCAGTAGCCAATCGTGTAGACAATGGCAGAGCCGCTCATGTATGGCACTGCGATGGCCCAAGGGAACATAGACGTCTGCAGACAGCCTGGCGCAGGTTAGAGGGCAGGCAATCGTCAGTCCAAGACAACGGTAACTCGTATCCGGAGAATGTGCACAATCTCCATCCCTATACATAATGTGCAAGTGCCTAGAGTAATATTTACTCGGCGGCGACGACGGGAGCCTCGGCAGCGGGAGCGGCAGGGGCAACAGCGGCGGCGACGGGGACGTCCTTGTGCTCCGAGCGGATCTCGACGGGGGCCTCGGGCTTGGGCTCGATGAGGGTGACGGCGTCGGGGAGCGAGTGGGCGGGGCCCATCTTGCCCTCAACGTCCGAGGGACGCATGATCTTCACCTTAATGCCGAGGACACCCTGGCGAAGGAGAACGTGACGAACGGCGTAGTCGACGAAGTCGACGTTGGGCTGACCCGAGTGGATCATGAAACCGTCGCAGAACTTCCTGGAAACAAAGTCAGCAAACTGGCGCACAAACCGCATCTTGGTCGACGCTAGGAGGCCTCCCATCTCCGTCTAGGTCCATTTGCCATCGTGGGAGGAGCCCATCGACGACAAGGAAGACAGAATTAGACGAAGAGGTCGTAGGAAGTGGAAGTGGCACGCCGATCATTTTTTGATTCCGCCGCCACCAAATCTCACAGCCCAGCGTCTCCCATGCTTGTTCACTCACATCGACTTGGCACGAGCAGCACGGAGCTTGCCCGAGACGACAACCTCGCAACCCTTGGCGCCCGACTCCATAACGTAACGGAGGACACCGTAGCAGGCGCGGCGCATGGCAAGACCACCGAGGAGCTTGTAGCGGAGCGACTCGGCCTGGGCGACGGCCGAAAGACCGCGGTACTGGACCTTCTCGGCGTAGAGCTCGAGCGAGTTCTCGGGGAACTTGAAACGCTTCTCAACGAGAGCCTTGAGCTCGCGGATGCGGCGGCCCTGGTGGCCGAGGACCTCCTGGGTGTGGGTGGCACGGATGATGATCTCGGTGCGGGCGTGGGTGACACGGACCTCACAGCCGGAGTAGCCCTCCTCAGCGAGCTCACGAGTGCTGTAGAAAAGTCAGCTGGGCTCTCTCTCTCGCGCGCAAAGGGCCTCCTCTGCGCGCCGTCGCGATAGCACGTCTGCAAGTCGTTTCGACCCGTTTCGAGGTCGACTTTCGAGGTTGGGCCGTTCTCGACGACCAGACGTGCTACCGCGCTCGTTGAAAAACGCACAAGAACTCGCCGAGCTCGGCCTGGAAAACACCGTCGGCGATGAACTTCCTCTTCTTCGAGATCTGGGTGGTGGAGGCCATTTTTGTTGCTGGTTGAGAAGAGAACTGTTCAGTAAGTTTCAGAGGGAGAAGCAGCGCACCGGGCAGGCAGCGAGGGCAGCACGAGCGGGGGCAGCCAGTGGCTCCTGCCAGTTCGCAGCGAAACTACGCCGCGGAAATTTGGCACCCAAAACGCCGCCGGCGTGTGGCACAAATGCCACGTGGTTGGTGGACGCACCTGAGTTCCTGAGATGGTGGTTGTTGTTGTTGTAGTTGCGTGTGGATGGAGGACGATGGAAGGAGTGGGAGGAGTGGGGAGATGTACAAACGAGCGATGCAATGCAATGCGACGAGAGTGAAAAGCTGCGCCCGACGATGCTTTCTGCAGTGTGTGGCAGGTGGGGCGCACAAATGTGGCACTCGCTTTGGTTGCTCCGGTCCCGTGTGGCCCAGTGGCCCAGTGGCCGGCTCCGAGCTCGAGTCGTATGTGGCCACAGTAATGCCAAGTCGGCAGCTGCACTACACCAGCACCGTGGAGCCAATGCATATACACTGCTGCCCCAGTGACCCACCCACGATGGGTTGTGTGGACGAGCGTTGGTATGGTGGGTGGTTATAGGTGAACTTTCTCACGGTGGTTTCCCTACTGTGTGGCAAACAGCGCTGAAGCGAGATCTACTGACTCATACTGATTCAAGTGGCCATAAATGGGCGTCTCCCGGCGACGTTAACAATGTTCTGGCTAGCCGACCAGATTCTCAGCCTCACACTGAGATGCGTATGCAGATGCGGATGCAGCTCAGGAGGGCGTGCTCCACTGCCGTCGAAGGGCCATTCCTAAGCCACTCCATGGCGACCAGGACCATTGTGCAGAGGCATTACAACAGAGACTCACTTCTATGCACAAGTGCTGTGATTCCCCGGTCACCCGGTCCTCTCCCTCCTTGTAGTCTTCTATGGTTGAAAGCTGCCGTACAAGACCCATTCACCAATCGATGCATGAAACACCATCCTCGGCCGCCACTCTCCCACGGCCGCCGGCACGCGCCAGGCACGACACGCACTTGTTGGCGCGCACTCTGCGATCCGTTCACCCCGGTTAGTGTCTGTTGCAACGTCTCCACCCCCTCCGCACCACTTCCAACACCCACACCTTGTCAACATGCGGCTGAACTTGCGCCGGGTCCAGCCCGGAGCCCTGTTCGGCTCCTTTATGGGCATCCTCGACATCAAGCTCGGTAAGTTTGCACTGTACGGGACGGGCAGCGTGGAGCGTGTCAGCCCAAGGACCACGTTTCTGGCCTTGGCGCCCGCCGCGCGTTTGGACGTTGAGAACTGACAGTGTGATCACAGGCTGCGAGATTGTTCTCCTATTCGGTGTACGTAGAACTCATTTAATCCACAGGACCAGCTGTACTGACGCGTGCAGCTCATCAACAAGGTCGCAGGTGTCTACGGCCTCATCACTGTCCTTGTCGGCGGAACCTTTGTGCAGTTCCTGTTCTACGCGTACTCTGTCGTCACCTTGTTTGCGTTCCTCTGGGCCCTCGGTGTCATCAAGAGTGTAAGTTAACCCTACCTTGTTTGAAAGGGGGAGGCTGACTGACCTTTTTTAGGAAACCGCACACAAGACACTCCTTGTCGCGCACCTGTACACGGCCGACCACGTCATCCAGAGTGTGTTCCACTACCTGTTCTACTACCACTACTGGTTTGTGGAGGCACACGACGGCAAGCGTATCCTCAACTCGCAGGCTCAAAAGGACATTGTGGAGCTCGCAGCGTCCCGCGGCGAGATCACACCTCTGAGCGGCACCGAGGGCCAAAAGGTCGACGAGATCCAGGCTCAGCTCGCCCAGCAGATCTGGAGTGACGAGAAGGGCTATGCCCTGGGTCTCATCATCTTTGGATTCCTCTTGAAGGTGAGTTCTCATTGTCATAGAGAGGGGGCTGCGTTCCTAACTCGACCCACAGGTCTACTTCATGACCATCCTCTACTCGTATGCGGCCCACCTCCGCTCGTCGACGTACCACACTCTGTCGTATACCACCCACGCCAACGGCTCCTCGACCGGTGGTGTGCGCAACACGACCGTTGTCTCGTCGGCAGACGACGACGACCGCGAGCTCGCCAATGCCGAGGCAGAGGTCGCCCGTCTTACCGACGAGGCCAACGGCAGCGCCAGCGGTAACGGCAGTGGCCACGGCAAGGCCAAGGCCAGGGAAGGACGGAAGAGTGATGATGACGACTTCAACTGGGAATAATTAGATGCATATCTGCACGCATGCTGGGAGTACTGGGGAATTGTGGTGAAGACCAGGCAGTTGAAAGTGTCATGTCGCGTGTCGCGTCTTGGACCGTCTACGTTTGCTCCTTTAGCACAGGCTTAAGCATATCCATACTTTAGCCGCAGCACTCACTCACTTCTGCATGCTCTTGCCATCTGTGGCCCGCCGTCTAATGCCATATCTCGGTTTGCCACTTGACATGGTTGTGTTCGTTGCCACCCAACGACCATCTACCGCCCCGCGTTTCCCCGCGCCTCCAATTGGCTCCGGTACGTCATGGTCCTCCACAGCAAAAGTCTCGCGCAGCGGGTTCCTCGTTCTCTCACTCATTCCTTTCACTCCACATCACCGCCATTTATCCCCTCTCACCAACTGCTCGCCATGAGACTCGTCGGCAAGCATATCGAGAAGGACGGTTCGGTGGGTTTCTTTCCCTATAAAGCTGGGGTCCTTGGGTGGCAAACAAGAACCATACCAGTTCGACGCTTCCCTCCATCGTTTCAAACCTGGTCTATCGCCTGGCGACCGCGCGGGGTGAGACGTATCTCACCCCGCGCGGTCGCCACCCAGGCCATTCACCACAAAAGCACGGTATAGATAGACTTGTGCTGCTCGAATGCTGTCACCAACCCGCAACGTCTCATCGCGCCGCTTCTCTCTCCCTCCCACCCTCATTGTTCTCCGAGCCGCACTGACGCCCCGCAGGGTTCTGTTGACCTCGTTCCCGAAGACGAAGAGGACATGTGGCACGTCTACAACCTCATCTCCGAGGGAGACGAGGTGCAGGCCATGACGGACCGCAAAGTCCACACCACCAGCAGTACAGGAACGACGTCGAGCTTCCGAGTGCAGCTCAAGTTGACGATTAACGTCAAGCGGGTGAGTTGCGTGAATGGGCTCTGTGCGAAGGGACGGCTGTAGCCTTTGGCGACTGTAGCGCGGCAGCCCATACCCGCGAGCTCGTCAGATTGCTCCTCCAACCCGAAATCTGACACTGCAGACCATGTTCTCGGCTGCGGCGTCGACAGAGACGAACGGCGACAAGAGCGAGGCCCGCGCCGTCATGAGCATCACGGGCCAGGTCACCGAGGCCAACGATTATGTGCGCGTTGGCGCATTCCACACTTTGGAGCTTGAACGTGAGTAGCTGTTACTGTGGTCTCGGACAGGAGACAGCGTAGGTGGCCTCTTCACTTTGAGCATCACCTACGTGCCATGTTCGTGGTCTCAGACTACTAACGATTCAGGTGGCAAGAAGTTCCGCCTCACCAAGACCTCGGGCTGGGACAGCATCGCCCTCGAGCGTATCGCCGAGAGCACGCGCGAGGGTCGCGGAGCGGAGATTGGCGCCGTTGTCTGTGGAGAAGGTACCGCCGCCATCTGCTTGCTGTCAGAGCACATGACGGTGGTGAGGCAGCGTATCGAGGTGCCCGTACCGAGGAAGCGGAGCGGTACGAGCGCGTTTGACAAGGTGGGTGGGAAGCTCTGGACATTGCTCGCCCAGGACTAACATTTGCAGGCCATGGCCAACTTCCTCTCGACGGTGTATGCCGCCATCCTCCGCTTGATACCCTTTGACCAGCTGCGCGCGATCGTCATTGCGTCGCCTGGATTCACAAAGGATACGGTGAGCTTTGAAGCGCAGAGGCCAGAGCTAACGATTCAGCTGTATGATTACATTTTCCAACAGGCGACCTTGTCCAGCAACAAGCCTCTGCTGGCGTCGAGGACCAAGTGGATCAAAGTGCACAGCAATACCCCGCACGTCCACTCGCTCGTCGAGGCGCTGCGGGACCCGACCGTCACCAAGATGCTGCAAGGTGCCAAGTTTGCGCGCGAGGGTGTCGCGCTTGACAAGTGGGTTTTACCTCTCTCGAGGCAGCTTAGGTTTGCACCTGCCCTAGCTGCCTGCCTGTGCCCCAGTGGCCCCGGCATCTCGCTGACATGTCCAGGTTCCACAAGATGCTTGCCACCGACGAGCTGCGCGCATGGTACGGCCCCGACCACGTCGCCCTCGCCGTCGACCGCGGCGCGGTGGGCACGCTGCTCATCTCGGACGACCTGTTCCGCGCCGCCGACCCCGAGACGCGCAACCGTTACGTGCAAATGGTGGACGACGTGCGCACGCGCGGTGGCGAGGCCATCATCTTCTCGTCCATGCACGAGAGCGGTGTGCAGCTCAACTTGCTGACGGGAATCGCGGCCATCTTGACGTATCCCTTGGACATTGAGATTGTCGAGATGGAGGAGCGCGAAGAGAAGGAGAGGCTGGCGGCCGAGGCGGCCGCGCTTGCCGCGCTCAAGGGGACGGGGTCGAGTAAGGGCACGCCAGCGAGCACTCCCAGGAGTTCGCAGAGGGGCACGCCCAGGCCATAAGGCGACGAGTGTGCTGTTAGAGAGGGAGAGAGAGAGTATTGTCGTTATTGGGATGAGCTTGACATGTGCGAAATCTGGTTAGCGAGAGCCACTACCTTTTGACAGGTTACATTCTGCTTGACAGGCTACATTCTCCTAGAGCGTCCATCTACGGCCACAATCTACTACGACAGGCTATCACGCGAGATTCGGAGGGGGATAATCTGATTAGTACTGATGTGTCAGCTACGTTTGTCCCAGACGCTTCAACTCACGACGTAGGGAATGATCTTGTAAGGAACAAGCTTGCAGTACTTGTCCCAGTCCTTGCCATACTTCTCCTTGCACGCCTCGTCGTCGCGCATCTGGCGGTGGACAAGGAGGACGGCAAAGTAGACGACGTAGAAGTAAGGAACGGGGCTCTTGAAGCCCGTGGGCAGGCACCAAGCCCAGGCCATGATCCAGTCACCGAGGTAGTTGGGGTGGCGGGAACGACCCCACCAGCCCGAGGTGAGGAGACGGGTACCGCGCTGGGTCTCCATGTAGGTCAGGTTCTTGGGGTTCTTGCCGTTGCGGAAGTCGGACTTTTCGTTGTTGGACACGCGGAAAATGTACAGGCCAATCACCTCGAGGGCGACGACGGCAGCGGTAAAGTATGGGCCGAGGTGGACGGGCGAGAAGACGAGGTAACGCGCCTGGAGGCCGTATGTGAAGGGGAGCCAAGTGAGGTCGCCAAACGAGAGCATGAAGCCGAAACCGTCCGTGGTAATGTCCATCTGGTTGAGAATGACAGGCTCGGTGAGGAGGCAGTCGAACGCATAATATATCTCAAAGGCGAGGACCGACCACATGCTGTCCGAGACGTAGCCGTGCTTCTTGTACTGGGCGCAAGCGCACGAAATGTTGAGCACAACCCAGCCAATGATTCCCGGGCGGACTTCGTTGAACGTCTTGATGTCAAAGTTGGGGAAGCCCGGGAACGTGGGGTTCAGAGGGCGGCCGAGGAAGAACTGGAATGTGAGTACAGGACCGGGCGCAGCTAGTGGGTGATGAGACAGCTGATCATCTCTACTCACGTCATAAATGAAGACACCCGAGTTGCCGCCGAGAGCGAGCAGCTCGCCCGACTTGAAGCTCCAGACGTAGACCCAGAGAGCCTGGGCGGTCGCCATGACGAGCGAGGCAGAGAGGAGGGGCACCCAGTGCTCGTACACCCAGGTAAAGCGGTCGATGCCACCGGGGTTGGCAAGGACACCGGCAACGACACCAAGGGTGAGGATGAGAGCCCAGAGACCTGAACCAACGTCAGCTCAAGACGAACAGGCGAGCTGAAATCAAAAAAGCAAACGCGCGACGTGCGTGTTCGCACTGATTTTTCGTGAGGTGACTCACCGTTCATCTTGTACTTCTTGCGCGAGCCGTCGCGGAGGAGGTTACCCTCCACCCACTCTCCAGGCAGGACGGCCCAGCAGACAACGACCCAAGTGTACCACGCAAGGTAGACGCCCGCGGCGGTCCAGTCCCACCACTGGCCGGCGACAGTGGGCCAGTGCGCGAGATTGTCAAACATGGTCTGCCACCCAGCAGCGCCCGAAGGAGCACATCCGGTCACCTCATTGCAGGTGTAGAACAAGGCGTAGGCAGTAAAGGGAGTGCCGAAAGTGACGGCGGCGGTGCCGATGGGACCAAAGAATTCGGTGGCCTTGGATTTCGGGTTGAGCTCGGCGTTGGACCTGGGAGGGAGGGTGACGTGCGTCGTCGCCGTGATGGTCGTGGTGACTTCGCCCTTGTCTGCGGAAGACATGGTGGCTCACTGACTCTTGACGAGAGGGGGAGGAGGTGGGGAGGAAGAAACGGGGAGATGGGGTTGAAACAAGACGGAAACAACTGGTGACGATTGTTATTTGTGGGTTTCACTGAACAGTTCAGGAGACAGTCGCCGCCCATCGTACCACCACGGCGTACGGCGACGACGACGGCGACACGAACTGGCCGTCCTTGACGTTAACCGCCGGCGAATGACACCAAGTCCATAACAGGCAGCATGCACAAGGTCGCGGGCGGGAAACCGTTGCTTGCCCACAAAGGCTCGTACGAGATGGGATATGTCATCATGCATGGTATCGCTCTGCTGTTGCTGTCCCGCTCTGGTGGGACTCGTGTCTCCGTCTCCGCTCGCCAACATGGCACGACGCTTCTCCGTCTCGTGCTTTCCGTGCACCGCAGTACACGTCTACCCATTCATCTGCGTCTAATGGACACGCATGTGGGACGTCGTTCACTACTGCTTCCCCGCGGCCTCGGCAGCGAGCACCTCGGCGAGCCACACGCCAAGCTTCTTCTCCATGGCCAACAGCGCCTTGCTCGCGTATGGGTCGAGGCTGGGTCCCGCTGGGGCAGTGAGGTTTGACGGGAGGGAGAGGGACAGGTGGATCTGGTTTGGGGGGAAGCGCTTGGCTGGACAGATGTGTCAGTGGGTACGTCATGACCATGTGGAGAGCTGCAAAGGAGTACGAGGAGACGGGGCTCATGAAACCCCTGTCGCCAGCGACAGCGGCGACGTCTCCAGCAACAACCGTAGCCTAGCCGTCCGTCTATCTCACGAGCCCACATGTGGAGTACTCACCTAGCCTCTGCGCCATAGGCAGCGCCGTGTCCGTCGCGCCAGAGCGAAAGATCGGGGTGGCCGTCGCCGGGATGTTCTGCGAGTCAGCTGCTGGAACAACATGAGGCAGCTGTCTTTTCTCTCTCGCCGTACTTACTCCAGCACTTGGCATAGCGACAGCCCACTCGCTGGCAAGGCGGTTGCCTTCGCCCTCTTCCCTTGCCTGAGGACCGTCTGGCCCGTCGTCATCTGCGTCATCGCTGCCGGGAGCACCTGTGCCGACCCAGACGAAGAGCGTGTCCTTCATGCGTGTGAGCTGGAAGTTGAATGCGGGAGACGCGGGGAAGGGGGCCGGGAGGTGGGTGTAGTACACCTGCGTGGTGGGTTCGAGGTCGCCAGACATGGTGTTTGAGGTGGACAGGACGGATGATGGACGACAGAACAAGGACGCGTGGGTGGCTCTCTCAAAACACCGTCACTCGATGGCCATCATCAACCTCCACATTCTGCCTTCTCCCCGGTTGTGTCGTTCGTCATTCACCCAGTAACCCATTCGAACCACATGGTGACGCTCACCCCGCCGTCCTCCAACGCCAACACCCCCACAAGGCCACTCGCTTCCCCACCTCCCCCGGCCTCCCCCACCGACGCACGCATGGACGTCGACACCATCACCAGCGCGACCTCGGTCGCGGGTGAGAACCCCACACCTCCCGCGGGTCCAGGTGGCAACTCGAGCGGATCGGCGAGCAGTGGCCCAGCCTCGCCTATCGGCTTTGACGACGCTGAAGTCGGCGACCTCGGTATGGGCGAGGGCGGCTCGCCCCAGAGCTCGGACACGGAGGTCGAGGTTGACGAGGAGGAGGAAGCTCTCAACGTCGTCCCTGGTGCTACTCCCGTGAGTCGCGCGCATGTCAGCGACCAGCAACATCCCGCTGACGACCAGGCCAAGGCGACCCCAAAGCCCTCGCGCAAGAACAAGGATCAGCTGTACGAGTCTGACATTGTTGAACGCTGGAACGTCGGTGAGTAGCTGAAGACTCACTGCATAGTTGTCGTGGCCCAGCTAATGGACAGAAATCGGCGATGTGTTCATGCCCGTCGCCGCCCCTCGTCCTGCCCCCGCCCCTCCAACCAAGGGGTGAGCGTCAACGTCGACAGCGTCCACCGTCAACGTATTACGACCGCTCTCCATGATCCCAGGATCGACTCAAGAGCCAAGACCCCCCCCCCCCCCCGAGACCAAGTAGAGGACCCATTCGCTGTACATTCCCGGCCCTCACCCATCCCATCCCCAGCGGCAACCTGTACCCGTCGCACCGCCCGCATGCATGTACATATGAAATACTATGGCTCGTCTCTCTATGCCTTCTTGCTCTTTTCCTGGATCCATGCTTCTATGCGGTCAATCCAGGACAGGTTCTCGTCGTCTGTTGTTGTCTCTGTTGCTGATGGGTCGTCGCCCCTCGCGAGTGCCGCAGCCTCTTCCTCGGCCTTCCTGGCCTCTGCGGCCTTCTTCTCCTCGTCGCGCTGAACGCCAAACTTGTCGCTGAGCATTAACAGACCGCTTGTGGCGGCACCACCGCCCAGACCGAGGATGACGGCGCGGATGAGGACCGGGTTGGGCAGTCGGTCTGTGCAGTGTCAGCTCTGCTGTCCAACCTCGCGGCCTCCGCAACGCTTCCTTTTACACTCACACCACAGACTGAGCACCGTAGCAAGAGTTGCTCCTGCAACAGCTCCATCCTCGACATGCACGGGACCCTGCCTCCATCCCCACCGCTCGTGGGAGGGCGGGTACCCCGTCTTCATCGAGTTCGGGTTGAGGTGTTCGCGGGCGTAGGCAAACCCTTCGTCGGCAGCAACGAACAGGGCCACGGCAGAAGACAGGCGGAGCGAGTATCGAGACCCCTCGCGCATGCCGCCCCACAGGATACGGTAGTTGCGGGTCTTGTGGTAGAAGTACTGGAGGAGTGTGAGCAGGTCCCAGTTGGCAGGTGGAAGCAGGGAACGAGCGACGACGCGGTGTGGTCTGCAAGGCCGGTACACTCCTTGCTCGCTCGCTCGCTCGCTCGCGCACTCACCCATCCCTTGACGGTCGTCGGCTGGCGATGCGCATTCTCAGCCAAATACCTGGTCTGGGCATTCCTGGCACCTCGACGGGCGCCAACAAAGAAGCCGACCACGGCAGCGTTGCCGGCAAAGACGAGCATGTTCTTGGGCACGTGCTCGTACCATGGCTTGGGGTCGTCTGCGTTGTCGCCCGTCGCTGTCCACACCGCGGACGGTGATGGTGGGGGTGGTGGGGCCGCCACGGCGCCGGCGTCTACCATTTGTTGGTCGGTGGTGTGAAGGTGAACGGGGAGATGGAGATGACAGGTGACACCCGAATTTCAGACGATGCCTGTTGGCTGTTATCTGCTGCCGCCGCCCGACTCTTGTCAACAAAACGTCGTATACAGCACGAGGTCTCCCTGTCCAGCAGTCGTTGTATGTCAAAGTAAACCCATATGCTGCGGCGGGTTCGCGTGCATGGACCAGGGCACTTGCATGGCACTTGCGCGCTGTGCACAAGTGTCATTGTCAACCGACCAACCCAGGTCCACTTAGCTTCTCTCTCCTAATCTCCCGCCCCAGTTATTACAACCCATAGAAATAACAATTGTAATATCACCGCCCGCCGCGTAATCCCACCGGCAGCGCTCAGGCGATCTATTCCGCATCCATCTTCTCGTGTCTCACCATCACCCATATCTGCACCCACCTGTCAACCCAGCCAGAGCAACATGTTTGGCCGCCTGACACGCCTCGCCATCGACCTCGTCGCCGTCGCTACCATCTTGGCGGGCATCAAGCGTTCGACCGGATACGCGTGAGTCGTGCGCGGGCGGTTGTGTGTATTCTTGCAGTGGGTGGTGGTTGCCGCCGCCCGTGCTGGTCCATCTCGAGCGCTAGCTTGCCGAGATCGCATCGCTGGGTGTAGCACACTCCCAATGTCTACCCACTTGTCTTTGGATACGGATACACACCTGCCTTCAACGCTGCCGCAGCCAGTGCTCAGCTAACACACCTTTTCCTCAGCGTCTACACCGGCAAGGTCAAGGACTCGTCCATCCGTTCGTTCCTCGACACCTACCTCGGTGTCGGCGAGACGGTGTTTTCGTTCATGTGCGGCTTCGCCGTGTCGAGCAGCTACTTCCGCCGCCAGCTCGATGACTAGGCAGGATTCCGTTTGCCCCGTTAGGGCGAGTCAGCCCGGTTTAGGGATGATCCTCGACTGTCGCTGGATGCCACCTCCTACGACGAGCATTTACGAACCCCAACACCACGATAAACGATCCTCCCACTCCTGCCGTTTTGGCTCCTGGAGCCAGCAGACACACACACACGCGCGCGCGCGAACACACCTCGCACGGCCCGATACAGCCGTCTGCCTTTTCTCTATGAACACACTCGTACTTTTTTTTGGGTTGTTGTACGCCACCCGATACCACCACCACCACATACGAGCAAGACTCATTTATTCTCGTCTCTGTCTATCTATGTATCCTATATCTGGATACAACCGTCTCATGTTCATCTGTCGTATGGCTCTCTATTCAACATTTGTCGTAGGGTCATGTCAGGAAAGTGGCCAAGAAACATCCTCCCCCTTCCACATTGACATCGTGCCGTCTCTCTTCCCTCCAACATACACGCAGTGGGTCGTGGCGCAGCGGGCTTTGCCTCGCCTCGGCGCACTCGGCGCACTAGGCGTCGGCTCAACTAGTGCTCAATTCCACTCTCCCAGCTCTCCGTTTCGTCCCCGGTCTCCGTCTCCGTGGCGCTTCCCTCCCCCGTCTCATGGGTCCCCGTTCCCGTCGCCGAGCCAGAGTCCGTAGCCGTCTCGCCAGCAACAGAATTGGACACAGACACCGAGGCTGTGGAAAAGGTATCTCCATCGCCCGAAGCCGAGGCGGAGACTGAGGAGGCGGTCGGCGAGAAGGGATGGTCGGGAGTATCGATTGCGTGCTGTAGGTTGGCGGGGAGATGAAGTGTTAGGAACTGGAACTTGTTTCCCACCCGTCATCTCCTATCTCGTCTATCCAGTCGTTCCACTATGTAGAGTAAACTCTGCACTTTTGAAACCGAAACTCTCTGGACAGGACGGGGCTCTATGTGTCTGAAAACTCACCACTCGTGTGGGACTGACGACCCGAACTGATCCTTCGTCGTGCCGGTCCTCGAGATCGGCCCATGCTCTCGCGTGGTGAGCGTACTTTTCCCGATCCGACTCGGTAAAGCTTGTACGGCGGGGAGAATCGCGTGCCGAGTGGGAAGGCGACACCTTGGGCGAAGGGGATGCTTTGCCCTTGCCGTGTTTGGTCGAAGCATTCTTCTTGGCAGCACTCGAGCGGCCAAACCATGAAATGATAATGAAGCCAATGAGCGCCGACGAAATGGTAAGGGTGAGCGAGAGAGGCGGGAGGAGGATCAGAGGTGGGATAGGGTTGGAGGTGAGGAGCCAACGGATCCCAGTCGGGTGCGGGATGAAGCGGACCACGACCCACCCAGTCGTCTTGACCTCGTGGTAGAACCTGCTGCCCATGTCCTCGTCTTCACGGCCGATACTGACAAACGCCGCTCCAACAGTGTGGTCGCCCCGTCCTGGCAAAACAGTGGCGCCTTCGACAAGTTCTTTGGTCAAAAGCACCACCTCGTTACCCCGCGCGGGGGAGGCAAGGGTACCCTTACGCCGGCGCTCCTTGATCTTGGCCGTGGGGACCCCCGAGTATCCCAGCAGTCGCGAAGGGCAGAGCCCACGGAAAGGCCAAGGCAACAGGCATGGAGGAATAAGGCGCGTTGGCAACGATGGCACGTACACGACGCTGGGCGGAAGAGGTGGCGGTGGCAGGGACTGAACAGTTAGCAAGCAAGGATCACCAAAAGTACCCACCGGCTGAGACGCGCGGATGATAACCGTCTCCGGGGACCGGTGGCTGCGGAGCTCGAGCGTGACCATAAAGTTGCCTGCACCCAAGTCAGCTAAACCAGACACAGCGGGTCTCAGCTGTAAACATGCAGACGTACCCATGTCGTCGGAATCCCGGTTGGGTCGTACCAGCTCGAGCTCCACTTGCACGTCGTACGGCAAGTCCTCCTGGAACCGGTCCAGCGGGAGAGCCAGCAGCGCATGCGGTGTACGATGCGTGCGCGAGCCGTACACGAGCCATCCTTCCACTTCGACGTTTCCGCCTGTGCCCCATGACCACCAGAATGCGCCGACGGCGAGGAAGGAGAATACCGCAGACGAGACGACAAGGACCACTACGAGGACGGCCTTGAGGACGACCGAGATGGTAAGCGGGGACGTGAGAATGTCGCGGATAAGGCGAAGAGGGTATGTGATTCTGAGGCAAGTTTTAGCGTTTGGAAGAGGGATATGTATATGTATATATGTGGGACGACGCGTCTAGGAACGAGGCCGCGCGCGACGAGGGACTCACGGTGTGAATGCAATGTCGAGCAGCGAGTGGAGAAACTCGACAAAGTCCGAGTTTGGTGGTTGCGGGGTGCGGACGCGTCTTGCCGGTTGACGGCGCGGGGTGGCAGCGACACGGCGGCCGTCCCTACGCGCCGGCGACGACATGGCGAGAGGAGGGGTGGTTGGATGGTGGAGATGAATGGAGAGACGGAGAGACGAAGTGGAACGCGCGCGCTCAACAGACGTCACACACACAACAAGGCCCCCTGGGCAACCGCGTGCAGGTGAAGGGGGGGACGGAATAAGATATGGTAAACACCACAGCAACAGTGACGTCGTTGATGGTGGTGATGAGCTCGTTCGGCCACATACATTCTATCTACTACTCACCACTTGTCTCCACTGACCATGCCTCCGCCCATCGTGTCCGCGCTCCCACCATCGCCAGACTTGGTCAACGCCCACCATGGCGTGTCGTCGGCAAACATTACACTCGGACCGGACAATGCCACTCCGACAAAGTTCCACAACCCATGGCCGTCGTACCGCTTTGCAACGCTGTCAGACGCCTGGCTCGCGTACCAAAAGGGAGCAGCGATTGCCACTCCACAGCTGCCGACGCCGACCCCGTCTAGACCCGGGTCCCGCGCCGCCTCGCTCCATGCTCCATCAATACGACGTGCAGCAGGCGGCTTCCGCGACAACCCAGATCCGGAAGCCGGTACCGGCATCGGTAATGGTCGTCCGGAACGCCCATTGTCGCAGCGAAGGAAGTCGTGGCTCACCCCCGACGACCCCGACGATGCCGCCGACGAGGATGCAGACGAGGATGCAGACGAATACGACGACGAGACAGCTGCGATGGACGACGAGCCCGAGTTTCCTCTCCAACACCCGTACCTCAACGACGTGAAGGGATACGTCCGGCCAGCGTTCAGCCGTATCATGACCCAGGACGACACGGACGATTGGCGCGAACCACCGATCCAGGTGCAGCGTCCACAGTGGCCGCGCAGCGGCGAAAGGGGAGCCGTGACGTGGCTCGGACATGCCGGTGCGCTCGTGCAGATTCCATGGAACGACTCGGCGAGCACCAGTTCCACTGCACCCTTGTGTGGCGTTCTGTTCGATCCCATTTTCAGCTACCGGTGCTCCCCCAGCCAACTGGTCGGCCCAGCTCGCCACCTCGACCCACCATGTTCCGTTGACGAGCTCCCGCCCATCCACCTGTGTTTGATCAGCCATGACCACTATGACCACCTCGACTATAACACAATCTTGGACCTGTGGGCCTTCCACGCTGCCACTGTGCACTTTGTCGTCCCGATCGGGCTGGGAAACTGGTTCCGGACAAGCGGGATCCCAGACTCGCGCATCACAGAGCTCGACTGGTGGCACGAGGCCCTCGTCACTTTTCCCTCTGTGAACCGGACCCCGCCCGTCAACGAGCCCCTGTCGACCTATCCCCCCGAGACGACCCCGACCGTCGACCCGACCGCTGCCCTCACTCTCAAAGTGGCATTCACGCCAGCACAGCACCGCTCCGGCCGTGGAATCTTTGACCACATGTGCTCCCTGTGGGGCAGCTGGTGTGTCGGTGTCGTTGGGCCCGGTCGCGAGGCCGACGCCCTCAGGCCGGGCATGCTGGGCTGGACCGACTTCAAAGTGTTCTTTGGCGGCGACACGGGATATCGGTACGCGACTGCACCCGACAACGACGCTACAGCCGTGTGCCCCGCGTTCCAGGAAATCGCGCAGAAATACTCGCCATTCTCACTCGCGTTCCTGCCCCTGTCCACAGGCAGCAGTCTCCCGTTCCTCCGCTCCCTCCTCTCCCTCTCGCTCGACCAGTACACCCTCACGTCCAGCTTGCACTGTTCCCCCGCGGACAGTCTGGCCATCCACGCGACCGTCGGCGCGCAGCGGTCCGTCGGCATCCACTGGGGAACGTTTTGCGATGCCGCCGAGGCACGCGCGACGCGTGTAGAGTTTGGACGTGCGAGGAGGGAGCATGGCGTCAGTGCCGACTGGGATGAGGTCGGTGGCAAAGGATCGTTTGTGGTGGCGGATATTGGCATGGTCATGGAGCTGTAGAGCGCATATCGCAAACATAATATGGAAATGATGTTGGGATGTGGATGCGTTACCAATGGGCGCATGTGATCAATGCTGAACATTGGAGACGAGCGCCCATGGCATGCAGCACAGAATGTCGCCTGTGCAGCGATACCACCGACGACGCATTCATGCCGGCACCATTGCGGAGCCAGCCGAGAACGCGGCACGTATCTGCCAACCGCTCTCAGTGTTCTGAGCCAGTGGTCGTGCGAGCAAAGTCATTTGCCCGTGACGTCAGTGACGACGATGGTCCACCTCCACACCGACCAAACGCTCTCAACGACCCGCTGTTCTTGACATGACACGGAAACATGCATGGATGGTGGGAGGTATACAACAAACAGAAACGTTTATCTCTGAGAAAAGAAAAAAACACACCCCGTCTCAACGCCCCTTGCGCTCCCTGTCGCGCTTGGCCCTCTCCTTTGCCTCCTTGCGCATGTTCTCCTCCTTCTCGGCCTCGAGGTCTTCGCGGCGGGCAATGGCCAGCGCACGCTTCTCCTCGGCCTCGACATCACTCAAGCCAGCCTCCATGTCGCTTCCGCTGTCATAGTCGTCCCTGGGCGCCGGGCGGTGGGCGTGCGCGCGGCCGCGGTTGAACATGTCCTGGATCATGGCCGACACGGCCGACCGCGACGGCTCGCCAAACTGCGAGTCACCAGAGGATCCGCCCCGGTTCCGCTTGCGTGGTGGGCCGCGGCGCGAGTCGTCCGAGTCGGAATCCGAGTCGGACGACGACGGCTGGCGGCGGCGGCGCTCGCGCTCGCGGTCGGCGATGCGGTCGCGGGGGTCGCGGACATCGCGGTCGGAGGGGCGGCCGGCCGGCCTGGATGCAGGAATACGATCACGATCGCGATCGCGGTCGCGCTCACGGTCACGGGGTGTGGATGCGCCAGAGCCTGTGGAACCAGGTTTGGCATTACGCAGCTTGATATCACGCTGGATCTCGTCGAGGGTACGCCTGTCGCGCGAGTTGCGGTCGGGGCAGAGCGCGCGCAACTCGCCGACGTTGACAGACTTCTTCATCTGCGCCAGCGACTTGGATTTCGAGCCGGCACCAGCGGCAATCATCTTGGCTGCCGCTCCAGAACGAGGTGCGATCGGGGCCGACGAGCGAGACGTTGGAGCGCGACGTGGAGATGAGGCGCCCGACCCGGCTCCCGAGCCTGGACGACTGTCGAAGCCGTCCACGAGGGCGCGGACCGAGAACAGCGAGTCCTCTACGCTAGCCTTGGACGACTTGCTCGCGCGCTGGAGCTTGAGCGCCGCCTTCTCCTTCCTCCCAAGTACCGGTGGGGAGGGCTTGCGTCCACGTCCACCTGCCGACGAGTCCCTGCCGCCCGCTCGACTGGTCGAGCCCGAGCCCGAGCTCGACGCGCGCGCACCGTTACTCGTGTTGGTCGTGCCGTTACTCAGCTTGGTAGACGTCTTGGGTGTCGAGCGAGGCGGAGGCTATGTCACTGGTGAGCTTTCTAGACTTGGCCTGGGGGAATGGTGCAGGGCCCGAAAGCGCCACCCTACCCACCTTGGATGGACCCGCCACTGCGTCCTCTGCAAAGGGGTCGTAACCATCGTTGGCCGCCTTGGACTGGCTGCTCTTGTTGTTCGCCAGAGCAGCGTTCGCAGCCATGAGCTCTTTACGCCGCGCCTCGCGGGTCAACTCCTCGACACGCTTCCTGCGCTGTGCAAATGTTAGCACACGACACACAGCCCTTTTGTGGAGTGGAGACTGATGAAGGGAGATGTAGATGAGGACCCCGGAGGTTACGCCGTGGTTGCTCTGGTTCTCGCACCCATACACCGTCTCGCAACCCCCATCGGTCTCGTGCAGTGTAAACCCACCTCTGCCTCCTCCTTGGCCGCCTTTTGCTCCTTCTCGGCCTTCCTTGCCAGCTCGCGCTTAAGCTCATACTCCTTCTCCCGCTGCAGCTCGAGTGCCCGCGCTTTGAGGCGCTGGTACTGGTTCTTGTCAGCTTGCCATGTACGAGATACAAAGCTGCAACGTACCTCGGACATTGCGGGGGTTGTGGGAGAGAACGGGGGTGTGGTTTGTACTAGATGTTGGAGGAAGAGACTGCAACCTTGGCCGACGGTGTGCAGGCTTTAAGTGTCATCCATGGGCCCACATTGATGCGACGCTTGGTGGCGAGAGAGAATGTTGAGGTGACGCGCCTATTATTGTTCCCGCGCCTATGGCCGAGGCCGAGAGCGTCTCATTTGTTATTGACATTCCACCTCGTTCGAACGTCATCTCCATTCATCTCAAACACTCTCGCCAGCATGTCCGTCATGCTCGAGACGTCCCTCGGGGACCTCGTCATAGACCTCGAGGTTGACAAGTGTCCGCGCACCTGCGAAAACTTTCTCAAGCTCTGCAAGATCAAGTATTACGGCTTGAACGCATTCTTCAATGGTGAGTTACGATTGTCCTCGTGCAACAAAGCCAACTCTCCAGTGTCCAAGGACTTTATCGCGCAGACAGGCGACCCAACGGCGACTGGAACGGGTGGCGAGTCTCTCGACTCGTACCTCTACAACAAGGACCCAGTGGGACCGCCTGTTCCGCGCTACTTTGCGCCAGAGATCACCAACAAGCTCAAGCACGTCGCCAAGGGCACCGTGTCGATGGCGGTCGCGCCGACCGACCCGGCGGGCTGCGGTTCGCAATTCTTCATCACGCTCGCAGACAATATCGACTATTTGGACGGCAAGCATGCGGTCTTTGGCCACGTGATTGAGGGACTCGACACGCTCGACAAGATCAACGAGGCGTACCTCGACAAGGAGGGCCGGCCACTGCAGGACATTCGTATCCGTCACGTCGAGGTGCTGGAGGATCCCTTCCCAGACCCGGACAACAGGATCGTCCTGTCGCCTCCCCCCTCGCCTATCCGCCCCCCTGACGCTGGCGGCGATGTGGTCCGCATCGGCGACGACGAGGACGCATTCGCCCAGCTGGCCGAGGAGGAGGCCGAGGAGCAGCGCCGCCTGACGGCCGCCAACAGCTCGGCGCTCACGCTGGAGATGATTGGTGACCTGCCCTTTGCGGCTGTGCGCCCGCCCGAGAACATCCTGTTCGTGTGCAAGCTCAACCCCATCACGCAGGACGACGACCTCGAACTGATCTTTTCGCGCTTTGGCAAGATCCTCAGCTGCGAGATTGTGCGCGACAAGAAGACGGGCGACTCGCTGCAGTACGCGTTCATCGAGTTTGACCTGCAGGAATCGGCAGAGCAGGCATACTTTAAAATGCAAAACGTCCTCGTGGACGACCGGCGTATCTGGGTTGATTTTTCCCAGTCGGTCGCCAAGATGGGCTCGGCAGCGCGTGCGGGCTTTGGCGGCGGCGGCGGGAGAGGGGGAAGGGGTGGTGCGCGAGGAGGACGCGGTGGCGGTGGACGCGGCGGGTTCAGCGATCGCGGGCCACCACCGACGCGCGACTCGGGCTATGGTGCGCGTGCGGGCCGTGACCTGCCCGAGGGCTATGGCGAGCCGCGCAGGCGCAGCCGAAGCCCCCGAGACCGCGAGGAGAGGAGACCAGAACGCGACAGTGGACGCCGTGACGACGACCGATACAAGCGCGACGACAGGGACCGCCGCAGCGAACGACGTGAGAGGGACGACCGGGACGAGGACCGTCGCCGGTCAGGTGGACGCGATGACCGCGACAGGAGGGACAGGGACAGGGACCGCGAGCCTCGTCGTGATGACAGGAGGGACGACAGGAGGGATGACAGACGAGACCGCGAGAGGGACGACAGGCGCCGAGACGACCGTCGCGATGACAGGCGTGATCGCGACAGGGACTACCGTAGGGACCGATAGAGAAGTACTTACATACATTACAAAATCTGTAGCAATGCAATGGCCTGGACCTTTGACCTGACTGACCGTCAACAGCCGGCGTTAACATCTCGGTGTGTGCTGGTCCGGAACTGAGTGACGGGATTCCCGGCGCGCAGAGGATTGGCCGATGTCCGACTGCCCTGTCCACCAGGATACGGCACAGTGTGTTGTAGTACATGGCGGCCGATGGCGGTCTTGGCTCATGTTGACCCTTTGCTGACACCTTCGGCCACTACATCGGCCGCCACAACGCGTGCACGCGGCTCCCGACGGTTGCAGCAGAGGTACCGGGGTCGCAGCCGGTGTCACTGCCGGAGTTCAGGCGGTGGAGTGCCGGACTCGTTGTGTTGTGACAGAAGAGGTTCGTCACGGTGTACCTCTGGCCTCTGGGCTGTGTGCACAGCTCAAACCAACGCTGGCTGCACGGTACAGACCTGTGCGAGCGCAACTGTGGTCGCCACAAGCGACGTTGATGCGGAATGGAAACCGACGGCCTGTGGCCTGTGGTTTGCGCCAGTGCCACAATTGACGCGTCGCTGGCCCGTCGCAGCTGTACTGTACACCAAACACGAGACTGTCGCTGCTCCCCTGACATGCATGACACCTCTTGCTCCCAAACACAGTCTGTTTATGCATCACGCGCAGCAGGCACCCGGCCTGTGGCCTGTGGCCTGTGGCCCGTGGCCCGTAGCCCCCACAACCCCCGGTCCAAACGCATTTCTCATTCAGTGGTAGCATGAAGGCGCGTTTTTCTTTTGTTTGGCTGCCCCGACACGTGTTTCACGCGCACGCACACTGCGCACACCACCGCATACGGCGTACCCACGTACCGTGCTGTACAGTACAGCACAGTCCCACGTCGCGTCCCGTCGGTCGCCGGACGGGGGCGCGCACACGACCCGCGGACCCCCGCGGACCCCGCATGTCGGCGGCGAGCGATATAGCGACCAGTAACACGCCAAGACGGGGGTACGCGGGGCGTGCCCGACGGTGTGTCAACGTGCATCACGTCAGCGTGGCGCGTGGCGTCCTGCCTGTTGCGTCTCCCCTTGCAGAACGCGTGCTCGTCAGCGGCCAGGCGTCAGCAGCCAGCACCCAGCAGCAGAGGACAGACACCGAAGAGTACCATTGACCTGTCTCTGTGCATGCCTGTCCTCCCGGATCCGCATCCTCGGGCTCGGGCAGGGACATGGACATCGCCACGGACTTGGACCACCACAGACGCCGCCCCCATGCCACAAACTGTCACAGACATACTTGCCCAATGGCCCTCTTTGCGTGGGCGGACTGCTGCTGCTGTTGCTGCGTGGTGGGCATAACTGGGCCGCTGTACGGTGACAGTCGGTGTACACGGTGGGGCCCAGCGTCGTCGGGTCCGTGTTGCACCCAGAACGATGATAGCAAAACGATACCGTCCGAGTCCAGCCAGTCCCCAGATGGGTCACAAACGGGGCAGGCAGCGTAGCGTTGTGGCCTGTGGCACTGAGTCACACAGTCTAGTCACATTGGTTATTATGAGACCTCGTACAAAATACACTATGAAAAGGTGGTGGCACAGCAGGGAGGCCGACGCAGAAAAAGGAAAGGAAGGGGGGGGGCGAGCGGGCAAGGCGTGATGCGGCATGACAGTGTAGATGTTCTACAGATGCTCTTGAAGGAAGCTATGGGTGTGTGTTCCAGCCGGGCAATGATGCTGTATGAGGGAAGTGTGTGTGTGGTGAGTGTGGTGAGTGTGGGGTGTGGGGCGTGGGGGCGTGGGGTGTGGGATGTTCAGAGAGGTTGGCTCAGCCACGGATGTTGGCGACGAGACGCTGGGCCGTGTTGGATGCCGTGCGCACCGAGGCCATGCCTGCGCGGATGCCTTGACGCACGGCCGTGCGGCCAAACGACAGCAGGTCGAACATGTGCGGCGTGGGGGTAAAGTTGGCGAGGGACGTGGCGAGCGGGGACGCCGGGACCTCGTAGCCGTCGTCGCCGCTGCGGTTGTTGATGCTCGACATGTCGAGGCCCAGCGCCGACGGGGCCGAGTTGGAGGGCGTGCCCGGGATGGGTGTGGTGGAGGCAGAGTCGTCGGCCGTGGGCGACGAGCGGCGCTTGAGAACCACGGGGACGAGGGTGAGGAGGGTGAGGAAGACGAGCTTGGCGATGAGGACCGGGTCGCGGAGGAGCGAGGTGAGGGACTCGCCCTGGGGCACCTCGCCGTTGGCTGCCGATGCTGGGGGCAGTGCGAGACGCGAGAGAATGTTGCCGACCGAGGCGGTCACGTAACTCCAGCTCGCGCTGCCGGCGGCGGTGGTGAGCCAAAAGGTACGCCAGTCGACGCCCACGACACCGCACGCGACGTTCATGCCCGACCATGGGACAAAGCCCATGGCACGCATGAGGAGCAGACGGCGCCAGATGTTGGGGCGGTCTTCAGGCGCGCCGATGGCCGGCTCGGCGGGGTTGGACGACACTTGCAGTGGAGTAACACGCGTGCCCGACGACTCGGGTGCCAGAGCGGCACGGACGAGTGCGAGCGGCTTGGGGAAGAGGACGCCAATGAGAGGCGCCAATGGGCGCGACAGCGAGTAGGCGCCCAGGGAGCCACAAGCCGTGATGAGCGTGAGGAGGGCCAGTGCGGGCATGGGGTCAAAGACCGATCCAACGAGAATGTTGAGGACGACAGCTCCGGGGACACTCCATGCGTGCTTCCAGCAGCCAACGTAGGTGATGACAGCGACAGTGTGCCACCAGCCATAGTCGCCGCTAGCCATGTACTGGCGCATGTCGTGAGACAGGAGCTGCAGGTCGGTCGTCGATTTGGGCATCGACTTGAGCTGGGTGATGGGCAGGGTCTGCACCGCGTACAGGACGATGAGGAACGAGACGACAAACAGACCAGCAAGCAACGCGACGGTCCAGCCAAGCTCGCGAAGCGCCTCGGCCGTCTTGCCAGTGCCCGAGCCGTTGGACAGGTATGTGCGGTACACACGCACCCACCAGCCGTCCGAGGGCCCGCCACGGAGGTCGGTCGAACGGTTGCGGCGGCTGCGGCGGGACGAGCGCGACCCACCGCGCGAGAGGGACTGGGTGGACAGTGCCGGTGTGGGGAGCGAGTTGGGGTACGGCAGTTCACTCATGGTGATGCCCTCGTCGTCTGGCGGGGTTGGAGGCAGGCCAAAGTACGAGTTGTCGGGATCGCCGTCGCCAAAGAGACCCCAGTAGCGGCCAACGTTGCGTCCGACACCGACACGAGGTCCGTCATCCTCGTCGTCAAACGGCTCTTCCTCCTCGCTGCCGTCGAGACCCTTTTCAGAATCGTCGTCCGAGGTCCTGCCGGTGCGTTCTCGCCTGTGACCCACTGGCTGCGCCCACGAGAGCACACGTGTGACGACAGCCTCGCCAATGTCGTAGGCTTGGCTGAGGATCCCGCTGGGCGGTTGCTCCTCTGTTGGAGGCGGCGAAGGAGGGGTGACATACATGGACGTCCATGGTGGGGGCGAGACTGCCGTGGTCGCCAGTTGGGGCAGAGTTGGCGGATGTGTCAGCGTCTGCACTGGCACGGTGGGAGGTTCCGCGTCTGGTGCGAGGGTTTGCGGCACGACGATAGAGGTGGATGTTGACCGTGCGCGGGTCTCAAACACCTTGACGTTGGAGGCAGCAGACAGAGTGGGCTGAGCAAGGGCAGCGATCGGCTGAGCCTCCGCCTCTGTCTTCTTTTCCTCGTCTTCTGGCAAAGTACGCTTCGCCAGGTTGGGAGTGGAGATGCGGCGCTTCAGGCCGTTTCGTGTGCGTGCGCCAGATGGAGACTGGGTGCCGCTTGATGGCCCAGCCTCGGGCTGGAAGACTCGGTGCGACGTTGCGGACGTTGACAGTGGTGGCCTGGCGCCCGAAACGCTCTTGCTGCTTCGCCTCGTGCCGGGCACACGAGGTTCGAGGCGATCAGAGCTGCGCGGTGATTCCAGCCTGAACGTGCCGAGATCGGTGAGCTCGTCGGGCGTGCTCACGACAGGACCACCAGTGATGGTGCTTGTGCTGTTAGTTGCCACGTTCATCGGCTGGCCGAACGAGACAGTAGCGGTGCGGCTCCGCAGCCGGCGTGGTCCCCCGGGAGCGAGGGTTGGCGAGCTGAGCGCCGGGACCGGCACGGGTTGGAGAAGGGGTGCGAGGGACAGTGTGGATGGTGCCGGAGGATGGCACGAGGGGGCGAGATGGAGGTGATGGGGGAAAGGATGGGTGTAGAGGTGGTGGTGGTGGTGATGGTGGGGTTGGACAGTGGAAAATCAACAATAGAGAGATGGGGTTCGGGCACGGTCAGCGCCAGAACAGCTTTAAAACGAGAGTGGGAGGGGTGGAAGGAGTGGATGTGGAGTTGGGATGTCGATGAATCGACGAGCCGCAACGGTGGTGTGTAACGAGTGTGTGTGTGTGAGGGATGGCGATGGACGTCTTGGCGCTGGTGATGCGTGTGTGATAATGAGACGACGAGATGATGGGTGTGGTGTATCGTTTGCTTGACGCTCGGCAGACCGAGGCCACAGACGAGACCGACGGAGATGGCGGGCGGACGCTTGGACCTCAGAGAGAGGCAGTCAGGTAAGGGCGAGCGACGAGGGGATAAGGGCACACCACAAAGTGGCGCGCGCGGTTTGGGTGGTGGAGGAAAGAGGTCGTGTTCAAGGCGTTTGGCACGGGCGCTGGAGCTCTGGCAGTGCCATACCAAAGGTCGAGTTGTTGGCCGACGGTGCTGATGCGCAGCGACGATGAACAAGGAAGGAGGTGTGTTGGGAGGAGAGAGAGAAGGGGTGCAATGTGTAGAAACAGAAACCGAGACACTTACCTGCCTGGCTGCATGTTTCTGCCCTGTTTGGCTGCTGGTGCTGGGGGGGCGGTGTCGGAGGGGGAGATGTGGGCGGCGGGGGGCTGTAGGCGCTGCAGGGGGGGGGGTTGCAATGGTCGACGTATGCACTTTGTGTGTGTAGGAGAGAGCAAGAATGTGTACGGTGGATGGTCAACGAGTGCTGCTGAGCGAGAGGAAATGACACCCACACCCAAACGAGACCTTTCCGCCTCCGCCGCCGCCGCCCGTGACACCAAACCCACCCAACAACATGTGGCCACCCGCCGGCCGTTCCACAGGGTGCCCGGCGGCCGTGAAAACATACCCATTTACTTCCGTCGGGGACCCAAAGCTTGCGACAGACGTAGGCTCGGCCATCCCGGCGCTAGGCCTCGGGCAAAACCCACCCACCCACCGATCGACCGACCTTCCGGAGCAAAATTTGCCACATCCATGTTGCAACAACCTTCCGAATCCGCTTCAACGTGTCAACGAGCAGCAACAAGCATGTTGTTAACATCCTCTCTGGCCTCTTTTGGCTAAGATCATGTGTAGTATCTGTTCTTAATGCTGTGAGAAGCATTATCGGGCTACGGCCCCTTCTTCTCAAGCAATATTTCCTTGCCCGAATCACCTCTGGAGCTTGCTTCATGTGTATTCACGATGTCGCTGGCCTCACACTGCCGCCTTCAGATGTCAGGGTACCCAACATTGTCTTTTTGGGCCATGTTCGAGCGCTGGCACGACCGCTATGGTAATTGATTTGTATTAACAAGTGTTTTTCCGTATTTTGCCTGATGTTTGTCCTATTTAACCGTATTTATCGTAGCGGTGCAACGGCTTGGTTTGTAGCATTGCAACACGCGCCACCTTGTTTACAAGAAGCATAGTGTTTGTTCTGGGTTCAAAAAACGAGACGCGCAAGTGTCAGTGTGGGTGGTTCTCGGTTCGGCATTCCCGTGTGGCGGAAATCCCGTCCTGTCGCCGTGGATCCAAGCACTTCTCCGAACAATCAGCGCCAAACGACCAGCTCAAACCACTACCTCGCGCCACCGCGCAAGTTGTGCATTGGTCCAAGGCAGTGTAGAGGGCATGCATGGTGACATCGCCCCAGCAAAAGGCGGTGTGTGGACCGAGCGTGGCTTTCGCCAGACTATAGGTGGCTGTGGACACAGCGTTGCGACTCGTCGCTTGTTGACGACCAACCTTCGCGCGACCGCTTACGCGTGCGTTGTGAGCGGTTGATACCTTGCTTCTTGTCGGCATTGCGTCGTGTGCGCAGTGATCGGCCTCGGTAGCTGCTCCACCAGCGATGCATCTGCCGCACCCATCAGTGTGGCGGAGGGCGAAGCCGCTCGCCGCGCCGATCTCTGGTGCCACTGATGCCACCACCAACTGTGTGATGTGAGAGTCTGGGCGGGCCTGTTTACCGCCGCTAGCTGCAGCGAGTACTATCAGCAACGATCGCTCAGATATCACGGTACGCCCCCGACGCGACTAGCCGCGCCGATATGGCCAGCGCGCCGGCAGAAACCAGAAACAACCCGAGAAATCAATGTCGACGCAAAGCCAGAAATGGGCCGAATCTCGCCCGGTGGGCCGCGTCGCCCGGACCGATCATGAACCTTCGGCTTGCAGATTGCGAGCGGCCCCCGCGTATCCTCCACAACTGCCCCGACACATTTGCGGATCTCTGCATGCGGTGTTCGTTGCGCACAGAGAACACGACAAGGAAAGGGGGATACATCTCGTGGGAGGGGGCTCGGGGAAGAGAAGCGTCCATGGTCCAGGCTGGATTGTCCTGACGCTGGTCCCGTGATGAGACGACAACACGCCCAGAACACTCGCGTCAGGTCAGGTTTGACAGAGTTCCACATTTTCGAAGCACGTCCTTTTTGCGGGGTCACCTCTTGGCTGCGATGTGGAGGTGGCACCATCGTCGGACGATATCGGGATGCAGAGAGGCGATTAGTCGAGAAGCACGCGTCTTGGTGTCAACACCGGCGACGGCCGATGATGGCACCACCACTAGCGGTGGCGTCGATAGCGATGGTCGAGCGGAGCCACGGGACTCCGGCGAATGGTGACATCCGCGTGATGGGGCCCACAGGCGGCAGGTAAAGCGGGTACGTGCTGTACTAATACAAAATGGGTGAGAAGAGAAGGAAGACCATTTCATTTCTGTGGCGTTTCACATCACGACGCCAGACGCCAGGACACGACGCCGCGGCACACCCATCAAACCCTTGCGCGCTCCAGAACTCTCTGGTGGCTGACGTGGGGTGATGGCGAGGTCACTGAAAGAAGCATTGCGTCTCTGGCGACGTCATTCGGAATCGATCGTGGCATCAGTGCGCGCGAACGGGCGGACGGAGGTTGGCGTTGGCGGTTGGGGAAGGCGGGGGAACGGATGGACTGTGGAGAGGGGATGTGCCAGAACCCATGCAGCCGTGGACTGTGGCGACTGAATGGTTTGTGGCAGATGCAGGTTACTGAGGTGCGGACTGGGCCTTGTCAACGCGTTTGCATCGAGTGATGCTGTAGACGATGGGGGGCAGAGTTGTCGTTGTTGTTGTTGTTGCTTGTGGAGGTGACAGCTTTACGTGAGCCACATGCCCTAGTAGCTGTAAGTCCGCCACGCCTGCATACGATACACCACACGACGTAAACAGCTACCAGGCGTTGAATATCAGCTTTTTGATGCAAGCACACGTAAAGATGTGGCGGGCTCGAGTTGCACAAACCACGACAAACAAGTGGTGACGATTAAATCTTAATATTCAAGCATAATGCCCAATTACGAGTGCCAACCACCGCCGCTTGTGCACCACCCAGGCCCCGCATAAACCAAGTCTGCCACCGTCATGTGCTACACTTACCTTACTGTGCCGCACGCGTTGTTTACTGCTCCACAGATCCACAGAGCCAAAGCGCACTGTCATGCCGCAGTGCCGCGCATGGTTCGCCGGCCGGGGCATGCCATTCCACGGCGACGCGCATGTGCTCCAGGCTGCGTGCATATGTGTATGTTGTGCGCGAGCGAGGCATGTGCTCGACGGGAGATGCAGACGCAGACGCCGGACACCTGACGTGGGGCGTGGAGTTGCACGAGTAAACAGCTCCGCTGAACTAGCCCGAGTACATACAGGTCTTGTCATGTGCTGCCGATGCGAGCCCGTGTTGACGCGGACCAAAGGCAGAGCAAGCAGCACATGTCATGTCTCTGTGATCTGTGATCTGTGATCTGTGTCGTCATTTCGTCTCGTCAGCTGCTCGCTCCAGCTCCACCGTGTGCCCATGCCCAGTGACACTACGGCGACACCCCGCCCTGCCTGCACACTGCACCCAGCAGATACAGTACAGTACACAACCCATAGGTCCCAGCTGGCAGATGACATGGCACGATGCACGATGGGATGGCTGGTCAGGCCAGGCCCCGTTCACGATGACATACATGGATGGAATGTGAATGTGAATTTGTGAATACAACATCGATCCGATGATGGAACTGACTAGTTCCAGTCCACTCAAGTCACAGATCACACCCCGCGCTGCCCCTTTCCATGTCCGGACCGGCGTCTTCGCTCCATAGCTCCGCTGCGGCTCTCCTGGTAACTGGCGGAGCGATGGAGCAGCACGCCCACTACAGATACAGATACAGATACACGTCGACGGTCCGGGTCCAGACCTCTCTCTCTGCCAGTCTTGTCACTCCCGCGGCCACACCGCGGCTGGCCGCTGGCCGCTGGGGGCCCGTGACGGCGCTTTTCGCCACCCAGCACCCAGGCAGGACGGTCTCGCGTCGTTCCTGTAACTCACGACGATCACCCGGTCACCAGGTCCTCATCGAGTCATCGAGCGGCTGACGGCGGTTATGCAGCACAGGTGTGCGTGTGGGTATGACCTCATGGCACCACCCCCTCACCTCCCCACCCGTCCCGCCTCGTACTGGTTTGGCCCATTTGTGTGTGTGTCGTTTCGGGCCCGCTGGAGGGGGTTAATCCGTGTGCGTGTGTATGTACTGTACTGGTGTGCGCGCTCCAGGCCAACTCCATGATTCTGGACCCAAACGCAGGGACTTGCCGCTCATGACGTACAGATTGTATGGTTTCTGTTTGTTTGTGTCCAGATGCGGGCACACGGGGTAATCGATCGCCCCCGCGCCCCCAACCCCTCCCCCCCACACAAACAACGTGCCGTTCTGCTCGTGTGCCCGAAACACCATCAGCCCTCTCGTAAACGAGAATTAGCATCCTTGGCCCGTTGCGGCTCGGTTCCGGGAAAGTGCAGTCTTGTAAATGTGTGAATGTCTAAATGGGTGTGAAGCTGCGGGAAAGTGGAACAAAATGCTCGAGAAAACACCTGGCACTGCTGCTGGCTGGCTTCGTAATGCACTCCATTTCCATGCGTCGTACAACGGCAATACAGGATGCTATGGGATATGCTATGACAAATGCGACGTGTGTGCGGGGTATGTTACAGCCACGCCGGTGGCTGTGGTGCGAAAATGGTTGTGACGTGTGGTGTTGTTGTGTTGTGTTGTGGTCGTGGGTCGTGGTGGTGGTGGCAATGATGTTTAAAATGCTTAGGGGCGCGCCGTCTGCGCCCGACAAAAAACGAGGACAAGAAATAGGGGGGACATGAGAGAGAGAAGGAAACACAACTGTGGCGGTGAGGGCAGGTAGGTTTTACGCCTTGAAGTAGAACAAGCCCTTGTTCGGGTTGGTGACCACACCGGGGGGCAGGGCGTAGGTGCGGTGGTGCGAGCCAGAGCCCTCCCAGTCGAAACCGGCGCGAGGGATGGAACGCGAGGTGGGGGAGGCGTACTCGGGAGACATGACGGGGGCACAGGGAGAGCCGACGCGGAGAGCCGCGAGGTCGGGCAGCACAGTCATGGACGACGCGGCACGACGAGCGGGCATGGTGGTCACGCGCGACTGAGGGGTGCGGCTGCGCGCAGTCGACGAGCTGCTGGCAATGACGGTAGTCGCGGGGCGGGCGCGGACGGGGATAGGAAGCGCCAACGACGTCGCGCGGGTCTCGGGCGACTCGGGAACAGTCGCCTCGCGGCTGGCGGAGCGAGAGCGCGAACGCGACGACGACGAGTTGGGTGCGTAGCGGATGCACCAGCCACCGTTCTCGACCTCGAGGCTCTGCTTGGGCGTAGAGTCGATGGCGTGACGGCCACGGAACTGGGTGTGCTCCATCTCCGGGGTGGTGGGCGAGACGCGAGGGAGGGAAGTGGCGAGATCGGTGTGGCTGCCAGCGAGGTTGCGGCGGGTGCGCTCGCTGCGCTCGCTACGCTCACGGACCTCGGCCTTGCCAAAGGCATCCCAGGTGGCGGTGCCCGAAGCAGTGCGAGGACGAGCACGGATGGTGACGCTGGAGCGCGCGTTGGCAATGGCGACCGACGACGAGCGCGAGTCCGGGGTCTGGATACCCGAGACGGGCTTGAGCGACGGCGACACGCAGGCGTCACGAGCGGGGAACGCGTTGGCGTAGCGGCGCAAGTAGTCGTGCTGGTTGGGAGCACTGCCGACTTCGGCAAAGGTGCCCGGACCAGGCGATGCGAGGCCGCCGAGCGACGTGTGCGAGTATGTGTCGCGCTGAAGACCGCGCGATGCAATCTGGATGCCAGAACCATCAGACGAAGACGACATTGAGCGCCTCGCCGCAAGCCCCTCGGGGTTCATTGGGGTCATGGCGCGCATGGCGCCGCCACTCGAAGGTGTGCGGTGCACCGCCAGTTCGTATTCGTTGTTCCAAAGTGATGCAAGCGAATCCGAGCTAGCGCCAGCCGGGGAGCGGGGTCCCGAGGCCAACTGGCCAACAGAGCCAGCATGGTGAACGCCACCCGACTTTTGACGGGACATGACAATCTGGGCGGGAGTCGCCACCACGGGCTCGAGCGGGGCCATTCGGCAATTGCCCGCGGCGATGGAACTGCGGCGCTGGCGCGACAGGTCCCTCCATCCGGCATCGGGTGCGTCGCGCATCAGGCGGAACGAGTCGATGGTCTTGGGCGCAGACGCGGCCATGGGGGACACTGAAAGCGATGCCTCGGGGACAAGCATGGCAGCGGCAATCGAGGTGGAAGCGGCCGACGATGTGTCCGTGTCGCTACCCAGAAGTGGCGAAGGCGGGGCAAGGGGAGACGACTTGTTGACGGCGTCGGGGACGAGGATGGCGTCAGAGTAGGCAGTGTTGATGCCCAGGATGGCATGTGCCAGACCCTCGGGCGTCAACCCGGTGGAGCCCTTGTCCGTCTCCTGGCACTTTTGCGAGCAGTAGATGTTGGAGACGAAACGCGGTGCAACTGGTGTGGATTGGCACACGAGGGGAGGCGTGACCTCGCCACTCGATGGCTGGAGCACTGGTGACTTTGGCTTGTCGTTCGCGCCGTTGGTGGCAAGACGAATACCCGAACCCGAGCGGCGGACGGGTGGTCCTGCTGGGCGCGTCGTCTTGACACCGTTTGCGGTGCGGATGGTGGTGGAGCCATCGGGGTTCTTGACCTAAACAACAGTGTCAACCCGACTGATCGCGTGATGTTTTGTTTTCATGCAGAAAAAACCTACCCGAATGGTTCCCTGGGCCTTTTTCCTGCTTTGCTTTGCCACCGAGGGCAAACAGGCTGCGGGCTCTGGATCTTGTGGAGCCTCAATGAGGTGGTCGCACACGATGCAGTAGTTCTGGAACGACAAGTCGTCCATGGCGGTGGGTTATCCCGAGCGGGAAGGGGTAAGAGTGGCGTGCGATGGAGAACAGTTTTGCGGGGTGGGTGGTGTGTGTGATGCAGCGGCAGTTGCGACGTGTTCAACGGCGCCTGGAAAGTGTCAGGATGAGTGTTTGGGAGTTGTGGTGGGGGCCGACATGTGAGGTGGGAGAGAGGTATAGGTGTGTGTGCGGTTGAGAGTGAAGAGGCAAATGGTAAAACGGATGTGGACACTCACTCGGGTTTGCCACTACAGTACTGGTGAAAAGGTGACACGGCCGTTGGGTGCGGCCGCTGGGGGTGTTGGGCGCGGGGGATGCGCGTGTCTCAAAAGCGCGGGTGGTTGCGGGGACCACACGAGAGCTTATTTCAGAAGCCCTAATGCGTGGATAGCGGTTGGGTGTGCGTGTGCTCTGCGCAGGCGATGCAGCAGAGTATACAGACGCGAGGGGGGTGAGGAATGGGTGCACGTAACTCTATAGTCTTGCGTGTTGATTCAAACCGGCGGTGCTGCTGCGGAGGAGCAAAAGCGGAGTGCGGTGTATGGGTGTGTGAGTGGTGTGTCTGCCGCGGGAGTCCGGAGGGGAGCGGGCCGTCAGAGACCGCTCGTGCAATGAGCCGAAAGTCTGGGTGCTTTTCGGTGCACGTCTCTGTGGTGGGTTGGTGGTGGTGGCGATGCACACGAGATGCGTATCGCACGACCAGGAGGCAGTGATGAATGCTCTGTGATGCACAGAGCTGGGACGGGATGAGCGGCGAGATGGGGTGGGTGGGTGGGACGAGAGTAGACGCGGTAGAGATCGGCTACTCGTTTAGGTGGGGGAAGGGGGGTCGGGTTTTCGCTGGGTGGTGGTCGGGAAAACCAGGTTGTCACACTATGGTGGGTCACGACAAGGTGCACAGTGGTGTCGAGCAAGGATAATGTCGCTGTCGCGAACGCGGCCGCGCCGGCGCTCGATATGAGCTGGGTGGGGAGTAGGGGGGGTAATGGAGAATGAGTGGTGAGAGGATGGATAGATGGCGCGTGTAAAGGATGTGTTCTCCGGTGTCCCCCATTGCACAAGTAAGAATGTTTCCTCGTTTCCTTTGCCGGCCCCAGAGAGCACGCACCCACACACCTACAGGCCGACTGACCCGAAGGAAGGGTCTGGCCCCAAGCTCTCGCTTTCTCTGCCCCCACACCCTGTGGGTGAACCAGCCCTTGTCACCTTGCGATCCCCCGTTGGGCCCGGTGGCCCGGCACGGCCAGCCGACACACGCGTTCCCGCGCACCACGCCCACAGGCCAAAGGTCTCGCCAGCCAGTCCATATGGGACCCTTGCGGTCCAGCCTGGGCTGGGCTGGGCTGGCGCGGGCGGGCGGGCGGGGGGATGGGAAAGAGCCTACTGAACGGGTCTTCCATTATCCGTCCTCGCGCGCGTCTGGACCCCACCCTGGCCCCCCCCCGAGAACCCGCCGACCATATGGCTCGCGCAAGCGGTAAGCGCGGCGCAGCGGCATATGGTGCGTGTGCATATACGGTGCGCCGGTGCATAACCACGTCTCGCCGTGGGGCCCGCCTGTGCCCGCGAAAACCCAAACGAGTCACCACCTTTTTGCTCCAGCGTTATTCCGCCCGCATTAGCCGTCGTTTACCAAGGTGCCAAGTGACGTCTCTTTTACGCCGCGGGGCCCGGAAGTGTTCTCTTGGGTTGATCGCTGACGTGCTTGTGACCCGAGCTACATTGTGTGTGGTGTGTGGCCAGCCATTCGTTTGTTCTCTTCCCCGCACACACAATAGACTGTTCGCCTGCTACTGTTCTGTGGTGAAACACCACGAGCGAAGACAGCTCGGTGTGCTGGAAAGGCAGAGAGAGGTAGGAAAGGAAACTGCCAGCATCGCCTCGGCTGCACATACCGCCGCCGAAGAGACTAGCCGATGAGGGGGGTACACCTCCATACACCGCGCAGACCGGAAGAACATGACCGAGAGATGCTGATCGCCCTGTTGACTCCCCCGGTTGTGCTGCGGGAGGAGGAGCACGTGTGAGGGGGCCATGGGCCTATGCATCAGGGACGCTGGACCGAAGACTGGCGGCAAGGCCACAGGCGAGTGCTTCTTTCACTCCCCCAACAGGGACAGAAACGCTCACTCTGGGATTACGCAAGGCTGGACCACGCATCGCCCATGGTGAGCCCTTGACCCCGCACTTGTGGCCCTGCTCATGACTGTCCGGGCCGGTACACCGGGGCCTGCACCGCTCCAACGATCCAACGCACGAGAGGCCAGAGAGACTGCGCATTTTGACCAGCCTAGCTGCACAGTACCCGTCGACTGCCGGCGTGGTCGCCGAGAACGCTGAAAGGGCTGTCGAGCACAAGGACATGTGGCAGCTCCGTTTTGCCCAGCCCAAAACCCTGTTGATCCACCAACCAGGCCTTGGTCTGCTGCTCGCGTGAGCCCAGAGTGCCAGAGCGCTTGAAACTGCGCATCGGCCGGGCAGTCGGCGCCGGCGACCCTCCCGGCCGCATCGCTTCCTGCAGATTGAACCACTCCACAGATCTAAACACGACTCAAACCCCCCTGCAGCGGGCCGTTGCACCGAGCCCGGGCCGTTCCTTTTCGAGCGCTCTGTTGCTCCATGGAAGGCTTCATTCCGTGAACCCAGCAAGGCCTTGGCTTTGGGTGTAGCACGGGTGTAGCTGGGTGTAGCTTCGGCGTCATCGGCGCAATTCCCCATCAATATCCGTCGCTCGACTGCTGCTCCACTCGACATCCGTGTTCACCCGCTACCCCCCGCCGTACCGCCGATAAGGCGGGGCGACGACAACACCCCAACATCAGCCGAGCTCGCCGCGAATGTTCCGGCCTCCGGGGTGCTGATCAGCTGACGACCAGGTAACAAACCGACCCCACAAAACATGTTTGGGGTCGAGGAAAACGAGCACAGCAAGCCATTTGGCCGAGGAATCCACGTTCTCCCCCCCGGGGGGTGTCTTTTGTCATCCCCAGATGTTAACACTGTGGGGCCTACCTTGGCAACTTGGCGTCTCACAGGGTGGGAACGACGTCGTGGCCTTGGCACGCTGTCTGCATGTGGACTATTGTAGTCCGTGGTACTGGATCCACTGTAGTGGGGGGCGTGTCATTGGTGTGTTGCGGGTATGCAACTAGAAACGGGCATTTAGCGATTGTGCTAATATGGCTGGCTGTCTTGGTTCCATTGTTGATTCTGCTGTGGGAGGCACTTTGATTAACGCCCAGCCACCGCAATGGCCACCAGCGGTGGCTCGGTGCTATTGATGCGCGGTACCGCTACACCAGTCGTGTGACACTTGTTGAAATGGGCCGAGTGAGAGCCCGGCACAGCTCGGCTGTGATCGCAGTGACGCGGTGCGTGCATACGAAGGCCAAACGCGTCGTCGCCATTAACCATTCATTTACCTCGGTGCTTCATTGCGCCGAATTCACTCTCCCAGCACGCACACACATGCCCATCATCTGCGCGGTGTGCTGTAGATCCAACGAACATCTATCTCGGGCGTCCCGCAGTGGCGCTCACTGTTGCTGTACCCGTCGGCGGCCGCGACGGGTGACCGTCCCGACCCGCCGGTCGTGTACCACTCATCCCAGATCACCAGAACATGCTGATCTGATGCTGATCTGTTCTACCGCGCAGTTCTATTCTGTGATTCTGTGCCCACCCCGCAGGCGACTCGCTCCTGCGACCTTGCCGACAAGCGACAGCAGAGAACACTAGTACAGCCGTCGGCAGCCGCTCGTCCTGGGCATGTCTTAGAATCCTGCGATCCTGGGTAAATCCTGGACATTGTCTCGCAATTGCATACCCCGCACTTATGTGGCGCTTCGCCGCGTCTACCCCTGCTCCCCTTTCCTCATGCCCACTGCGCAGCCGCCGTCCAGATCCAGATTCCATCGCATTGTGCCGGATTCACTTCGGATCCATGTCCCTCTGGCAAACGCAAAGAGATGCTAAGGTGGATCAACGGCAAACCCCGGGTGGCGTTTTTTGCTCGGTCGCTGGGATAACGCGCAAAAGTGCGGCGGCGCGGCGCGGCGTGTGGGTGAGCATTGCCACGCCGGCCGAGGACACGACATGACATGCGCGCGCGCCGTCTCCGCGAATACTACGCGCACTGGGCCGTCGTCGTCTCGGTGTCTCCGCCCAGCAATGTCCGGGATCCCGGTATGCGTGTGCGGACCTCGGTGTACGCTGCGGGCATGTGTGGTACATGTGTTGCATGGAGGATCTGACCATGGTAGAGATCAGACCTCCCTCTGCCAGCGAATGCGTCACTGCCCGAAATGGAAAACCTGGGAACATGTTCCAAGGTGTTCTCACGCCCATGCTCACGCACGACACACGCACCCTCCCACACCCACGAGGCCGCCGGCGCATCGCGGGAACGCGCCGGTGGCTGCGTTCTCTGATCTCTGGCCTGTGAACGGAGCGGACGGCGCCCCTCCGCCGCCGACACGTTCGCGCGCCATGTCCCATTCAATCAATCAATATCCGCCGTCCCGGAGATAGATCACACGGAGAAGCGATACGCCCCAGTCCAATCACAACCCAAGAGCAGCAGCATGTAAATTCTCTGCTCAGCCACAGCACGGGCCATGGTCGTGGCACCTCACTTGCACTCGTTGTGGCGAGACGGTGAAGAGGTGAACGCTGGCTCCCTGAATGTGTGATCTCCGACTGCAGGAGGAAGACATGTGCGTCCGCCTCACTCGTGACCGCATGGCACACTGGCCGCGTGGTGGTAATCGTTCCCCCCCGAGAATATCCGGTATGTTCTATATGTGTTCTTTCTGCATGTGGTGTATGCTGGGTACACATGTTCCTGGGTACGCATGTTCCACTCGGCCCAGGTCAGCCGATGGGCCGAGGTATGGGTGGGCGGCTAGATACGACGATGTTGACAAACTGGGACACAAGGCTGAGACCATGTGGGCAGACACCGGGCAGTGGAGACGTGACGTGCGGGGCCATTGCGATGACCCGGCATACCCGCCGGGCGTACAGTCAGCACTGGTGACGTGCATGGCCGCCGACGACGCTGCCTCTTGGCGGCCTGGCGATAAGCGGCGCGGGGCACGTCACCCATGTGTGGTGGGCACCACCCGACGTGTAGCCATCGGCCTCCGCCGCCGTCCACACCCAGTGCGCTGCCTCGAATAAGCGGTGGTGGGCATCGTATCCATACTGGTACACACACTGATCGGCGCCACACGCAGCCGCCACCGCCGATCATCGCCACATCCGCCACCCAACGTCCCGCCTCCACCACCACCATCACCTCCGCCACGCCCACCACCAACAACCGACCACCTTCAACCGTCCGCCATTCTCGTTCCACCTGTCCAATGCATGCATCCAAAGACATCCCCGACATCGTCTCATGCAGGAGAACACAGCAGGGCTGGCAATGTGGCGGAGTGGTTAACGCGATTGACTCGAAATCAATTTCCTTCGGGAGCACATGTTCGAATCATGTCATTGTCGTATGATCCCCTTGAGAGCATCAAGGGTGGTTTCCTTTTGGTGCGCGTGGGTCTGGGTGGGTAGGGGTGTGTTTTTGGGAGTGGTTGGGGGGTGGGTTGGGGGGTGGTTGGGTGGGCGGATGGTGGTGGACAAGCGGGGAGGTATGGTGTGCGGTTGGAAAAATAAGGACAATTCATTGAACCGTCCAAGAGCCACGGATGTCATGGAGAGGGGTTGCTGTGACTGCCTATGGCAGTTGGGTGGTTCTCTTATGGGCCTTGTCCAGTTTACCTCGTCTTCCACGGCAAAAGAAACTGCGATGGCAGACCATGAGTAGCCCCGTCACCGCGGCCAGCCACCACAACGCATCACTCGACGGCAATGCCTGGACTGGAGCAGCCGCGCCTGCGTTTTATTATTCAGTGGCCGTATGTCTTGATGGCCTTGACACCCGACTCGACTATTCCTGGCAGCGCCATGTCTAACACCGCCTGCTCGTGGCGGCAGTCGTCGTGCAATATTTATATTATGAACCTCGGAAGTAAGTGGCAGCGTGAAAGGCGGGTCCCTTCCTGGGAGTGGGGGCATCCGTAGCCTCTATCCCGGTTAGCTGTGACCTGCCAGGTTACGACGATGGGCTGTTGGTACCGGGGGAAATATTGAAGGACATGCGACAGACATCAGAGTATATGACCAAATATAACCCCGTTAAACGACAGCAGCGGCGTTCACTGGACACAATGAGACCATGCAAGATGACACGATACAGGGCGACCCGGTGGTAGAGTACGACGGCGAGCAGTTGTAGTAGGGGTTACACTGTTGTAGTGCTAGTGGAGAGAACGTAATGTTGTTGTACAGGGGTGCATGATAAGTTTTTGACCACGCGAGTGTGCGATGACCTTGCAGGATAAGAGCAGTCATAGAAGCCAGCGGTGGGGCCATCGATTCCTGAGTATACAGTTAAACTAAACATGGTGTAAATATCTCCAGATTTATGGCTGTGCATGTACCAACCCATGAAGTAATAACTGCGACAGTTGGAAAGCGATACAGGTTCATGCACGAGGTCAGAGGGACATTTTATGTTATGTGGATTGCGTCCATGCCCGAATTGGACGAAGACTTACCGTACACCCCTGTAGACAGGAGATGATATATTCGCTAGATATTCGCTAGAGAACCAAGGATACAGTTACTGTGACCACGTATACTGCTCTCTAGCTCATGTACACAGGTAGAACCTTCATAGATAGGTTTGGTCCGAACCTCCAGGGTCCCGACGGCTCATATGACTGTGGCACTGCCTGTGAGAGACCACCAGACACCGGTCCCCACCGCAGGCGAGGGGACCAGTAGATAGACCACGAGAGGCCACGAGGCTCACGCTTACCCGAATGTCGTATACCTTACTACTGAGTCAGAGAAGGACAGTAACCCAACACGACAACGAGAGAACACGGAAGGCAGTCTGTTAAAAAAAATAGCCAAAATGTTGGTCACCTCACCGACTTCCTTCTACCAACGTGCACCCTCTACCCCGCTGTTATCAGGTCTCGAGGGGGCACCTAGCTAAAATCAAGCAGCATCCATCCTTCTCCATCGCTCTCCATTCCGGCACAAGCTCACTGGAGGCCGGAGAACACGACATCATCGGCGATTTAGCTCAGTTGGTTAGAGCGTGTGCTTAACACTTGGATCCTCCAGTGGTCGTTTGTTGCGCACAAGGTCGGCGGTTCGACCCCGTCAAACGTCATTTTTGGCCTCTCTGGCGTCCCCGGGGACCACGGGGACGATGTAGAGGTGTTTATTGAGCCCAGGGGACATGTAGACTTCACCCGGGGGGCCAGCTGCAGCTGCGGACAATTGAACAGAGAGACATGTCTCGTGCGTTCCTGAGGTTCGCCACGCGTCCACTCGTCCACCCGTCCACTCTTGCAAGGGGACCGGCGTGGTACCCATAGGTGCCATGCCCTCGTTTCGTCTCTTTTAGTGTACAGTCAGTACATGTCACCTGTCTCTACACCGCCCTTGGGCAGGTGCTGTTGACAGGCTCATCGAGAAGGTCCTGTCCAGTCGAAGACCAAAGTGCTGTGTCACCCCAGTTCAAGGTGACCAGCACGTCCGCTGCAAAGCTGTGTCCTGTTGCACGCCGCACAGTCTCCGCGCTCATCATCTGCCATATATCTTCGGCACCCCAAGCTATGCGCACCCCGCAAAACCGAGACGGCCGTACGACGACACGACCTCAACACAATGTACAGTCACCCCAGACCGACGCCACGCCACTGAAAGCGCATGTCCTGAACGTACAGGATGCCTGAGAGGAAAGGAAAGGCCATCCTAAACCTGATTACCTGGACGTAAAGAGAGAAAAGGAACGGAAAGATGTAAAAAAAGACTCTGCATCAACAATGTCAGTGTGGCGCGATCCGGGGCAGTCACTTGTCCTGAGGCGGTTTACCCAGATCTGTATGTGGCAAGGTGGAACATTTTTCGAGGGTTGCACGCGTGTGCATGGGTGCATTCCACACTACCAGGATCAGGTTATAGGTTACCACACATGCAGAGAGAGACATATTTCATCCTGACCACGTTGGCAGTGGCGTTGAGACTGGCAATTATACCTGACTGCAAAAAGGAGAACCTGAACAAAAACAATACAGCGCCCAAAAGGAAAACTGAAAAACCTATAAATCCTAATGGACCCCTTTGACCCTTCTTACCTGGACGATGACCTGGGATATGTCCTGGGTGCCGCAAAGAGGCACCCGTAGAGCCTGGCCTGGCGTTCTCCTGGACTGCGGCGGCGTGTCCTCACTCCTGCGGCCTCCTGGCAGTGCAGCATCCTCTGTTCCCGGGTAGTGGTCACATGGTGGCCGTCGCGGGCCTGCAGCGTCCACATGGGAATCCTGGGCGTGGGGGCGTGGGGGTTGGTTTCTCATGTCAGACAATGAAGTTGCGAGAAAAGGGTCCACAAGCATTAGCCTCCATTAGGGCGGCGGGCCATTAGCAAAGTGTAATGGGGTGGTGTTGTGACACTCTTTGGGATCTTGGTCTTGACGTCACCTCACTTATTGTCGCTTAAACAAAGGTACTAACCAGACTGGTCATGTCAACACAAGATTGTGACTGCAACCTAGCACTGTTCACCCATTCTCTTGTCCTTGGGCTCTGAACACACCCTTCCTGACATTCACGGTGTCCATAACATACCCCACTCTTCCTCAGACTCGGATGCAGCAAGGCAATCCAGCGCCGCCGGGCGTGATAGCGTTCCCCGCCGACGTCAAGAGGTTCCCGCGCGTCAACCGCCCCGAGTGGCAAATCCGCTATCCCAACTTCCATCCCACGGGGGACATTACGAGCAAGCTGTACTGGTCGGGGAACGAAGCGAGCAAACGCTGGAAGGCTGCCATCGATCCGCTGCTGAACTGTCGGACGTCGGCGTCGACTCGACCGACTTCATTGTCGCAGTGTTTGACAAGGTGGCGGAAATGTACGTGTCGGCTGACCGCAGGCTTGAGAATGCCTCTTGTCCTGCTCACGCCGTGACGAGGTCGCTGACTGGAGCAGGAATGAATCTATGCAGCAACGGGTGTTCGAACGCCCCATTATTGGCCCGGAAGGGTGGATAGGTGTTGTCGACCTGCTTATCGCCTTTTGTTATGAACGTGTAGGTCCTTTCAGTCCCCACCACATCCACTGCTAAAGCATCCTAGGCTCTCCAGAGAATTTGTGCACGCTTCCCCAATGCGAGCGAGGACGACATTGCCACCCACACCGCCCCGCTCTCAGCTGTCAAGGCGTTTGCCCAGGGTGCCATGGACTGTCTGTGGCGCGATCACTACAGTGACGGTGGGAAGATCAAGTACAGAGGCTTCAACGTCGATACCCTCAAGGGTTATCTGCCAGACCCTTGCACGCTCCCTCCGCGCGCCTTTGTCTGCATGGACCCGGACCGGCCGGACCTCCCAGCAGAGACCATCTGGCTCGACTACAAGTACGAGATCGTGCCCCCGCCCAACAACTCGCCATCCTGTGACTCGTCCAAGTCGACGTTCAGAGAGCGCTGGAACCGGCTTTGCAATTGGAGGAGCTCTACCTACACCGTCGCTTCCACTCTCCCCTCCAGTGCAGGCCCAGCTGGGGTCCCGGCTGGTTGGAGACGTCGAGCCCGTCGTCTGTGGCGCACTCGCGGCTGTGGGGATCACTGCGTCTCTCCGGCAGCCGCCGAAGGCCTCGTACCTACATTACGATGGTGCTGTTCACTCGGCCGCCCTGGACATGCGGACGACCGACCTGGATGAGCGGTGCGGCGCCGTCATCGAGCTCAAGCGCCAACGCCACTCCACAACGACCCGCTGCAAGCGCCTCGGCGAGACCACGGCACCACCCGAGGTCACCGAGCCCACGCGAGATTCTACGACATACAGGTATGTCGACCTCCGGTTCTGGCACCGGCGCCGCCTTCTTTGCAGTCTGTCGGCCTTACGCTGACGCTGTAGCGTCCAGCCCTAAACCCCACTGCACCACACCGCACACACGCTAGCCACAGACCACTTGCGCCTAGCCCCACTCAAAGATGGCCAGGCGAGGCCACGTATTTCGAGCCATGTTATTGTACCATTACCCACATGTAGACCAAGCCCAAACGGCGCTGACGGCGAGCACGGCGAGCCCCTTGGCATGCGGCATGCGGCATGCGGCATGCGGCATCCAGGCCTTGTTGGCGTCGGTGGAGACCCCCGTCGTCGTGGGAAGAGCGCGTAACCCCTAGAGAGCCCCCACCAAGGCCGGCGGCACTGCTTCCTTACCGCCTTGGCATCGATTTCCGCGCCGCTGGGGGGTGGGGGGGGGGTGTGGGTTGGAGGTGCTATGGATATCCAGACGGAACGGGACCCGGGACACTGTACAAACACCGCGGATGACAGGAAACAAGAAACGAAAGGAGGGGTATGTACAGTACATATGTACCAGAACAGCGGCCAGCGGCAGCGGCTCAGGCCCATCTCAGTCGTGACTGTGAGCACGATTGCGTGCCATGTCTTTCCCTGCACAAGAGAGTAAACAACACCACATGAATGGACGTGCCAAAACATCATTTCCAGAAGAAGGCAGTGGCATTTGGCGGAATGGAACGGTGCCTCCCGCCTTCTTCGCTCAATGGCCAGTGCCGGGACACTTACACCTGGTGCCGATACCTTTCTCTCGTACGGTGTCGTAATGATTTCTCGGATTTCGTCCCTTGCCCGCTCGTCGCGTCCGTCCATTGAGCTCACATTACTGTACCTCCTGCACAGTATTACCCACGTCAGTTCATTTATAATCAGCTTCTGCATCGTTTCGCAACACAGGCGCGTGCCGGGGGTTATGACATATGTTAACATTGCTATGGATGGGGGGCAGCCACAGAGGCACACACGCCCGGTCTACATACCAGTCCGTTCCGGGGGGGGGGGGGGGGGGTCCAGCTCGTGGCTGCTACTACTAAACGGCAATGCACACGTCCTAAAAAGCAACGGCTGTGCTCGCTCCTCGACAAAATACAACGCGCCTACACCGCTACGCACTGCCCTCTGGCGCCAGGTTCTTACAGACCTGCGCGCGCACGTTTGCGCGACGACGCGTCGGGAGAAAGACTGTGCTTGCCGAGGTTGCCAGAGGCACCGGCAGCGTTCCCGCTCCCGTTGCTGTGGCCGAACAGGAGTCCACGGCGTGGTTTGGGAGTCGCGTCGAGGTCTTCGTCGTCGTCACCTTCATCGGCGTGTTCAGGAACAAAGTCGTCGTCATCTGTCAAAGCGCCAGCGTCAATGTGCATGTCCAGCGACTGGTGTGCGGCAAGTCGACGGCGAGACGCGTTAGCACGTGGCTTGGGAGTCTGCGGGGCGGGCTCGTCATCGACAGTCGACTCCTTGGTGGGCCAGAGAAGCCGTGGTGGAGGGCAAGGGTGGACGTCAAAGTCTGGGTCGGTAATTTCCAGGTCGGCACCTGGGTGAGTAGCGTTGGGTGCAATGAACGGGTTGGCGAACACCTTTTTGGCGCCGCGGAAGACGTAGGTGACAACCGGGCGGTCCTCGCTGGTAGGCTTTGCGCGGACGACCTCTCCAGGCTTGGAAATGAAGGGGTTGTCGTCCTCGTCCATCATCATCATCTGCTGCTGCTTGCGGCGAGCAGCAGCCGACGACGACTCAGCGGCCGACGACGGGAAGAGCATGCGCGCCGGCTGGCTGCTGCCCTTTGCGCGGCCGGCAGACAGCGGCGAGAGCGAGCGCTCGACACTGGGACGAACAGCCTGAGGGATGTAGCGCGTCTCAGTGCCGGGTGAGCGGGGCTCGGACAGGGCAAAGGCGACCTTTGTCGTTGAAGTCGAGGACGTCGACTTGTGCTCGACAAACGGGTTGTCGTCGTGGTCGTCGTGCAGCAGGGTCTCGGAGAGCTTGCCGTGAGCGTTGCGCATACCGCCGCCCATGCCAACACCGGCACCGAGACGAGCCCCAAACTTGAGCGGCTGGCTTGTTGATGGTCCGGCACTGATGCCCATCTGCTGTGCAAAGAGCAGTCCCGGGCGACGGCGGGGCGGTTGCACCTGGGCTGTCTCTGCAGCTGCCGCGTGCGAGAGAAAGAAGGTGGTGTGGCCCGAGGGAGACGGTGGTGAGAATGGTGCGTCGTCATGGTCGTGGTCGTCGTGCGCCCCGGGGGAGGAGCGCGTGCGTTTCCGGGGCAGCGTCTGCGGCGTGGGGAGGTGCGTGCCAGACGTGGTCCCCGATGCAGTCTTGTGGCTGCGACGCTGCGTAACCGGTGTCGGGAGGTGGGTGTGGTCCGGGGTGGGGAAGCTGTAGGTGTTAGAAGGATGGATGACGGTGGTGGTGGGAGATGATGGCGTTTTGAACCAGCCTTCTCTCTCAGCCCGTTTTTTCCCACTTACCCCATAACGTCGACTGCGCGTCCCCGACGGCGACGCTCCGCAGTACGAGGAGGCTCGAGGTGGGTCGTCTTGAAGTGGATGGGCGACTGCATCGTGGTGGTCGGGAGTAGACAAGTGTGGGGCAAGGTGGCGAAAGGTGGAGGTGACGGGGGCGAAGGTGAGGGAAAGGTGAGGTGTATTGTCTCGAGAAGCACAGGGGCCTGCTCAGGCCTGAGGATCTGCGCGACGCCGAGAGTGACACGGGGGGGAGACGGAGCGGCCAGCGGTCCGGAGAGGAGGTGGAGAGGAGGATGGGATCCCTGCCAGAGGGATGTGAATGGTGGATGCACGCGGAGGGGTAGTGGATGGATGCAAGAAACCTTGTTGCGGGCGCGAGATTAACGTGTGTGATGGAATGGGGGGGTGTTTGTTGTGTGGGATGAGAGAGAAGGCGAGCGGCAATGAGAGAACCAGGGCGGACCCATTATTCCCACACCCGCGTTGTGCAATGTCTGCCCCAACGGAATCAAAATCGGACTAATGTGTGGCGCGCCTGGAGCTACCCACACGAGAACATTACAAAAAAAGAGTTATCCCACGGGCCAAAGTAAAAGCTTATTGGCATTAGGTGCTCGTCTAATCGCCCAACAGCCCCCCTTAATGCCCTCCCACCTTTTGGGCCGAGTCTTTTTGCGGCGCGCTTGGACCCTTTTGCCACGTGGCTTTAGAGTGGAAGGCCGGGATGGCTGGACGCGCTCCATACCGCTAAGGTCTTGGGTTGTACGCGTCCACGCGCCGCGCCCGCGCGCCACACCCAAGTGCGGGAATCCGCTGCGCGTCGAGTGGTTCCGGGCGGTGGAGCAGAGGATCCAAACCTTTTACAGGGGGTATCCACAAGCCGGTGTCCCTGTGTTCAGGGTCCACTGCACGCGTCTGGGTCCTACCGACGCGCTCCTGAATGGTATCAAACGGGAAGGAACATGGCAGAAGGCTGATACACATCCCCTGGTTGGGACAGCACTTTGCTGTTGGGACGGCGGCGGCGGCGGCGGTGCTTTGTGCGCTGGCTGAGCGTGCGTGCAGGTGATCAGGTGAGTGCGTATGCGTGTGTGTGGGTGGGTGTGCGTGCGTGCGCGGGGCGCAGCCCGTAGCCCGTTGGTGGCCCCCCGTTTCGCTCGTCGGGCAGTCTGGATGTGAGGCATCAGACGGGGGAACAACAAAGGGGTGATGGGGGTGGGGGTGGTTTATTCTGAGCATCGCCCTCCTTCTCGTCCAAACCGGGGGGGCCGTCAAAGAGGTGCCAGCCATTGCTGCCCCGCGAGCGCTAGAGAGAGACGGAGAGACGGAGCGTTCAGAGGGATCAAAGGGGGATCAAAGGCCACAAGAGCCGACAGACACACAGCCGTACAGATGCAGGATGCAGGAAAAAAAAACCCTCCCCAGCCAGAGGGCGCCTGGCGCTCAGGCGTCCGTCCACACACACACGGCCACACACGGCATGCGTGCACGCGCGCGCGTTTGGACCCTAACACACCCACCCACCCACCCACCCAGAGACTGACACACAACAGCAAGGGCGCTGCGGCCACCCCCCCCCCCGCCCGGTTCCCTGCTTCCTCCCCCCTCTCCCCCCCCCTCTCGCCCGGTGCCACCCCCTCTTCTCTCCCCTTGCTGTCAACCACCACTACATTCTTAGAAGCCCCTCGTCTCCTTTTCTTTCTCTTTCTCTCCTTCTCCATCTCTCTACTCGCTCGTCACCTCCCTTCTCCCTCAACCGTCTGCGACGGCATTCACACTCTTTTGCTGGCGTGCAGGACACCCAGGCTACACACATCGATCATCGACCGTCGCAACCTTGTCAGACCTCTACCAACCTAGACAACACCACCGACCTAGTCTTCCCCCTCCGCCAGCACACCACCCACCCACCCCCTCTCCCCCGGTTTTTCACCCCAACCACCACCATCCATCAACCCATTGAAGATGCGTTTCACTGCTCTTCTTACTCTGGCCGCCTCGGTCTCGTCAGTCTCGGCTGCCGCCATTCGCGAGGCCAGGCCAGTGGCTGCTGCCGTCAATGAGCGCCAGGCTGGTCCTGCGTCTCGTCCCGACATTGCAGCCAGGCATCCCGCACACGCCGCCGCCCACGCAGCCCGCCGCTCCCCCGGCCACGGCTCTGGTTTGCGCAAGGTCCGCCGCCGCCGCCGCTCGTGCAAGGCCAAGACTACCGTTGCTGCGACTTCTACGGCCGCAGCCGAGCCTGCGTCGACGTCGTCCGACTCGTGGGCGGCGTCGTCGGCGTCCGATTCCTGGTCGTCCTCCGACTCGTCGGGAGCTGCCTCTGCCTCGGATTCCGCGGCTACCGGTAGCCTGGTCGACGGCTCGCTATACTCCAAGCCCAAGACCACCACGAACTCCAAGACTTCGTCCGCCACCGAGTCCGAATCCTCCTCCGACTCGTGGGGCTCAGCTTCGACGGCGTCGTCGTCGGCCTGGGACTCGGCTAGCACCGAGTCGGCTGGCTCGTGGTCGTCGTCTTCCTCATCCGACTCGTCGTCGTGGGGTACCACCACTTCTACGGCCAACGGATCGGCTTCGACCTCGACCTCTAGCTCGGACGCCTTCTCGGGCGTCCTCGCCCAGCTCTTCCCCGCCGGTTCCGGATCTGCTTCGTGGACCACTTGCCCCCAGGCGGCAAACGTTCTGAGCTGTGAGTATTTCTGATCAACCAACCCTGAAACACAGGTGGTCTGTATCAGTTTCTTCTGTTCTGTGTCTGACATTCAAACCCAGTCTCGGACGCTCTTACCCCGCTCCAGTCCGGTAACCTCCCGGGCACCACCACCGACAGCGGCGAGACCGTCCACACCCAGACTTACCCTGCTGGCGGCATTGGTGGCACCACCGGTATGAACTGGTACACCCTCGGCCAAAAGGACAATGTCTCCCCCAGCTCGGCCAAGGAGCTCCTCTTCTCGTACTCTGTCAAGTTTGTCAACTTTGACTGGGTCAAGGGCGGCAAGCTCCCCGGTCTGTACGGCGGCACCTCGTTCGCCGAGGCCAAGTCGTGCTCTGGTGGTCGCCAGGACGCCCGCAACAACTGCTTCTCGACCCGTCTCATGTGGCGCGAGAACGGCATGGGCGAGATTTACAACTACCTCCCGCAGAACTCGGCCAACTCGGCATACTGCAGCACCCCGCCTCTGTCGGTCTGCAACGCACAGTACGGTGACTCGATCGGCCGTGGCGCTTGGTCCTGGCAGAACAACGAGTGGAACGTCGTCTCGCAGCGCATCAAGCTCAACGACGTCGGCTCGGCCAACGGCGAGCAGCAGGTCTTCATCAACGGTGTTTCGGTCCTCAACCTTTCCGGCCTCGAGCTCATCGTCGAGCAGGGTGCGGCCTTCTACGGCATCATGGCCCAGTCGTTCTTTGGCGGCGGCGACTCTTCGTACGCCCCGTCGTCCGACCAGACCGCGTACTTCAAGGACTACTCGCTCATCACCCTTGCTTAAGATCTTGATCTTATCAGTCATTGCGCTGTAAGACTGGATCTTGCAACCCCAACAAACTCAACTCCCGTGGAGAGGAGCGCTGGTCGCTTCTCCCTGCAAAACCACCCTCTACCCTCCGACACGTACATAGGCGCTGGCGCCGTGGCAGCGGCGCTGGTTCGTCTCTGTCAACCCCCCCCTCTCTCTCTCTTTATGGTTTCCCATTGTCATAGGTTCCCCCAGTCTCTCCTCTGCCTGACTCCCCCTCCCTCCCCACCACGCACAACATTTTGCGTTGCACCTGTCATATGTCGCCCTCTTATCTTTCTCTTTTCTCTCATCCCCGTCCGTCAATGCTCCCCTTTTGTACGTGCGTGCGGCTGAAAAAAAATCTGTGATATGTGAATGCATAGCGGTGCAATGTAAAAGGACGCGTCCCGCCTCTCCGATCCCAATGCTGAAGAAGGAAAGCCACCCCAAGAAGGAAGGCTGCTCCCAATCTTGTCTACGTATGTGTGTGAACGCCCACACGCAATCTCTCTCTCTCTCTCTCTCGCTCCTTGTCTCTACTTGACACGGTCGACGACCTTGACGGTGAGGCCGACGAGCGCGTCGCGCGCCGCGCTCTGGGGCAGGAGCTCGACGAGCGCGCGCGCCTCGCTGGCAAACGTGCGCGCCAGGTCGGCCGTACGCTGCATGCCGCGCGACCGGCCGACGAGGTCCAGAGCCACCTCGGTGTCGCCTGGCCCTTCAAACTTGCGCATGATGAGCGGGCCCAGCTCGGGGAACTCCTCCCACGCAAACAAGGCCGGGGCCGTGGCCAGACCCAGACGCAGGTCGGCGCCCGAACCGGGCTTGCCCAGGTCGGCAGAGGCCGGCAGGTAGTCGAGCATGTCGTCGACAAGCTAAGGCACATGTTGTCAGCACATGTGCGCAAGCAAAATCAAGCGAAATTAAGCGTCTGGTTATGGATAATGGAACATGACGCGCGGCATCGCCTCTTGCGTCGGGCACACATTACACACATTGTACACATTGCACACAGTGCAGTGCACACCATGGAAACGGTGCCCTTCCGGGACACGGCACGCGCCGCGGAGGTTCTTTTTGATGACGGCACACCCAAAGTTTGCCAAAGTTGCCAAAATAGCAAATATAGCGCCCGAGAATTCCGCAACGAGACAAACGCAAAAAGGCAGTCTCGTAGCGAGAGTGTGGGCGGAAGGAAGGAAGAAAAAAAAAGCAGCAGCAGAACCACTTGAAACACATACCTGGAACGCGATACCCAAGTTACGGCCGTAACCATAGGCGACATCCTTGACCCAGGCCGTCTCGTTTGCGGTGCAACCACCGAGGAGGACGGCGGAGCGCGCCGACTTTGCCATCAGGGACGCCGTCTTGAGGTACGTCTTGCGCATGTACTCTTCAAAGCCGGCGGCAGTGGGCTCTGTGGCGGGGTTGGCTGTGGCGCGGAGCTGGAGGACCTCGCCCTCGATGAGGTTGGCGATGGTGGTGGCCATGAGCTCGACGACCTCGCCGGAACCGAGGCGCGAAAGTGCGACGGACGCGCGGCCCAGGAGGAAGTCGCCCGAGAGGATGGAGAGCTTGTTGCCAAACGCAGCGGGCGCCGAGGGCTCGCCGCGGCGCAGGTCCGAGGCGTCGACGACGTCGTCGTGCAGCAGCGACGCGACGTGGATCATCTCCACAATGCTCGCGAGTCGGCGCTGCGTCGGGAGAATGGTGGGCGAGCCGGGACCGCCGGTGGGCAGGAGCTCGGCAAAGGGGTTCTGCTTGACGGCAGGAGGGAGGGGCCGCTGCTGTCCCTCGGCAGGTATCCTGTACGGCGAGGCAAAGACCATTTCACCGCCCTTTTCGGCACCCATCGACTCGGGGTTCCAGTCGTTGAGCACGCCGCCGTCGCTGGTCAAGGCGTTGTCGACGCCGCCGCTCCGTGACCGCAGCTGCTCCCGCGCCTGAGCCTCGACCGCGGCCCATCCCGGTCCAGCAATGCCGTTCGTCGCCTGCGACATGAGCAGCACAAGCAGTGGCCGCAGGTGCTTGCCCTCGGCGTTGAAGTAGTACTTTGCCACACTGTCGAGGGCCGGCGAGCTGCTGCCGAGCATGTGGAAGAGCGAGTGCTTGAGCTCGCCAATCTCGGCGGTGATAGCAGCGAGTGGGTCATCGAGGTTGAGCTGCTGCTTGGACGGGCCGGCAGGCTGCACGAGCACAGAGTGCGCAGACTCGGTCGCCGCAGCCCACGTGCTGCTGCTGGCCACGGCGGCCGCCGCAGCCGACGAGTGAGGCGCCGACGAGTGTGTGTTGCGGACAGCGATGGCCGCTGCCGAGCGCCTCGCAGCGCTGCTAACGGAAGTGGCATAGACCGTCTTGCGGCATGCGGCCTTTGCGGCGCGGGAGAGCATCGCAGAGATGGATGTGGCTTTTGTAAGAGGAGAGGGCGGGGCGAGCAGGCGCCAAAAGGACGGGTGCCGAGGTGAGAGGGAGGACGAGGACGAGGAGGGAGGGGGGGAGAGAAGGGGGAGGGAGATGAGGTTGAAAGGCGGTGCCTACGCCGATATGCTTGTGAGTGGTGCCGAGCAAAAGAAAATGTCGGCAAGGTGGTTGTCAGTGAAGGGGGCAGAGGGGGGGAGGGAGCGGGTACAACCGGCGGGTCCACGCTCCGTGTTTTTGATAACGGCCGCCGATCAAGCCCGGGCGTGTGGAGTGGGGGGGATCAAAAATGACACGGTGTAAAAACAGATCTCTCCCCTCCACCCGCAGCGGGCGGCAAAAGTTGAAGGCGAGCGTCATGTTGTGCAAGTTGTCATCCTTTTCTAGCAACAGCACGACACAACAATGGCGAAGAGTGAGCTCACCCTGTTCCCGAGCCAGCTAACATCCAGGCAAACACGCCACCAAGCAAAAGCGTGAGCCGACGCCCGCCGACTCGGCGTCGGACAGCGACTACTCGTCCGACTCGACGATCGAGGACGAGGACGGCGCCGAGCTCACGCCCGCCATGGACGCTGCCATCCTGCGCACCCTCGCCAAGATCCGTAACAAGGACGGCGTCTACTCTGGCGAGAACATTATTCAGACCGAGCTCGCCGCCGCCCAGGCCAAGGCCAAGAAGCTGGGTCTCCCGGCACGCACCGCCAGCCGCACCGCCACGGCCAAGCCCTTCCTCCTCAAGGACCAGCACCGTGTCAACGTCCTCGAGGGCGTCCAGTCCGACTCGGAGGATGACAACTACGACTACTACAACGAGCCCGTGACCGTTGTCGAGGCTGAGCGCCGCGCGCGTGCCAACGCCCTCAAGGCGTTTGGCGACTTTGCCGGCGGCGACAAGGACGGCAGCGACGACGACTCGGACGACGAGTTCCTCGCCAAGCGCGAGCACGGCGCCGACGAGGCCGCCGCCGAGGGCGAGGCGTACCGTAACTTTTTGCTCGAGATGGGTGGCGGCGAGGAGGAGGTGCGCCGTGCCCTCGGCATGGCCGATGCCGAGCCCACCGACTTCCGCGAGAGCTTGAGCGACGAGGACGACGCCACCGTCGTGGTCAAGGAGGAGAAGAAGAGCAAGAAGAGCAAGAAGACCAAGGAGGTCAGCGAGGAGGACAAGGCTGCCGCAAAGGTCGCCCGCCAAAAGAAGCGTGTCCAGGCCGACGAGGACTTCCTCATGGAGTGAGTTGCAGCATATTTGGACCTCAACTGACACCGCTCAGCTACATTCTGAACCGCGGCTGGATCGACCAGGAGTCCAGCGCTGTGCCCACATACGACCAGATTGTCGGCCGCCCCGTCGAGGACAAGGAGTCGGACGACGAGGCCGAGGCCGAGGCCGGAGACGAGCCATGGGGCGCCATCGACGACGAGGACGACTTTGATGAAAAGGCCGAGGCCTTTGAGACCGAGTACAATTTCCGTTTCGAGGAGCCTGGATCGTCGACCATTCTCACCCACCCTCGTGAGATCCCTTCGCTTGTCCGTCGCGAGGACGACACGCGCAAGAACAAGCGAGAAGCACGTGCCGAGCGCAAGGCCGCCGAGAAGGCTGCCCAGGAGGAGGAGACCCGTCGCCTCAAGGGCGCCAAGCGCCGCGAGATTGAGAAGCAGCTCGCAGCGCTCAAGGAGGAGCTCGGCGACGGCGTCGACTGGGAGCAGATGGAGAAGATTATGGACGGCGACTTTGACGAGGACGAGTGGGAGAGGGTCGTTGGTTCCATGCTGGCCGCCAAGGCCGAGGAGGTGAGTAGCAGCCATATAGCAAATGGCACGTTCACCGCTGACTGGAGAACACAGGACGACGAAAAGCCCGAGTGGGACGACGACGACCTGGGCGACTATGGAGAGGAGGATGGCGAGGAGTACCCCGAGGACGACGGCTGGGTCGAGCCTACACCCTGGGAGGACGCCGAGGGCGAGTTTGCCGACGACGACGCCCCAATCGACATGGATGCCGACTTTATCGGCCTCGAGGACGTGCCCAAGAAGAGCAAAAAGGACAAGAAGAAGGACAAGAAGCGCCGTGACGCCGAGGCTGCCGTTGCCGAGGACGACGCCAAGCTGTCTGTCACCGAGCGTGCCGCCAAGGTCAAGGCTGCGGCTGGCGAGCTCCAGGCCCTCCACGGCGAGGACCAGATCGGTGACCTGCGCACCCGCTTCAAGTACACAAAGTCGGCTCCCGTGTCCTTTGGCCTCTCTGCCGCCGAGATCCTCATGGCTACCGATGCCGAGCTGAACGGCATTGTCGGCGTCAAGATGCTCGCACCATACCGCCGTGGTGGTCTCGGTATCGCTGGCCGCGGCCTCGGCAAGCGTATTCGCGACTTTAAGGGCCGCGTCGCAGACCGCAAGTGGGGCGACGAGTTGCCCGTCGAGGACAAGAAGAAGCCCAGGAACAAGGCCAACAAGGCCAAGGGTCTCGGTGCCAACGCTATTCCTCTCGGCGAGGGCGTCAAGGGCAAGCGTATGGGCAAGAACGAGCGCGAGAAGCTCAAGGCCCGCGCAGAGGAGGCTGGTGGCGACGCGGCGCCAGCTGCTGCGCCCGAGAAGAAGAGGAGGCGCGACGACGACGACACTGCCGCTCCTGCCGCCGAGTCGTCCCAGCACGATGGAGACGGCGAAGGCAAGAAGAAGAGGAGGAAGAAGAAGGCGGTGAAGACTGAGGGCGTCGCATAGATGGGATAGTCTGGGCTACACATGCATACTCTGTACTGTTTTCGAACCGCACCAGGGAGGGGGAGTGCCACAATCAAACACCCTCTGCCGAGCCCCCCCCAGCATCAACCAAGCACCGTAGAGCAACGAGACAAGCATGGGCATGGCCGTTGGGACTCTACCTTGTACAATGTCGACTCTGTTGCATGCATGCATCCAACACCCTCGCTGACCATTACCCCGTGCTCTCGCTGGCCAGCTGGGCCATGTACAACGCGTGCCCCCTCATTGGCCCAAAATCCGCCACACGCTTATAACTCCGCCCCGCGTCCTCCGTCCTGCTCGCTGCTGCCTGCCTGCTGCCTGCCAGCCGCTCCTACGTCGACCTCATCGAGGACAGCCCTACCCAAGCAGCCTTGCTCGCTAGACACCACTCTATCCAACGACGGCCATGTCCCGCCCCCTCGCGCGCCTCGGCCTCACCGCCGCCCGCACCAGCCGCACCTCGGCGGTCGCGCCCGTCGGCATCCGCGCCTTCTCCTCGTCCCAGTCCCGCATGGCGTCGCCCGCACAGAACGACTACTCGAAGGGTCCCTCGGCCCTCGACAAGGCTTCCCAGCTCTTCTTCTTCTCCGAGATCGTCCGTGGTGAGTATAGCCATGTGCCGACAAGGAAGGCACACGCGGGAGGGCGCTGCTGGGAGAGTACGGAGGGACACGGTGTGCGGGTCACCCAGTTGGAGGATTGTGGATATGTGGTTCGGCCAACATTAGACATGTGGGGCTTGGCCGTGTATCCGAGAGCCGATGGGGAGTGAGCGTGGGTTGTTCGGTGTAGCTGGCAGTGTGCTGCTCAGGCAGTCATTGCTGTTGTGCTACGGGATACGCGGCCACGTTCAACGGTCCTATCCCCGGCAGCTCATCTCAACGCCACGGCCCAATCCAGCTACTCTCGTCCAACTGCCTTCCTCCAACCGACCCGCATCGTCCTCCTTTGTCTCCCCGGCGTCCTCTCGCCTCACGTCATGGGGTACTCCCCGCTGCGCTCAACGTTGCTCAAGAATGAAAGCGCTGACAACCCGCAGGCGGCTGGATCGTCCTCGAGCAGATGTTCCGTCCCCCTTACACCATCATGTACCCCTTTGAGAAGGGACCCCTCTCCCCCCGCTTCCGTGGCGAGCACGCTCTGCGGCGATACGCCAACGGCGAGGAGCGCTGCATCGCGTGCAAGCTGTGCGAGGCCATCTGCCCCGCCCAGGCCATCACTATCGAGTCCGAGGCCCGTCTCGACGGTTCGCGCCGCACCACCCGCTACGACATTGATATGACCAAGTGCATCTACTGTGGTTTCTGCCAGGAGGCATGCCCCGTTGATGCCATTGTCGAGAGTGAGTGGGATGAGATGGGAGACGGGGAGGTGGGCACTGGGTTGGAGCGGCTAGCTGCGGGGTCGAGAACCACAGCTAGCTGGCCTGGTGATCACACAGTTCCTTCTCCTGTCACCAGTCATTGCATGGTCGATACTAACGACCCCCACAGCCCAGAACTACGAGTACTCGACCGAGACCCGCGAGGAGCTCCTGTACAACAAGGAGAAGCTTCTCCAGAACGGCGACAAGGCCGAGGCCGAGATCGCCGCCAACCTCCAGTCGGACCACGTGAGTGTTCCCCACCACAGGCGGGAGCGGGGATGGACGAGGACGAGGACGAGGCAGAGACCGAGCTGTAACCTTTGGCGACGTCACAGCTTGACAGCGTGCTCCTGTCTCTACCTCCTCCCTTCCCTCCCCCGTTCCCTGCCGTTGCCATGCCGCCGCCTCCGAAACACCGTCGCTGACAATCTTCCAGTTCTACAGGTAATCGAGGTGACTGGCGTTCCATACCAAGATGCATTAGGCGATAGAAGTGGATTTTTAAAAAAGCAAACCTACATTCCTATTACACACACACAGCTGCAGCTTTCGGGCTGCTGCCTGGCAGCCGTTGCATGGGTTCGGGATGGTCGAGTTGAATGTCGTCCGTTGGTTACTTACTTGAGTGACGGATTCTGATGTCAACCGACGAAGGGGATTGGGCAGGGCACTAGCGCAATGGGTTGTTTCGGGTGTGGCACCTGTGCCTTCCTGGCGACTCTACTTTAGCGGCACACCATCATTAACCCGTAGACTGCCGTAACGAGCACAACCACGACCACTGCTGAAGGGGCACACACTCCATTACGCCATGCAGGTTGAATCTTGGGTGCATCTACTACTACAGATCTATTCTACTCTTTGAGATCTCTGACTGCCTCTCTCTGCCTCTGTCTTCCCTTCCCCCCTCTCACACAGCCGCTCTCCCCGCTTCAAAGCTTGGACAGAGCAAAGGTCTCGACGGGGTACGGCGCCTTGTTGGGCGTGAGACCGGCCTTGAACGCGTTAATGTCCTGGACATAGACGTTGCCGTCGCGGAGCTTGGCGTCCGACACCTCGGCAAGGGGCTCGAGACCGTCGACCAAGGCAGTGAGCTCGCTGGCCACGTCGGCAGCGGGGCTCGCCTTGGTGATCGCCGCGTGGGCAAACTCCTTGACGGCCGAGAGGTCCGGGTTGGATGCCATCAGGGTCTGGAGGGCGGGCACGTCGACGGCGATGGCATTCTTGGTGAATGCCCCGATGAGGAGCTGTGCCGAGGCCGGGTTGAACTTGGTTCCCTTGTACTGCGAGCGCATGTGGACCGAGAACTTCTTGCGTGTCGGTGACTCGGGGTGGACGTACTTCATGAAGAAGTCGAGGACCTCGGTCTTGGTGACCTTGCGCAGCTCCTCAATCTCCCTTTCGCGCTGGCCGAACGCATAGTACTTGTCCGAAATACGGCCCCAGTACCTCCGCGACTCCTCGCCGAGGTTCTTGGGCTTCTCCTCGCGCTTCTCAATCTGGGTTTGGCGGTGACGCTCAAACGCCTCGTCGGTCATCTCCTCAATGGTCGCCTTGAGGGTCACGAGGAACGACTCGATACGCGACTCAACGTAGACGGGGTCACGCTCAGACTGGACGAGCACGCGCATACCCGTCGGCGTGGCCGCGGCCGAGGTCACGTAGCCAAGCTGCTCCTTGGTGCGGAGCACGTTGAACGCGGGCTCCGAGGCAATCTGGCCAAGCATCGAGTTGCGGGCGCGGGCGACGACGTCGGTAGAGTCACAGGTCTGGGTGTAGTAGGTAACGCAGCTGTTGACCTCGGACGGGTTGGCAACGGGGATCTCCCACACGTTCTGCGAGCCTGCGGAGTTAGTCGTTTCGAGGCTTGTCTAACTCACTCTCAGGAAGAATGAGAACACGAGGGGGAATCTTCTCGGCAGGGGCAAGCGCGCGGGGGTTGAGCATGCGCTGGACCGTCTGCTGGATGGCCTTGGCACCCTCGGCCGAGGTGTTACCGTGGACAAGCGTCTCAATGTAGAGGCGCTGGAAAAGCTCGCGGCAGTAGGCCTGGACGTCGGCGGGCGTAATGTCTGAAGAGTTAGAGGCGAATGCAGTGGTCCTTGCGCAAACTCACGGTCAATCTCGGCGAGCCTCTCCTTCTGGGTCCAGATCACCTGAGTGGTGACGTACGATTGCCAGAAGCCGATAACGTGGTAGGGCTCGGACAGCTCAAAGTTCTTCCAGCGGAGACGCACACGGTCTACAATCTTGTCAAAGCGCTCCGGGTCGACCTCAAACTCGATGAGCTTCTTGAGCATGGCCTCGAGGAGAACCGACTGCTTGTCCGAAAAGCCAGTAACGGCCAGGTTGAACGAGTTGCCGCCGTACCACAGGGCAAAGTTGAGCTCTGCGAGCTCGGCGTCGTAAATGTCCTCGGTGACAGAGTCGTAGAACAGCTCGCACATGAGGCGGCCGAGAACGGCAGTGCGGGGAGTTGCCTCCAGGAGTGGCGACTGGACCTCAATGTAGACGTTGGTCTTGGGGAGCCAGAAGCGGTCGTCGCGCTTGTACCACAGACGCGAGATCTCGTTGTCGACGAGGAGCTCGGGACGCTCAGCGGGCTTGTCAACCGCAAACTTGTCAACGTCGAGGCGCTGGGGGACGAAGGGGTTGGGGCCCGGGAGGAAGATCTCGGGGATGGCGGGGCCAGAGTACATGTCCTTAAGGAACTCCTCGGGCAGCTTCTCCTGGTGGTAGTGGGTGCCGTAGATGGCCTCCTTCTTGTCAAACGAAGCAGTGACGTCCTTGGGGAGCTCCTTGCAGGTCACACCAATTGAGCCACGCGAAGGGTCAAGAAGCTGGAGAGACTTGGCCATGAGGGCCTCGTCAAAGTCGCCTAAGAGGTACGCCGAGGTCAAGATGTCTTCACGCTCGTAAGGGTGCTGCATGGCGCCCGAGAGAGTGGTAACATAGCTGCGGACCTTGCTACGCTCAGCGAAGCGGAATGAAATGTCGGAAAGCTGACGCATCTCGTCAAACGCAACCTTGGAAGGGGGCGTGTTGCGAAGCAGCTCGAGGTACTTGCCGATCGTGCGAGCGACATCCTTCCAATGTTCCAGGCCCGACTCGGTGAGCTCGCAGGTAATCTTCAGGAACCCAAAGCCGTTGGCAGAGTGCGAGGGGCCCGCACGGAGCGAGTTGGCCCAGCCCTGCTGCTTAAAGTAGGACAGAAGCGAACCCTTGCCCTCGTGACCAACAAAGTGAGAAATGTAATGGTACGGCTGGAACGTTAGCTTTGGACCAGCAAGTGCAGCTCACCTTGAGCTCCGGGAAGTGGTGAAGGTCGGGCACGGGGATGGACAGCTCGAGCGCACGCGCGTCGCGGACAGGCTGGACAAAGGTCACCACCTGGGAAACGTCAGTTGAGAGGCCGGTGTGGGAAGCCGCGCTAGGAAACACTCACGCCACGCATGTCCGGTCCGTAGGCGTAGTCGTCAAAGGTCACGCGCACACCGTCGGGGCCAGTAGGTGGGCGGCCCTCGGTGCGAACGGGGACACGGTCAAACTTCTCGCGAACCATGCGCTCAAGGGTGTCAAGGTCGTCACGGCCGGCGACGGCAAGCTTCATGCGGCGAGCGCAGTAGTGGTGCTCCCACCACTTGATGAGCTGGTCACGGGGGTCGCGACCGGCGGCCTTGGGCTGGTCCCACAGAGTCTCGAGGTTTCCAGTGCCAAACTTTCCATAAACGTGACCCGGCGTGGAGAAACTCTTCTCGAGCTGAAAGAAACGCCAAATGTCGTTCTGAATGTTCTTCTTGTGCTCCGAGTTTACGGCCTTGATCTCGCGCTCGGTGCAATCGTCTGAGAACAGTGGCTCGATGAAGAAGCCGGCGAAGCGGTCGAGAGCACCCTCGAGCGCATCGGGAGCGACGTCAAAGAAGTAGTTGGTCGACGACATGGCAGTCCACGCGTTGGAGCCACCATTGTGGTTGGAGAGGTACGACGAGTACTCGTTCTCGGAAGGGTACTGATGGCGGGTTAGCTTCGGATCATCAGCGGGGCCGCGCGGCTTACCTTCTTGGTGCCCATAAACATCAAATGCTCGCTGTTGCCGTCAGTGGGGTTGTTCTGAGAGAGGTGCACATACCAGAAATGAGCGCAACCAGGCAGGTCGTCGGGATCTGAGAGGTGCCCCACGCCAACCTCCATACTGGCCGCCGCCTTGTCGGCGTCCGGGTCCGAGACGAGGATCACCTCCAGGCCATTAGGAAGAACAATAAAGCGGTGGGGACGGTCCTCGGTAGGCGGGAGCTTGAGCGTGACCTCACCCTTGGGCTTTGGGAGCGGGGGGCAAGGAGCGAAGACTGGCACGTCAATGGTCATGTTGGTGGCGGCACGACCGAGTGGAGTGGTAGCGGAGAGTAGGGAAGCGGGGAGCTCGGACGACCTGTATACGAGGACGGCGAGGAGCGCAAGTGTAAGCGCAAGACAGATGGCCGGCCGACTGATGGCTGGCATGTGGAGTGGTGGACGTACAGCGAGGTGATGGGAGCTGTGGTCGTGCTTACACGCCTTGCTTGCTGGACGACTGATGCAGCTGCCCGCGGAGCCGAGATGGAGGAGAGGGCAAAAGAGCGGCGAAGGGCGCAAGGAGAGGAAAGAGAGAGGGGCGGAATGCGATTCCTTGCGAGTCGACTAGAGACTGATGCGAGCATACGAGAGGGGGATGGGAGCAAGACAGAGACAGAGATGATGGGGGGGCGGTGGGACAGCGGCGGGGGGGCAAGGTGGGGAGTCGAGTGATGGAGATGTCGCATTCGGGTATTCTAATCGGCTCAGCCTCCGGAACTAAATCGTTTGTTCAATGCCTGCCTAATGTAGGCAACTCTTGGGTTACATTCTGACGGTCTACTGAGACAGCCACGCTGTCCTAAGAGAGAGAAACGGAGCATGCACGGGTTCCATGTACTTGCTGTTGATAGAGAAGCCAGGCAAGATCGGCTGAATGCGAGACAGAAGTTGCTGCTCGAAAGGAAGGAAGATATGGTGTGGTCGCGTGGCGCCGCCAAGCGAGCGCGTGAGCGCGTAAGTGCGTGCGTGCTGGACCTTGCGTACCTTCCTTGACTCCACCCCAGTGTACCGGCGTACCCAGAGCTCCCAACTGATCAAGGAAGAGCTATACGATGGCTGTTCCCGTCCCCTCGACTCGGGCTTCCACAGGTGGCGAACAATATGGGTGCGAGACAAGGGTGTGTGTTGGGTGCGGTGCGTGGGTGACGACGTGGTTCACTGTGCGGCACACGCCCACGACGAAATGTCAGAACAGTGAACAAGTGCGAAGTCCCCCTAGACGGTGTGCTGGAGATAGAGGGTAAGCAATTATGAGCAAACCAAGTGCGGCGGTCGTGTATGAGTATGTTTCCAGTGCTGCGCTGGCTGCCAGAAACTAACAACGGCAAGCGTTCAGCCGACAAATCGAAACATAGTAGCCTATAGTGGTGTTCTCATCCCCCTGCTGTAACGCCCCCCATTAACATTCCCACGGCAGGATCTGGCCCATTTCTAATTGCAATTTGAACGGTGCCTGGCTGTCCCCAGTTGACCCGAACCCGCCCTTTACGTGTCGCGGGGCGTGTGCTGGCGCAGTCGCTCACCAGCGACACGACCATCCTCTGGAGCGTGTCTCCTTTGCTCTCCATCTGCACAAACTCCCTATTCACCTATTCACCAACATTGTGCAACCACCATGGCCGAAAACTACCAGAAAAAGGAACTCCTCACTCTTATGAGCACGGGCGCCAACAAGCGTGAGTACAACTGGGCCCTCTCAGGTTCAAAGTTCAAGATGGCCGCGACACGGTTGGAGTCTCGGCAGGTTCCACGAACACGTCGGTCTGCCGGTCGTGCGCGCGACGCAAGATGTCGAGGGCTCTCTCTGTCCACCACCCATTTTTCTCAAGCTGACCACTCCAGTCTGTGTCGACTGCAATGCCCCGTCTCCCCAGTGGGCGTCTGTCTCGTACGGCACCTTCATCTGCCTCGAGTGCTCGGGTGTCCATCGCGGTGAGTTCTAGGTTCATCGTCCCCAGACGACTGCTGTCGGACCCATTTTCTGACGGCGGTGTCACAGGTTTCGGTGTGCACATCTCGTTTGTGCGCTCCATCACGATGGACAAGTGGTCCGATGACCAGCTCAAGAAGATGACCCTCGGCGGCAACGAGGCGTTCAAGACCTTTATGGAGAGCTACGGCTCGGAGGGTGGCTACTCCAAGGGCATTGGCATGAACGAAAAGTACAACTCGTGGGCTGCCGCTCAGTACCGCGAAAAGCTCGCTGCTGCCTGCGCCGACCCGCCTACCGACTGGGCCAAGTCGTCGCCTCCTGCCAACTTTGGCGCTCCCTCTCGCCCAGACTCGGGCCAGGCAACCCGCAAGTCGCGCGCTCTCGGTGGCAGCTCGTTGGGCTCCAACACGCCGTCGCGCACCAACAGCCCGTACCAGGACGATGTGCCCTCCAAGGTCGGCAACGAGGCGTACTTTGAGCGTCTCGGCAGTGCCAACGCGTCGCGTCCCGACCACCTCCCGCCGTCGCAGGGCGGCAAGTACGGTGGCTTTGGTTCGGCCCCGTCGCCTGACCCGGCCAGCTCGCACCCGAGCTACAACCTCTCGTCGCACGCGGCCCCTACGCTCGACGAGTTTCAGCGCAACCCCCTCGGCGCTCTGAGCAAGGGCTGGGGCCTGTTCTCGAGCGCCGTCACCAGCGCCGCTGGCGAGATTAACCAGACGGTCGTCAAGCCCGGCATGTCGCGCGCCCAGGAAATGTACGACACTGGCGCCAGCGACGACTGGAAGCGCTACGTCTCCACCGCAACCACGCAGGCCAAGACAGCCGGTGGCTGGGCCGCTGCCCGTGCTGCCGACGGCTGGGGCCAGGTCAACGACGTGGCCCGCACCAAGGGCGGCGTCGACCTCAACGAGCAGTTTGGCAAGCTCGGCCTCGGCAAGGGCTCGGCCCGTGACCAGGGTTACGGCCAGGTGGGCCAGCACGGCGACGACTTTTTCGACGAGTGGGACGACCACGGAGCCCACGCCTCGGGCTCGGCTGCCTCCCCAACGTCGCCACTCCGGCCCCGGCGCGCTCGTCGTCGTCGACCCCGGCTCCCGCCAAGCCTGTCAAGAAGGACAACTGGGACGAGGACGAGTGGAAGGACTTTTAAAACGTAAAGTCCTGGCTGGGTCGTGGCATTTTTCTCTTGGCAGTGTAGTTTATAGATTAGATATACAACGGGGGCCTCTAGGCCTTCTCCTGAACCTTTTTATCCAGTGCAGACGCCTTCTCGTCGACCTTGTTCTCATTGACTGATGCCTTCTCGTCAGACACCGAGTACGGCGGTGCCGCCTCCACCGGTGGTGTGGCCTTGCCACTGGTAGTAGCTGGTGCGTCCCCCTGCACGAGCTCTGGCAGCAGTGTGGCCACGACGGCATTATACAGCGTACCGACCAAGTGGGCGTTACACCCGGCGTTTGAGAACGGGTCCACGAGCGCGTCCACGCTGTCGCCGTCCACGGGTGTGACCCAGAGTTTGAGTCTGCGCGGGACGAGCTCATCGACGCGTTGCCGCAGAGCGCTGTCCAGCGCCTTCGCCTCTTCCGGTGTCGGGTCGACGGGGGGCGGGCCCGGGTATCCGTTCGGGAACAGGATGCGCTCCAGCAGGTCCACGACCTTGATCCCGAGCTTGGCGTTGAGGTGCTGCTCAAGGAGATACGGGAGGAGGCGGTCGAGAATGGGCGCGAGGAGGGCAGTGACAATCTCGACGCTGCCCCAGGCGGTCCTCACGGACCACGACGGGCGTGCGAGACCTGCGCGTCCGTCGGTCCCCAGCCAGGCGGCGGCGACGGCAAGCCATGGATCCATGACACGGTTGTGCTTGGGACTGGCCGGCGGGCACGCTGACAGAGTGGCGATGAGCCATGTGAGGCCAGACCACAGGACAGTGATGACAGTCACGAGGGTGCGGTACGTGCGAAGTGCAATGTGCACTCCTCGTTGCCAGCCTTTGTGTGGTGGATAGGGTGGTGGCTGGTTGCCAATCGACTTGCCCCTGCGCGGAGTGCCCGGTTGACCCAAGAGCTTGAGTACGATCTGGGCATAGAACCACGGCTGGGCAAGTCGTCGGCCCACAGACACGAGAACGGCGCGCGCGACGACTTCACGGACGACGAGACGTTCCGCGTCTGCAGCATACTCGGACGGTGACAGTCGCAGGGCGAGGAACGACTCGACGAGAGCCGAGCAGTAGCGCGGCGAGAGGACATACGTGTCGTTGACGCGTTCGGTGATGAGGAGCGGCGCGCGGGCGTGGTACGCTGTGGCCAGGTCGTCGTCCCCCGCTAACGTCACGGCGGCGCGGGCAGCCCAATACACCTGCAAATGCGTGGCCGCCAGTGTCGGGACGTGGAGAAGGATCAAGTCGGCGAGCGGCGCCGAGTCGCTATGCAGGTCGGCGAGGATGGGGCCGAGCAGCGGGACAAGAATGTCGCGGTTGATAGCTGGGAGGAGTGCGCGATCCCGGGGCGAGAAGCGCGAGTACCAAGTGAGAATGTAGGCGCGGAGCGCGAGCGCGCACAGGTTGTAGACCTTGTCATGCAGTACGATCTGGTCGTTTGTGTCGGCGGGGAAGAGGGGGTGGGAGGCCAGTGTCGCCATCGGCGAGCAGCTGGACTGCAAGCGGTTGTTGCGTGTCCCGCCGCCGCGGCATGGTTAGTGGGTGGTAAGAGGGGCAGATGGGTGGGGGGGGGGACTGTTTGTTAACGGCGGCGTGGCATCAGATGGCTTGTGGCACGGATCGGCGCAGCAGTTCGAGTACGCCGAGACGCTCTCTGACACACTCGTGCAGGCGCATTGCTAACGGGGGGACAGGGTGACGAGGAAGGGGTAAGAGTATAGAGTAGAACGCGATGGGTGCAGGATGCATGCGGAGTGACACTGGCGCGGCTGGCTGAAGATGGCAAACGATGGCCTCATGCTCTCGCCCCTGTGTGTGTTGGTGCTGGCGGGGGGCGTTTGTTTGGGCGACGACCCGCTCTGGGCACAACAAACGAGGATGCAAGATCACTGACTGATTGATCAAAGTCACGTGACTCACGTGACCCAACGGCCCAAGATCAATGCGAATCACGGCGTTATGGCCAGTGTTTGCGTCAGACGCCTGCCCCCTGCCTTCCTGGGGCCCTGCGGTGGCGCGGGACCAGATCTGCACCAACCCCTCCCCGTCACATATAAGACCCGGCTCCCCACTCGGTCTTATTCCCCATCCCAGCTCTCAATCAGCAAACGCTCCTCTCCTCTCTCTCTACACCAACCCCCCCAACAACAACTTATATCAACAATGTCCGGTCGCGGAAAGGGTGGCAAGGGTCTCGGCAAGGGTGGTGCTAAGCGTCACCGCAAGGTAAGTCCACATCCCCCTCTTCCTGGTGTTTGGTTCTTCTTGCACATACTTGCACGGCCAACACTCTCATGCTACCTTTCTTGTTGCTGACTCTCTCCTCCAGGTGCTTCGTGACAACATCCAGGGTATCACCAAGCCCGCTATCCGCCGTCTCGCTCGCCGTGGTGGTGTCAAGCGTATCTCGGGCCTCATCTACGAGGAGACCCGCGGCGTCCTCAAGATCTTCCTCGAGAACGTTATCCGCGACTCGGTCACCTACACTGAGCACGCCAAGCGCAAGACTGTTACCTCGCTCGACGTCGTCTACGCTCTCAAGCGCCAGGGCCGCACCCTCTACGGTTTCGGCGCCTAAGCGATTCATCCCTCGAATCAACACAACAAGTCAAGCTCGCGCGCGAGGCCGTCGCGGTCGTCGCCGCTGAGGAAGGGGGAGGAGATACTTTCGTTTTCGCTATACTTCTTTTTTATACCGCCCGAGGACGTGGGCGATGCACTTTCTTCTTCTGTTTTCTATCACTATTACTGCTGCATGGTTGGGTTTCTACTGACTGGCCTGGTGTGTGCGGTGGCTGGTTTTATGACTGGGTGAGGGAACGGTGCGGTGGCGGGGCGGGACATGCGCTGGGGGAAGAAGGGCCCTTCCAGCTGTGGGTGGCGAGAGACCCCCACCCCGACGCCGTAGATGAGCGGAGGTGACGTGTGCAACGCAGTCTGAGCTGGGAGCGACAGTGTTGCTCCACTCGCGATTCACAATTCCGGGGTGCAAACATGAGCTGAACAGGAGTCGTGCAGGACAGTCGTACAGTGGCGCTCCACCAACGGGCGGGCAACTATGACACTGATGCACCGTTGCCTGAGCCCATGTCGAGGGTGAGGAGCGACGATGGGGTGGGAGAGGGGCGGTGATCACGAGAGGGCCGAGAAGGTGAGCAAGGGAATGGGGGCGAGTCGAGGCGGTCAAGGCGGGCGTGCATAGATGGCGAGGTGGCGAGCGGGAGCATGTCCCTCAGCCCTCTTCGTCAAGCTCCGTGACTTTCATTTGTCAACCACTGCCAACACCACTCTGCAAGAGGGATGTGGGTATGTAGGTGACACACATGGGCAACGAGGGGGCAGGTTACAGTACAAACATATGTCAGCTTTTGGAGTGCCAATAGTCAATGCACTAGCACCCTGGAGAAGTACGACGACGTCGACCATGGACAAGTCTTCCCACCGCAGCAGAGTAGCGCTGTCGCTGTCACGTTAACGCATTTGACAGGGGGATCGATGGGTGAGAATGTGTACACCCCCAGATGCTAAATTTCAGTACAGCAGCGAAGAGAGCGGCGCGATGCCATCCCGGAACAATGCGACCCATGCACCACGACCACTGATACACTGAACCAGGCCCAAACGGACAAACAGGGAAAGATGTGGCCCCAAGCCTGACAGACACAGCTACACCCAGCCTGGAGACCATCCGATGAATATGTCGAACCCAGCTTGCTCATTATATGGCTGGAACCACATGAAGACGGACTCCAGCCGCAAAGCGGGCCCTAGTGACCCCCAGACCCAACACACACAACACACCCCACCCAACACACCATGGCACCACCACTGGCTTCCGTGCAATGCTGATACATTCGCGTTGTCGTGGTCTTTTTACATTGTTTAGAGAACGACAATGGTGCTGGGGGTATACTTCTTGGAGTTGTAGGCGCTCTTGCCGACCTGGAACTCGTTAGCCACCGCGCTCTCGTCACATCCATGTCTTGAGCGATAGGCGGATGGTACACGGCCCGTTCCCTCCGCCGCCCACTCCTGCCCTCCTGCACTCACCTCCCAGCCGGGGACGTCCTTCATAATCTCCTTCTCGCGGGCGAGGGCCGCCTGGTTCCTGCGGTAGACGTCGCGGTCCTGCTCGGCGAGCATGGCGGGGACGAGGTTGATGCGCGACCAGGCCTTCTCACGCTTGAGCTCGCTGCAAGGTTAGCTTGTTCCGTGCGTCTCGGAAGTGAAGGAGCAGCGGGATGAACGCAGGAAGAGTGTCCGAGTGGGTCTGAAGGGAGCATGCCAAACGACTGAATTGGCAAGGACGTCAAAGCAGTCGACATGCTGTCTTCCTCCTCGCCTCGAGGTGGCCACGACAGCCCACAACACGTATCCCCTGCTCCGGTCCAATCGCGCAATTCAGGACTCACCGACGCTCGAGGTTGCCCTCGCCGAGACGCCAGAAGCCAAGAGCGCAGATGATGGTGACAGCGCCAAAGACGACGGCACCGCCGGGACCGCGGGTGGGGAGGTTACGCTTGTACTTCAGCGACTCGTAGCCTCCAGGAGGAGGCATGTCCCTAGATGGAGCGTCAGCATAGTTCCAGTGCACACGCGAAAGACGACTGGCGGCGCGGCGTGGCGAGTCAACAACGACATGGCGGACGGCAACGGAGACCGGGATGACGCCGACATGGTCGAGGATACGTTGGACCTGGTCCCATTGGGGCACAATGGGCCCAAACGCTGTCCTTCCCACATCCCCTCGTCCATGTACAGCCTCCCGCACGCCGTTGCGGCGACCATTCTCGCTGCGCTCGTTGCACGCGCCAGTCGACCTCATCGGGGTAAGTCGACGTACTGCCTGAAGCCGTGGAATCCGCTCGACATGATGGGCTGGGTCGTCAGCGTCGGTTCAAACTCTGAGGCAACCTGGAAACACGCCTTGTGGTCGTCGTGACCGTGTCGAGGCTGCTGCTGCCGCCTGCTGCTACTCACTGTATGCTCTGTTGCGGGTGGTCGATATCGAGGAGCCAGGCCAATGGACGAGGTGAGGACGGTCAGGACGGCTCAGAGGTCGAATATTTCCGAGGCATTTTTGGCGCATTTATCCCGGTTGCCAGTCGTCCGCCTCCGGCTTTGACCTTTTCTTGTCGTCGCTGTCTGCTGCTCCACAGCTGGTGCACGACCTTCTGAGCTGAGGATACATTTAAAGTAAAAATGCAAGTGCTTGCATCATGCTTTGAAGAGCGCCAATTTTGTGCCCAGGTGGACATGCGTCTACTTCCCCTGCCACAGTGGTGCCACATCATCTCCCTCTCCCTCTCTCCCTCCCTCTGCGCGAGTCGTTGTCCTCCGTCCCTCTTGCCTCTGTGGCGTCTAAAAATGCGGTCCCCGCCCATCCATGTCACTGCAGATCTTTGTAAAAACGATGCACGCCCCAAGGAATGCCATTCCCCTCCGCCGATCGTGCCACACTCGCCAACCCACCTCCTACACTTCTTCCAACAAGGTCAAAAACTTGTTCCTACACCTCCAGAAGCTTCAGCAAGCTCCCCAGGCAAAAGATAGCACGTAGCGGGCCGCTCCGGGACTCGAACCCGGGTCGAATCCAATCTAGAACAGTTGTTCTGGGTGCAAAACCCGAAGGATCCATCTTACCCCTGGACCAAGCAGCCTCTGATATTCTCCAGCTTCTCAGTGTCGTGCCAATGTTTTCGGATGCAATGTAGAAGAAGAATTGGATGAACAGTGGACGTTCGAAGTTGGTCGGTCGGGTCGGCGGAATCCGCCACTCTCACACTGACGTGGTCCCCGTTGTTCACTTCGGGCACCAATTTGGGCCCGAAATGGTCTAGCGTGATCGCGTGGACCTCGGGCACCCCGTGGAGCTCTCGCATTTTGGATAGGAGCGAAATTGAACGAGCAATGAGGGTTGAAAGTCTTCCGGCCATTTACGGACTAACCTCGCCAGTTTCGTTTCCGACCCTCCAGATCGGCATCCACATATGCAAGCGCTCTGAACGATCCCTAGACCATGTACGCAGCATGGATACCTACCCCAATCGCCCAAGACATCAGTATGCTCAGAGAATCGAACGGACTGGAGAGGCGGTCGAAAGGTGGCGGACATGAAAAATGAGGTGGACATGCCGTTGTTGGTTGGAGGTTCTAATCTCCAAATGTAAATTAAGCCGTAATTTATTACAAACAGTTTATAAGGAATTTCCGGCAATTGCTTCCGGGGAAAAGTCGATCAGGGCCATCATTCAGGGTCCTATATATTCAGCCGAAAGCTTCCCCTGGATTCTCACCTTCATCCATTTCTCCATCCACCTTCGATTTTTGATAACTTAGCTCCCGCATCCATCCACCTCCACTCGTCCTTTACGATGACGATCACACAGCGCAGTAGCTCCTGCTCGCACTGTTGAGGACATGTTACCCACTGGTAAGGTGCACCGCGGGGGTTACCAATGATCCAGTCATCCGGTGATCCGGTCATCTGGTGATCCAGTCACATCTGGTAATCCAGCGATCCAGTGATCCCAGTGATCCTGGTTGGTGAATCAGTTTGCATGCTCACAAGGATCGCCATGATATGCCGGAAGCGCAGAATCTGACTCATGTACTGATATCGCCTCCCAGGCCGTGCAACTCGCTTGACTGGAAGTCCCTCGCCACGCTTCCACCGGGTTCCTTGGTCCATGTCCACTACGGTGGAGAGAGCGTTGCGAATAGTCCACAAGGACGACTCGAAAACGACGCCAAGAATGCAAAGCACTCGAGGCTGGCTAACGATGCGCGTGTCATTGGCGAGCTGTTGCCCGACTCGACATGGTCGGTGTACCGTCTCGACAGTGAGTTCAATGGGGGACATGAACAACACTGACATGTGCCAGTCAATGCCATCGATGTCGACATCTACGAGTACCGATCGCGCCTCGATCTGCAGGCTCTTGAGCGCGCGTTGATCGCTGTCGGTGACCCGCTCTGGCTGAACTCTGCCAAGGACGGCCTCCAGCATGAGCCGGACAGCTCGTTCTTTCCCCCATCCAACCCCATCACTACCCCGCCGACTGGGGGTGCCAGTGTGCAGCTCAACGTCACCATTGAGCGGCTCATCCGCGGCTCGGCCGAGGTTTGGGGGCAGCGCTCGTCGCGGCGCATTCACCCGAGAGCCCTCAATGCAGTAGCCGACGCGGCACTCGTTCGTCGCACCTGGCACGACAACCCCCACCCAGTCTGGGTTTCCGCGAGCAAGGACATCACGGTCGAAGAGTTCGAGTTCCGCGCTCCAGGTATCGACTACCGTGGCGATAACGCTGGCCCTGGTACCACCTACGCCAACTGGAGCCAGGCCTACGCCCACGGAGTCGTAGCTAACGACCGCGACACTCGCATGCTCGTTAACGGTCCGTTCTTGGATCTCTGGGCCCTCGACCTCGACCACTTCGAGATCATCCTCGCCATCCTGTACCTCTGCCGTCTTATCTACTGGTACCGCCCCCTAATCGTTCTCTGCGAATCGCAGCAAGTGACTGCTGTCTTTATCAACCTCGCCGAGTTCTACTCTGCGATGCCCGGGGACGACGAGTTCTTCGACGGCCACACACATGTGCCCAATGCCGAGGTGAAAGAGCACGGCAAGAAGTTTGCGCGTATGAACAAGATGACCGGCCCCTTCCTCCCATGGGTCGGCACCATGTTCATCGCCAGAACTTCACCGTCCACCTTCGCCATTGTGTCGTCGCCGTTCACAGGGGACGGATCAAGTACGACAGTGACCTTGCCGACGAGCTCATCGAGCTGGACGCGGTCGTGACCGCCATCGGTCAGGCATGCCTCGTGACCGCCACCTCGCTCCCGACGCGTCCGGACGTAACCTCCCTCTCCGACATGCAGGTCCTCCTCGCTGCGTGCCGCACCGCCGTCAAGGCTCGCGGCCTCGACCTCCTCCTCGAAAAGGCTCGCAGACAGCTGCGTGTCCAGGAGGAGTATCTCATCGCGAGTCGGATGTCTACTGCGACGCCAGGCCTTACCACCGAGCAGCGCTCCGCCGCCGCCGTCTCCCGCCGTCTGACCGCCATCGCCTCGCACGAGAAGGTTGCCGACGTAACCGACTCGCCCGCTCGCCGCGTCCTGTTTGACGGCATCTGGCGTGCTGCAGAGTTGCTTGTCGCCCTCGGCACGCCCGAGTTCCACCGCCACCCCCTTCTCCCCGCCGGTGTGACCAAGGAGGAGACCTGGGCGTGGTTTAACAGTCGCGAGGAGGGCGTCGAGATCGTCATCGCTGCCGCTCTCTACAAGCGCCACCCAACGTACGGCATGACCCCTGCCGAGACAGCCGCATACGCGCAAGCGCGGTTCGGTGCATACCTCGACACGGTTCATGGCGACAAGACACGCAACTTCAACTATTGCTATGAACCATGCGAGATTGTTCTCCTGAAAGTGTTGGAAGATTCATTCATTCCAACAGCATCCGGTCTCTTCTCATGCCGATTGTGCCCCGGCAAAGGGATCGACAAGAGCAACCTTCTACACAACTGCCCGAATGACCCAAGACATTCCACTACCTTGGGCGCTCGTAAGACTGCCAACCGCTTCCGTGGCGACAGGACGACGCTCGACCTGGACGGACACATCCAGTTCGGTTTTGACGCCCTCGCACACGTCGACTATTTTCCCGCCGAGCTCATCGACGACCTGAGCATAGTTGAGCTTGACGACCTCCTTATGCGGGCCAAGCGTGGCGACCTTGTGCACCTTGGCTTCGAAAATGTCACCCCTGCCGAGTGGGAGTTGAACATGATTGACCGCATCCTTGTCGACAACTCGCCTACGGACGTGTGGCAGGTCAAGAATGCCATTGCAGCCTTGTACTTGAGTCCCGGCGTGCACGCCTACCTCGAGGTGGTGGACGTCTTGAGCCAGGACGCTAGAGCTCTTCGCCAGGTTGTCGACGCCATCAATGAGGCAGTCGCGCTCGAGTCCCGTGGCGAAAACAGCAGTCCTATTCAAGTGTACGCCTGCAAAAAGACCGACTGCATATGTGCCCGTCTCCTCGAACCCAAGAGCAACCACTACTGCAAGACAGTCGGTAGTTCCAACACCATCAAGAGGCAGTCGGGCATGCAACTGACCGGCGACGTCATTACATCGTTCGTTCAGCTACCCGCCATCGTCAAGCGCCGCTTGTGGGCCGCATTTATTGGCGGCAGCGACGAGTGTGAGGATCTTACCCTCGAGACCTTCACGTGGGGTGCGTCCAACCCGATTCCGGCCTCAGTCTCCTCGACCACCCCCTCGGCCAAATCGACTGAAGGCTTCGCCCAAGTGCTTCACGGCTTTGCCCAAGTTCTCCCGGTCATCGCCCAAGTCCTCCAAGGCTTCGGCGAGATTCTCCACGCTTTTGGCCACAACGGCCAAGGTTTCGCTCAATGCGCCTGCGAAGGTTTCGGCGTCGTCCACCAAGGCTCCGGCCTCGTCCAAAAAGGCTTCGGCTTCGTTACTGAAGGTTTCGGCCACCCTCAAGGCTTCGACCTTGTGCTCCGCGCCCTCGTTCTCCAAGGCTTCGGCCTCATTGTCAAACGTGACGATACGGTCAATCACGTCGCCTCAGCTGTCGATCAAGGCGCCCTTAGCACCACGTCTTCATCAACATCGCCTGCTTTTCAACAGCTGTCACTCGAGTAACCACCTTGAGTAGGCTGAGTGCCACAGAACCGTCGTCTGCCACTACCTCGCCCCTTTACCGTCAACGGACCCCCTGCCGTCAATAGAGCCCCAAGAGGCCGGGATTAAACATTTGTGTTAGTCATTGTATCCAAGTCACTACATGTATCGCCGCATTTGCGCCCCAGCGTTGAGGTTGGGATTCGGTTAGAAGTTTGATCTGCCCCATCAATGGGACTGTTCCCAAAGCCACCAGTCAAACAGTTGCGACCGTGGTGGGTGGTGTCAGATGTCAGCAACTGCAAGCTAGCCCTCGGCGACACTAGAAGCTCAAGGATCGAGACCCAATCCTCCTCCACACTGCAACTAAGGGGATGTAGATGCATGGGGCGGGACGTAGTCTGTCCTCGTGGGTGCAATTCAGGCGGGGTATTGTCATAAGCTTGTGAGCTTGTGGGGGTTATGGCGGACTGGCGGGTCGTGTTTGAGATTACTGCTGCTGCTGGGCACGCTGCTGGCTGCGGAACTACGTGAAGCGTCAGCAAAGACTGGGTTTATGAAAGTAGTCCATGTCCAGCACGTCGGCCCGTGACACATTGTCCCCCTCCACTCTCCACTCACAATGTCACGCAGCTGTCCATTGGCCTCGTCCATCTGCTTTTCAAAGTACTTTGCCTTCTTGGTCAGGTTGGAGACGTCCTCGCCGAGTGCCTTCTCCTGCGCAGTGTGCTTGGAGGTGATCTCGGCACGGGGCTGCGCGATGAACCTAGCGACGTCAGCGATGGGTAACGTCACGGGCTTGCCGCGGCCTGTGACCATTCGGTCACTGCACCTGACCGCGTTCGCGACGCTGGGTCACTGGCCCTACCAACTCACATCTTGCCAACACCCCTGTACATCTTAGTGTCGTCGCCAGGGATAGTTGCCAGCTCGCGCATGGTCAGCTCGAGGATCTTGCGCTCCTTCTCCTTGGAACCGATCTGAGCCTTGACCATCTGCAGCTGGCGCTGCGAGGTGATGGCCTGGGTCTGGATCTGCTGGAGGATCTGGGGCAAGAAGTTAGCAAAAGGACATAGAGTCGCGTTGAAGGGGCTGTACCTTTCGCAGGGTGTCGTCGGAAAGGTTGGACATGGTGGGTTGTCTGGAAGGTCGAGTGCCCAACGCGTCGCGAAGTAGTTGTTGCCGCTGTGGAATGGTGTGGAAATAGAAACGGGGCAACTTGTAATGAGGGATTAGGCTTATGTTAATCTTATTAGAAATCGGACATTGTAATGAATGAACCCCGCAGCCATTGGCCTGGGCGGCGCCCAAATGCTTGGCGACCGCTGTGAACCGCATGGGATCGAGAGAGTGGAGGTGGTCCTACGCCGATCGTGTCGGAAATCTATGAGCCCACAACGCTCGTGCAGATTGTTTGCCTTCTTGTCTCTTCCTCTCTTCCCCACTTCCCACCTCTACTCACAACAATGTCCCCTACCATTGTTGACCTCGACGTCTTCCTCGCCGACCCTTCTTCCCCGGCCGCCGCCGAAGAGGCCCGCAAGGCTGCCGAGTCTCTCATCCTCACCGGCGCGCTGGTGGTGAAGGACTCGCGAGCCGACGCGTCCGCCAACTCGCGCTTCCTTGACCTCATGGAGGACTACTTTGCGCTTCCTCACGAAGACCTAGAGAAAGACGAGCGCCCAGAGCTGGGTTACCAGGTCGTAAGCTGCGATCATCGCGCGGTCCCAGCTGACACACCTAGGGTGTCACTCTCGAGAACACTGAGAAGCCAAAGTGTGGCCGCGATGCCGAGTGCCAGCAGGTCATTGCCTCGCTCGACCCAGCCGAGCGTCCTCTGGATCTCTCGGGTGACCCCGCAGACCCCAAGTGCCGCTTCTTTCACCGCATGGCCGAGCGTCCCCCTTACGAGTCCAAGTTTCCTTACTCGACCGCCCCAAACGTCGTCCCCGACGAGTTCAAGGACGTCTGGACTGACAAGCTCACCGAGTGGGGATCGATGATGAAGCAGTCGTGCGTTCAACTTGGTTTCAGTTGAAGCTTCTATTGACGCCACAGTGTCGAAGGTGTCGCTCGCATGGTCGCTGTCGGTCTCGGCGAAGACGAGAACAAGTTTGTTGAGGCTGGTCGCTATGGGTGGGTGCATCTCTAGTTCCCTTGTCGCTAACCCACCAGCGCTCACCTACTTGCTCCCACCGCCACTGACCTCGTCAAGTACGGCGAGCTCAACACGTAAGCGGTGTCGGGTTCCTTGCGTTGCTCACCCTCCAGCATCTACGCCGGCTTCCACACTGACCTCAACTTCCTCACTATCCACGGCCAGTCGCGCTACCCCGGCCGTAAGACTTTCTCAGATGAAGGATCATGACTGATTGTTAGTTCACATCTGGGCCCGTAACTCTGGCAAGCGTATCGCCGCCAAGGTTCCCCCCGGATGCCTCCTTGTCCAGGCCGGCAAGCAGCTCGAATGGCTCACCGGTGGTCTTATCAAGGGTGAGGCTTGATGATCCGGGCGAGAGCTAATGGCAGCCGGCTTCCACGAGGTTGTGTGCACTGAGGCTACTCTTGCTGTAGGTATGAAGCGACGCACAGACAGCTCACGTGCCAGGCTGTTGAGCGCCGCAAAGACCAGCTCCCCGACCGCCCCAGCATCCGTATCTCGTCCACTTTCGTGAGCTTTCAGTACAGCTCGACAGCTGACCCCAGTTCTGGCACCTCACTCCCGACTTCCACCTCGCTCCCCTCCCCGAGCTCCGCAAGGAGGCCGAGGCCCGCTTCGGCGCTCAGAAGGACTACGGCGAGATGTCTGTTGGCGACCAGGTTCGCCAGGAGCTCGGCCTCATTGCCCTCATGTCGTAAAGAGGGTATCGTATTTGTACCAATGGCTTCAACGCCTCGGTTTCTGCCTATTATAGTGTTGTCAGTTTGGGTCTTGGGTGTACCATGTCTTAAGCTCTTTTGTGCCACGTATCACATGAATACAACTATAAAACAACCCCAGAGGCAATCCCTTTCTAGTGTCTGCTGCTCTCCATCTCTTCCAGCTGGGCGACGAGGTCGTCCATCGGGTCTGCGGGCTTTGGCGACCCTGGGGCCTCTACGCCACCCACACCGTTCTCGGCCCCACCTGCATGTGTGGGAGTGAGGACGCTTGCGGGATTGTATCCTGGAGCCAGTCTGTGCAGAGCGGCCTTTTCGCGCTGCTCCTCCTCGACCTCGCGTGCGTGAAGGATGGCGGCAAGTCGTGCGCGCCGCTCAGCAATGGCAATGTGTGGGGGCGGGGTGAGGCTGACGACGTGTTGTTCAAGCGTGAAGGGGTAAACGAACTGGAAACGGGTAAGAATCTGTTACAGTTCCTCTTCTCACATAAGCAGTGATGTCGTCAGGGAGGGGGTGGATGTCGGTGGGCATCTCGACCTGGGGTCAGCTTGTGGAAGCGAGAGGTTGAGCTCACTAGCGGGGGGAGCCAGAGGGACGGCGACTTGATGAGCGGCACTGTCGCCGCTGCTGCGTACTGCTGGGGCATGGGCCCTTATTGTCAACTTGGGAATCCGGTTGTGCAATCTTACCCAGTTGCTGTGCCGAGCTCATCGCGAGAGACAGATGGTAAAGAGTAAGGAGCCAAGAACACCACTGAACGCGCGCGATGACGCACACATCCGCATCCATTAATGCTTAGCCGGCAAATTATTAGCGGGATCAAAATACGTCAATTACATTTAGAAATATGCCACGTGACTTGGGCGACTCGATCGATCAGACTTGTGCGCGACAAAAGGAGATCACTTGGACATTTACAGAAGTAGGTTGCAATCAATCAAACAACATGGCCGCAGACCTTGTGAGTAGAGACTGCCAGTAACGGCGTTTACTACCGCGATCTCCACCATATAGCAGCCCCCATACTCACTCTGCAGAAACCCGACCCCAACGCCCGTCTGGTCGACGCCCTCGTCGTCCGTCTTCGTCGACGGTAAGTCGCACACGTTCCCAACATGACAACTAGCACTGACCTCTGCGTCACAGTCAAATTGTCGGCTCGCGAAACGTCGCGCTTGCTACTGCCGCTCTGGTGCAGAATGTGGTCCGCAGCGCCAAGTTTGCGACCATTGACGAGCTCCTGGCCATGATCCGTGCCATCGGACGCAGGCTCGTGGATGCCAACCCAAAGGGCGAGTACCAAGCTGTGTGGGTGAGGAGCAGAGCTCTCGAGTCAGCCTCTCCCTCTCGTTTGGAGAGTGCGAAACCTTTGCTTGATGGCTCCCACGTGCCTTGAACATTGCTGACCTTGCATTCCAGAGCTCGCCGCTGGCAACATTGTGCGCCGCATCATCCGTCTCATTCGCGAGGAGTACCGCGCCGCCGCCGCCGCGCACATGTCCCAACCCCCCAGTGTCCCCGGCACGCCTGGAATCTCGACTCCTCCCGGCGGCAGCTACTTCACCGGCCCCGGCAGCGGCCCCGGTTCGGCGAGCGCCAGCATGCCCAGCACGCCCATTGCGCGCCAGGCGTCGCTGTCCAACTTCGTGGCCATGCGCCACTCGCGCGTGCAGGGCGAGAGGAGCGGCAACGTCTCGGTGGTCCCAGCCCAGGGGGGTACGCCTGGTACTGCTTCTTCCACGGGTGGTAGTGGCCTGGACGGCCGTGCTTCCAACGGTCTCGACTTTTCGGCTTCGACAAACGCCCTGTTCGCTCCTCCGCGCGTGGTGACTCTGATGGCTGCCGACCAGGAGGCTGCGTCGGCGGCCGAGTTTGCGCGTACGGCAGGCAAGCTCAAGCCCGTCCTGATCCAGGCTATTGACGAGGTGGTCAACGAGCTCGAGACGACACACGAGGACGTGGCCCGTGGCGCAAAAGAGCACATTCACAGCTCCGAGGTCATCCTCACGCTGGGCCACAGCCGCACTGTCGAGGCATTCCTCAAGGCAGCCTTTAGGGACCGCAAGTTCACCGTCATCGTCCTCGAGAGTGCCCCTTCGTACTTGGGCCAGCACATGGCCGCCAACCTCGCCCACCACGGCATCCCTACCCTCCTCGTCCCGGACAGCAGCTTGCACGCCGTCATGCCCCGTGTGACAAAGGTCCTCTTTGGCGCGCACAGCGTGTCGGCCAACGGCGGCCTGTTCGCCCTCGCCGGCTCGCTCGCGTGCGCTTTGGCCGCTCGTACTCACGCAAAGCCCGTTGTGGTCACGACCGGACAGTTCAAGTTCGCCCCCGTGTGGAACTTGTACCACGAGTTTGACGCGCTCGACTTCCAGGGCCCCGGCCCCGTCATTGGCTACGACCACGACGGCGGTGGCGGTGGCTATGAGGGTGTCGAGGTCACTGACCCCCACTACGACTACATTCGCCCCGAGCTCATCAACCTGTACGCCACAAACGTCGGAGACCACCCTCCGTCGTACATTTACCGCATCATCAAGGAGGCATACGACGACGAGGACATTGAGCTGTGATCGGCTGTGTTTCCATTTCGTTCCGTTGATGTTCACCTCTGTCCTCTCCAGACCAGTATATGTATGCAGGGTATATATCTATGCGAGATATTCTAGACCACGTCTTCAATGATGCTGTTCTCCAAGACCCAGCACGTCGCGCACTTTGCGGATCCGATTACTCTCCTCCCAAAACACCCATCCTTCCGGGTTTCCAGGGCCAAACTTGCGCTCCATGTCGATAAACGCCTTGGCCACCGCCTCGGGATCGCCGTTGGTGACACGGGACCAGCCAAGGAGGGTGCGGAACACCCACTGGTGGTGCGGGGCACGCGGGACGACCTTGTGTCCCTCGGGCGGGGACACGGACATGAACGCCGGCCACAAGTCATGGAGTGACTCGAGTGTCCAGAGCGTCGACCACCGAGGGTCCTTGACGGCCAGCTCTGCGCCGTCCTCCCGAAGAGACCACGGGTTGTCGACTGTGGCGAAATTGTTTGAATAGTCGGTGAGCGGGGGGAAAGCGTCGGCCGCGGCACCCGATGGCACCGATGGAATCACACCGTAGCGCGCAAACCCGTGGAACAAGTTGAGATAGTCCTGAACCGCCAGGTTCATTTCCGACGAGACAACCATCTGGAGGACCTCAAGACTGCCAGTGAGGTCTCCACGAGCGGCAAGGGCGTGCGCGACAATTGTGTAGGTGTACCGGTCGGGGTGAACAGAGGCGACCAAGTCGAACAGGGCAGGCGGCAGCGCCGTCTCGGGCACATTCATCTCGTCCAGCGACACGTTCCACTTGAGTGCGTCCCAGAGCATCACGAGGATGTCCATTCGGTTCTCCTTGGCCGCCATGGAGAGGACACAGTTGATGAGGACGATGGCATCGCTCTCTTGGACGACTTGAAGCCCAGTCTGGAGATGCGGCAGCATCTCGTCCAGCTCCTTTCCACGGCCCTTGCCGACCATAATAAGACGGGCAAGATGCGCATAGCTGTCGGTCGGGATTCCATCAGCGTGACGGCGTTCCCACCAGGCCTCGAAAGAAGCATAGTCGCACGTAATAGCAGACAGGTAGAGAATGTGGTTGACCGACATTGTGTACAGCTGACGCTCCTTGGTGCCTTCTGGAACAGAGGCCCAGAGGCTGTTGAAGTGGCGCTGAGCACGGCGGAGGTCGATGACGGACGGCTGACGCCTCTTACGCGCCTGGGACACAAGGAGGGGAAGCTCCAGACCCAGCTTGCCTTGCGGTCCCACCAAGTCGCCACGAGCGTGGTAGATGGTGTCCAGGCGGTCCTGTGCGGGTTTCCTCGCGCGACCTGCACGGCGGTCAAGAGTGTGTACCGCGAGAGCAGTGTTGCGCAGCTCTCCCGAGGTAAACATCGGCGAAGATGACGAGAGGTAGAGCTGGGTAAAGTCGGAGAAGATCTCACTCGAGTCCCAGCCGTCGGGTTTAAAAGTCTGAGACTGGAGATTGGACATCATGGACGAGCGCTGTCCTGAGGTGAGCGAGGGACGTGCAAGAGGTGGGGGAGGCGTGTTGAGGTCAAACGACCGGGGAAAGTATTTGAGTAGCCAGTCGTCGTGTTCTTGCGGCTTGTTCGAACCACTGGGAGGAAGAGGGATCGCGGCGTCCATCCCGTGCTGACCTTCGGCCGAGCGGCGGGCACAAGTGGCAAAACCCCTCGGACGCGAGGAGAGGACCTCGTAAAAGGCCGTCTGGGGCACGCTGATGTTGCCTGCCAGACTCTTGAGACGCTTCTTACCCTCCTTTTGCTTGTTCAGGTGCTTCATCTTGCGCTCATAGTGTCCACCATAGAGACCCGCGGTGACGTCCTTGCGCATGGCGGAGAGTGTCTCACGAGCAACAACCCTTGCTCCAACGGCCGCCTGGATGGCGAGCTCGAAGAGCTGGCGCGGAAGCACGTCCCTGAGCTTCTTGACCCATGCCTTGCCAATAGTCTGTGCAGCGTTGCGGTGCACAATCATTGACAGGGCGTCGACGGGCTTGCCGTTCAGGAGCATGTTGAGCTTGACAAGCTTGGACTCTTCGTAGCCGGCCTCTTCATAGTCAAACGAGGCGAAACCGGACGAGGCGCTCTTGAGCTCGGAGAAGAAGTCGGTGACAATCTCGGCAAGAGGAAGAGAGTATTTCAAGATCGCACGCTCAGAGCCCTCCATGTACTTGTACTCTTGTTGGACACCGCGGTAACGCGCGCAAAGGTCCATCATGTCGCCCAAGTAGTCGTTGGGCACGAAGATTGTCGCATTCACCATTGGCTCCTCGACACGGGTGACGCGTGTCCTCGTGTCGGTCGTGTCAGGAAACTCGGCAGGGTTCGAGATGAACACTTCCCTTCCGTCGTGGTAGACCACCTTGTACGGGACAGTCGGGGCAGTGACAATCACCTGTGACTGGTACTCGTCCTCGAGACGCTGGCGGAAAACGTCCATATGGAGGGTTCCCAGGAATCCCAGACGGAACCCTTGGCCCAAAGCGGCGGAGGTCTCGCGTTCAACTGACACACTGCGGTCGTTGAGTGTCAAGCGGTTGAGCGACTCCTCCAGCTGCACAAACTCGGACCCATCCAGGGGGAACACACCCGCATAGACCATGGCCTTCATGGGCTGGAAACCGGGAAGAGGCTCAACGGTATCGTTGGCCAGGCAGACGGTGTCGCCAATGAACGCTTCGTCCGAGTTCTTCATGTTGCAGACGACGTAGCCGACCTGGCCTTCGTTGAGCGAGTCGACAACCACCTCCTCCGGGTTGTACACGCCAACGTCGAGAATATCGTATTTTTTACCGGCTTGGATGAAACGGACCTTGTCGCCCTTCTTGATCGATCCCGAGACGATACGAACGAGCGAGACAACACCACGGAACCGGTCGTAAAAGGTGTCAAAGACCAGAGCTCGGAGCTTGTTGTCGCCTTGCCAGTTGGGTGGGGGCAGGCTGTCAATCACACGGTGCAACACATTGTCAACACCCAGACCACTCTTGGCCGAGATGCGCATGTGGTCCTCGACGGGGATACCCAGCGACCCGGCAATCTCGTTGGACGTCTCCTCGGGGTAGGCGTGCGCGAGGTCGACCTTGTTGATGACGGCGAGCATCTTTAGATCGGCTTCGAGCGCGACGTGGAACACGCTCAGTGTTTGCGCCTGAATACCCTGCGTGCAGTCGACTAGCAAAAGAGCACCTTCGCACGCTCCCAGTGAACGCGACACTTCGTAGCTGAAATCAACGTGACCAGGCGTGTCGATGAGGTTGACGAGATAGTCCTTGCCGTCAGTGTGCTTGAGGATGATGGAGACGGTCTGTGCCTTGACGGTGATACCGCGCTCGCGCTCGACTTTGAGCTTGTCCAAGAACTGAGGCGACGACTCTGGCGGCAGGGTGTTGGTCATCTGTGCGCGCGGGTCAGCACAATTCCAGTGACAACGAACCCACCTGAAGCAGACGGTCCGCGAGCGTCGATTTGCCGTGGTCAATATGGGCGATAATGGACAGGTTCCTAATACGCTCGGGAGGGAACTGGTCCATGTCTATCTTTCTCCTCTTGCGTTCTGGGACCTCGTTGAGGATGCGAGCAGACGAGGAAAAGCCGCGGACGGGGCCGAGATGAGGCAAGGCGGAAACAGCCGATGAGGAGGAGGCGACAGTAGAACGGGACGAGGGGCCGGAGCGGGCTGCAGAGAGGGATAACCGCTGCAGTGATGCGGATAGCACCCTGTGCTGTGGCAGTGGGAGCCTGGAAAGGGCCCGGACCTGCCTCATGGTGTTAATGTTGGTGGGTGGAGTGGACAATACAGAGTACAGAGTGGTAGGACAACCTCTCTCTGCTCTGAAATCGCAGGTCTCAGAACACGGAGTTTCTCAATCTCCGCGTTGTAATCACTTCCAGGCACATTAATCCCCACCTATTCAATTGTAATTCCCATTACAAAAGCGCTTGACGGACAAAATGCTTGCGTCATTTGTTGCGAGCACGCAACTTCCAGATATTCGGAGGCGGCACTCTACGCGGCGTCTGGCTGGGTGCTGTTCTCTTGTCAGCGACAACGTCTGCTTGCTCCTTCATCATCATCATCCCCCCATGTCGGTGCTCAGGTCAGCTCTCCGCCCCCTCGCCAGGACCATTGCCACTCGCGCATACGCCACCGAGGCGCGCTCGCGCGTCGTCGACGGCTTTGTCGGCGCGGTCGGCAACACTCCCCTTGTTAGTAGCCGGAAACGCAACAAAAGTCGTAGCCTGGCGGGGGTCCCGTGGAGAGAAAGTCAAAGAACAAGACGGCCTGTTTGCGTTTTGCTTTTTCTTCTCTCCTTTTACGTGACCTCCAGAGACACGATGAAGCATCCATTGTGATTAACGCGATACCCACAGATCCGCCTGAACAAGGTGTCTGAGGAGACTGGCGCCAACATTCTCGCCAAGGCCGAGTTCATGTCGCCCGGCGGTTCGATCAAGGACCGTGCGGCGCTCTACCTCGTCAAGGACGCCGAGGAGCGTGGCCAGCTGCGTGCCGGCGGAACCGTCGTCGAGGGCACTGCGGGCAACACTGGTATTGGTCTCGCGCACGTCTGCCGTGCCCGTGGCTACAAGTGTGTCATTTACATGCCCGACACTCAGTCGCAGGAGAAGATCGACCTTCTCCGCATGCTCGGCGCCGACGTCCGTCCCGTCCCTGCTGTTGCGTTTGACAACGAGATGAACTACAACCACCAGGCCCGCCGTTACGCCGAGTCGCTCGACAACGCCGTCTGGACCAACCAGTTTGACAACACTGCCAACCGTAACGCGCACATTGTCTCGACCGGCCCCGAGATCTGGGAGCAGACCGGCGGCAAGCTCGACGCGTTCGTCTGTGCCACCGGTACCGGCGGCACCCTCGCCGGCATCACCCGCTACCTCGTCGAGAAGTCCGAGGGCCGCGTCGAGTCGTACCTCGCCGACCCCCCCGGATCGGTGCTGTACAACCTCGTCGAGAACGGCAAGCTCGCCCGTGAGGGCAACGGCTCCATCACCGAGGGTATCGGACAGGGCCGCGTCACCGAGAACCTCAAGCCCGACCTTGAGCTCCTCTCGGGCGCCGTCTACGTTCCCGACGCCGAGTCGATCAAGATGATCTACCGCCTCCTCGACGAGGAGGGTCTTTACGTTGGCGCCTCATCCGCCCTCAACGTCTGGGCTGCCACCGAGGTCGCCAGGAAGAAGGGCAAGGGCTCCACCGTCGTCACTGTCATCGCCGATGGTGCTTACCGCTACCAGGCGCGTCTCTTCTCGCGTGTGTGGCTCGAGTCGAAGAACCTCATCCAGTACATCCCCGAGCACCTCCAGAAGTACATTGTCCTTCCTTAAAAAAAAAACGAAATCTCCGGAGGATAATAAACTTTAGGATCCGTTCTCTTAGTCACCGCAAGAACTCTCCATTGTCAACCAGAAAAAGGGAGAGGAAGTAGCAAGCAGGCTCCCCACGTACAGGGGGGGTGAGAGGTCTGTGCAGCAGTGGTATCAACATGCATTGTTTATGACACAACTACTAGCAAAGAGTACGTGTGTGTGGTGGTGCAGCGTGCCAGCGCCCAGTTCAGGAAACAGCCAAAAGGAGGACGAGGGAGGAGGGGGGTCGTACGGTGGGTGGGGTGTATTATGCTAATTAAAAAGGAGGGGAAGTCGGGTTATGTGGTGTCTCTAGTCCTTGCCGCCCCACTTCATCTTGAACCGACCCTTGAACGAGTCCTTCTTGGAGGATCCCTGGCCCGAGATGGACATGTTCTCAAACTGCTTAAGGTTGACGACGTTGGGGTTGCTGTTGGTCTGCTGCTGCTTCGAGTTCTTGCTAGAGTTCTTGCCTGCAGGCTGCTGCATCTGCTGGCCCGGAGGAGGACCAAGAGGTGGTGGGCCGACAGGCGGCTCCCAATGGCGAATGTCGAGGATCCTCTGGTACGCCATCGGCTGGCCCGGGTTGCGGTTTGGCCTGCCCGGCGCCTGGGGGTGGAGAGGCGCCGCGTTCGGGGGGTTGCCGCCAATGCCGCCGCGGCCAAGTGACTTGAGGTCCTTGAGAAAGCTCTCCGGGGTGACAATGTGGGTAGAACCGATAAAGATCTCCTTGCCAAGCTGCTTGCTGAGGACGTATGCCTGGCGAATCTCCGAGTGTGTCACGCCACCAGCAACAAAGATGATGTAGCGCTGCCTGTGCTGGCTGCGGTTGTCTGCACGTGCCGATGGCGCCTTTTGCCATGTCGGACGAGCAGAGCGGAGTGAGGTACCCGAGTTTTGCGCTTGAAGACCCGGGTGCTGAACGTAGCTTGAGGAACGGAGTGAACCGGATCCTGTCACGTCTGCTGGCACGTCACGCACAAAGGGGAACTGGTTCACGTCGAGGCGGTTGGCGTAGTGCTCCTCAGACATGATGCCCACCACTGGCTTGTACCGTGACAGCTCGTACTGGTCATCGCTGTTGACAAACTTCTGCTTGATGCGCGATCCACGGAACTTGCCGTCACCCTTGATGACCTTGACGCCGAGGTTGACGAGGTTGTTGATCATGTCCTGCTCGGTAATGGACAGGTTGGCGTGGCCGTACAGACGACGACGGTCCTCATCGGCGACACCGTCGCGGTAAATAATGTACAAGGCAATGATGCGCACCTTGTCGAGCGAGCTCATGTTCCGGTCATCGAGGAGGGGGACCATTTGCTCGACGACAGTCTTGGGCGTCTTGCCGTCGCCAGTGAAGCCAGTTCCACAGCATTGCTCGACGTTGGCGGTCAGGTTGAGGTGTTGCTTCTCAAAGATGGACATGCACTCTTGCGCCATGTCAATGTGGAGCGAAAACTGCTCGCGCTGGGTCTGGAACTGGGGCAAGTTGGCCAGCATGTCCTTGAGGTCGTTGACCTCGACGTTGGCCGCGTTACCGCGGAAGCCCGCGTGCTCTTGCGCAAACTTTCCAAAGTCGGTCATGAGGCGGTCGATAGCGTCCTTCATGTGCAAGTGGCGGACAGACACCCACACCTCGTCCTGCTCGGAAAGGATCGCCTCGCGCTCCTCCTTGACACCGACAGTGTTCTCAAACTTGTAGTGGTACTTTCTGCCGTCCTCAATCTTGAGCAAGTCGTTGACCATGGCCTGGTACCAGAACTCGTGCAGGAGTGGAGCGACGGGGTCCATGCTACGGTCCACGATAAAGAGCACCGCACGCGAGCGGTCCTGGTGGCCCGGCCAGTCGGGGTTGGAGGCCATGTAGGCATCCAGCTCGTTCTGCACCTGGACAGCAATCTTCTTGGACAGGTAGTCGCCCTGGACCTCGGGAGCGCGCTGGCCGCCAATGCCAGGCATGTTGCCCATGGCCGATCGCCAACGAAGCGAGTTGCCGCCGGCCTGCGCCGACTGGGAAGGTGCCGCCGCAGGTGCAGGCGACGGCGTCTGGAGCGACAGAGGACCGAGTGGGGCGTGGTGTGTGGGCTGGTAGTAGCGGATGTACGGGTTCTCGCCGAGCGTAGTGAGGACGTTGAGGATCTGCATTGTTCATCGTCAGTCTCAGTCTCCTTTCAACGCGCAGCAGCCGTCGTCCTTGCCCCTTTCACATACCGTGCGACCAGTGACGGTCATGTCATCGTGGAACGCCTCCAGAGCCAGGTCGCGCGCCACAGTACCGCCTGGAGTGCCGAACATGCTGTAAAAGGCCTGGGGGTGCTGCAGGCCGAACACGCGGTCCTCGAGTGCTGAGACGTCAGCTCCTGGTCCCCCCCCCCATACGACGACCCTAGCCCGACCGTGCCCCTCGACGGGTGCCCGTTCGACGCTGGAGCTCTCGGTCACTCACCCCAGAAGTTGCAGTACAGCTCGGTGAACGCCTTGAGCACACCAGAGGGACCAAGCGTGTCCGTGAGCCGCTGTGCTGGCCGGTCATCGATGCCTGTTGTCAGCTCGTCTTGCGTAACGTTGCGAGCTCACCATCGATGAAGTAGAGGTGTGCCGACTTGTACGTCTGGCGGCCCTGGAAGTCGGCAATGATACGCTCCACGTTCTGCGCTGTCGGAGTGAGAATGTAGAGACCGTCGACGGTCATGGGCTGGCGCGGGCTGTGCAGCGGCTCGACAGCTGAAGGAGGAGAGACACGGTATCAGGACGGGCTGTCTTCGGGAGTGGATGGCTGGTGGAGCCGACACGAGCAGCAGTGACCGCGACGCGAATGAGATCGCCTGCGCTCACCACCACTGGGTCGATCTCCATGCCAGACCTTGAACTCACAGGTCACGTTCATCTGCAGGAGCTCGGGGATGGTGTACACCTCATCGATGAGCTGCTGGCTGTAGTGGTCGGTGACGAGCGCCTTCCACGTCCCGGGAGGGATGGAGTTGATGGCGCTCGCAAAGCCTGCCTGTCAGCGACGGCATCGCAGCGATGGAGAGGGGGACATTGGATGCGCTGGTTGGGTCTGCATTCGCTGATGAGGTTGCAGCATGGCAGTATGACAAGATGCGGAGACGAGCACCGCCGCCGTCGGACGACCAGTGGCCGAGACGCCACGGCCGACCTGCCAGCTCGCGGGATGGCTAGAGCGACACCAGTGTTCACAGAGGCAACGTGCGATGGACACTTACGAGCGCGCAAGAGGTCCTTGAGGGGCATTTGAGGTGAATGGTGTTGGTGTTGAATCCAGTTGCAAAGTGCACAGATGGCGCGCGTCGACCCCCCCGGCCCGTTCGCTCGTTCACCGGCGTCATTGTGTCACGGCCATGGGCACACACGCCGCGGCACGGCCGGCCAGGCGGTGCCAGGGGCTCCCAACGTTGGTGCCGCTCCCCCCCTGGGTGGGCCCACTCCCAACGTCCATCGTCCCTGGTGGTTCTCCCCAGCCTGTGCTGCCACAGATGCGCACACAAGTCGACCGTGGTTACATGCATACTCCCCAGCCTTGGCCACCATAATCTCTCTCTCGCCCTTCCTGTCGTTGTGTTGTCTACATGAAACCTATTGACATTGTCCCGATGACGCATCTCGCCCACAACCCTCTCTCTATTCACAAAGGCTTGGTGTGGCACGCTAACGTCAACTATTGAAAGCGTGCGAGGCGCGCGGCACGAATCTCCTCTGTTTACAGTCAGCGCGCAGTCGCATTCGGATCAGTCGAGGCAGCTCGCAGCTCACCAGGCGTCAGGTCTTCCATGGGACCATCATAGTCGTCGTCAGAAACAATCTCCTCCTCTTCGGTCGCTTCTGGCGCAGGGGCAGCGATCACTGGGGCAGGCTCTGCAACAGGCGGTGTTGGTGTGGCGGTAGCAGCAGGGACAGGGAGCGGCTGCAGCGGCTTGAGCTCGGGCATGATAAAGTCGTCGGGAAGGTCGGCCATGCTGGCCTTGAGAGCAGCCTGGAGGGCCTCGTCCTCGTCGTCATAACTGCGCGAGTTGAACTGGAAATCGGTGGGCCCAGCGTACGCGTCGTGGCGGGCGGCGCTGAAGAGATGCTCGTCCTCGTCATCCTCACCTTCGCGCTCGAGGGGATAGTCGTCGTCGTCGTCCATCTGGGTCGAGTCAAGCATCATGCCAGTGCCGTCAAACACGTCCGCGGCAACAGGGCGAACGCGGGGGGTACGCGAGCGACTCGAGGGCTGGCTGCCGATCATGTCCTGCTCCTCGACATACTCGGACGAGAGGTCTTCCTGTCGCCGACGACGCCTGCCGGAACCCGCGGTCGCACCAAGGCCAGCCGCCTCGGCTGGCGTAGGGTCATCTGGGATGGTGTTGGACGCTGCAAGAGTTAGAACGTTGTGAACGGATGATGAACCAACTCACATCCTGGCTCGGCCCACTGCTCCCACTCGTTCACGGCAGCACCGGGACCTCCTGCACTAGAACGGCGGGTGGCCCCGCCGAGCTCAAGCGCCATGTCGTCGGCCGCAGCGGGAGGGAGGATAGCCACACCACCGTCCTCCCAGCCGGCCGCCTCGCCAGGGTCAATACCGGCAGTCTCTCCTGCACCTGTGCCGGCCTTGCGCACAGCAAAGACCGAGTATCCCTCAGCCTCGGCCTGCGTGATCACCATGTGGAGGTAGGTTGGCGAGATCCACTCGGGCGTTGGGAGGAACGAGTTAAGGTTGTACCACCGCGTGCGGGCGCCAAAGCGACGGAGGGTGAACCAGTGGCTAGCGAGGTTGAGGATGAATCCTGCCTGTTCTCTGGTGGGTGTTAGAATTGCAATGCCAAATAGTACCCACTCGGGCTTGTCCTGGAACGGCCTCATGGCCTCGCCTCGCCACCGCACGAGGGTGAGGTCCCACACCTGCAGCGCCTGCCCATTAGCTCTTACTCCAGTGATGGGTCTAAAACGCACAGTCTCGAGGACCGAAATGGAGAAGAAACCAGTGTCGTCATAGTTGTAGCTCTTGGTCGGCGGGGCGCGGTATGCGCTGGCCTGTTCGGCTTGGTCGAGTCTGTCGTCAGCTCACGTCAGAAGCCCGGGACGTCAACTCACTTGCGGGCAACGTCGGCAAGGTCAATCTCGGTATAGCACGGCTGCTGGAGGAGGTTGTTCAAGCAGTGTTGGGCACCTGGGCCATTAGTTATCGCTTACGCGGCACAGAGACAGGTTGTCCCTGTCGTCGGGAGTGGAACGGGACGCACACAGCTGGGACCCGGGCTCTTGCAGCTCGTGAAAGATGTCTGTGAACCAGTTCAGCAGTGTGTTGCAAACCAGGTGATATACAGTACGTACATGGTACGAGGTCCATGCTGTGAGTGATGGGGTGATGGGCGATGATAACAATGCAATGTTGAAAGAACGTGCTGGTTACTCGTGCACCTCGACGTCACCGTATCTGGGCTTGGCCTCCACCCGGCCATTTAGATCCCGCTGGCTGGTGTTTCGGCTCAAATGTCAACAAAACGGGGGGACGAGATGAGAGATCCAAGCTCGATAGCTCGATGATCGATGACGAGAGAGCTCTATGCATTAGAAGAAGACGGGAGAAGGGATTGTCCTTGCGTAAGCTCACGTTTATTCTCTTTACCATTGTGACAAGAGGACGACCGCGTTCTGACGGTGGTGCACTACGGGGCCTGGGCCGCGGAGCGGCTTGTCGGTCTGCCACAGCTGTGTGCAAGGAGGGAAGGTGACAAGGAGGACAATGAGCAAAGCCCTAACATTCTCGTCTGACTCCCTCGTGTACATCCACCACGCACGTTCTCGCCGTCGACGCAACGTCAGTGCTCGTCGTCGCTGCCGTAGTCCATCACCACGCCGCCGCTCATCTGAGTGATTTGCTCCCGCTCCGAGCGCCCACACGGTGCTTTCCGTCGCCGTTGCCCGATTCTCTCCATCTTCACTCCCTCCACCACAAGTCACACCCAACCCACACCCGTCACCATGACCTCACCCATGCCCGCCGACAACCCCGTGGAGCACAAGCCATACACCTACTGGCAGCACGGATGGGACAAGTGCAAGCAGCAGCCCTTTGTCCCAATAGGCGCGGCGGCCACGACCGTCGCGCTCCTCGGAGCCACTGCGTCGCTGCGTTCCGGTAACCGTCAGCGGTTCCAGACGTTCCTCCGTCTGCGTGTCGTGTGAGTTGCATAACCTTACCCATTCTGGAGCCCAACTGACACAACACCCAGCGCACAGGGTGTCACCGTCCTTGCCATGGTCGTTGGCGCGTACTTTCTCACAAACAAGGCCGAGGAGGCAAAGGAGGCTCGCCACCGTGCGCTTATTGGTAAGTCCACCACCAGCGTCCATCCGCCCCGGTCCGCCCCCAAGCTCCAGAGACTAACCTGCAGGCCTGCCACCCCCAGAACGCCCGGTCGTCGACGACAACGCGCACCTGTACCCGACGCGTAACAAGACCAAGGTGTCCGACTTTACCAGCCGCCTTCGCGACGCCGAAAAGCAGCAGGCGATCGACGACGCGGCTGCCACCAAGGACAAGATTGCCGCTGCCAAGAACGAGTAAACAAGCAAGAAGTGGGGGGAAAGAGCCGGAGAGAGCTCAGTGTACTCGTAATGTCGTTCCATTTCTTCAATGCATATATCATTCGGCCGCACGGGGTGGGATGGGATGGGATACGATGATGACCGATGACCCGTTTCCCATGTGCCCGGCGGCGACGAGCGTCGTCGGCCCTGACCGTGGCGTTCAAAAGGCGACTGTCATCGACCTGTGGTCTACATCTATATGGTGTGTGCTAATATTCATACAGTAAATAAAATGCCCTCTAGTTGTACCCGTTGCACCACCTGTTGCCCCAGATGTCCGTGGACGGCCACCCCGTGCTTGTAGTCCCGTCCGGGTCACTGTCTTCGCTGCCGATAAACGCATAGCTCTCGTTTGCGTTGAAGTGGCGGTGTGGACAGATAAAGCCCAAGTTGTAGTTTGGGCACGCGCGGTCCACGGCCGTGCACACCGAGATGCACGGCTGGAGCTCGACGTAGTCGTACTCGTACGCTGGCAAGGATGGGTTTCGCGGTTCGTCGACGGTGCGGTTGACCGTAAATGGCCCTTGGGGAGCTGGGGAGGCGCCCGTGTCGGAAAAGTTGGACGGGTTGGTCGGCGCGCACTGCGGTAGCATGATCCTGCAAAGCCAGTCGCGGTATGCGGTGTGGCAGTCGAGACAGGACGACACAAATGAATAATAGTCTCGCCCACAGACGAGACCGGTGGCCTGTATCGAGGTCTGGAACGAGTTTAAAAAGTTTGTCAGGTTGCCCATGAAGGCGTCAGGGATCTCGGTCACAGGCGAAGCGCTTAGCGGTGCGATGGGAGATGCGTAGCCGATACCGGGACACGTGTCGGTGGGGAGCACAAGAGGACACGGAAAGTCGTCTGTGGCGGTCAGTTGTGTTTTCCTGCTACAGCCTCAACTCACTGCTCTTGGTGACAAACCACGCTGGCGATGTGATTGTCTGTGTCTCGTCGTCGTACACCCAGAAAGTGTAATTCGTGTTTGCTTGCAGACCGTCGACGACAAAGTACGTCCTGAACCCTTCCACCCCGCCGATACGCAGCCACTTGGTCTCGGTGAGGAAAGCCGAGGCCTCGATGGTGTTGTCGAACGCGAGGGCTATGGCTGCAATCGAGTTGCCCAGGCCTTGGTCGATGGGTGACTTGTCGGTCGGGACAATCGCGACAGTCAAGTTGGGTGAGGTGCCAAAGTAGGACGTGTCGTTGTAGTCTCCTGCTGCCCAAATTGGGTCCCACTCTGGTCTTGACAAGGTGGCCGGGGGAAGAGTGTAGTTGGGATACGTCGGCTGGATCATTGGGTCCGCATACAGGAGCGGGGAGAAAATGAGAACCGAGTCGTTGGTCGAGTCTCCTAGTAAGGGCGACGAAGTTGCAAGGCCAGGGATAATGCCGGACTCGTCTGTGACGTTAGCTGCGTTTCCAATCAACCCAACTCACAGTCCTGCACAACGTTGAGGGTGATTATGGCGTTTCCACCATAGATGGACGAATTGTCTATTGAATAGTCACTGTCGATTCCCCTTCCTATCAAGAACGAAGGTTGCACTGGGTCACCAGTTTGTGTATCGCCCGTGTTGATGTTGAGCCCATATGTCCAGTTGGCAAACCCTTGGTCCCAGACCACCTCCCACGTAGTGCCAGATTTCAGGTTGTATCCTCCAGAGCTAGTACCACCACTGGACGAGTCTCTGGACGTGCGACCCATGGAATAGTCGTACGGCTTGGCAATGTCGACAAATACACTGGGGATCTCGCTGGTGTTGGACCCCAACTGCGCAATGTTGAGGGTCACTGCCACGCTGGTCAGGTTGGCCGGCCACTGCACCACGACGACGGGGTTTGTCTTGTTCAGATATGGCAGAGTGAGGTTCCCGTTGAGCGTTGTAATGTTCACTGTCGGTGCGCCTTCCCAGGCTGACTTGGTCGTGCTAGCCACAGACGAGGTCTTGGCGGCTGACGACGACGACGACGACGTCATTGTGCTGTTTGTCGCTGTTGACGTGGCCAACGAGGTGATGGTCGAGGACGCGGCAGACGCTGTCACTGTTGAGGACGAGTCCCCAAAGCTGGACGCGCTCGCTGTCGCTGCTGACGTAGCGTCTTGTGCGGCGACGAGCGGGAGGGCCAGCAGCAGCAGCAACAATGCCGCGACGAGCAGACCCCACTGCATGCGGAAGGGGGTGTTGGACGCCATGCGTCTTTTGTGTGGGCGAAAGGGTAGTAGTCGTGGGTCGTCCGAGGCCATTGGGGGTGCAGACCTAGGCCCAAGTCATGGCCAATGCTGAGTGAGAGGGGAGATTTGTGTGTTGCATGCAGTGCACATCGTGACCACTGGAGGCGCATGGATATGCACAGCCAGCGAGGGTGTGAGGCTGACACCTGACAAGACACGGAGATTGATGTGTGCATCTCCGTGTCAGCCTGACACTTGTTTGCCTGTGGTTGTACGGGGCACTCTCGGGGCACACCGTGGTGCATGTGTTGGCCCCGGGCCGCCGGGGGTGTGGGTTGGGTGTGTGGTGGGTTGGATCTGTCTGTTGTCTTGTTTCCTCGTCGGCAACCCATCATTTTCCCTCTGCTCGTCGCTCGCATCAACACAAACACATCCACCGGCACAGCACTCGCCCCAAGCAGCAGCCGCCCCCACCGCCTACCGGATCGCACAGTCCCACCACGCGCCCTCTGCCCAGCCGCAATCTCACGCCTGCATAGGGAGCCCACCACGACCTTGGCCTGTCCCACTGGCGCTGGTTCTCGTGCGATCCGCACCCCCATCCTGCCCCCTTCTCTCGCCCCGCACGTTCCACTCTCAGTCGCATCCTTCCCTCGTCCCAACAGCTTGAGCACTGGCCCCCGCGCCTCACCGCCGCCATGCCGCGCACACGGAAACAGCGCACGACCACGCTCTACCTGCCTCCGCCAGACCTCGAGTCGGCAGAGCGGGCAGCAGCATCAACAACACCCTCTCAACCACCTTCACTCGAGGTCCTCCTCATGGCACAGCAGATAGCTCATTCACGAGGCCATACGTTTGACATTGACTCGTTCCTCGCGCCCGAGCAGCGCGACGAGTACATTGCGCTGCTGGCAGAGGAAGGAGCCAGTGCCCACACGGCTCCCTCCGTCACTGAACCGACAGAGCCCGCCGAGCTGCCAGACGCCGACACGGCCGCCGAGGCCACCGACGACGAGTTTGACGAGCCCAACGGACGACCATCCAAGCGTCTGCGGATAGGACCGCATACCCCTCTCGCTCAGGTGTACTGGAAGCAACGAATGGATCGACTGGGGCTGGCAGGCCATGCCCGTCGAAGTGCAACTCCAGGAGGACCCAGTTCCGCCACGCCAAAGGTCAAGGCCGATCCCGATGAGCCTGGAACAGCAGCACCGTCTCCAGCACCCACTCCAGGAGGTACTCCTTCACGAAAGGACCACTCGGCACCTCCTCGGCCACTGACCGTCGCCGAGCGTGTCGACATCCAGGGCTCTGCCTCGTACTGGTGAGTTGAACGGGCACTCTTGTCAATTTCTAACTCTTTAGGAACCACCTCCTTATCCAGGCGCGAGCATCTCGTGGTCCACAATGGGACTACAACACCCAACTCTTGCAGTTTGACCGGGGTGCCCCCGAATACTACAGCCAGGGAATGTCACCACCCGCGACTCCACCTCCGCGCTCGCCCAAGAAGCTCCCAACCGAGGCAGCTGGGGCTGGCCCGTCGGGGTCTGTACCAGTACCTAGCCGTGAAGCTCCCAACGGTACACCAAATGGAGAGGCCAGCCCTGCTGGCAGCGCCAACGCAGCACTGCCGGGCGCCACTCCTGGTAGCGGTCGTCCGTCTTCCTCTGGCGGTCGGCCGCCTGGGACCAACCAGTTCTTCCCACAAGGCGCGTCACCCCTCGCCAACTCGCAGCAGCTGCAGATGAACCTCCGTCTTGCACAGGCCCAGCAGCAGGCCACCGCCCAGGCCCAGCAACAGCAGGCCCAGCAACAGGCCCAGCAGGCCGCCGCGCGCTCGGCAGCTGTTCAGCAACAGGCCCAGCAACACGCTCAGCAACAGGCCCAGCAGGCCCAGCAGGCCCAGCAGGCGCAACAGGCTCAGGCCCAGCAGGCGGCCCAGCTCGCCCAGCAGCAACGCCTCGCTCAGCAGCAGGCCGCGGTACAGGCTCAGCAGCAGGCCCAGCAAGCCCGAGAGCAGCAGGCCCAACAGCAGCAGGCCCAGCAACAGCAAGCCCAGCAGGCCCAGCAGCAGCAACAGTCCCAGCAGCAAACCTCGCAAGCGCAGGCTCAGGCCCAGGCGCAAGTCCAGGCCCAGGCGCTCGCCATCGGCCAGGCAAACGAGCACGGGTTCAACCTCAACCCGTCAATGCTGCACATGCAGTCCCCGACACACACGCACATGAGCGGCATCAACCCCATGGCCCTCATGGGCGGCGGCGGCGGCGGTGGTGGTGGTGGAGGAGGCGGCGGCGGGATGCCACAGGGCATGAACATGAGTCCCGGGGCCGCTGGCGCTGCGGGCGGAGGCCAGTTTGGCGGCGGGGCAGGCGCGGGACCGATGATTGGCGGCGGGCCGATGTTGGCCGGTGGGTGGGGTGAGGGGACGTTTACGTCGTGAGCCGGGAGGAGAAGAAAGAAGAAGAAACTAGTCGAGAGAAGAGCCAGGATCGGATGTGGGTGTGGGTGTGGGTGTGGGTGTTGTGGAAGCTCATGTTCATGGACCAAGTCAATTCCTCATGGGTCATTAGGTTGTTCGCGTGTATCGCATCATATGCACGCTTTGTGGATTGGAGGGGTTGCTGCCAGCGGCGGTGCGTTGTTGCAACAGACGGGTGCTGATAAAGGGTGGACATGATCGTTGGGCGCCAGTCACCGACACTGACAGGTTGTTGCCCCCGTGTGCCTTCCACTGGCCACTGGTCATTGTATGTATGCATTGTCTGCAGCTTTCCGCTCCCATGCATGGTATCCTGCTCCATGAGTGACCTTGGGGCAGTCTGCCGCCCCCGCCGCTAGCTGCGCGGCGCACTTGGAAGACCCACTGCGGCGCCAACAACAACAAAACGCCTCTTCTCTCCCCCTTTGTGCGTTTTCACTCTTCACCGCTGCGCCGATCAGTATATGACCGCACCCGTTCCCCCTCATTCATCAGCTGTCAAGGCTTCGGGAAGGTGTTTACTCACTCTCACGGAACTCCTCGCTTCAGCGCGCCCTTTGTACGCCTCTTGTCTCCTCTAGCACCAGTGTTCAAGCCCCACCAGAGTCTCATGACTTTGCCTGTTGGTTTAACTGTTCTTGGTGATCAGGCTGGTAATCCGATTGCGAAAGTAATCGGCGGATAGGCCGGAAACGGATCAATCTGGCCAGTCTGGCATTGGTGCTCCAAGAGAATTGGACGGGCGTAGGCGCGCAGAGCGAGCCGGGTAGTCACCAACTTTTTGCGGTTTGTCGCGTTCTTTTATTTATTTCTTCGTTTTTGTTTGGGGGTTGAGCGGTTGTGTCAGGCTACTTGACGATGTCAATGTCTGTCTGCTGTTTGTTTCACGGATTTATTCTTGGTCATTGGAGTCAGTTCAGTGTGACAGTGAACGCAAAAGTGACAGCCAGCAGTTGGCACACAAGTATTGTTTGTTTGTTTGTTTCGGTTGGTTAATGGTAAACAAAAAGTATGAAGGCCTGCCATCGAGCGTGCTCACTGACCACACACGTTGACGCAAATGATGCCAACAACAGGCAACGGCATAACAGTAGGAAAGACTTGACAGCCGTATATCAGTGTCCCGTGACACTTTCCGAGCATGAAGCGAACGATCACGAAACGGCTCCTGGGCAGCTGCAGACGATTGCATCGTTCGTCATGCTAAACACATTACGGGCTCTACGTTTCTCAATGGTACAATGGGGTCTCTGTGGGTGTGGGGGAACTCTGGTCGCTGTGGCAAAAGCGGTGGAGAAAGAGGAGGGGGCACGAGAATGAAATAAATAAATGGAAAAGAGAGAAATGGGACAATGAAATATGCACATTAAAAACGGGAGAAGGGGGCATGAGGTGGACGTGTACGTGGTCTTGGCGTGGCGTGACGTGAGGTCTTTTCTTACAGGATCAGACCGAAAGGGCGCCGTCGGAACGAGAAAAGCGCGAGGGGGCGGCGAGAACCATGGCGCTGACGAGGGCGGGGTACTGGAGGAGCTCGGCAAAGGCCGCTTCGTCCTCGGTGTCGAGGCTGTTCACATAGTCGCGAATGCAGGAAAGCAGGCGGCTCTTGGGGCCCAGGGAAGGCGCCTGTATTGTCAGTTACAACAACCTCGGAACATGCAACTCACGACCACCATTTTGCCCACACGGCGGATGAGCTCAGTCTTGCTGGGCTGGTTGAACTGGTGCCAGCCGGGTGGCTTGGCGAGGCTGAGCTTGTCGAGAAGGTGGTCACCACCGCGTGCGAGGTGGTCAAGAACCTTATTGGGCGGCATGGCAGCCAGCGTCGTGAGAGTGAGGTCGTCGAGAGACATGGCGTCGAAGAGAGCAGACGTCACGTCCTCGTCAATCTTGGGGAGCGGACGGTCGGCGCGGGACGAGGGCGAGGGTGCCAATGAACGCACACGCTGGTGAGGAGGCGTGTAGACGAGACGCTCAACACTGTCGTACCTAGCCTTGTCAACTGGCGTGGCCACGGATTCAGACTCGGAAGAGCTCTCGGCTGTGGACGAAGCTGTCCTCTCCATCTCTGGCAAGGCGGGTTCCGACTTGGACTCGTCATCGGGCTTGACGGTATGCTCTGGCTTGGCGGGGAGCACTTGTGCGGAGGGACCGTGCGAGTCGGGATGGCGCCTGTTCATGGGACCACTCTGGTTGGGGGCCTGACCACGTCCACGACCGCGACCACGGCCGTTCTTGACCTGAGCGTTGCCGATAACACGAGGAGGTGGGAAGAGGGGCTCGTGGTAGGACACGGAGAGAAGGCCGTTGCCAAGCGCGACACCGTTCATCTGGGCGAGAGCACGAGCGGCTGAATGAAGTCAGCGCGCCATTCTCGGATAAGCACGTACCTTCAGTAGGCTCGAGGAAGGAGACAAAGCCAAAGCCGCGCGACCTGCCATAGCCGTCGCGCATGATGCGAGCGTTGATAACGTGGCCGTACGGCGCAAAGACGCTGAGCAGGTACGGTCCAGCAATATCGGGGTCCAGGTTCTGGGAATCAGCAGGTGCCACACAGGGGGCAGACTCACCTTGACAATCAGGTTGCAGTAGTCGACCAGACCAGACGAGCTGCTAGAACCGGGGCCCATCTTGGGCGCCGGCTGGATCTGCTGGCCGGGGCCATGCTGGATGACTGTGCCGTCCTCCGACACGATCCCACCTGGCACCTCCTTCCAGCGCCTAGACGACTTGCTGTTGCGGCGGGGCTTGGACCCGAAGGGACCGCCGTTGTTGCCCCCATCGCCGGGCAAGCGCTCCGAGACAGCCCATGGAGGCGACACGGGGAGAGTCGCAGCACGGTTGTGCATGGCCCACGGAGCAGTGAAGCGCTGAACACCGGGCTGAGGCGGGGAGGGAGGTGGCACCATGTTGACGGTACCGCCCGTGGCGGGTAAGGTCTGACCAGAGCCAGGGGCGAAACTGCCTGGGTGAGGCACGTACGTCGCGTTTGCAAGCTGCTGGCTGGAGGTGGTTGCTGGCGAGCCCATCTGCGAAGGGGGACCGGTAGCCGCGTCGCCGTCGAGTGGGGTGCCGGCAGCCTGCTGAGGGACAGGGGTGGCCGAGGTAGGACCAGGCAGCGGCGATGGCGATTGAGCCTGGGCAGGCGGACGGTGAGGCAACTGATGCACCTGGCCAAAGTGGGGCCGAGGAGGAAGGCCTGCCGGGTGTTCGAAAGGCGTTCCAAGGGGAGGCATGCCATGACCCATCACAGGCGAGCCAAAGTGCGAGTTGAACGGGGCAGGCGACATGACGGGGGAACCAAGTGGCATAAGCGGCTGCTGGAACGGAAGTGGCGCCATGGTGATGTATGATGGGTCGCGGCGAATGTCACTGAGGGTTAGCCCTTACTACAGTCAAAGAAACTCACACTTGCCAGCCCATGAGGACCTGCGAGTTGGCAAAGCCAGCTTCAAACCTCTGGGCTTCGTCCTCGTACCAGAACTCGACCCTGGCCCTCCAGCGCATCTCGCTGGGGGGACCGGACGCGTCTGGCTGGCTGACTTCGAGGATGACGGAGACCTCACGGATTGAGCCCCATGGGCGAACACAGTCATAGACCTGGCCCTCGGTGGGGACACCCCCGCGCCCGGCAGGGTCAACAAACTTGACGGGACGAATAAGCCGAGGTGCAACAGGTGCAGGAGGAAGTGGGTGGCTGTTGGGCGGCGAGAACGGCGACACGAGCACATTGCGGTTGCCAACGAGGTATGGGTGGCGAACGAGAAGCGAGAGAGCCTTTTCGGCTTTCCTGTCAGCAGTCGAGTCTCGCAAAGCGCGGCTTACCATCGTACGCCGAGTTGAACTCCACACAGCCTTACACGTCAGTCAAGTGTCCGTTGAGGTGTGCTCTCACCATTCTTCGTCATCCACGTGTAATACGCGTCAGGCCAGAGACGCTCGACTGGCTGGACAGCGTCTGGAATGCCGACAGAACCAGTGGGGATGCCCTGGCGCTTCAAGACTTCAACAATGTCGTTGTCACGGATGTCGGTCGGGACATGGCTGAGGTACAAGACGGGGTGCACCTAAAGCTGTCAGCTGCCTGGCTGTCGTCGTCGTGGGTCTCCCCTGAAACGTACCAAGTATGGGTGCGGGCGAGGCAGGACCTGGCCGTTGGGGGTGACGGGCGGGGGAGGAGGAAGATGAGAAGGTGCGCCGGGGAAGAATCCCAAAGCAGTGGGTGGGCCGTTGAAGGCGTCCATGGTTGGGTGATGAGCGAACGGAGGACCAGGATGAGGAAAGGGAGGTGGAGGGAGGGGGAAGGCGTCACCCCAGGGGGTCTGAGCGAGGCCATGGCCCATGCCATGGTCGAGTGGGGCAAGCGGGGGTGGCTGCATGTTGCCACTGCTCATAGGGAAGGCCGAGGGGTGAGGGAAGGCAGAGCCGACGGGATAAGAGAAGGGACGAGGCTGCTGCTGATCGGCGGCGGTCATGATGTGGGGAGGAGGAGGAGGAGGGAGAGCAAGTGGAGGACCAGGCTGGTGCGCATTGATGGGGAAAAGGGGGTCGGTGGTCCACTCATCCGTCTCTGTCGAGCCCGTAGAGTGAGGAGGAGGGGCGGTGGGGAGCAAGGCAGGCAGATGAGCAACGCTCGTCGGTGCCGCCATGGTGGTCGAGGGCCAAGGAGGAAGGAGGTGTCACTGTCGTGTCAGCACAAGCCGGAACGTGTACGGAAGGGCAGGGGGAGGAGGATGGAGGGCACGCGCGACCGTCATGCAGCTGTCTGCTCCGAGCAAGAGAGGACGAGAAGGGGAACTCACCGGGCAGTAGTGACTCACACGCACAGTGCAGGTCGAGCTGGTTTTGGGTGGCCAGTGGCCAGAAAGTGGGGGAGTGGAGGTGGAGGCCTCGGGAGAGAGAGAGCCTGAGGGGGCCGTGGATGGGTGCAGTTTCAAGGACGACGATGGACGTGGGAGAGAGCGAGGAGGAGACGATGTGGAAGGAGGGAAGGTGTGAGAGAATGGCCAAAGGATGATGGAGGGAAGGGAGAACGAGAGTGTGTGTGTGGTGTAAGAAAAACACAGTCAACCGTTTCCTCGGTCTCTCCACCGCCAGCGGCTGCGGTGGGCGGCGGAACGGCGAGACGGGGGCGTGTGTGGATCGGCACACATGCAACAGATCACTGGCACACAACACCACAGGCCACAGGCCACACATGCAACACACATGCACACAGCTCCAGCCCCCTCCACGGCTCCTGGGACTGCGTCCACGAGTGCAAGGAAGACGATGGCCTGCTCGCCCAGGACGACGACGGCCAAAAGTATGTCATGACGGCTATGCCCGTACGCGAATGATAAGAACGCGTCTCCAAGGGTTTTGGCGAAACGGCACGCGTCGGCTGTCGCGGATGGCGGCACTGCTGCGCCAATCCCCCACCTCCTCGTTGTACTCCCTACGCGTGCGCTGGTGGCCAGCAGAGTGCACCCCACGCACATCTATAGCCCACCGGTGGGCGCTTGTTCGTCGTGTGGCCTGTGGGGGTCCGTGCGCAGACACACAAGGGGACGTTGTCTTGTCGTCCAGCTCATTGCACCAGGCCGGAAGCTTCACGATCTCTCTCCATTCTCCGCCTAATTCTCCGTGCAATATCCGCGATCTGGCTGGGACCAGAGAACTGCACTGAGGATATCTGATCACCGGATCACGGGATGACTGGAGCACAAGGCACTCAATCCACTGGCTACAATGCTACGACATGCAGAGGCAGGCCGTGGTGACTTGCTTCTCGCACAGTACAACAGGGATATTCGGCAAAGGCTGGCTAGCGAATGTTATACGCGGCTCTCAAGCGCCGCGCCTCGCCTCGTGCAAGCCAGGACCACCTCCACCTCACCACCCTCAGCCCCACTCGCACCCACGTGCACCCCTCCACGTCTCGCTTTCTGGTACACACCCTCTCACGAATACGTCTGCTCCGGGCCAGCGACAGTCTCGACAGCATGGTGCCCCTTGCTTTGGCGACTGCAAGGGCAGTGTTCTGCTCGCTGCTCTGCGCGGCTGGGCCACTGAAACGGTGGTTGATTTCTGACGAGCTGCAGCTGCTGGATGCCAATCACATGTAACGCGACTGCACGACGACGGGCTAGTGGGGGCTTCACTCTCCATTACATTTCACACCACATTGTACATGTGTAGCGGCTGGGGAGGAGCTTACTGCTCGTAGACCCACTTGGCGGAGTCGAGCTGGTACTCGGTGACACCGTTGGGGAACCAGAGGTCGATCTGTTGGCAAATGTTAGTATGGGGGGTACTGGCGCTCGACCTATCGGCATCTCATCTCGTCCACGTACCTCCTTCTGGGCCGACTCCTGGCTGTCCGAGCCGTGGATGAGGTTGGAGCCCATGTCGATGCAGAAGTCACCACGGATGGTGCCGGGGGCCGAGGCGGTGGGGTTGGTCTGGCCAAGGAGCTGGCGGCCGAGCGAAGCGGCACCGCGGCCCTCCCAGACCATGGCGACGACGGGGCCCGAGGTCACTGCGCGGTGTCAGAAGAGGCAAAACTGGCCAAAAGGAAACCCCGCATGCATGTACGTACTGTACTTGATGAGCGAGGGGAAGAAGGGCTTCGAGGCGAGGTCCGAGTAGTGCTTCTCGAGGTGCTCCTTCGAGGGCGACTCGACCTTGATGGCGACGAGCTTGAGGCCACGACGCTCGAAGCGAGAGATGATCTCGCCGACGAGGCCGCGCTGGACGCCGTCGGGCTTGATCATGATGTAGGTGCGGTCGGAGACGGACATTGTTGTTTTGGTTGTTTTGGTGGTGTTGTGGTGAAACCAAGAGATGCAAGATGCTGCAGAAAAGTTTGACCCTTCCGCGACGTGGCGGGACGCGGCCAGCGAAATCAGGTCTGGACGGGATCGAATTGGGTCTGCACCGTGGGGAAGGGCTGGGCCGGGACGACAAGAGCGGGGGGGGGCGACCGTGGGAGAATGGACTGCTGGTGGAGCGCGGGGACTCCACAACTGGTTATCGTCGGATATAATAGTTTCCGATTTGCCGGCGGCGGGGGACGTGTGCCTGCTTCGACGGACTGGCGACTGTGCGACGGAGAGCGGTGAAGGGGAGCGCGGAGATGACTTGCTATGGGGGGTTGATGTCGGAGAGCCCCCAGGAGACCGTCATGGTCGTATAGTGTGTACAGTATAGTGTATAGGGTTCAGAGTCCAGCACGGCCGCCAGTGCTGCCAGTGCCGCTCTGCCTGCTGCGCTGCGAATCGCGGACGTGTGTCTCCTGAACGCCAGCCCGGAAAGACTAAATGGGTGCCTAACTTCTATTCTATCGCACATGCCGGAGCCTCCAAAGATCCAAAGATTGCTCAGTCGCCATGTGTGGGGGTGGGGCCTTGCGCCGTTGACGTATACACCTTTTGACAGAAACAGAGATCAGAGAGCTGTGATATGCTTTGTGTATTCGGAGAGGTCTCGGTTCTGTGCTGCGGGCCGACAGACGCGCCCGGCGCGTCGGCCTATGTATAATAAACACGGGGTGCTTTAACTCTGTACTCTGGATGGGCCATCAGGGGTGGAGGGGGAGATGAATTGTACCATTCTGGCGACTGACCTGAATGACTGCGCCAAACGTTGACCACCAGGAGGCTAAAAAAGGGATCCAGCCTCTGCGCGCCTCTGCAGAGCCTGACGACGCACACACAACTCTCTGCAATTATCTGCAAACGCAACATTGCTGCTCTCCTGTGCACGACAGGGGGGGGAGAGAGAAGGACACAAATGGGCTTTCAGGAGTGAGACATTCTCGCGGCATTTGACGCACACATCCATTTTAAAGGCGGAAATTAGGACACATTCCCTCTCCGGGGGCGCGGGCGTCGACGTCCTTGGCCATTGTGCCCATTTGGCGCCTCGCTGCCTCTGATCCCTCGGAGGATCTGTGGCGAAAAGGGAGAGATGAGAGAAAGGATCAGCATGTGAGCACACATCCCTCTGGCGTATGGCCTCTGGCCTCTGCTGGCCTACATCGCCTGGAGAGCCCAGGTAGAGCCCCAGGCAGCTCACAGCCTGCATGCAGCGAGCTCCCAGCGTCAAAACAGACTGGACGCGTTCACACATCCTTCCTCTCACTCCTCTCCACACTCACGCATCATGTTCGACTCGCGAACGCTCGCCAGCATGCTCCGGTTCAACCGCGTCGGCAGCTTGCTCGTCGCCGTCGTACTGATCTTCGTCCTCCACACGGCCCTCGGTCCATCCTCGATTTCAGAGAGCGCGTCCCCTCCCGCCTCGGACATGGCACCCTCTGCCGCCGTTGTTCACCAGCAGCAGCAACCAAGGAGCCTCGACAGGCCGCAAGAGGTCCTTGCCGTGCCGCAAGAGTCGCTCGAACACCCACTACGCACCGCCAACCAGGATGTCGACTTTGAACACCTGGACATTAGTACCGAGGGCTTCGTCACCTATGACCCTTCCCAAACGGCACACCCCATCCAGCTCCTCATCGACCGCGGCAAGCAGCACTGGGCTCAGATCAAGTCTCGTATCGACAAGGTCCGTTACCTCGACGATGCCACCGCCGACTATGAAGCAGCGTACAAGATGAAGCCTCCCCTCGGGTTTGATAAGTGGTGCGTGCACTGGTGCCTCGGAGAGATCACGCTCCGAGATCCAAGATCTCCCTTCCGGCACGCCACCTGCTGACTGCTTGTGCGCAATGTAGGTTCCAGTACGTCCAGTCCAACGACGGCGTCAAGGCCGCGTCGCTGTATCCGATGGCCCAGCTTCCGTTTGTCCAGTACCTGTCCATCTCGGGCAAGGAGCTACGCAAACGGATCAAGGCGCAGAACGAAAAGCCCATGATGTACACCCTCATCTTTGTCCCCGATGGCCAAGGCGACCAGGGAACCCAATGCGACGAGGATGGACAGTGGTTCCCCGAGGACGGCAAGACCCGCGGCCGTGGCCGCGTCAAGGTGTCTGGCCCGCTCGCATGGTCGTGGCGCTGCAAGTGAGTGCTATGCGTGTCTTGTTGCGCCCCCGAGGTCATGTCATGGTAGCTGACGCACGCAGCAACACTTTGAACCTCATGCTGCCAATTTTGCCCAAGTTCCCCGACGACTTCTTCAACCGCGACCCCCCTCTCGAGATGCTGTTCAACACCGACGACGGACCCCGCAGCATGGTTACGTGAGTAGCCTCCCTTCCCTTTGCACCAATGTGCCAAAAGCTTATCACTGACGACGCAGTCACGACTTTAGGGAGCGCGCTGAAGTTTACGGCGCGTCAGGCAAAAGTAAGTTTCATTGACCATTGCACGACTTTGGCATAGCCGGGGGACTAACCAATTTCCAGCCTGGCCCGATGCGCAGCTCAAGGCCGCCGAGCTGGCCATGGAGCACACTCACGGCTGGTACGTTGTGCACGAGGAGGGCGGTGGTGGTTTGTTGGGCATGTGCTGACGTCCCGCGCAGGCAGTGGGTGTGCCCCATGGACAGCCCCTTGAAGCAGCAGACGGTCACGCAGGTCTTGAACGAGGACACCACCAAGCTGAGAAAGGCTAGCGACAGGACCTTTGTGGCCGACCAGTACAAGAGCATGGACGTCTGCTACAACCCAGAGATCCGAGACTTGGTAAGTGGTTTTGTGGGGTGCCTGGCGAGCGCGAACGCGTCGTGCCCGGCAAATCCAGAGCTGACTGTCATCGCTAGCATTCCGCGGCTCTTGACGACCACTTCCTCTCCAACGGTCCTCTTACGCCCTCCATCTCGGTGTCTAGGGTGAGTGCTCTCGGTGCACGGGAACGCGTCGTTTTCTGCGCTTGTCGCGTGAACGCGTCCAACTCTTCGTGAATGCGCCACTGACAAGGAACAGACACTCCGACACAGCGATATTACCATGGTTCCCCTGGATGCTCAATACCGTAAGCCCCGCCGCGTGGCTGATATGTGTCTGTCTGTGCTGTATCCTGACACGAATCGCAGAGGACGTGGCCAAGATTAAGTGGTCCTCCAAAAAGGACGCGAGGGTGTTCTGGCGTGGCTCCACGACCGGCGTGTCGCAGAGCAACGGACACCAGTGGCGCAAATCCCAGCGCCAGCGTCTCCACTGGTTCGCCAACAACCACACCGAGGCCAACGTGCCTGTCCTGATCGAGCGCCCAGGCAAGGGAGTCGTCACTGAAGAGTTCCCTCTGCAGCAGATGAACGAAAAGTGGTTTGACATTGGCCTCGCGGGCGGCCCGCACCAGTGCAGCGTCGCAGATGGTACCTGCGAAGAGGTCCGCCAGGCCGTTGACTGGAAGGACCCCGTTCGCGGGCCCGAGGCCTTGATGTACAAGTATGTCGTCGACGTCGACGGCAACGCCTGGAGCTCGCGTTTTCGTCGTCTCCTCAAGGGAAACAATGTCGTGCTCAAGAGCACCATGTATGTGAGTGTCAGCCGAGAACTATGCCACGAACAAGCTGACCCATTTCAGCCCGAGTGGTTCTCCGACCTCCTCGTTCCGTGGTACCACTACGTGCCCATCCGCTTCGACTACAAGGACATGCACGACATCATGGCCTTCTTCACGGGCGCTCCCGACGGCAGCACCGAGGGCCGCGACGACCTGGCAAACGACATTGCCGAGCAGGCACACCAGTTTATCAACCAGCACTGGCGCGTCGAGGACATGCGCTCGTACGTCATGCTCGTCTTCCTCGAGTACTTCCGCATCTTCCAAGACGACCGCAAGGGCGCGTCCCTTGGCGGCGGCCGCTAGGGACTGGGGTGACTGGTGTGGCCTCTGGTTCGTGACTCTCTCTTTCGTGTTCATTTTTCTTCTTGTCTTTTGGGCTTCTGTTTTGCATTACTGTGTCTTTAGACGACGTGTGCCGGTGTGTGCATCGCGACCATGTTACCTTGTGCTATAGTATAGCTGGCGCTGCTGTCACCTTTATCCTCTCGCTCACTGGCCAACGGCATGAGGCGGCAATGTCCGATGTCCGGCACGACGCTCGGAAAACCGCGCCACCCAAAATGCACCCACATGGGTTTCCTGCGGATCGCCTCAATCTCTGGTGGAGGCGCGTTGACCATCTATGCTCGTCCGCTCGCATCGGGGGCGACGGATGGCCGCGCGTGCACCTCGCTGCTATTGTCCTTCGTCCTCTTCTTGGCCGTGCTACTCCATTAACCTAGCTCCATCTCACTCTCACTCTCAGCCATGGGCGACGTCGCTGGCCCCGCTCCCGTGCGTATCTCGTACAAGACGCTCCTCGACGATCCGGCCTCGGTACGCGCCGCCATTGAGGCTGGACTCGGCAGTGGCCCTGGTGCGCTGGGCCTGGTCGTCATTGGAGGTAAGTCTGTATGGAGGAGCTCTTGCAGTCTCTTGTGCTGTGCTTCCTTGTCGCTGACGCTGTGGTATCGTTCCTTGTGCCAAATCTCGACATTACAAAACCCCACCCCCACCCTCCATGACCGTTTGACCGATTTCCCCACCCTCCCAACGTATCTCCTGCAGACCTCCCACCCGAGTTTCCCGCCGCGCGCGAGCGCCTCTTCCGCCTCGGCGCGCAGTTTGCCTCGCTCCCCGAACCCGAGCGGGAGGAGTGTGCGCGCCCCGAGACGTCCTACTTCTTTGGCTGGTCGCACGGCAAGGAGGTTATGAACGGCGTGAGTTGGGGCCTGATAGCAGCAGGAAGCTCCCCTCGGCGGTACCCTAACCAGTCCGCTCGCAGATCGCTGACACCATGACCAGAAACCCGACACGGCCAAGGGATCGTTCTACGCCAACCCCTTGCTCGACCGCCCGGCCGTGTCCGACTCGCAGCGCGCCGCACACCCGGAATACTACGCCGGCAACGTGTGGCCTGCCAACCCGCCCGAGCTCGAGCCGGCGTTCAAGGCGCTGGGCAAGGTCGTCGCGGACGTGGGGCTGGCGCTCGCGCGCGCGTGTGATGGGTTCGACCTGGCTGCTGCTGCTGCCTCCACCAGCAGCAGCGACAAGATTGGCATCGCCAACCTCATTGCCCACAGCCAGAGCAACAAGGCGCGCCTGCTGCACTATTACCCGCAGGCGGGGGGTAGCGACGGAGCCAGCGACGACGCGTGCGGCGTGCACCTCGACCACTCGATCCTCACGGGCCTGTGTTCGGCCATGTACCTCGACACGGCGAGCGGTGCCGTCGTGGGGCCCAACGCCGGCGCGGGGCTGTACATCTACCCGCGCGGCGTGTCGCCGCGGGACGGGCAGGCCGTCAAGGTGTCCATCCCAGTCGACTGTCTCGGTACGTGCATGACAGCTGCAACTCGTAGACCCTCCATCCAACTGACACGTCGCAGCCTTCCAGACTGGCGAGGCGGTCGAGATCCTCACCGACGGCCGGCTGCGCGCCACGCCGCACTACGTCTCGGCGGGGCAGGACGGCACGGGCGTGTCGCGCGAGACGTTTGCCTTCTTCCTCCAGCCTGACGTCGACGACGTGATTGGCAGCGACGGCGAGACGTTTGGCCAGTTCACCAAGCGTATTATTGAGCGCCACTATGGCGACGAGAACGTGGGCAGTATGTCAAAACATCATTAACGGAACTGAGGGCTCTCTCTCCCGCAGGCTCGACTATCGACCATGCGGATGCATTGTGCTAGATAATGAACCATTGGGCTATGCTATGCATGATCCTTTGACTTCCCTCGCGATTCCCCTTCAGCCTTCCGACGACGACATGTTGAAATTGAAATGTCTACCTGCCCGCTCTGCTGATGTGCTTTTTCTCTAGTCCTCGCTCACGTCTCCAAACTCAAAGATGCCCAGGCGGTCAGCCTTGGCGCCCTCGGTGGCCTGGTCAATCTTCTTGACGACCTGCGGGTACGCGCCCAGGTAGCGGCACGACTTGTCAACAGTCGCAAGACCTGTGTAAATTGTCAGCTGAGGATCCATGGCGGACGAGCTAGCTGAACTCACCGTCGCGGACGAGGTCGGCGTTGATGCACGCCAGGGGGTCGGTGGCGGCGTTGGGGTCCGAGGGGTCAATGAGACGGAGGTGGAGGAGGTTACCTTCCTTCTGGTCAACGTTGGCGACGAGCTTGACGCCGTCGGTGAACTGGGCGAAGCGGCGACGGGCGTCGGGGCCGTACTCGCTGTCCTTGGGGGGAAGCTTGACAAACGACAGACGAGCCTCCTGAGCCTGGCCGGGGAGCGACTTGAACTTGGCGTCAAGGGGGCGAATGCTCGAGAAGGGGACAGTGTCCTCGTCTCCGTAGTCGATGAGGGAGACGTGGGCCTCCCTCTTGACACCGGAAGCCTTCTTCACCTTGGCACGGTACCAGCGGTTGTCCTGGCTAAACTTGGCAGACACAAGGTCGCCGACACGAGGGATAAAGCCGGTGGTGGCGTTGGCCGGGCTGCGGTGGTACAGCGAAAAGTCGCTCATGAGCTTCTCAAGCGAGGCGACCGACTTGTCGTCCAAGATCTGGATGGAGAACTGGAAGGGCTCCTGCTCACGCACGGCGGTGACGTAAATGTCCAGGTACTGGGGAGCAAGGGCGGAAGCACCATTGTCGGTGGACTCGGCAACGACAGTCTCGCCAGTGTATTCGGCCCAGAGCTGATGGGTTAGCAGACTGCGACAAGTTGGTACCCACATTCTTCTTCTCCTTCTTGGCCTGCTCCTCAGCAGCGAGCAGCTCGTTGCCGTAAGGAAGGGCCTGAGCCGAGTACTCGTGAACGGTAGCAAGACCGTTGCGAACAAGCTCGACAGCGACGTTCTGGCCACCAACAAACATGGCACCAATGAAGCCACCCTGCTTGTCGGTGCTGTCAAAGCTGACCTCGACGTCGCGCTGCATGAAGCGCGAAGCGAAGCGGTGAGCTTCGGGGCCAAATGGCTCGGGCTTTTCGCTGGCACTGCGGGCGGTGCGGGGAGCCTTGATACCGGCGAGGACGAAGGTGATCTTGGCGTTCTCCTTGGGCATGACGACCTTGAAGCGGTGGCCGCTGGAGACAAAGTCGACAACAGCGGCGTGCTTGCCGGCACGCTTCCACGAGGGAAGGTACTGGGCGGCGCGGCTGGCGCTCTCGGAAGCGTCGACAATACGGGTGGGGACAACCTCCTTGGTCGAGTGGATGCCGCGGGTCTCAGTAGTGGCGGCCTGCTCGGCGACAATGAGCTTGTCAAACTCGGCCGAACGCTCCTCGTCGTCACGGCGGTGGCGGAGAGTGCTGGCAAGACCCTTCTCGATGAGCTGCTCGGCAACGTTCTGGCTCTGGCCACCGTAGGTAATGGTCACACACTCGCGCTCCTCGTACTCGCCGTCCTTGGGCTTGACATAGTCGACCAGGACGTGCACAACCTTGCCAACCAGACGCTTACGAAGGAACTCCTTGGCCTCGGCAGCCCAGTACGTGTTCTTGGCGTCCGAGCCACGAGGGCCACGGACAGAGGCAAGCTGGACACGGCGCTCCTTGTCGTCACCCTTGGCGACAATGCTCAGCTGGTCGGGACCCCAAACGCGAACGACAGTGGCGTCAAAGGTCTGGCCCTTGGTGGTGGTCGCAGCAATGGCACCGGGGTGAGCGCCGGCACCGTTGGTGGCCTTGCCAGTCTCGCCAAAGCCCTCCCAGAGTGCGATGCGCTTGGCCTTGGCAGTCTTCTCAGCCGCACGGAGGCGGTCAAGGCCGCCGTAAGGAGCGAGGATACCGGCGTGCCAGTCAATGACCTTGGCAAGACCAGCTGCCGTGAGGAACTCGGAAATGTGACCGTTGGGGTGGATGGCCTGGCCGATGATGAAGCTGGCGCCGGCCGAGGGGGCAGGAAGCGAGCCGTCGGGGTTGGGGCCCGAGAGTGGCGATGCACCGAGCGAGACAGGGGCCGAGAGGAGGCGGACCTTGATCTGGCGCTGGAGGAGACGAACCTCGGTGAAGAACTTGGCCTCCTCACCCCAAGCCTCAGCACCCTGGGCGACACCGTCGCGCATGGTCGAAGCACGGGGGCTCTTGGCACCGGCAACGACAAGGGTGATGAACTGGTGGTTGGAGTCGTCGAGGAGAAGACGGACACGAAGCTGGGTGCCATCGCGGACCTGCTCGACAATGGCTGGCTGTTAGCCTGCAACTATACAGCAACCCTTACCATCAAGCTCCTGGCCCTTGTGCTCGGCAATGAACGCGTGGGGGTCAGAAGGCATCTGGAACGAAACGGTGCGTTGCTGCTGGGTCAGCGTTCACTTCCATGGCGAGCCACTCACAGTCTCCGGCTCGGGCGACCAGACGCCGCGACCCTCAGACTCAGCCTTGGCCGAAGCGTCCTTGAGGGGCTCCGGGGCGTTGTCGCGGGCCTTGGCCCAGCCGTTGGCGACAATCAGAGTAGCGACATCCTGGGGAGGCTGTCCGGCGGCAGGGGGAGCCGAGACAACGTTGGCAAACTCGCCACCGCTGGGGATAGTGTGGGTGACGGTGAAGCCGACCTCCTTGCCCACTAGCAGAGTACGGAGGTACTCGCGAGCAGCAAACGCATGTGGCTACGGTGTCAGCTGGGCAGTGTGCGCAAGAGTAGTAACAGCTTACCTCGTCCTCGCGAACCGATGAGCCGACGCGAGGGGCCGTGATACCAGCAACGTGGAGAACACTGCCGAGTCAGGTGCCTGTTCTTTCTGGTTCTTTGTTGCACTCACCGCTCCTTGGCAGGCTGACCCTTGGCGGGAACCTCCTTGGGACGCACGACCACCGTGTCGCCGGACAGCACGGCTGCAGTGTGTGAGTATTATTCGTGAGGCGGGGGGAACGTTGTTTGCTAAACGCGGCCGGGCCAACCGAGCCGGCGAGGACGACACTTACACTTGACGATCTGAGAGAGGTCAGCAACCTGCCTGGACCGGCGTTATTTTGACCTACCGCGCGCGTGGACATTGAGCCGATACGATTTGATTTAGAAGGAGCGGCCGAGCTGGAAAGAGAAAGGGAGGAGACGGGAAGCGGGACAGACAAGTGGGGGAGAAATGTGGCGATGTGTCAAGAGATGGTCGTGCTGGCATCGGCCAAGTGCACACGCGCACACGCGCACACAACCGAGTGTGTGGTGTGCCTGATTGAGGGCCCCACACCGCCAATTACAATCTGGGGTCTTGCTAATTAATCTGATTTCGGGTCGATTTGCATCCGCTCCTAATTCCTCGGGATATAGCCACGGGGAGCCAACAGACGGATCGGCGTCTGGTTTCTGTCAGCTGCTTCGCTGCGCCGCTGCGTTTGGGTTCGAGTCGCGTGCTTCGTCGTCACCCCCACCCATCAACATCTTTCCCTTTTGTCGTTTCTCTCGTTCTCGCGTTCACATCAGTCACACCCTCGACTCGCCTCAACACACTTGGGAAAAAAGCCTTTAAAAGCTGCCTGTGTGTCGTCGCTTGACTTCTTGGCTCTGGGTTCTTTCACCTATCGGCATCCATTTCGGACTCTTGCGACTCCAACAGCGAACAGCCCTCCAGCCTTCTTACCAGGCCCGACCACCTCAGCCACTGCTCACGGGCTTCATATTCTGTGTCAAAGCGCACCTCAATAGACCTCGTGGACAACACTCTCAATTCTTCTTCTTTAAACCAGCACTCCCCACGCAACATGTGTCGCTTTGTGAGCATCGTGGTTGGTCGCCGGCGATTATCGAGCTCACAACACTTTCAGATTGTCTACAAGGGCGCCGAGCCCATTCAGCTCTCGCACCTGGTCACTCGCCCACGACACAGCATCACAAATCAGGCGTTTGAGTCAAAGCTTCGCTTCCCAAGCAGCCGTCCTATGAACGTGAGTTGATACGTCCCTGCTGTCAACTGACCCCAGGCGGACGGCTTTGGTATCGGCTGGTACGACCCCGAGATGTCTGATATCCCCGTCACTGCAGTGGCGGCTCCCGCCCCTCAAGAGGCCACCGATGCCAAGGGACCGCTCCCTCCTTCTATTGCAGGCCCCAGCATCCTCCGGACCGGTACTCCAACCGCCCCGTCACCGAAACCAGACGGGGCAGTGGTACTGACACCCGAGACGGTTGAGGCGATCGCGGACGAGGCTGAGCGTTTGCGTGCGGTGGAACTTTTGCGAGAGACAGAGCGTGAACAGGAGACAGAGAGGCCGTGTATCTTCAAGTCGATTTCGCCCGCGTGGAGTAACGCCAACCTCACTCGTTTGGCGGAGAAGATTCGTTCGCCACTCGTGTTTGCTCATGTCCGTGCAAGCACAATGGCCGGAGCACGTGAGTTAGCATGTTATCTAAGCAGTAACTGACAGGCAACAGCGAGCGAAGATAACTGCCACCCGTGGATCTTTGACCGCCTCATGGTGCGTTGGACACCCCTTATCTGTTGCTGACGGTCAGTGGATGCACAACGGCGAGATCAACGAGTTCCCAAAGATCAAGCGCGCTGTGCAGGCGTCCCTCTCAGAGGAGCTCTTCCTGTACCCCTCGGGCTACACCGATTCCGAATGGGCGTTTATGGTGTTTCTTTCAATGGTGGGTGCCGCTGTGGAGGTCTTGAGCTAACCCCTCAGCTGGAGGACCCGCACGCCCGCTCTTTTACCCACATCGAACTCCGCGAGGCCATGATGAAGACAATCAAGTTTATCAACAAGCTCTCCAAGGACGCTGGAATCGTGCGTTAAAAATCCCTTGTTGCCATCTAACGCTTCCCCAGACTGGCCCCAGCTTGATGAACTTTGTCGTCACCGACGGCCACACCGTGGTCGCCACTCGCTATATCTCGTCGCGTACTTCCGAGGCCTCGTCCTTGTTCTTCTCCTCTGGTACCACGTTTGACGAGTACGAGCCCGCCGCAGGCCTCTATCGCATGACCAAGGCCGACAAGCGCGAGCGGATCATCATGATCGCCAGCGAGCCGCTGACGTTTGAGCGTACCGACTGGATCGAGGTCAAGACCAACATGATGGTCGTTATTACGCCCAAGGTGAGTCACAAGAAGCTACGCATTTTGCCGATCCTCTAGCTGTGCTGACTCTTACACCCAGATGAACCTTCTCCAAATCCCAATCATTGACGAGCACTGGGTCAGCCCCCAGGACCCGGCCAGCCACACCCGTTCGCCTGACTTTGCCATTAAGCTCGGCTTTGGACACGGATTTGCGTATGACAGCGCCATCGCTGCCTAATTCACCCACTCGTCGCCGCCCCAGTGCGCCCGTCGTTGTCCTTTCGGTATTTCCCGAGGTCCGAAATGAGGGGGTCCTGTCTGTCCTCTGGGCCTCTGGGCCCCTGCGGAATGGAACTGGGACGCGCGTGTGTGTTATACACAAAGCGACGGACTTGAGGAAAGATCCAGGAGGAGAGGAGCTTGGGTACCTTGGCCCTCTTCATCTGCACCTCGACGATATGCCCCCTTCCCAATGCACATTCCCCACCACCAACACCACCACCACCACCAATCACCAAACCTAGTTATTCATCATCTGCGCGCAACCAAGACAGTGTTTCGATATAGATAGACATAGCCAAGCGCGCAGCGGCATGCATATGTGTCTGTCATTTCACAGGGGGGTGGTGGAGTGGGCAATCGTCTAATCTACAGGCAGCGGCGGCAAAACGTGTTCCCAAATGTTCCTCTCATACACTTTGTCTCAGCCCCAAGATATCGAAAAGGAAGAAGGATAAGATTGGTTGGTACAAGAACAAGATAAAAACAAGATCTCTGAGTTTCGGTTGGTGCACGCCCTAAGCGATCACGAGGGCCGACACGCTGTTGAGACGGTCCTCTGCAGCCGCAGCGGCGACGGCATGGGCCTCGGCGTCAATGTCAATCTTGTTGCCAGAGGTCGGGGCGATGGGGGACGAGGGGGCCGTGACTGTCGGCAGGGACGTGCACGAACCAAGGTCCACAACAGGGCCAGCGACGCCGTGTGCGTCGCCGCTGACCTGAGTGCTGACGTCGTTGGCGTTACCCTCGACCTCGTCCTTGATCTCGCCCGTGAGGGTGACATCCTGAAGCTCGGCGGCGGCGGCGGCGGCGTCGACAACAGGCACAGGAGAAGGTGCTGGGGGAGGAAGGTCCGGGAGGTTCTTCATCGTGACGTCGGGACTGAGGCGGGAGACAGGGCGCTTGGAACGCTTCGAGGCGACGCTTTTGCGGTTGCGCGGGTGGGAGGGACGAAAGTCACCCACGGGACCCTCACGGCCAGCAAGGAGCCACGCCGCCACGCGGTCCTCGGGACGCGCAATGGTGCCGCCAAAGGCAGTACGTGGAACACCGAGCTGGGAAAGGATGGCGTCGACGAGGAGCTGGCACTCGCGCACACTGGTTGCGTTGTCCAGAAGGTGGCGGATGGAACGAGGTCCGCCACAGGGACGTAGCCCTCAGCGGCCGACGCATTGGAGACGGAGGCAGTAGACACACCCGAGAGGGAGACAGCCGTGGTCGAGCGTGTGCCACTCCGAGGCGAGCTGTAGGGAGATGCGACGCTGGGGACGGCCTTGACTGTTGCCAGGTCGGGCGATCCCATCGGCGTCGAGGTGGCCGACGTGAACGAGGCAGCCGAGACCGCCGATCCAGACTCGGACGGTGGTGCAAGGGCGACGGGAGCGGCAATAGTGGAGGGAGCCGATGTCGCAGCGTCATCGCCCTCACGCGCCAACTCGAGGACGCGCTGGTGGAGTGGCGAGTTGCGGAGTTGCGGCGACCCACTAGGCGAAGGTGAGGTGAAGGGAACGGGGACCGGAGAGGCGATGGGCACCTGATGCAAGGATCCACGGAGAGAGCTGCTGCGGCTAAGGCGAGGCGAACCACGAACGCTGCCAGCCTTGCTGCCACGCGCAGTCGTCGAACCGTTGGTGTGCACAAGATCCTCGAGCTCCGGTGTCCTAGCCACAATGGGGCTGTTCTGCCTCGAATTGGCAGTGAGCTGCGCCAGTGCCGCCTCGCGGTCTTGGCCCACATCGGGGTCGGATTCCACCTCCTCAATGGTGCGGAATGAGAACGACTCTGGAACACCTGGGCCAAAACCGAGCGCTCCCAGACCGAGACCCGAAGGACCAGTGTTGACTTCAAGGGACTGGTGTGAGGGACTGGTCAAAGTCTGCGACGCAATTTCATCGTCCTGGACCGGCGGGAGGGACGAATTGATACTGCGTGGGCTACCGCGTCGCCTGCCGGCCGAACGTGACGGCTCGGAAGTGACCTGTGTCGCCCACTTGCGCACGAGGGACGGCTTGCGAAGAAGTTCCATTGGCTTGGTCTTGGCTGGTGGGACATTGTCTTCGGCAACAGAGGGAATGGCGGTCGAGTTGGACGTGAAGCTGCTGGTCGACCGTTGCGAGCGCAGCGGACCGCTGGGAGAGGGAGCGCGGAGGCTCGAAGAGGCGCTGGGGGCTTTGAGACTCTTCTTGCTCCCATCCTCCTTTTTGGCAGCACCGCTTTTCTTCATGTTGGACATGATATTCTTAAACGACATCTTGCTCTTGGTGGTCTTGAGCACGGGCGGGAGGTCATCCTCAGCAGCGGGAGCAGGGGGAGGCGGGTCGATAGGGGGTGTTTTGAGAAACTGTGCGAGGGCGCGGGTGTCCGACATGCGGTTACCAGTGTCGATACGGGCGGGCCGTGCACGCTGGGACGTATTGGTTCCATTGGCAACGACCTCTGGGACGGCCCCAGCACCGCCGACGCTGCCATCACGCTGGGAGCGAAATGGAGGCTCTGGTGTTGACTGTTCGCTGCGACTCGAGGCAACATTGGGAAGAGTGCTGACAGAGGCGCGTGGTGACGAGCCACTGTGAGCCGACTGGATGGGCGAGCCGAGGATCACAGCAGGGACGGTGCGAGCGACTTGCGCAATCTGCGGGGCTACCGGCGTCTTGGGCTCAGTCTTGAGAAGCTCCATCACCGACTGGCCAAAGGGTTCCTCTTCCGACTTCTCCTCGATAGTCGCGTCACGAGGCAAGAGCTTTGCAGTCGACTGCCAACTGCGGCCCGCGGTCTGGCGGTTGGTTGGGCCCATGCGCTGAGACTCGACCGTGCTGGCCTGCGTGCTGCTAGACAACAACGACGACTCGCTCGATGAAGGCGCTGAGAGGTGACCTTGAGCACCAACCGTCCGCTCAACAGTAACCCGTGGAGGCGACGCCGTAGGCGAGGTCTTGGTTTGTTAGCCACATGCACAGCTCGTCTTCAAAACAAGGAACCCACCTCAAAGGTGCTGAAGCGGCTGGGAGTCAGCGAGACGCGCATTGTTTCTCCAGAGCGTAAGAGCGCGTCAAAGTCCTCGTCGTTGGAGGCACGCTCGTTGGAGACCCGCTGTTGTTTACTCGTCGTGTCGGCTGTTGAGTCGGTGTCGGCAAAGGCGCCAATAATTTGTCGTGTTGACAAGGAGAGTACGCTGCCAGCTCGTTTGTGGCCGTTGGTGACAACAGTCGGAGGTGCGGACCCCTTCTTATAGAACTGTTCACTCGAGGGTCGCGAGCCCGTGCTCGTGGCACTGGCCTGCTTTCGATGGTCACCGTGCGCGGCTGGATTGGAAAGCGAGGTTCGCGAGCCGTATGGGGACTCCAACGTGGCGGGGGGAGAGGACCGTGGCGGCGCCGACATGTTGTACATGCTTGTCACTCGTTGGGATCGGCTCCGGTTCTGGGGTGCTGTCTTGATCGCCTGTTCCAACTGGGGCTTGGCTACCGTATGGGTCAGCAAGGTGCAGCTCACATCTCCTCCCCCCGCCACAATTCCGCTCCTCCGGCCGGGACGTACCGCCCATACGCTTGAAGAACGTGTAGACGCTGTCATCCTCGCACAGGGCCGTATACAGGTCCTGTATCCTTGCGGCCGTCAAGGACGAGTCGCGCGCGACCACCTGGGACAATTTGGACAGGATGTGTTCGCAAATGTGCCTGTTGGTTAGCTTCTATACATGACCGTGCGAACCCCAGGTGAACCCCATGGTGGCTGCGCGTCCCTGGGTGCGAGACGAATCGAGGGGTGTGGACCGCGGGGCTCGATCTGGATCTGCCAGCAGTGACTCACTCAAGAACGGCCGTGAGCCACAGACCAGCAGGAGCAATGGTCTCTTCGGCGTCGTCGCCGCCAACCAAAATCCACGCGTCAAGGACATCGTCTATCTGCTCTGTGGGGGGTGACTGTGGCGCAAAGGTCTGCAAACTGTTAGCCGGGAGCGAACATCACGTCGTGGACAACGCGGTGGTACGCGTGGGTCTCTATCGGGGCTTGTCCGGCTTGGGAGGAGACACTGCCAAACGCCTCGACGCCACCTGGCCAGGCAATGCCTCTCAAGGGGTGAAAAGTGCGTGCGTGCCCTAGGCCGGTTGCAACTGGCCCGCCGCCGCCACCACCGGCCACGCCGGTTCCAACGGACACGAAACCACTCTCAGATATCGGCACGCACCGAGAACATTGCGACCTTGAGTCGCATGAGCTCCACCGCTTCACGGGTGGGGAATGCGCCGTCCGCCTCACGGCTGACAGCGAGGCCTGTCCCCTCGCCGTCAGGGGGGAACCCGGAGACGCCTTTATTTGCTGTCGGATGGCCTTCGTACCATGACCGGATCTCCACTTCTGCCTCGCCAACGGCGGCGCGTCCTAGGGCGCCGAGGGACAGATGGTCGGGCTCGTCGCGTTCAGCCAGGACGGTAGCCACACCCCGTGTCCGAAGATCTGTTGGGTTTATGGACCGCGCGGCAGTGACGATGGAGACCAGGAGCTCGTCGAGAATGGCATTGATAAACGCGAGCGTTGGCTGCGTGAGAGTTGTGGGGCGCACGTCCGAGATGAGCGCGTTGGCTGAGGTGGGCGAGACAAAAGGCAGCGCTGGGGTCACGTCAGCGACATCGAACAGGCAGGTGGGCGAGGACACGGTTACACGGAGAAACGGAGATTGAGATGAGGAGGGTTTGTGCCGGGGGCACGTTGGAGCTTGTTCACGGACGATCCCAGCTACAAACTGTGGGACGCGTCATGGGCCGTGCAGTGGGCCTGGCGTCGCCGAGACGGGTAGACGGGACAGACAGCGCAGTGGCTTCGGAAGACAGATGGACATGGGGGAACGGGGGTGTGCGGCCCAAGCGCTGGACGTCTGGCTGTCTTTGCTACGCAACTTCCGAGTAACATGGGAGGGCGTGCTGATGGAGATGCGAAACGGGCGTCCCCTTTTCGGTCTCCCCACCGTTTGCACCATGTAAAGCCCATGTGATCGGGATGGGTGATGAGAAGAGAGAGAGAGAGAAGAGAGGACGTACGAGGCATGGCTGCAGGCCGGCCGAGCCGAGCTTGAGAGCTGGAGCTAGTGTTGGCCGCGCAACAACAGGGATCCCAAGGACGGAGCGTGGCCGAGATGAAGAATGCAAGTTCGGAGTTGTTTCCAGCGGCGGAGAGAGTGTGGTTCTCAACGTCGTGTTCGCAGTCGATGGCAAAGGGTGCCGAGCTGGGCTAAAAACAGGCTAGCGACCCAGCAGAGCGGTCCCAGGCGCTGTTTGGGGTTACAGAGCGGCGACGCAACTAGGCCCAGCAACGTGATACGGAGCGTGTAGGGTGCATGGGGCTGCCTGCAGGCGGTGCGCAAGGGAGAGGGAGAAGCACTCGGTGTTCAGAATGTGGGGCTTGTTTGTGATGACCCAGGGTGGCAATGGCGAGAGGAGCTGAGACTGGGGGTCCAGATGGGTTGCGAGATAGGACCTGGCGTAGTTGGGGGGGGTGTTACGTTGAAATGTGTAGTTTTGATTTTGAGTAGGGGAATGTCTGGTTGCAAGTGGGGGGGGGTTGGGGGGTTGGGTTCTGTACAGTACCACACCATCAACCGCGCGGCCATGCACCTGCAGCGACATTGAAGCTTCATGTGCGTCCGGCGTCTCGCATGCCCCCCTCTTCCTGCCTGGAACTTCTTCGGCCTGTCAAACCTGGGGGGGGGGCTTGGCCTGGCGCTTGGCCTGACGCCTTTCCTCTGGCGTCGGCACTGGCGTGAGACATGGCCGCCTCGCTCGCTCGCTCGCTGCAGCTGCCAAACAGAACCCGTTTTTTTTTCTTCATTTCTTTCCCTGGCCTGCGCGCGTTGACGTGGCGTTGCCGTCGACCTGACAGACGCCTCCTGGAGCATGGCGCCCATCAAACCTGAACGACCCGGCGACGGTCTGGGTCCTGGTCACAACGCTGACGGCATCTCGTCTTGGTCGTTCGTCCACTCGGTCAACGTGACCTGACAGACGTGTCGCAATATTGGCTGCCGTCGCGCTTCGGCATTTGGCCACACGGCGGAGCGCCAGAAACCGACGTCGTGCCAGGTCTGCGGGCCATAAAACGTTCTCCCTGGACATCAGCCAAAGGTCTCTCTCTATCAGGCTTTCGGACGCTCCCGTGGTTGCCTCGTCGGTTGTTCCTCGAGCTTAAACTGCCCAGGCCATGTCCATTCCCGACAACCAACGGCTGCGACAAGTCGCGTCTGGTGCCTGGCAGAGTACGTTGACGGCACAAGCGACGGCAACGTCCCGGTGGCCGGTGCCACGATCAGTGACCACGTCCCCATGTTGTAACCCACTGCCCCGTGGCTGCACTTCCAATGAGACCCAGACGACTAGCTCGGAAGGCTCCAATCGCCGGAAGCTCCCTCCCTCCGGCTGCTTTTGCAATTGGAACCCAAAGAACACCCGCGGACGCTCTCCAACCTCCGCACCGGCCGTGCGGTGTCTCGGCAACCAACTGAGAAACTCAGAAGCAGAAGGGGGAGTGATTGAGGCAACGCCGCTCAGAAGAATAGTCAAGCTGGTCGGTCATGTGTGGCGCAATAAAGTGGTGTTCCATCGATGTGTCAATGTCAGCCCCTCAACTGTACTGAATTGAATCAAGTTACATCGCTAAAGAGAGTTTGCAAGCCGCCTGCTCTGCGGGTGCACATCCACACAGTCGGCAGGGACAGCGACGGAATAACACATTGGCGGGATGAGAGCGACTAGGCGCCAGGTGATCAGGAAATGTCCAGAAATGGGAACGTGACAAGCGCGTGTCTACATGACTTTTAACAGCCCGTGCAACCGGGAACCGTGTCTGCTGGCTCAGGCAGCTATGCTGCAGCCACTTCACCAGAAGGCTGTTGGCGGCGCAGTTGGAGGAGGCGCTCCATGTCCTGGGTCACCCACAAACCCGAACATGAGCCGCTTCTGAGGCGCAGGAGGAGGAAGTGGTGCCATGTCGTCGTCCTGGTGGGAGAGACCGGGCGCCGACCTTGTCGGAATACGTACCGCCACTGGAGGATTCGGTTCATCTTCTTCACCAAGAGACGTCCGCCATGTAACGCAGAGGCAACTTCACACATAGGGTCAGCAACTTGTGAATCGACCCTGACCCAGTTCATGGCAGCAGCAACAACTCACCCTGCCCGGCAGCACCAAACCCAAAACTGGACACTGGTGGGGTATCGTCAAAGTGGAGCTTGATCCGACGTGCCAGTGACGAAACGTGAAACGAGTCGTCCTCGTCCATCGGAGTCGCTTCGGCAGCGGCATTGGTAGTAGTGGTGTCTCCGGTTCGACACACAGAGAGCGTTTGAGGTGGCCAACCGCTCGGCTACTTGCGCACAGAACTTGTGGCTTGGCGCAGGGAGACTTGCAGAGATCCAGAGACTGACTGAACGGGAGGCGCAACAGGACACCAGCCAGCCGCACAAGCCAGCGTCGACCACAGAACCGAAACCGCAGTATGGTTATGATGGTATTTGCCCGTGTCAAGGTCCATAAAGGGACGTCCGGTCACGTCGGCGGCAACCCGGTCGTGCGTCAGGAGCTCGTATGGGTCGGCAACGCTCATTTCGACCAGGTCGGCGTAGCTTAGCAGGGCCCGAGGTTGGGCTTGCCACGTCCGGTTCGGGACCACGACTACAAGGTAGATGGTCTCGTCCGATTCCGAGTAGCAACTTGAATCCGAGTCTGAGTTCAGAAAGCTCTGTTGGTCGAATGGTTCCAGTTGCTTATGCAGGTGGACCTTTTTCAATGTCGGACTCCAAGCTTGCGTCTCCCCCCACCAACGTCGTCGTGAAACGGAGGGTTTTCGAGCACACAAGGCGGGTGAACGGGCTGTTGGTACTGGCAACTGCCAAGAACGCCGCATTCCATCCATGCATTGGGCAGGTACGTGGCGGCGCATGACACGGCGTCGATGCGCAGTTGAACGCCTTATCGGTGCTTTGGCTGGTCGCACGGGTACGAGAGTCTAGAGGGTGGTGAAGGATCTCGGCGACGAGGCTGAAGACGGTGGCGGCTTTCGTGGGGGCCCTCAATACGATCAATACCAGCTGGGGCATGAGTCTTGGCTGTAACCACAGACCGGCTGCACCCGTACTACCGTAGTGTTGTTTGCGTCTTCATCGCCACTTGCACCACTTGGGGTGCGGATTTGCTCATCGTCAATACCGCTTTCTGAGTCCTGTACAAGATAGTTGAGGTGTCAGTAGTAAGCAACTCCAGTCTCAAAGGACCGTAACCATAATCGAGGGCCGTGGAAGGCCAGGTGGTCGGCGGGGAAAGGCTCCGCAAGCTGGATCACGGCTCGGCGCCGTCAGACCACGGAGCAGAACATGTTGACTCGGCGGGACGGATGAATGCAGGATGGAGGTCGGTGACAAGGGTGGTGCCTCCCTTGGCGATGCGGTTGAGGAAGGCGTGCAGCTCTTGGTAGAAGGGGTGGGTCTCTGGATTTCCGTCAAAGCGTGGAGGGGGGAGTTGAGTGCGAAGATAAGTGCTAAAGAGGATCACCGCGTGTGGTGGGCCCATGACGTGGGAGGAGCGGTCCCCGGGACCGGTGGTGCGGGAGTCACAGGAGGTGAATAATACATGAGAACGCGGCGTGGAGGGAAGAAGGGAGAGAAAAGTTGGCAAGAAGCCTAAAGATTAGGGAGGGGAGAAGAGATCCAGAGAATGAAAGAGGCCAGGAGGCCAGGAGGGCAAAGGACAACAAAGACACAACATGAATTCATGAACACAACATCAAGAGAAACAGCGCATGGGCGAGTATGGCCGGAAATTTGCTTCCGTTCCATCGCGTGACGCCGTCCAAAAGTCGTAACAGGCGCACAGAATTCGCCATTTGTCATTGTCATACACCCTCGACATCCACTTCACCCACCATGCCTCGCCTTCGCCTGCCCCCGCTCCCAGGCCCCGAGCGCTTTGCTAAGGCCTTCCCAAGGACTTCGTCGCTGGCGCTCGAAGAGGGAAGCAAGGCTACTGGCGGCGGCAGTCGCGAGTCCATACGTCGCATGACTCTGGCCAACTCGACAATTGCGAACAAGTTTGTTCGCGACCTTGGTATCCGAAAGAACGAGCTTTTCATCGATGCGTACGGCTCGTGCGGTGTTCTCACCCGTGCACTCCTTGCGGGCGGATATGACGAGACCAAGCCAAGTGATTGGGCCAATGTGGTGAAGGAGATTGGCGAGGAGAATGTTGGTGTCAAGGCAGACGAGACCATGCGCATTATGATGGGCAAATTCGACTTCCCACCTTGGAATGTGGACGAGGCCCCCACGACCATTATCCCAGAAGTTCCAAAGGACCTCAACTTGCCCGTGGCTGTGGTTGCCCAAGAACCATGGGTATCAGCGCTCGCACGTGGCTTGGGTCTGCACCCCGACATTGTCACTCCTTCCAAGTACGAGCGCGAGCGACCCCTCTCGGCGGAGCGCGAGGAGTCCCTCGCAGAAGAAGACATTGTGTACCAATCGCACCTCCAGCCCAACCTGCTGCTTTCAACCAGCAGCCCGTACCACTGGACTTCCATGCCCCAACTCCTCTCTCATCCCCTTGTGGCTTCCAAGATGGAAGTTGTGGACCCCACCAAGGAAGGCCCGGCCGCCACCCAACGGTCGTGGGATGCCCCGACCCCAAACATCACCATGGTCGCCACTCTGCCCGACTCGGTATACGGCGAGCAGATTCTGAACCAGTGGGTCTGCAGCGCCATCGGAAGCGAGAACTACCCTCGGTCGTGGCTCTGGTCGTGGGGCCGCGTGCGTCTCGCTTTGATGGTCCCCAAGGCAATGTACGACGTGAGTTTCATATAGCCGTTAGTCCCAAGTCTTGAATGCTGACGGCTTTCAAGCGTCTGTTGGCACAGCCTGGAGAGACTTGTCATGGCAAACTCAGTGTCATGGCCCAATCGCTCTACCATATCCGGCCCCTTCCGCCATACCACCACGTGCCCGACGCCGACAAGCCCTGCAAGAATACCGACACCACGTATGACCCCCTCGGCATGAGTACCGCCCTGAAGAACAAGAAGAATAGGCAATATTCGGTAGCGGCGCCTCCGCCGATCAACGAGGTCACACAGACGTACAATGACGACTTCCTCCAATTTTTCTCAAAGACTGTCTACACGAGGAAGGAGAACCCCCGTCCACCTCTCCTTGGCGTCGAACTTGTTCCCAGGCTGCACTCGGTCATCAAAGCTGAGCAGCGTGACCTCTGGGACTTTGTCCTGCGCAAGTCGTTTCTCCGCGAGATCACCTGCTTGTCCGACAACCTTAGCAAGATGGCGTTTGGCGCCGAAAACCTCGTCGACCGCTTCTTTGAGCCCGCTGGCGGACGTTTTGCCGGCCAGCCCATCAACCCTTACACGGCGCTTCCTCGCGAGATGACTAATGAGCAATGGTTGCGCGTCGTTGATGTCTTTGACAAGTGGGCGTTCAAGCCCGATAATCTCCTTGTCGACATCACCGCGGCTGAGGCCTCGCGCGAGATTGGCCAGTCGTAGGCCTGGCAACCGGGGTGACCCCACACACATATCTAGCATTAAAACATTACCCATCCCCTTCTCGCATGATGTAACTCTACTCTGTCTACGGTCTTGTCGTCTGTTGCGGGTGCGCAGCCATCCACTCTCGAATAGCCGTACTGCCCATCTTGAGGTTCTTCAATTGCGCATCGTCAACCTCCCCAAGGTCGACGGTGTGGAGCACATCGTCGCCGTCGCTCGCCACTGTTGAGCTAATGACGTCGACGGAGAGAATGTCCAGCGCGCCAAGCCCCTTTTCAGAGCGCACGCGGTTGACCTCCTTTCCACCCGTCATGGTCTCACGGCTGACTACGAGACCCGTGAACGAGGGGTCCCAAGCCGTGGGCCCCAGCCCGTCGTGGATTTCGGCCACATCAGGAAAGACGTCACCTGGTCCACACCGTTGCAGGAACGCCTTGACGTCGGCGATGCGTCGATCGAGCTTGTCGACCAGCTTGGCGTTGGACTTGGACGCCAGGAGCGAATCGCTAATGACTCCGACGAACATGCGCTTCTCCGTGACAAAGAGCTGAGTGTTGATCAAGAGCTTGTGGGCGGCGTGCAGGTGGTCAAACGTGCCACCAATCGCGGTCTCGGGGTATCCGGGGGCCGGGGCGGTCTCGGACAGATCGCCCGCGGCGGAAGGGAGCTTGGGAGTGGGCACCAGGTGCTGGGTGACACCGGCTGCGGCGGCTTCGATAATCGCAGGTGCTAAATCGGCATAGCCTGGAGGGTCAGTTCCTAATTGCCTAACACACCGGACGCGTACCATCGAGGAAAGCCACTACATCTGGCTTGGCGAGCAGCTTGTGCTTCCAGTCTCCGGGCTCGCCGTCAAAGCGCACCTCGACGTCGACGAGGATGTGGCCCGCACCCCAGTGACCAGCGGCCAGGGCTGCATAAACTTTGCCGAGGAAGTGCTGGAACGCGTCCCAGTGCACGCGCGGGGCTGCCCGCAGAGCCGGGTACAGCTGGGGGCCAGAGGGAGTGGAGAAGACGACGGTGAGGGTGGAGGTGGCGTGGTGGGCCGCCTGGTAAACCGTAGGGAGGAGGGGCCCTGGGTCCTGCAGAAGGGCTGGTGTCAACGGGAGGACCAGGAGAGCGTTTTGGGTATCCGGAATGGTGCGCATGGGTGAGCGAGTGTGTATGTATGACAGTGAGTACAAGAGCACAAGAGAGGCGTACAGGTGTGTTGTCAAGGCAGCCCACTCGTCGGCAGTCGGCAATGCGCGCTCATGTTGGGGGATGCGGGGTACCCCGGATTGTCAGCTCGCGTGGCAAAGTGCCACACCGTTTGGTAAAACGCCGCCAAACTCCGAAAACGACTGCTTACGAACCCAGGCTGCCACCGGAGCCGTGCGACGAGTCGGCGGGGGGCAGTGGTTGCCCGCCAAAAGCTTGCCGTTCACTCTTGGCTTGGTCTTCCAACCCTCAACCCCCTTTAAAACAGGTGAGCACCCACGACCATGCTCCAACCAGCAAAGCACAGCACACAGCACGACCCGGGAATCGCGCACTCGTGAAGACGCATCGCACGCTGCGCAACGCGAATTTCGAGAGCGTGGGAAGCGAGCTTTGGGAAGAGGAACCGAGATGTCGCCGCTGGGTGGGGATTATTCAGCAAGCTGGACATCGCAGTGGCGAGTTTGGTGATCACCCCAGCGGCAGTTTCGGTCTCTGCAACAGGTGTAATGGTGGCATCGAGGCTCGCAAGCGCATGGAGGGCGCGAGTCCGTCCGCGTTGACCTGTTGCCGCCACCACTTTACACTCCAAAGTCGCCATCCCGTCGTGCTTTGTCAGATTGCTAAGCAAGGCTGGAGCTCGCGTCTACAACTGGTCACACCGGATCCGAATGCTGACTGTCTTCTTCAGTCAAGATGGGTCGCCGTCCCGCTCGCTGCTACCGTTACTGCAAGAACAAGCCGTTCCCCAAGTCGCGCTACAACCGTGGTGTGCCCGACGCCAAGATCAGGATTTATGACCTTGGTCGCAAGCGCGCTTCGGTCGACGACTTCCCCTTCTGTTGCCACCTTGTCTCGGACGAGTACGAGCAGCTCTCGTCGGAGGCCCTCGAGGCCGCCCGTATTTGTGCCAACAAGTACATCGTGAAGACCGCCGGTAAGGAGGCCTTCCACCTGCGTGTCCGTGTCCACCCCTTCCACATCGTCCGTATCAACAAGATGCTTTCGTGCGCTGGTGCGGACCGTCTTCAGCAGGGTATGCGTGGCGCTTGGGGTAAGCCTTACGGCGCCGTCGCCCGTGTCAACATGTGAGTTTGAACAAGCAGTCTCGGTTACAAAGACGGCTGTGCTGACATTTTTTTCTCAGCGGCCAGGTTATCATGTCGATCCGTTGCCGTGACGCCAACAGGGCCATCATCATCGAGGCTCTCCGTCGTGCTCGTTACAAGTTCCCCGGTCGCCAGAAGATCATCGTCTCGAAGAAGTGGGGTTTCACCTCGCTCGACCGCCCCGACTACGAGGCCCTCAAGGCCAACAAGCAGGTCGTCAACGACGGTGCCTACGTCCAGTTCCTCAAGCCCAAGGGCAACCTCGAGGCCAACCTCCGCATGGCTGCCCGCGCTTAAGCGTGTCGTGGTATGGGGTTTGGGATGTAGACTACTGGTCGCATAGCGCATGCATGGCTAGCGGTACATTGGATATTGCAGCTTCGTTCTCTGACTGACACTGTTGAGGGAGCGCCATCGTTGATTGCACTGTGGTTGTTCGGTTACACCTTGGTTGCATGTTGCATGTGCTGTGCTTGAGCATAGGTCTGTGGCCCACACACACACGCACGCAGTGTGACGTGTGGACCCAAATGACCATGTAATCGTGTGCGCGGTTTGAAGTCCGACTTGTAGCGCGATATGATGCTTATAACAATTGCGTCACATGCCGCCAGTTGCTTCTCTCGCCACCACCACTTTCATCCATTCACCGCTTCCCATTCATCAGTTAACACTTCACCCATCACGCCACGTAAAGAGCACAGTGCGGTAACCACTCCGCTCCCTTCTCCTTTGCACCCATTTACACGCCATGTCATGTCGTTCTCGCGCGCACGGACCAATGCCGAGGTGAGCAGAATCCTGGTTGGCAACCAGACGGCTCACGAGACTACCGAGCCTGTGAACTGTGCTGCAGTCAAGCGTACATTTACTAATAGCGTAGCTGGTCGACCGCATGGTCGGCAAGGGCCTCATAACTTCCCTCCGTGTCGCAGAGGTATGCACTATTCTCCATCGCTGGCTACTGCTGACCTTGGCCTCCAGGCGCTGAAGGGAGTTGATCGCAAGAACTATGTGCCTTCAGACTGGGCCGCCTACGAGGACTCGCCTCAGTAAGACCAGTCGAATTGAGACTCACGGTTCTGACCACAGCTGACGGCCTGTCCAGACGTATCGGCTTCAATGCCACCATCTCCGCCCCTCACATGCACGCTCACGCATGCGAGAACCTCCTTACGCACCTTGACGCCGCGAATGACACAGAAGGCGGCGCCGTCCTGGATGTTGGTTCGGGAAGCGGCTACTGTGAGTCACCCGTGTGCTCCATTGCGTCTCGCTCACGCCTCGTTTCGCGACCTTGTTTGCACACCTATCTCACGTTCACACGAAACACTCCTTCTCTCGTGCAACGTGACACGTTCTTGCTTCCTGCCTGTTCCTCACCTGGGCTCGCTCATGCGCTCCATTCGTGGCTCAATCCTTCCCCCGGGACTCCTTCCACCTTGGCCCCTTTATCCTCCGCCTCCTGTCCTCTTGACATCTGCGATGACCACCGGCCACCTTTCCCCTTTCGTCATACCTTCTTATGGTTCTGCTTCTTTCTCGGTCTCTCAGTGACGGCGGTACTCCATCGCCTCGCGCCTCGTGCCACGGTCATTGGCATCGACCATCTCCAAGGTCTTGCGGACCTAGCTCGTACCAACCTTGCGAAAGACGGCGTGACTATCGGCCCTGCGTCAAAGATTGACATTGTTTGTGGCGACGGGCGCAAAGGGTGGCCTGCTCATGGTAAGTAGCAAGCCAACAACATGGCAAACGCAGAAGAAAAACACTAAATGTTGCGTAGCACCTTACCAAGTGATCCACGTTGGTGCTGCAGCACCTTCTATTCCGGACGCACTCGTCGACCAGCTTGCTGCCCCTGGGCGCATGTTCATACCTGTTGGCGTAGTGGAGCAAGGTGAGTGCGGCGGAGTCGCGGCGAACAGTGATCGGTGCGAAGCAGGACCCCATTGGGGAATGCTTCTGTCCGCTCCATGTCGTTGCTTCTCGCAGATGACACCCTGTCGTCATTGGGCCGCCGATGCTGATGCGGTAGACATCTGGCAAGTCGACAAGGACGCGTCAGGTGCTGTTATCCGCAAGAAGCTCTTTGGAGTCATGGTACGTTGTGTCGGAGTCCCGTTCCCCACTAACGCATGCCAGTACGTTCCTCTGACCGACAAGGAGAAGCAGTGGACCGAGTAGCCCGCCACCACCACAGCTGGCGACGAAAGGATCCCATGGTTGTTGTCATTGACCCACGCGTGTTCACCCTCCAACCACGCTCCGCATTCTCGATCATACGCACATCCACGCACGGCATATGGCAGCTAGCACCAGCTCCCTCAATCCCTCAGACGCCCTAGCCTTCGCTCAACGACCTTCCGCACCGTTTCAGTTCACGACACCACCCTCTTCACCTTCCACCACCCTCTACCCTCATTGACCCTCCACTCGCTGCCTCTATTTTGAGTTTCCACACCACACCGCTTAGTCTGCTTCTCGGGCACGTTTGCACCGGTTAGCGCTCCCCCATTGTAGGGTGTGAACCTGGCATTGTGTCGTCATGTATTGTACACGAATACTATGCACGCGTATGGCAGTGAAACTGCGGTTGAGAGGGCAATCTGAACAACAGCCGTTGCTCTGGTCCGCCTCCACTCCGCCCTCAGCTGTGAACGCGCCGTTTTCTGAGGGCCAGAGCCCCCCACTGTCCCTCGCAGCAACCTGTCATCTTCCAACGTAGTCGCGTCATTGCAGGCTCAGGTTCGTGCGCTCGTGTGCACCAAAAAAGGTCATCCAAATGAGTGTGCATGGGCAAATGAAAACAGCGAGGAAGAGTACAGAAAGATGTCCACCCGTCATGAAACCCCGTTTCGACCGTCTAGAATTCGGACGCGGGGCGATTAATGGGTGGTAGTAAGGCTTGCTCTCCGCAGCGGACCTCAGCCGCCCTTTTTGGTAGCAAGGGACATAACCCCCATACTCCAGAAAGGTCTGGTGCAGGGGTTTGGCGTGTGGGTCGAGCTGCGTGGAGAAGAAGTCCAAAGACACGGCGCGCGGCTGGCTTTAAAGGGGGAATCGGCGGCGGGTGCGAACGACAACGGCCGGCTGGGCGGGGACGGCGTTTTGGGCCGTTGTGGCGGAATGGCGGAATGGGTCTCTCGCATTTGGCAGGCGCGCAGTTTTAGTTTTGGTTTTGGGTGAGGGATTTGGCTTGCGGTTCGCTGGGTGCGAGGGTGCGAGGCCGGGCCCCTACGAAAGGCGGGGCATCTGGCTAGCCTCAGACTGAATTTCAGCGCGCGTGCACGTCTCCGTTTTCTCCATCGCATCAACTTTCAAGGTGAGTTTACCACAGACGAACATTTCCCCTCCCCCCCCCCCCTCCCCACTCTCAAGGCCGCTGCTGCTGTCTCTGCCAGCGTGCCTCGCTTAATATGACGAAATCATCTGTGAAAAATAGGAAGTGCCATCTGCATTACGACCCATAGTCTATGCTGTTTCCAGGTTCTCTGAAATCTACCTCTCCCCAACCCGCTCTCTTCGCTCTTCCTTACAGAGATGCTGACAGGAAATAAGATGGTGCCACAGAACAACGACATGCTCACGCCACGAGCGTGACGACGCGGTGTCGACTCTCTCCCGCCATCGTGCGTGCTGTAGCGGTCGTGCCGTGCCGGAACCGTGCCTCCCAGCGACCTACGTCGCGTCGTCAACCCGATAGAAGGGTAGCTGGACATGGTGACGGACGTTTTGGGCTGTAGTAGTGATCAGATATATAATGCATATGGTGTTGTATCTCCTTACCCTACCGTCCTCCTCTCCGTCGGCTTCGCCGTGCATGCGCTGCAACCTGCCTGCTCTCGCCGCATTTCCTTATTCTTACTTATAGATACTTACGCCAATTTCGCTTCCACATCTTTATACCGAGTATACGCTCGGCCGGACCACAAAGGCCGTGTTACCAGCCAAGACGCTGACGGGGACTACGCACTCGACTGTCTCGGCACGAGCCTCGAGCCATCCCTCCGATCCCTTGGAATACGGGGTAAGAGTTGGCCCGGCCGTAAACGTCACATTGTCCGTGTCGCCTTCAGCTGGCAGGAGGTTGATCATGGTGTTGGCACTCAACAGGTGGGCGGCCCCCGCAGCCTTTGCAGGGATGGCAGGCTTGGTGTCCCCACCGGGCCGGCCGTTGAGTGGTGAGTCGGCCCCCTGGGCTGCCTGAGGGGTCCGTGGGGTGTGGGACGACGATGGTCCGCGATGCGCGGGCGGGGACGCAACGAGGAACGCCAGACGGACGCGCCACTCGAGACCACCGGCGCGACCTTCGCCTGCAGCAAGTGCAAATGCTGGTGTGGCATCGGACGGAATGTCGAGCGAGAAGGGCATACGCGCTGTATGCAGAGCGTACGAAGTACGGTACTCGGCGTGGGTGCGACGAAGTTCTGGCTGGCGTGCACGGCCCGACGAGCTGGCAGATTGTGGGAGGAGGGGCTCGGGAATGACCTCGTGGGTTTCCAGAAACGCGGAAAACTTGAGTACGCGGCGGTCGCACGCCCCGTCGTTGAAAGTGACAACGCCAATGACCGTCTCACCGAGACGGTACGTTGTCTTGATAAGCGTCAAGACAGCGACAACCTCGTCTTCCTGACTAATGTCGTATGATGCCTTTGGAGAGTGGCGGGAAAGAATCTCCACTGCCTCGCCACAGCGCTGGGCATCCTCAACGAGCTCGTCGTCGCCTGCAACGCTTGTGGCGCGTGGGCGGAGTTTTGGCGGGTCCTCGGGGGCTGCCAGGAGGAAGTTGCGACCAGAAGGTGACTTGGTCATACCAGGACTCTTCACCACCACTGGGTCCACTGAGGCGACTGGTGACAGAGGGGTGAGGGACTTTGAAGGAGAGGGGGGAGGTGCTAGGCGGTGGTGTCCGCCGCCGGACGGGATCGGCTCCAAAGTGTTGATCAACTGTCGCGCATACGATGCCAACGAGTCCACATTGGGCTTGGGGGCCTCGTGTGGTGTCTGCTTGCGCGCAGCAGGCGAGAGAGGCAACGGCTCGCGCTCAGCAACCGATCCAAGCTCCGTGTTCTGGATGACGGGCTGAAGCACATCATATGTTCTCAAAGGCTGGGCGAGAGAGACGTTTGGCCAAACGCGCACTGGGATGGTAATTTCCTTTGTTCTCTGTGCCTTGGCGGGCCCAGGGAGGAGAACGGTCAGAGAAACGACCAGCTCGTATGAGAACCGCAGAGCTTTGCCCTTGAACGCTGGTGGTAGACTTGAAGGAAGCTGAAGAGTGTACACAACTGGAACGTTAGCCGCGCCCAGATCACAGTAACTCACATTCCCTTGACTGGCCATCCATCACCTTGATGTCCACACCAAGGAGGCTGCGAGCAGTCTCAAGGACAGGGAGATCTTGCGTGTTCCACACACGTTTCCGCTCTTCCTCCAGCGAACCGCCGGCACCACCATACACAAGACCTTTGGCCAGTCCAAAGAGGCTGCCGGTCAGACTCGGCTGTGCGTCACGGCCGATAGATCCTGTGCCAAAGCTCAGCGCCCATCGTGATGTTGAACGCTTCGCCTTTTCGGTAGGAATTAGCGATCCAGATCCAATGGGTTGATGCAGGAGACGAGACTTGAGTGGGAGGAGCGGATCAGGTGGGATATGTTGGTGCGAAGGAGTAAAGCGCGCGACAAGTCGCGTCTGGGCCCATAGAACTGTCGTGCTATTGCTGTCCAGGGGAGGCCGAGCGCGTATGGATGGATGTATCGGTGGAGGGGAGAGGAGCGATGTGCCGTACGCGTTGTGATACGATGGTGCCCGGACGTGTAAGCGTCGGCCGCCGCTAACTGAGCGACGAGGTGAATGCCCGCTGGACGAAGTGGATCCCATCGAACCCGCTGACGAGATGCCAGGGGAGCGAGGCGGTGGTGAGCGAGCTCCTTCGGGCCATAATCCAGACTGATGCGGCTCCTCCGCAACGTCTGGTAACGCTGGCGATGGAGAGCGTCCAGAAAGCCCAGATATGCTGTTGCGCGACGGACCAGCCTCAGGAGTAGAGATATCCTCCATGTAGGATTGGTCTGGCTCCGAAATCACAGGCGTGCCTTCCATATTGGACGACGTATCAGGCGACAGAGGCGTACGCTGTGGTGTGTAGGGCCCTGCATTGTCACCTTGGGGGGGTGGGGTGGGCAAGGTGGCGGGCGCAAGTGGTGGAGGAGAATGGGTGAACGCCGCCGTACTTGCGATCGATATCTTGCGTGCATGAGGGTGCGATATTGGGATAGAAGAAGCGGATCGACGTGCAGGCAGCGGTGGTGGTAGTTGAGGCGAATGTGGCCCGGTTGGAGGTGCTACACTTGTCAGCACTTAGACGGGTTGTGTTGCGTCGTAGTAAGCTCACTGTCACCGCCGCCGAGAGCCCAGACCATTTCCTGGCTGCTCAGTGTCCCCTTCCCAAGCGCGAGACTCTGGGAACGACGGGAATGTCCATGTCCCGATGGGCGCCTAGCATGTCCCCGCCATCCCTGCATGGTACTCGGTGAGTACGGGCGGTCTGGGGTGAGAGGCGAGTTGAGATCATATCCACCTGGAGTACTTGGAGAACGCGGCTGTGGGTTGTAGAGGTGCGGCGTATGTACGGGGTTGGGCGACGCCGGCTGCGACTGTGGGTACGGGGACTCTGGGGGAGAAGTGTGAATGGGTACTCTTGTGTTGCGTAGGGTGATGACGGCCGAGAAGACTTCTCCGGCATAGAAGGCCGACGCGCTTGGGGTCACCGTCACCTCGAGGTGAGAGTCGAGGGTGGCCGTGTCTACAGACACCGGGGGTGTCGCGACGGAGAACATGGTTCTGCCCAAAGCGCTCTCGCACACCTCCCTGCAGCAGTGGCGAGGAGAATGTGCCGAGGTGGTATGCACAATCGCGCGCGGTGAATGGAGAGAGAGAGAGAGAGGTGGAGGTTGGTCGTCGAGGACGACGTCGATGACCCGCTCTCCGTCTCACAGGTGTGAGCTGACACGTTCTGGGCGCGCGTGCAGGCGCGCAGGAGTGTGGTGGGATAGTGCGGGGCCCTCAAAACACACCCTGGCAAAGCACGGCCGGTGCGCGCCGGGTGCCACACGCGGCGAAAACTGGCCCCCTCTCAACGCTCACTTTTCATCGTCTTTCTCACTCCATCACCACTACTCAACACGTCTATACCGCCCAGCGGCTGTGCATCCACCCCACTTTTGCTGCGCGCATCGATACTACAGCCCCGGAGCTGCATTCCCCCGCTCGAACAGCCCCGATCCGTGTCCCACAGCCCGCCCCAGGCCTGGTGGCGAACACCGCACCCAAGAACTGTCGCTTCCACGCATTCCACCCACCACCCACGACCTGCGAGCGGAGTCAATTCCAGTAATCACAAAACCCCCGGCGATCAAACATGGTGTCCACCCCAGCTTCCAAAGGTGGTCGCTCCGGCAGCGAGTCTCCTGCACCGACCGTGGCACCCCCAGGGTCCTACACTCTGGCCGTGAGTTGTGGTGGAAGGAACACGGGTGTGACAGAACTAATATAAACAGGATGTTGTCCCCGGTGTCAAGATCTTTGTTAGCAAGCCGCTAGGCAACGGCCAGGTTGAGCATCGCAAGGCAGAGGTCTTGTCAACAAGACCTCGACCGGTGTCAGCCTTTGCTCCCAAGCCCGGACCCAACGACCCCAAGCCGGATCCGCGGGACGACACCGAGTATTATATCCATTATGTCGAGTTCAACAAGCGTCTCGACGAGTGGGTTGGTGGTAGCCGTCTCATGACCGACAAGGAGATGGAGTGGCCCAAGGCAAAGGAGGAGAGCAAGAAGAAGTCGACTGGAAAGGCAACTCCAGGCAAGGCTACTCCTGGTTCTGCATCCCCAGGCCGTCCCTCCAAGGCAGGAGCCACGCCCAAGAGTCTGCTCAAGAAGGCTGCCACAAAGGCCGCCTCCCAAGTTGGTAAAGCACCGTCAAAGGCTAGCAAGAAGAGCAAAGCCAAGGCCTCGGCCGGTGCCGACGAGGAGGATGACGACGACGACACCGCTGAGGGCGACGACGATGCCGATGCGGACGGTGACGTGAGCATGTCATCTGCAGAGGACGAGACCGAGATGGTGGCCAGCGACCCGACTGCCGGCCCGGCAGTGTTCTCAAAGAAGCAAGAGATTGAGAAGCTCCGTACATCGGGTTCCATGACCCAGAGTCACAGCGAGATTTCGCGTGTCAAAAACCTCAACAAGCTGCAAATCGGCAAGTCTGAGGTCGAGTCGTGGTACTTTTCGCCCTACCCCGCCGAGTACGCCTACTTGCCAAAGCTCTTTATTTGCGAGTTTTGCTTGTTATACTATCCCTCAGCCACCCAACTCACTCGGCACCGTACAAAGTGCACCCTCATGCACCCTCCCGGCAACGAGATCTATCGCCACAACGGCATCTCGTTCTTCGAGATTGACGGAAGGCGGCAGCGCACCTGGTGCCGTAACCTGTGTCTGCTCTCAAAGTGTTTCCTCGATCACAAGACGCTCTACTACGATGTCGACCCATTCCTCTACTACTGCATGACCGTCAAGGACGAGTACGGCGACCATCTCATTGGTTATTTCTCGAAAGAGAAAGAGTCCGCTGAGGCCTACAACGTTGCGTGTATTCTCACCCTCCCACAATACCAGCGCAAGGGTTACGGAAAGGTCCTAATCGAGTTCTCGTACGAGCTCTCCAAGGTTGAGGGCAAGCTCGGATCCCCCGAAAAGCCGCTTTCGGATTTGGGTCTGCTCTCGTACCGCGCCTACTGGCAGGAGAAGATTGTCGAGCTCCTCCTCGAGTCGGAAGACGAAATCTCGCTCGATGAGATTGCCCAGCGTACCAGCATCACCCACGGCGACGTCATGCACACGTGCCAGGCTCTCCAGATGATCAAGTACTACAAGGGCCAGCACATTATCCACCTTACCGACGCTGTTCTTGAACAGCACCAAAAGTCCCGAGCCAAGCAGCGTAACCCCATTGACCCCACCGCTCTCAAATGGAAGCCGTGAGTTACACCACCAAGTGGCCAATAAACTGACATCACAGACCCGTGTTCACTCGTTCCCAGCTGTCGTTCGGCTTCTAAACAGGCTCCTCCAATTGCCACTCTTCTCCTTCTTGGGTCTTCTTGCCGTAGTTGCAGTGTGTAGCATCATCAATTGTATCAGGTGCGGCCCCATGGGTCCACACCATAGAAAACACGTAGATCAAAACAAATCCAGAAATGCCATCCATGAGTAATACACCGACCACACCATGCCCAAGTGACAGTTTCTCTCTCCTCCTTGCTCCGTGTGCTCCGAGTCCGGGACCAGTCTATAGCCATGCATGGTGGTACAATACGGGCAGTGCAATTGGGATATAAATGTCGCGAGCTGTCTAGTTGCGCTTCGACTTTTTGGACTTTGCGATACGCTTGAGTGCGCGAGTCTAGATTTTGTCAGCTGCAAATCCTCACCTATGAGAGAAACAACTCACCTCCTTGCGCATGCGTGCGTCGACAATCTTGTAGTGACCGCGGACACCCTTGGGACGGCCCTTGACACCCCTGTTGGCACCACGGGCGACAACGTACTTTGTCTCCTTCTTCTTCTCGCCCGAAGCAGCGCGGCGGAGAAGCTGGGCGACCTGGCGAGCCTTCTCGCCGTCGTTGAGGTCCTCCGTCTCCATGACACCGTCGGCCTTCCTCTTGGCACGCTGGAGACGGGTGTTCGCCTTGATCTTTTTACGCCACTTGGCCTCGGCCACCTTCTTGATCGGGCGGGCGTCGAGAGCACGCTGGCGCTCCTTGAGAGCAGCGACGGCCTCCTTGGTGATGGGGATGTTGGGGCGGTAGTGCTTGGACTCCTCGTCAAGGAACCACGAGGGAAGACCATCCTTGTCCTTGTAGCCACGGTTGAAGCCCTCGTCGATGAGCTGCGAAGCAGTGATCTCGCGGTTGACGAGGCGAGTGGCAAGCTGGACGGCTTCGGCAGTGTTGAGACCCTTCTCTGATAAGGGTTAGTAGTGGTTCATTATGATGTCCAACTCACCCTTGATCTTCTCCTGGAGCACGGCGTCCTGGTCCTCGTCGTCGACATCCCACTCGGGGTCGTCGTCCTTCTCTTGGGGCACAATCTCAAAGTCGTCGTCGTCGTCGTCGCCCTCATCCTCCAGAGTCGACTCGAGGCTCGAGCCCATCTCAATGTCGCTGTCCACCTCCTCCTCGTCATCCTCATCCTCATCCTCATCGTCGCTGTCCATATCATCGTCACCGTCCTCCTCGTCCTCGTCGTCGCCGTCCAGAGCAGCAAGGTCACCAACGTCCTTGAAGATGGACTGGTCGAACCAGACCTGGGCCTGTCGGCTCATCTGGGCGCGCTGCTGCTCAGCAGAGAGGGTGGTGAGGAGACGCTGGGGCTGCTGCTCAGGTGCGCGAGCGTCGGGGCGGATCTTGATAGCGGCCCGCTTGGCCTTGGGCAGCCGGGGGACACCCTCCTCTCCGCTGGCGTCCGAATCACTGTCGTCGTCCTCGCCAAGCTTGGCCTTTTGCTGGGCCACAAGGTCCCAACCACCGTCCGAGCTTTCTGCCTCCTCCTCATCGGGGGCATCACCGCGACGGGGCATGCGGACCATCTTCTGGTCACGGTACCCCTTGTCGACGCCGTCGTCCTCGCTGTCGCTACCCTCACGGATACCGTGCCACGAGTCGTAGTTGCGGTCCTTGAGGCGCATTTGCTTGACCTTCCACTTGGCGTCGCGCTCGGCCATACGGTCCTTGTAGTCGTCGTAGAGACCGTCAAGCTCGCCCTCGAGGGCACGAGTACGGAGCTCACGCTCCTCATCCGAGGACAGAACCTCGTCGTCGTCCTCCTCTTCAGGCTCGCGGGCCTCGTCCTCAGACTCAGACATGCCGTCGGCGTCGCGAACAGCATCGCGAATGTTCTTGCCGCCGGCGCGCTCGAGCTCGCGCTCACCTTCGCCGAGGTCGAACATCTCCTCACCATCGAGAGCGTTGTCGCCCATGTCGAGGTCGGTAGGGGCGGTCATTCCAAGCTGGAGCTTTTGGATCGTCTTGGTCTTGATCTCGTTCTTGCGCTTCTTCTCACGCTTCTGCTTGGACGCCTTCTCCTCGTGGAGCTTCTTGAGCTCCTGGGTGATCTGCTCCTCTTCATCAATCTCCTCAACCTCAACCTCCTCCGTGGCGTCACCGGCAGCGCTGGCCTTGACGTCAAGACCAATCTCCAGACGAATGGCGAGACGCCACTTCATGAGCTGCTTAAAGTCGCTCTTGCCGAGAACCTTGAGGTCCTCGCAGTTGACAATAATGTCAGGCGTGGTGTGGCGAGACTTGAGCCAAGCCTTCTCCTCGTCGGTGACAAACTCGATCATGTTCATGCTTCCGAGGAGCGAGACGGGGTCCTGGGTGCGGATAAAGTCGGCCGCAGTGGACTTGTGGAAGAGCATGGTGTCGCCATCGGCGTAACCTTCACGCTGACGGCGCTTCTTCTCGGGAGCGTAGACGTTGGCGTGAGCGTGGTTGCTGGCAGCCATGCGAGCAATGGCGTTGGCGGCAGCCGAGGTCGAGGCCTGAGTGGCAACGACGCCAGGGATGCCAGACGCAGCAGGAGCGTCGGTGATGGTGGTGGGAAGGGAGGCAAGGTCCTTGAAGACATGCTTGGGGTCGAGGAACTTGGGGTCAATGTGCTTGGGCGCAATGAAGTCGCGGCACACGACGAAGATCTCGGCGGAAACGTTACGCGACGATGGGGGCTTGGTGGCCTCGACGTGGGTGAAGAGCTGGCCAAAGACCCACATCAGGTTGTTGTAGTCTTGCGAGCGGAAGACCTTGGTGACAAAGCTACCACCCTTGGCGAGGAACTCGGTCGCGAGCTTCAGCGACTGGAGCACAAGCTCGTTCTGGGTGAAAGCGTCCTGCACCCACGCGGCACCAACGTTGGGGGCACCGTCGTGGAGAACAAGGTCGGCCTTCCAGTCGTGCATGTGCTGGCGCAGGGTGTTGCGACAGTGGGGAGTGGTAATGTCGGCCTGGAACGAGATGACATGGGGCAGAGGCTTGATGGGGACAAGGTCGACACCGATGATCAGACTGCCCTTGGGCATGTACTTTTCGGCAACCTGGAGCCAACCACCGGGGGCCGCACACAGGTCGATAACACAGCGCGATTTGGAGAGGAGGTCATACTTGCGGTTCAGGTGCACAAGCTTGCTGTAGAGGATGTCAGCAGACGTAGATAAAGGTCGTCGGTGGAGGAAGGGAGCATCCCACTCACAAGGCTGAACGGGCACGATAGCCCTGCTCCTTGGCGAGACGATAGAACTTGTCAAGACGTCCCTTTCCGGACTTCTTGTCGTGCTTTCCCATCTTGTCTGGATGACGAGCGGGGTATAGGTTGTGGTGGCAAGAGGAGGGTTGTTGGCAGTGCTCGCGTGAACGTCTCTGTGCTGCCCCTTCAAAATCTGGGAAGATATTTTAGGTCCCGTTGCCACCAGCAAAAAAAAAACGAGTTCGAATCCGGGGAGCGACAGACCACTTTTGCGCGCACCAAAAAGGGCAGGGGCCGACGTGGGCGGAAGCAAATCAGCGCGTGTGATTTCACAGCGTTAAAGAGGGGGTGACAGATAGACGGACAGTAAACACGGCGCAACCATCACAAACAACCGTGACCACCTTTCCCTTCTCGACAACTCCACTGTTTACCTCGATCCCCTCGACGCGACAAGCCCCGCCTACACCACACCCTCTTGTCTCTTTGCGGGTCTCAACGCTCGGCCGCACATGTTCATCTAGTACCGTGCACCGTACCCTTTGCGACCACTTTCGACACTGTACCTCTTCACAACACAGCAACCCTAGAGAACAAACCGCACCGTCATGGCGGACGGCGACCACGACCCAGCGTCGCCACCCAAGAGCGACGTCCAGTCGACCCCTTCCATTTATGCCTACCGCACTCGCTTGCTGAGTAAGCAGGACGCGTCCCAAGATGTCCAGTCATCCTTTGCAGGCAACGGCTCCTCCCCATCGCGAGCTCCCACGGTATCGCGCATGAACTCGCTCCGCGAAGAAGCCACTGTCGGTGGCTTGAGGCGTGCCGGCTCTGGCGCGCGTATCGGCTCCCATACTCGTGGTGGCAAGTCTGTTGACCTTGTCCGCAACCAGTGGGAGGCCAAGATCGAAGCCGCCGCCGTCATCGAGGAGCCTACGCCGCAGCCCATTCCTCGCCCTCGCTCAATGTATCTTGCCTCTACGGCGACTGCGCAGGCGTCGCAATCTACGACCCCACCGCCTGCTACCACCACCCCCACCAAGGTGACACCCTCTGCGGCTGCCAGTGAATCTTTTCTTGCACACGCACGGAGCACCTCTGCCCTTCGTCCAAAGCGTGCAACTGTCGACGGCGTCCCTGGGTGGAACCCTCCGAGCGCCGGCGCTGGCAACAAGGACGTCAAGTTCCCTGGTGCCGCCGAGCAGACGAGCTCCCCTGTTGAGCCGGAGGGCTTTGTCGGCGAACTCCCTCGCTTCCCGCGTGACCGCCCGTCGTCCATTACGTCCTACGCGACCATCTCACCCAATGTCACTGGCCAATCGACCATGTCGCTTCGGAACAAGTCCTCAGTCGACACGCTCGCTGAGGCTCGCGCCAACGCACTCCGTCGGCTCGAGGCAAAGAAGAAGGCTGGCGTTGTTGTTCAAGAGCCCCAGTTTGACCTTCCGCCCGTACCGCAAGTTCCCCCCAAGGTGGAGATCAACCTCGAAGACTTTGCCCCTGTGCTGAGAACTGTTCCGTCTTCTCGACAGAACAGCATTACTGAAGCAGAGAAGCAGTCTGTCCTCCTGCCCAAGACCTCACATATTATCAACCAGACTCCATCGAAGGCTCCCACCCCAACCAAACCCACCGACAGATCGGTGATGACACTTCCCACCCCAGCGCCTTCTCAGGGTTCCTCAGACACCGCTCCCAAGCCCTCGCCCTTTGGCGAGCGTTTGCGTCCTGCCCCCAAGTCTCTCGTGGCAGTTCAGCCAGTAACCCAGGCCGGAGCACCGGCTACCTCGCCCACGCCGTTTGGTGAGCGACTAAAGGCGGCACAGCGCCGGGAGCCCGTGGTCCTCCCCAACGAGGTTTCCAAGCCGGAGCCCGAGTTGCCAACACTTCGTAAGACGAAGAGTATCAACCTCGGGGCCCCAAACAAGCCACCCCCTCCCACCCTGGCCGACAGGCTTGACGCGCTCAAGCTGGCGGAATCGAAGCCAATCGAGCAGACGAAGCGTGTCCAGACTCGCCGCTCAGTGGACGAGATTCGGAGGTCCCTCAACACCCCTTCCGAGATTCCAAAGACGGTTATCGATCTGCCCAAGCGTATTGTATCCGACTCTCCGATCTTGGCTGCTCAGAGCACTGGCGACGAGGCTGCCCCTTCGCCCAAGGCTGCCACTCCCAAGCCCAAGCTTGCTGGTCTAGGCTTCCGTGCGCCTACTGGACCTCCCAAAGGAACGGTTGTCGTCGTTGGCCAACCGCTGGACGTCTGGCGAGGTCGGTGCAGCGCCATCTCCCCGTGCTCGTGTGCCTTCCCGCAGCCATGACGGTCGTTCTCTTGGCAAGCACCTCCCCCGCATCGTCTCTGGTGACATGGGATGGGAGGGTGACGCCGTTCGCGGAGCCAGTGCAGCCCGCAAGGCGTCTGTGAAAGGTCGCAAGACATCTCTCAGCCGCTCAACTCCAATGCCCCTGACTGAGGTGAACACTCCCCCCAGACCAAGGGCTGAGCCGCCCGTTGAGGTTTTGCCTGTACCCTCTGTGATCCCTTCGCCAGCTCGTCCGGCCGAACCGCTTGCCCCTCTGGCTCCCTCTGCGGCCATCAACACACCGACTCCCACCACCCCCTCGACGCCCTCCAAGAAGTCGTCCAAGTCCAACCTTTATGGGTCTTTAACTCCTCGTGCCGAAGTCCACGGAGCCGAGATGAAGGGACTCATGAGTGCCATCTCGGCTGCCCCCGCGCGTCAAGGCAATGACGATGGCGGTGAGGGCGTCACTGGCATGTCGAACCGCGTGCGCCTCTCGCAGCGTCTGCCTCTTGCCGCTTCATCGGTCAAGGTGGCACCTGCGCCTCTTCCATCTCGTCGCTTGGCTGGTAACAACAACTGGATGGACCGCCAGCGTCACGCTCTCGCGGCGTACGAGTACCTCTGCCACATTGGTGAAGCCCAGCAGTGGATTGAGGGTTGCCTCGATGAAGAACTCGAATTTGGTGTCACGGAGATGGAGGAGGGCCTGCGAGACGGTATTGCTCTGGCCAAGCTCGCCCGCGTCTTCCAAGGCGAGCAGGTTGTGCGCCGTATCTGGACCGAAGCCAAGCACCGTTTCCGCCAGTCTGACAACATCAACTATTTCCTCAACTTTATCCGCTCTGTCGGCATGCCCGAGACCTTCATCTTCGAGCTCACTGACCTGTACAACAAGAAGAATATCCCCAAGGTCATCTTCTGTATCCACGTGCTCAGTCACTTGCTGGCCCGTCTTGGTCGTGCCGAGCGCATGAACAACCTTGTCGGCCAATTTGAGTTTACCGACGAGCAGCTCGCCGCTACTCAGAAGGGTATCCAGGGTGTGGCCATGCCCAACTTCCAACAAGTAGGCCAAACTCTTGCGAAGGAAGCCAGTTGGGAGCCAGAGCCTGAAGAGGAAGTTGAGGAGGAGACCGAGGACGAGCGTGAGTTGCCGGACCGACTTCCGGAGTGTTGGCTAACCCCACAGGCCGCGACCGAGAGCTGCTTGAATGTGAGGGATCCATCATTTCTCTCCAGCAGCACCTCCGTGGTGCCCTTGCTCGCCAGCGTGCCACTCGTGTCAAGACACAGCTCAAGCTCGCCGCCCCCATCATTGTTCAGCTTCAGTCTCAAATCCGTGGCCACAGGTCTCGTGCCGCCGTGAAGACTGAGAAGAGGGGTCACCAGAAGCTCCGTGGCTGGGCCACGTCGTTCCAGGCAGTTTCTCGCGGGTACCTTGCCCGCAGTCGCTGGAACCAGCATGTTGGCGATGTGCGCAACATGGAGCGTTCCATGGTCGGTGTCCAAGCCCAGGCGCGCGGTTGTACTTGCTCGAATGCGCCGTTCGGCCCAGGACAATGAACTCGACCGCGCTCAACGCGCCTTTGTCGGCATTCAGGCTACCTGCCGTGGTTGGCTTGCCCGCCGTGACCGCAAGGAGGAACGCAGAGCCCTTACCAACCCCAAGAACGTCCAGGCCGTCACTGCTATGCAGGCTATCCTTCGTGGCCGCCTCTCTCGCCAGGCCATGGTCAAGGAGCACAAGGCGATACAGATCCACGCGGCTACGTTCACCAAGCTACAAGGTCACCTCCGCAGTGCCCTCGTTCGCCGCCAACACAAGACCCGCGAACAGAAGATGGACGACGCCAACAGCTACATTGTCGCTATCCAGTCGCAGGCTCGCGGTGTCCTTGCTCGCCGTCGCAAGAATGTGTTCACCAAGGCTGCTGTCACTGTCTCGGCGTCTGTTTCGTCGTTCCAGGCTCTTGCTCGTGGCCGTCTTGCCAAGAAGACTCACGACAACATGCAAAAGGCACTCGCCAAGGTTGAGGTGGCCGGTTCGGTTGGCGGTCTGCAGGCCTTCCTTCGCACCCGGCTCGCCAAGCGCCACACGGTTGAGCAAAAGAAGAAGCTCGAATTCGTTCAGCCCGACGTTATCGGTTTCCAGGCCGTGGCGCGCGGTTACCTTGCCCGCCATGAATTCCGCGAGTGGCGTGACTACCTCGTTGACCCGCACACTCAGGGTGCCCTCGTCTTCCTGCAGTCCCTCTCGCGCGGCTTCATTGCTCGCCGTCGCTTCTGGATGCGCTGGTGCTACCTTCACCAGAACATTGACAAGATTGTCAAGGTGCAGTCCATGTGGCGCGGTCGCAAGCAGCGCCAGATGTACGAGCGTCTCATCACTGGTGTCGGAGTCGATGTGCCAACAATCCAAAACTACATGCACCTTCTCGACGACACGGAGACCGATTTCCACGATCAGCTGCGTATCGATACTTTGCGCAAGGAGGTTGTTGAGCTGCTGCGCACCAACCAGACTCTCGAGACGGAGGTGAAGGAGCTCGACACTAAGATTGCCCTCATTCTCAAGAACAAGATGTCCTTTGAGGACCTGGTCCGCGCCAAGCGCCGTCACGGTGCTGCTACTGGTGATGACGCGTTCCACCCTCCCGGCGGCGGCGATCCGTTCACCAACGTCCACCTCGACCGTGCCAGCCAGCGCAAGCTTGAGTTGTTCGAGCACCTCTTCTTCACGCTCCAGACGGACCCCAAGTACCTCTCCCGTCTTTTGCACAAGCTCGCAGCCGACCCTGAGGCCGACAAGGATCGTCTCCTCGTCGAGGGCGTCACACTCATCCTGTTCGGCTTTGGCCACGATCGCCGCGAAGAGTACCTCTTCCACAAGCTCTTGCAGATTTCGGTGCACGAGCAGGTGTTGCGTTCGCGCTCAATCGAGGAGCTCCGTGACAGCCGCTTTGCGATCATCTCCGTCGTCACGCAGTACGTCAAGCCACTCTTGACTCCCTACATCCAACAGGTGCTCGCGCCGCACATTCAGCGCATTTTGGATGACCACGAGCTTGACCTCGCAACCGACCCCGTCGAGATTTACCATCGCATCATCAATGCCGAGGAGAGTCTTACTGGCATCAAGAGCGATCTTCCTCGTGACGTGGATGCCGACAAAGTGCTTCAAACTCATACTGAGTCGCGCACCACCTACATTCACAGTAAGTCACACGAAACACGAGACGCCTTGGTCTTAACTGACCTCTTGCAGACCTTCAGAAGCTCCACAACCTCACTGCTCCACTTGCAACTGACCTCATGGGGTCAACGGCACAGATGCCCTACACTGTCCGCCTGATTGCGCGCGAGGCTCTTCTTGCTCTGCGTGTACGCTACCAGGACTATGACGACAGCGCCCTCTGGCCTGTCATTGCCAAGGCTATTCTCTTGCCATTCATCCTCCCCGCTATCATCGCACCTGAGACGTACGGTATTGCCGACAGTGTCAATCCCATCCAGAGGCGTAACCTCGCTGCCATTGGAAACGTTCTTGGCTACGTGGCTGCTCAGGATGAGTCGCCCAGAGAGAGTGACCGTCTCGTTCGTGTGCCACTCAACGCCTACATCAGTGCGGAAGGTCAGCGTATGGGCGATTGGGTTTTGGATGGTGAGTAGCAACCGCATGGTAGTTTGGTGATGCGGTTACTAACGGATTCAGCGTCCGAGGTGGACTTCCAGGTTCAGGAGATGCTCGAGTCGACGTCGGAAGCGACACCTATCGCTATCACGCGTTCCGACATTTACGGCCTTCTGTCGATCCTCATACAGTCCATCCCGGCTCTTACGGCTGGCAAGACTGGCGACCCCATCGAGAGCGTCTTGAACGAACTCGAGGGTCCACCAGTGGAGTACGACAGAAGCAAAAGCACTGTTCGCGTGCGCCTCACCAACCGCCTCGCCCAGCTTCAACCGAGCGATCCTTACCAGGCTCAGGTCCGAGAGCTCGAGGTCCAGGCCAAACGTCACGTCATCGCCGTACTGCGCGTGCAGACCGGACGTGACTTGTACGAGGTTCTCCTCAGTCACCCCAGTGAGGAGGACGAGGAAAAGTGGATTGTGGAGGTTCACCGCGACATTGCGCTCGAGCAGGCACGAAAGGAGCGCCACGATCTGCCGCCTACCCCCGTTGAGGCGGAGTACCAGATGGAGAGCATCCGATCACTACCCTTCCACGAGGTCAAGTCGCGTGCCATCGAGTTTTGCATGCTGTTGGTCGAGACTGGCAGGCTATCCCGCGAGGACAAGTTTGAGGGACTCCTCGTCTCGATCGCGTCCGACATCAAGGAGAAGCACCGCTTGCGACAGAAGCGCAAGGTCGACCTGCAATCCATGTCCGAGGCCCATGCGCACTTGAACGAGAAGCGGACCAACTTCGAGGAGCAAATACAGAGTTACCACGACTACATTGACTCTGCTATGGCTGCCCTGCAACAAAAGAAGAAGGCGCCGTTCATGTCGAAGCAATACTGGCACCAAAAGGGTAAAAAGTCCAAGTTTGGATCGTACAAGTACACCGCCGAAGACTTGAACAAGAAGGGCGTGCTCCTGTCGGTCAACCAGGTGTCGCCACGACAATTCGGTTCAGTACACATTGTCATCTCGTCAGACAACGTGGGTGTCTTCACCCTCGAGATGTCCAGTCCGTCGGTCGCTGGCCAGGAACTCCTGCACATGGAGGACTTGCTCCAGGCCCAGTTTGACAACAATGTCCGCCTTGACCTGTTTGACGGCCAAGCGGCTTTCAACCTCAACATGCTTATTCACCAGATTAACAAGAGTGAGTCACACACCTGTGTTTTGTTTGCGTGTATCTAGACCCACTAACTCCGCGCCCAGAATTCTACGCTTCCTAGAGCTCGCGGATGGACCTAAAGGATACGACAAACTACTGTATACCACTATAGCCATCAAATATTGGCACAATCTGTAACGTCTGCTAATGCAATATTGGTTTCTGCATAGGTCCAAGAAAGAGTGAAATAAACGAATGATATGGAGAAAATCTAAGAAATCTAGACCCCGAGGCGGTGGCGGTGATGGTGGTTTAAATGCTGGTGCGTCTACCGGTCGCTCTATTGCTTTTGCTTGGCCGGTTCAGAGGTGGCTGTTGCATCTGATGCAGTCGTCAAGGTACGTCCATCTTCACCCTGTCCAAGGCCGAGAGGGCATCCCGTGGTGGTCTTGGATGCCTTTTCGTCCCCGATAGTGGTCGCCTCAGTTTCGGGCTCGGGGCTGTCGTCGGGCTTGATCTCGGTCGTCTTAGCCACACCGACATTGCTCTCCTCCTCAGCCACAAGTGCGGCCTCGTGCTCTCTACGGCGCTGAGCACGTGGGTTGAGGATGGGCTTCAGGACCACCACAAGGCCGTCAAGCAAGACGACAAGAAAATATTGCACGAAAGCAGTCTTGTCAAATTCCTCGCGGAAGAAAAGCGACTAAGTATTGTCAGCACCGAGCACAAGACACGTCCGATAAGCTCTGGCAAGCTCTCTATACGTACCACGCCACTGAAGAGACCGCCGAAGATATCCACCAGCATGAAGGTGATTGAGATACCAACGACCTCCTTGGCCTTGTAGATCTCATAGTATTGAGGAAGAAGGCCGATGATAAGGAGCGCCGATGTGATCCAGCCGTACATCTGCTGCGGCCATGTGACGCCGTTCCTTTCGCCAGCCCAGAGGGCGAAGACAGATCCAGTCTCAAACCCAGCAAATACGCAGTAGAATGCGAGGAGACAGAGCGTGGCCTTGAGCTTGGAGTAGCCCTTGCCATAATAAAGACATTGCGCCCATGAAACCGTACAGAAGGCGCCGAATGCCTGCGGTTGCACCTAGATTTGTTAGCCCTTGATCTTTCAGCATGCCACAGTCATGGATATGACAGTCTTCCTAGTCAAAACCTGGGCCAGTCCCCTGGTACAGGGTGGACATTGCTCCGGAACGTCACTCACCTGAAGAGGTATACTGGACCTCATCGACACCAGATAGGAGCCCTGGAAGATTGTTGCGCATCCCCAGATGCTACGCGGCGTCAGTATCTGCAGTGCGTGTCATGGAGATGTGCGCCAAGCCAGGTAGGCAGGTTGGATAACCTTCTAAGACTTCCAAGACTTCCAAGACTCACAACATAAGGATTGGGGACAGGCCCTCGGTAGACTTTGTCCTGTAGCTCTTCACGATTTGTGGAATGACCTGGACGGACCACAGGACAGCGCCTATGGTGGCCAGCGTCTTGTCGGCGGCCGGAATCTCCCTCATGGTGGGACAAGGAGGAGTGGTAACGTTGAGAGGGCGAGGCGGAGGAGCGGAACAAGAGGTTTCGAACTAGAAAGCAATAGCAGAAGGGCGCTGGAGTGGAGGTTATGTTGTGAGATGGGACAGGGGGGAAGTCTTGGCGGAAGAATCCCGTCGTCGTTCGTCGTTCTTCTACTGAACGTCCAAGGCTACGTGGGTGGGAGGAAGAGCAACGTAGCGAGTCACGCGCATGTCTACTCACCACGCGGGGTGCACTGGTACGACTAACGTCGAGTAGCAAAAAGATACGGGGAGAAGTTTAGCCAGTTAGTCATTAGTAGCCGTCGGCCCGACCGGGGCACTTCCTCCGAGGAGCGTCCACTGCCTAATGAAAACATAATAACAACCAACTGCGACAGAGTCCGCCTCGTAATGGCTGTCGCTCACTTGTAATAAGCACCGCGTCCCCAATTCAAAAAAGTTCATCCACAGTTGAGCCTAAATCATTCTTGGAGCTACATCCCCCTTTTACATCCGAGGGCTCACGTGAGCCAATTTAATGGGCCACCGTGGGAGATGCAATGCCTTCCAGTGCCACGCGACAATACTCCCGCCATTTCTGCATCCGCCTAAAAGTCCCCTTTCCAACCGCCTGTTCCAATGGACAGCATCGAGAGTCGACTTGCTCGACTTTGCCTCGAACAACACACACACATTACAAACAATGTTCGGCGCGTTCCGCCCCTCGAGCGTGTCCCTTGGTGGCCTTCTGTGGAAGAGCCCCTACCGCCTCTCGCCTACCCGCAAGGCCAACCTCCGCAAGCGTCTGCGCCGTGTGGACGACGTTATTGCCGCTGTCGCCGAGTCCGGCGTCGAGCTCAAGAGCCTTAACAAGGCCCTGGCCCTGCCAAAGGAGAACGAGATGAAGCCAAGGGGTGGGTATTTGTGTCAATGGGAACTGCAGATACAGTGGTCGAGGATGGGTGATGAGCCAAGGCGGGACGCAAGTGTCTGGTCCATCGTCCGGTGTTCTCCGAGCTGTCGTCATCTAGACAACTTTGACGTGTTCTGTACTTCTGCGACAATGCTGACCAGCACAGACAAGTACACCACCTTCGACCCCAAGGCTTCAGCGCGTAACTACCGCAAGAGTGTGCACTTTGTTCCCAAGTGGACCAAGGTAAGTGATACTGTCGAAACGGGCGACTGGGAATTGTTAACGAGGGAACGGCGACCGTCTGCCGTTCTGCCTCGTGCTCAGCAGCTCCCGTTTTTCCTCTCCTGGTACTGCGAAACTGAACTAACATATACAGTTGACATTACGCGAGAACCCCAAGGGTTTCTAGACCAGCATATGTATCACCAATACCTCTCGCCGCACTGACTTTACAAGAACGGAGAAACAGAACAGACAACTCGCTACAGAGCTGCGAGCTTTAACTACTGACGATACACTATGAACATGACGCGGTGACAGGAGACTGACAGATCGGGTTGGGGATGGTGCAGGCTAGGTGCCTCGCCCACGAGAAACGGAGACTTGCGACTGGGACTCTGGCGTTGAGACCTTGTTGGACTCGACCTGATGCTTTACCTCGACACCCAGTACCCATTCGTGAACTGTGGGGGAGGCATCGGCCCTCCCCAGTAGGGTTTGGGGGTCGGGTATGTCCCTGGTACGGCAACGCCATACGGGACCTGCTGGTACTGTGGTCCAAAGTCGATACCGACGGGGACTGGTACGACGTTTACGACCTGCTGTGGAGGCACGCCCATCGGCGGTGGCATGCCTTGGCCTGGACCCGGTCCAGAAGGGTAGGACTGGGTTCGCTGGTGGCCTTGGTGGCGGTGGTGATGGTGGTGGTGGTGCGGTTGAGATTGAGGCTGAGCTTGCGACTGAGAATGGGAGTGATGGTGTCGTGACGAAGAAGATGTTCGCGGGAGCACTTCGTCCTTGTTCACGCTGCTGCCACCAGTGGATGGCTTGCTCGAGGAGTTGGACGCGTTGACATGGGAATGGACGTTGGTCCGTGACGCGCCCTGCTTCGGCTGTAGAGTCGAGGTGGAGACCTTGGGAGGCGGATCCACTCCGTTGGTGGTCGCGGCTGCTGCTAGAGCAGTGGAAAAGTCGTTGCTGAACTTGTTACTGAGCGATTTGTCGGCCTTCTCTCTTGCCCTCCCCCTTTCCCTCTCAGCCCGTTCCTTGTCCTCCTTGATCTTCTTCAAATGGGCAATGACCTCTGGCCCACGCTCGATTTCCATGGCATTGGCGTCCCACGCATCCAGGATCCACCCGACAAGACATTGCATGACGCTCAAGCGCGATGCTTGCCGGCCGACGACGGGCGAGACAACGCCCTCCGAGTATCCCGGCGTGAATGTGCCAAAGGCCCAGAACTTGATTGTGGTGAGGATGAAGTGACGGGTGGAGACATAGCGGGTGGCATGCTGCGTGCACTCGTCGTACATCTGGACCTGTTAGCACATGCGGGAAAGGGCCGTTGTACACTACTCACCTGCGCCTGCAGCAAGACTGCCTGCATCTGCTCCTCACTCCTCCACTGCTCGGTCCAAGGCGTCCGTGGCGAAGTGAATTCGCGCATAACCCCAAAGTCGACAAAACCGGGGGGTCGCAACATGACGACCATGAGAGTGTACAGTCCGTCGGTGAGCGCCAACGAAGCGTACCCATCGACCAGGCCGTTAGAAGGGTTACGGACGCCCTGGGGAGCGACGAGTTCCCAGTTGAACGCCGTGCTGCCTGCCCTGAGGATGTGGAGGACCGAAAGGGCGGTCTCGAGCATCTGCAGCAGTCAGTACCCTCCTGGTGGGAGTGACACTTACGGGCGTGAGACGGCCCCACTTCCCGTCCTCTATTGGCGCACCGACCTCGAACCCTTTCGCTTCGAGGGCAAAGTGACTCTCCATCAGCACCGCCCACCCATGTTCCAGGACTCACTCTCTACGCCGAATCGCCACATCGACGGGCGTCTTGGGCACATCACGATCCAGTCCTGCATGTTAACCTCCAGTCAAAATACTCTGCGACACCTACTTTCTCGCAGGTGACTCCTCCACCAGTCAGGCTGGCGCCACTTGACCAATGCCCTCGTACCGTGATGCTGTTCCGCGGCAAGCTTGCGCTGGATATACTCAAAGTTGTTCCCCCGACCACTCCCCAGTGTTCCACCGGCTTCACGCCACGGCCAGCGAGGAACGTCACTGTGTGCGAGGTATCCGAACAAGTTGTCCGCGGGCTTCGTGAGAGGGCCACGGTCACGCGAGTGGATGTACTTGCTGACTGACGAAACGGGGTATATGGGTCGTATTCGGGAGTGGTTGTGGATATGGGAGAAGACGGACGAGATAGTCGGGCGCGAGGGCTTGGAGGGGTCGTCAGGCAAGCGACGTGATCCAAATGTGCTGAGAATCCGCCTGCCGATGCCGTCTGGCCTCGGCGTTGCAGATCGTACGCGACTAAAGTCACCAGCCGGGTAGGCGTAGCCGTAGCCCATGTCGTGGGTATGCGGTTTGTACGACCACCCTGTGGCTCCGGGGACCGAGGCTGAGCGACGAAGCGCAGGCCGTGGGGGTACGATATCGCTCTTGCGATGGTTGGGTTTCCGCCGTCCGCCATTTGTCGGTATAAACTCCCTCTCCTCGCCGTTCGGCCCCACATCGCAATCTGGAGACGAGGCCGAGTCGGAGGACAAGCTGGGTCGTGGACCACGAGTACCAGAATCAAACGACACGTTGCGCCGGAGACGCCCGTTGGCGCTTGGTGACCGCCGTCTCTCAAACGACAAGCGCTTCGTAATACGGCCACTTGAACTTCCTCCGCCGTCACTCGCCACTCTCCCATGTCCCCGCCCGCCTGCGCCCCTAGTCATGGAGGCTGACGCCGCCAGCAAGGTAGTCGATTGACTGCCTGCTGCGGCCGGCGTTTGTGCCAGGGATGGCGCTAGAGTGGCGGTTGTTGGTGCTGGGACCGACTGCTTGCTGTTGCTGGCGGAGTTGTTCCTGGCGTTGTTCGAGTTCGAGTTGGCGCTTACGCTGGCTGCGTTGCCGGCTGATGACTGGGTCGGGCTCGTAGTTGCTGGGGTTGCCGGGAGGGATTTCGACAATACGGGGGGCGGCGGTGCAGCACGGGCATCCTTCGATTCTGTATTTGGTGCCCTCCGGGACTGGCTTGTCGTGGTGCGGGTATTCGAGGAAGGCGGCATTGTCTGCTGGGGCTTGAGCTCGGTCCGCGCTCCGGGTGTGTCTTTCTCACGAGCCATCGCACGTTGCTGTTGAGCTTGTTCATCGCGTTGTTGTTGCTGTTGTTGTTGCCTTTCCTTGTTCTTGCGCTCCCGTTCGGCTGCCTCGCGCCTCTCGGCCTCCCTCTCCTTCTCCCTCCTCTCCTTCTCCCTCCTCTCCACCTCCTTCCTCTCCTTGTCCTTCCGCTCCATATCTTTTCTCTCCTTCTCCTTCCTCTCAGCCTCCCTCCTCTCTGCTTCATAACGCTCAACATCACGTCTCTCTTTGTCCTTCCGCTCAACCTCCCTCCTCTCCTTCTCCTTCCTGTCAGCCTCACGACGCGTCTTTTCTCTCCTCTCAGCCTCCTGTCTCTCCCTCTCTTCTCGTCTAACCGCCTCCCTCCGTTCAGTCTCCTTCCTCTCTTCCCTGGCCTCCCGGGCCAACCGCTCGGAGCGAGCCTTGGCCTCGCGAGCCAGCCGCTCGGCATCGGCACGCTCCATGATCTCCTTGACCTCACGAGATCGGCGACGAGCAGCAGCCTCCTCCTCCTCCTTGGCCTTTGCCACTTTGGCCCTCTCCTTGGCCTCGGCCTCCTGCTGGGCACTTACGCGGGCCTCCCGCTCGACCTCGCGAGCGAGCCACTGCTGGCGCTCCAGGTCCATGCGGGCGGCCTTTTCGCGCTCAGCACGCTCACGTTCGGAACGAAGGACGCTTTCCGATCGCCGAATACTCGCTCCCGCTGCGCTGCCCAAGCTGGTGTTGCCGGTCAACTCGGCGCGCTCAGAGGCGAGCTTGTTCTGCTGGCGGATAGCTTCGGCGGCCCTTGCGCGCTCCTTCTGTGCCTTCTCGGCGGCGAGTTGCCCAGCAATGTGCTTGGCGCGCAGCTCGGCCTCGTCGAGTTGAACTGGGGGTTTGGGACTCGGCTTGAAAGTCAGTCAATGCTACAGATGGAGGGTGGCACGACTCACCGAAATGTCGAGACTTGGCCGACTGCGAATGTGCGATGAGCCGCCACCTGGCCGAGAGACCGCTACCGAGGCTTCAGAAACGGATCGGGAGTGATTGCTGTTCCTGCTCTCGGAGCGCTGGCTGCTGCTTGGAAGCGGAGGGATGGCGATGGACATCCGAGGCCGAGTGCTCGTGGCGGGTACGTTCGAGACAGTGGTTGAGCCAGTTGGGTTGGGCTGCATGGGGATGGCGCGGGGGGTTGTCGATGACGCTGGGGATCCCGCGGCAACGGCGTTGCGAGGGAGACTTGAGGCTCCGTTGCTCGCGTTCGAGGCCGAATAGGGAACGTAAGTAAACGATTCCCTAGAGGAGGAAGCTGTAGGCTTGCTCTTTGATGGCGGGAGTGGAGCCGTCATCACCGCAACGTGATGGGCTGGCGGTGAGCAGCAGAAACGTTTGCCGCCAACGCCTTTCCAGCCTCGCGCAAAGGACCGACGGCGTAGGTGTATGCACTCGATGGAGGTGCAGCTGTGGTTATCAGTACCAAAAGTACCAAAAGGGTCGTTGATGGAATGGAATGATGGGACAAGTTGCTGATGGGAAGGCGAGTGTTCGCCTGACAAATAACTAGAGCAGGGTCACGTTGCTCGGCAGAGCCTGGGGCGGAGGGTCACATTCGCTGCCCCTCCTGGCTATACCGAGCGGTGACGTTGGGCCATGTTGTGCTGCCCTGCGCGCCGGTGGCCGGTGGCGTCTCGCCACTTGGTTTAGACCACAACGGTGGGGGGAGGCTTGAGATTCCAAAGCCCACGGAGTCGCAGGCGTTCTGACGCAGGTGGCGCGAGGCCCGACTGAGAGTGCTCCGAGATCGACAAAATGGCACTCAGGCTGGCTGCAAGTATACAACCCCCCCAACCATCGCTTGGATCGTTTGGATGGAAATACTCACTGGCGTGGTTGTAGTGATGGAGGAGTGGGTGGTTGCGGTATGTGGTTGCGATGAACGGATATGGATCAATGGGGGAGGCAGAGATTGCCGATCGCCGTGTGGATCAGAGGGCGGACGGTCTTGGATCTTGGGATCGTGGATCGGTTCGACTCGGTAACGTCGGTATTGCTCAGCGCCCACAGGCCGCAGGTCAAAGGGGAAAGGGGGGGTGTCTTCGAGGATGTAGCAGATATGAGGTCGAGGGGGGATGGGTGGCAAATGCTCTTTGGTCCACGAGATGTGTGATGTCAGTCGCGAGTGATGCCGTGTCTTTAAAGCGCCGGGTATTGGCTGTAGGCCCAGGCGACTCGTCGAAAGGACAGGCGCGACTAAGCGTGAAGAGAAGTTTGGAGCATGTTTGGGGTTGCAGTCGAGTTCTGTACGTGCGCTCGGCACCGGCGGTCCGGAGCGGTTACTGGCAGGGTCCAAGACCTTCCCTCTGGTTGTCTGGAACTCGCAAGATACCGGTGAACGGCCGCGGTTTCCCGTTGTGCGGTGCCGTAGGTGACCTCGTTGCTGTCAGCAAATGCAGCAAAGCACAAGACCTGCGTGTGTGTGCACTGTGCAAGAGGGGGGCGCTCCACTACTGCCCTGCCGCACGGGCACTGGGCGTTTTTGGTTGCTTTTCGTGACAACTGACGACCGCAGGACTGACTCGCAAAACACGTGTTGGGCGCCGGGGAGTGAACCGCCGCATCATTGTACTCGCGTGACTCCATGGATCCATGGAGAGATGAGATGCCAAGTTGGAGCAAGTGCGCGAGTTTCTACAACTTGCACCTTAGGGGACGGACCGAGTGTCGGCAAAACGCCACGATGGGCAAGGTTCGCTGCGGGGGTGTGCCACATTCCGCCAATGACACACTTGCCCCAGTCTTCTCTGCCGTACGTCTGTCGTATTCATCAGTCTCTTCTCGACCTACGTCCATGCACTGTGAGTCGGTTGTTCTTGGAAACAGAGTGCAAGGCAACCACATGGTTAGAACGTAAGTGGGGAGGCGGTTGCACAGAACATTGTGACTACATGCCCTACGAGAACCACTCCGTGAAGAGAAGGTTAAAAACAGAAGTAGAATGACCCGCGTCCGAACCCGGCCAACACCCATTCGGCCGCCCAGCGGTCGGAACGAAAGGGATGAGGGATAGGGGAGGGGAGAGGGGGGCGGATGTGGTGAGTACATGAAAAAGGGGACCGGCCCAGTACATAGTGGTGGTCTTCATGGGGTCAGACGACGGAGAGGGACCGGCTTGCTGAAAACATCTTGGAGGTCATGTTTAGGCCTTGATGGCCTTCTTGGGGGAGCCATTCTTGCGGGCGGAGCGAGGCGAGCGGGGCTTGCGAGGCGATTTCTTAGAAGGGGTTGAGGCCACCGACTTGGGAACAGTGTTTTCCTCGTCATGCGAGCGCTTCAGGTGCTTGCCGGCGCCTGGGGTGCCTTTGGCGTTCGTCGCCGAGTCGGTCTTGGTGTGCGCCTTGGAAGCGCCCGAGCGGCCGCGGCGGCGCGAGGAAGCCTTGATCGGTTCCTGGATATTGACCTTGCCTCCCGTACTCTCAGAGAGCGTCTTGGACGGAGTCTGGGTAGTGGATTTAGTAGTATCGATGTCGCCCTTGCGAGAAGACATGGCGGGTGACATGTTCTCGAGCGCCTCGTTCTGAAAGTCAACCCCTGGCCCGAGGGTGCAAGTTGCTCACCTTCTTGTGTCCAAACTTCTCGTAGAGATGCTCGACCGTGAGAACAGGAGCACCGGAAAGAACATTGGGAGGCGAACTGTTGGCCGATGGAGGGGGAACAGCAAAGATGGGGCTTGGGTGGAGGGGGAAAGGCTTGGAAGACTTGTTGCGCCAGTTGATGCTGGCGTCGGCCTTGCTCGAGGCGTGAGCAGGGATACCGAGCTTGCTGGAAAGGGTCGAATCGCCAGAGACAACACGGGACTCGCTCTCGCCCTGTTGAACGACACGCACAGTGTAAGCCTGGTTGGTGGTCGGGTCCACAAGAGTCATAGTCTTAAACTCGGGCTTTCCCGGTGTCCACATGGGAGCGCTGGCAGAGTGAATGGCTTCGTCGTAACGCTGCATAGTCTTGGAAGGAGAACCAGCGATAGGCATGAGAGGCTGGCCAAGACCGAGACGGGAACGGCCGTCCACAAACTTGAGAGCCTGACAGTTAGTCAACGATGTCAAGAATCTGACGAGAACCCACCTCGTTGGCCTTGGCATAATGAACAGGGTCGGCAACAGTAGGCTCGGGAGGAGGAAGAAGAACATCCTTCTTGATGCCAATGACCTGGTTGTGGTCCCTGACAACGATGGGACGCCTGCTGGAGCTAGCGTAAGAGATCCCAGAGGCAGCGGTGTTGTCGCTCGTGGCGCCACTCGAGACATAGCTCGAACTCGAAACGGTACGAGCGGTAGTCGAGTCAGAGGCGTTGCGAGAGCGAGGTCCAGTCGAGCCCTTGACCGAAGACTTGCCGCCAGGCGAATTGGAGATACGGAGACCAAAGACATGAGAAAGGTAGGCGCTCTGGTCGGCAACGGTAGCATCAACACCGCTGGGATGGAGTCAGACACGACAGAGCAGTACGCAGTCACGTACCTCGGATTGCGAGCATAGGGGAGCGAGAGAGGACCATGGAGCAGAGGGACGGGGCGCTCACGAGCGCTAGCGACGGGTTGAATGTTCTTGGGCTTCTTGAGCTGTCCCGTGCGCCACTTGGAGAGAACCGGCTGACCAAGAGCGGTGTCCTGGTGCTGCATGTTCGTATCACCTGCCTGGCCGGGGACAATGGCAATTCCCTTGTGAGTTTTGAGGGGAGGCTGTTCGACACCCTTGGTGCGGCAGGGAGACGGGTTGTACTCCTCAAGGAGTAGACGGCGACGGTGGTGAATGAAGGGAAGAGGCTGGGGACCAAGGAAGATCTCCATGGAGCTGGTGCTCTGGGGAGCAGTCGAGGGAGTGTTAAGGGAGCGGTCACCCGACGAGTCCGTGTGAACAGGAGTCGAGAACGGATCGTCATCCTCGAGCTTGACATCAGAGACGGATGAGAGGTACTTGAACGACATGGGCGTCGAGTTGCGGACGGAGGCGGGGAGAAGGGGCATGAGGTCCGAGAGGTCCTCCGAGGTGTCGGCATGAGGGATGTCTTGGACTGATTCACACTTGAGAGGAGACGAGTTGCTGTTGAGGAGGGTGCATGGGTGGGGAAGAGAAGGCCAGGTGAGACGGATGGAGGAAAGCAAAGGAAAAGGAAGGCGAGGGAAGGAGAGGAGGGAAGGTCAGCAGGGAAGGCACCTCCGTCTTTCCTCCAGGCAACTCACTGGATGTCGCCGGCAGACGCAGAGCGCTGGTGGCGAAGAATCACCGACGGCGAGCGGAGTGCACCCAGCATGGAGGAAGAAGGCTTGGGGTTGTCCATGATTGAGGAAGTGGTGGATGTCAGTTTGCTGTAGAAGCGCTGGAGAAGGTAGAGGAAGGGGATCAGAGTAATGTGTGTAAGAGGAGGGAAGGTGTCGAGCAGTAGAGAAAGAGTGAGGTCAACGAGGAGAGCGGGGTAAGGCATAGCCTTAGGGGGGCATGGAGGGAGTGAAGAGCGGGGATGGTATCACGAAGGAGGTAACGCAAGTAGTAAAAGGAGGAGTGAGGTGTTGCAGGACAGAGAATGGGTGAAAGAGAAGAAAGAGGGACACAAACGAGCCAATATAACCCGCATCCCATCGTCATCCACAGATCGGTGCCCCGCAGTGGCAACAAGCGCGGAATCTTTTAGAAAAAATGTCCCTCTGTGCTGCAACCCAAGTGTTGCAACGGGTATTGCTTCAACTGTTGTCCAAAAGCACCAGCGTAACAAGCCCTGCCCAGCATGGTCAAGTCACGCGTCTCGAGGGGTATGCTCCTCACCAACAATCTGCCCCAGCTGCAGAACCTGGTCAAGGTAAGTTGCAGCTTCTTCAAACCACGTGAGAGTCTTGGGCTAACACCGTCTCAGCGTGACCCTGTCGCGTACAAGGAGGAGTTCCTTGTCCAGTACAACCACTACCAGTCGCTCCTGCGCCTGCAGACCGTCGCCCCTGTGGCTGGTGCATCGACGCAGAAGGACAACAAGTCCACAGAGCTCTTTGCCGACCTCATCAACTTTGTCTCGCAGACTGCCCAATGCTACCCGGTCGAGACCAAGGAGCTCCCCGCGCAGCTCAGCGCACTCCTCCTCGGTACTGGCGGCATCATGGCCGTGAAGGGTGACCTGCGCGAGACCGCTGTCAAGAACCTCATTATGCTCCGCAACAAGGATGTCATTGACTCCATTCAGTGGGTTCACAATGCGTAATCCAAGCTGACCCCTGCCAGGCTTCTCCAGACTCTTCTCCCTCTCCTTCCTCACGCGGGCAAGGAGCTGCGTTCTACCATCCGCAAGACCATCCTCACGGATCTCAAGGTCTCCAACCAAAAGTCCAAGAACCACCGTCTCAACCGCGTCGTCCAGGGCCTCCTCTTCAACATTATTGAGGCCGGTATGGGCGCAGAGGTCGTCGGAAACAAGGGCAAGGGCAAGGGCAAGGAGGTCGGTGGTGAGGCCATCTGGGCCGTCATGATGGTGCGCGAGCTGTGGCGCAAGGGAGTGTGGACCGACGCCAAGACTGTGTCGATTGCCGCCCTCGCTGCGTTCCACCCCAACACCAAGGTGCAGTCGGCTGCCATTCACTTCTTCCTTGGCTCGGAGACCGACGACGGCAAGGAGGACGACACCACGGACGAGGAAGACGCGTTCCGTGAGGCTCGCCGTAACATCAAGGGCATGGAGCACCGTGGAGGTGTCAACAAGAAGACGGGCAAGAGGAGACGTGAGATGATCACTGCCAACAAGAATGCCAACAGGAAGAGGAAGCAGAAGGAGGCTGCCGTTGGCAACAACGCCAACTTCCCCGCTCTCGAGCTCCTCCACGACCCCCAGACCTTTGGCGAGAAGATGTACGACAACCTCAACCGCCACGACAAGCAGTACTCGCTCGAGCACAAGGTGCTCATCATGCAGCTGCTCTCGCGTGTCATGGGTGTGCACAAGCTCTGTGTCCTCGGCTTCTACACCTACGTCATCAAGTACCTCACCTACCACCAGCTGCAGGTCACTCTCATCCTCGTCTCGCTCGCCCAGTCGGTGCACGACCTCACCCCTCCCGACGTTCTCACTCCTGTGATCCGCAAGATTGCGCAAGAGTTTGTCCACCCCGGTGTCGGTGCCGAGGTTATCGCCGCTGGTATCAACGCCATTCGCGAGGTGTGCCGCAGGCAGCCGTGGTGTATGGAAGAGGACCTCCTTGGCGACCTTATCGAGTACAAGAAGTCCAAGGACAAGGGTGTGGCCACCGCTTCCGGTGGTCTGCTCCAGCTGTTCCGTGAGGTCAACCCCGGCATGCTCAAGCGCCGTGACCGCGGAAAGGCGGCAGCAATGGGTCTCGTCAACGGCCAGGTCGCGGCTTACGGTCGCACGCAAGAAGGTGCCGACGGTATCGAGGGTCTCGAGCTTCTCGAGGAGCACTGGGCCCAGCAGCGCAAGGAGGCGAACGGCGGTCTCTCGGACGACGAGGGCGGCGATATCGACGAGGAGGACGAGGGTGGCTGGGACAACTGGGATGTCGAGTCGGACACTGGCTCCGAGTCGAGTGGCTGGAACGACGTCATTTCGGACGACGAGGACCTCGTCATTAGCGACTCGGAGGACGAGGACGGCAAGCCCAAGACGAAGAAGAAGCTCGGTCGTAAGGCCCAGGCTGCCGCCGACGCAGCCATGGACGCCGAGGACGACGTTGAGATGGCCGACAACGATGACGATGACGCCAAGTCGGTCGTGTCGGTTGCCACTACGGCCACGTCTGAGGCCAAGAAGATGTCGCTTCTCGCCCAGCAGAAGATTCTTACTCCTGCCGACTTTGCACTCCTCAACGAGCTCCGTCTCAAGGCTGCCCGCGAGGCTGCCGAGCAGGGTGGTGGTACTGCTGCCAAGCGCAAGCTTGCCCAGCTCGAGGCCGCCAAGCGCAGCTCGTCGAACGACGAGCAGTCGCGTTTCCTCACCGAGGACGAGATCCTGGGTGCTCGCAAGCGTACAAAGCAAAACTACGAGGAGCGTATGGAGAGCATCCGCAAGGGTCGCGAGGGCCGCGAGAAGTTCGGTTCGGCCAAGGGCAGGAAGACTGGCACGCCCAGCTCGACGACCAACCGCGAGAAGAAGCGCAACAAGCCCCTCATGATGGCTGTTCAGTGGGTACAGATGTGGAACGACAGCTGCGTGTTCAGTTTGCTAACAACCGCCCAGCTCGAACAGTGTTGTGCAGAAAAAGAAGGCGTCGCTGCGCGACAAGCAGATTCGTCTGCGTGCTGCTATCGACAAGCAGAAGAAGATGAAGCACTAGACCTAGAGTGTACGATGATTGGGATGGGTGATAGACTTTTTCTTTCTTTTTGTGATCTTCTCGACATGCAACGGATATATACCTTTGGCGTTTGCCCCCCGTGGTCGTACACCTTTGTTTTGTTGGCCATTCTCCGGGCGGCGTAGAGGCCGTGTGGTGTGTACGTGGTAAAAGCGTTCCGGCCGTTCCGGGTTGAGGCCACAACGGTGCAGCTGGCCAGCTTGTAAGCGTCCAGGGACGGAGTACGCACAGGGTGACGCTGCGCGGTCTCTCGCTCGTTGTAGTAAAAGGGAGGCTCTAATATTACCGTTTGTGGGTTTTGCGCGAGTGGAACAGCCCAGGGCGGCGGCTCTCGGGCCCTTTGCAGACGCCATGGGTTGCCGCGCAGGGGCTCTGGCCCACCAAGCGCTCGCTCGGGGGGTTGCATGGAGGAACGGGGTGGTCGAGAGCGCGTCTGGACTGGGCAGGTTGGCACTGGTGACGAGCAGAGTGGCCTTTGCGGTGGCGGGTGTGGCCCAGAGGACCGGGACGACGGACGACAAAAGGTACCACACGCTCACCACAGCGAGCCGCTCTCTCCGCCTGGCCGCCGTTAACGGGATCAAATTCCCACCACCCGGCAGACAGAGAGAGCGCCAGGGATGAGAAAGGCGGCCGCGCGCGCGCTACGCTCAGGCGCTCTGGCCACCACCACACACACCACACACCACTCGCTCTCGCTGCTCGTGGGTGCGCGCTGCTACGCTCAAGCATCACTCTCTGCACATCAACCATCACCCATTCAGCTCGCCTTTTATCCATCCATCACACCCACAATCCACAGCATACGACACTCGTTCCACCCTCCTACCACCACCACAACCGCCCACCACCCCAGACACAAACACACCACAAGCACAGTCAGCCCTCTCGCAGCATACCCAGCAGGCCTCCAGCCACTCTTTACCCTCTCACTCCCCCCCCTCCCCTTCCCAAACACCCGGCCGCCCCTCGTCCGTCAATGTCTTCGACGACGACGAGCACAGCGCCGGCACCTACCGCGCCGCCTGTCATTCCCGCTCCGGCCGTGGACGTCGACGCTACCCCCGCCGAGTCGAGCACCGTCCCAGACTCTGCTGTTGAACCTTCGGCACCCATGAGCAGCATCACCTCGACGGACACGGCTGCCGAGGTCGCGAGCGACAACGTTCCTGCCACCGCAGTGGAGAGCAAGGTGGAGACTGTTGCGGAGGTGGTGCCGAGCACGACTGGTGAAGCGAAGGCGGTCAAGGCGGAAGTCAAGGACGTTGGCGCCAAGGCTACGACGAGTACGATTGTGGCCGATGAAAAGGCGGCCGCTGGGTCGTCCTCGTCGACCGCGACCCCTCGCGCGGCCAAGCCTGCTAGCAAGAAGAGGCGGAAACGCACCGGCATTGCTGCCATCTTTGTCGCACTGGGATGTCTCAGCCAAGACGAGTTTGAGGATGACGCACCCAACAAGGCGACACCTCCTGCCCACGCAGTCAAGGCCAGCAACACAACAAAGGTGGCAACTGGAGTGGCAGGTGCTACTGCTGCTGCCGCTGCCGGTGCTGCCGTTGTGGCAGCCCGGACTGACACCTCGGCCAATGCCTCGGCGAGCAAGGACAAGGACGGCAACAGCGGCGCCCAAAAGGACGGTAGCGCCACTCCCAGTGGCAGCTCAGACGTCGTTGTCCGCCCTAGCGAGCCGACCACCGCCCCATTGGAAGAGGTACGCCCCTCTCCATCTGTCCCCAAACTCTCCTCTACTCCCATCACCCCCTCTGGAAATGGTCAGATGCTGACCAACGACCAGACGGCAGGTCTCACGTCGAGCGCAGTTCAGGCCCCCGGCTCTGGATCCGAGATCGTTCACCAGCACACCCAACACTTGCAGCACCGCAACGACTCGGAGCACCACCTCGCTGGCGCCCACGCCGATGCGAACCGCACTACAGACTCGGCAGGATACACGGACCTGAGCGAAAGCGAGGGTGGTGACGTGGGCGACCAGACCGAGCTTCTTTACGGCGACGACGACTACGAGGACGAGGAGGACCGTCTGATTGCCCAAGGTGGTATCGGCATTCCTCTTGACGAGAACGGAAACCCTGCACCGCTCTTGCCGCCCATCTATGACATTGACACTGGTCGCAAATGTCTCGTGCTCGACCTCGACGAGACCTTGTTGCACAGTAGCTTCAAAGTACGTGATACAGTCGGCCGCAGCACAGCAGCACTGACCACCACCCGCAGATGCTCCCATCCGCCGACTACATTGTCCCCGTCGAAATTGAGTCGCAAACCCACAATGTCTATGTCATCAAGCGCCCCGGTGTCGACCACTTCCTGCAGGAGATGGGCAAGATTTACGAGATTGTTGTCTTCACCGCCAGTCTGAGCAAGTATGCCGACCCCGTTCTGGACATGCTTGATGTTGGCCGTGTCGTGCGTCACAGGCTGTTCCGCGAGAGTTGCTACAACCACAAGGGCAACTATGTCAAGGTGAGAACTTTTTTGTCGTCCCCAGTGGCACACAGATGCACAAGCTGACGCCCCGTGCAGGACCTGTCGCAGCTCGGACGTCACATCTCCACGAGCATCATCATCGACAATTCGCCTGCCTCATACATCTTCCACCCCAACAACGCAGTCCCGGTGTCGACATGGTTCAACGACCCTCACGACACTGAGCTCACCGACCTGTGCCCCTTCCTTAGTGACCTCGCGACCGTTGATGACGTCCGCGGTGTCCTTGACGGCGGCATCTAAAGTGTCTTCGCTTGTAACCCCAACACTCTCCCACACTCCCTCCCCAGCTTGTGACCCCGGTCTGGACCTTCTCGACACCACCTCCATTGCACAGTGATCCATGGCACGCACAACGATACCCGATACCCCCAACCTCCTGCCTCTGTACCATGTCTGCTCCCAGTTGCCCGTCCTCCTTTTCACGCACCAATTTTTAGTCTGTTACTACGAAAGCTTTTACTAGTCATTCTTCCCCTCCCCCGCCCACACTCGTTATCAGCACACGCGCGCACGTTGAGACGGGCATCTTTGCACAATGCACGTCCTACCTTCGGCCAACAGGGTTACTTTCAGGCTCACTGACTGGACGCGCTAGTAGATATGCATGCCCACGCGAGTAAATTCCAACAAGACGCCGCCGCGTCTCCAAATACCGAACAGCAAGTGGCTGATAAGCGCGCCCGGTTGGCTGGGCTGGGCAACAGTGGATGTGCCTGTGACGATTTCCAATGACGAATTCAACCACCCGCCCAGTCTTGGAAAAGACGATGGTCCGGCGTGGAAATAGCTGCTACCAACCGGGCTCCGTTACTGGCCATCACCATCGAGCAGTTGGAATTAGAGAGCACGTCCCCGGCAGTTCTTGCCGCTTTATCTTGGCCTCTCTCCCCATCTCTTCCACTCACCTCTCTTCCCATCACTCTTCCCCCCTTCCCCCCTCCCACACCCCGACCGGACATCATGTTCGCCGTGCGCTCCGCTACCGCCGTTGCCCGTCCGGGCCGTCTCGTCCTCCGCGGCCTCTCGACGTCGGCCCCCGTCCTCTCGGCACAGGTGAGTGTCGTCTGCACTGTTGATGGGGGACACGGCTACCGTCTCCACGACCTGGTGGCCTGGTAGGAGCCTTACCATTGCGTGCTCGAACTGCCTTCGGCTGGAGCATGCAGGGGAGGGTATCGGGCCCCACAGAGGGCGGGATGGTTCGGCAACCTGAGACCTTGTCTTCGCCATCCATCACTCGCCCCTCGCCAGAGCAAGTGCTGCGCTTCTGCGCGGTACCAAGCCGCCATGATAATAGAAAGCTAATGAATAGCTCAAGAAGACCCCTCTGTACGACCTGAACGTCAAGAACGGAGCCAAGATGGTGCCCTTCGCCGGCTGGGACATGCCTCTGTCGTTCGGCGACGTCGGACAGAGTACGTCCAGGCATCCAGAACCGTGCCATAGCTAACGTCCAGCGACTGCCCACAAGCACGTCCGTGAGGCTGCGGGTCTCTTTGACGTTTCGCACATGCTCCAGCACGAATTCTCGGGCGCCGGTGCCCAGGACTTCCTCCTCTCCCTTACGCCCAGCTCGCTCGACAAGCTGCCAGAGCACGGCTCGTCTCTCTCGGTTCTGCTCAACAAGGACGGCGGTATTATCGACGACACAATCATTACCAAGCACGCTGCCGACGGCTCCAAGTGGTATGTGGTCACGAACGCAGGCCGTTCGGACGAGGACGTTGCGCACATCAAGGAGCAGCTCGCCGAGTGGACCAAGGCCAACCCGGACAAGCCTGTCAAGTGGGAGATGCTCGAGGGCTGGGGTCTCGTTGCTCTCCAGGGCCCCAAGTCGGCCGCTGTGCTCCAGGCCCTTACCGACGTCGACCTGTCAAAGATCAAGTTTGGCCAGAGCGTGTTTGCCGAGGTGGGCAAGGACAAGGTCCGCTGCCACATTGCTCGTGGTGGTTACACCGGCGAGGACGGTTTCGAGGTGAGTCGCTTGCGGATGGGCTTAGCTGTGACATAGTTCCATCTCACAACCAGTAATGCCGCAAACCCTCTTCATTGACTTTTGCTAACGTCAGATCTCCATTCCCCCTGCGTCGGCCGTTAGCGTAACCGAGCAGATCATGGCCAACACCGACGTCATGCTCATTGGTCTTGGTGCCCGTGACTCGCTCCGCCTCGAGGCCGGCATGTGCCTCTACGGCCACGACCTCGACGAGACCATCTCGCCCATCGAGGCCGGTCTCACCTGGCTCGTCGGTGAGTACTTGTTGGGAACGCCGTATCGGTTGGATCCAGCTGGACGTAACCAAGACCAATGCCATTGCACAAGTGTCAACAGCCGCTGACTATGCTCCACAGGCAAGGACCGCCGCACTGAGGGTTCCTTCCCCGGCTCGTCGCGCATCATCAATGAGATTGCCAACGGCCCCTCGCGCCGCCGTGTGGGTTTCGAGATCAAGGGTGCCCCAGCTCGTGAGGGTTCCAAGATCTTTGACGCCGAGGGCAAGAAGGAGATTGGTGTCATCACGTCGGGTATCCCTTCGCCTACCCTCGGCGTCAACGTCGCCATGGGTTACATTAAGAACGGCCAGCACAAGAAGGGCACCAAGGTCAAGGTCGAGGTTCGCAAGAAGCTCCGTGACGCCGAGGTCAAGCCCATGCCGTTCGTCCCGGCCAAGTACTACAAGTAACAAAACGGCACCTAGGCCTGCTTGAAATGGGAGAGGGAGAGAGAGTCTGCTCAACCAGTTAGACAAAAGGGAGGGAGAAGCAAAGCAAATAGCTATTAGCGAATCGATCATTTAACATGTACTTATTGGGCATTTATCGCACACGGGAACCACAGTGTCTGCACATACCCCATGTTTCTGCTTCATATGTCAGTGTCTGGAATTGACTGTGGCTCGAGACAGAGCCCAATAACAGCGGCAAACCGCGTAAGTACGACAACATGTTGTTGTCTGTGCGCCGAATATAGAAACCCAGTCCACCCGATCGGGAGGAACGGGAAGTGCGGCCCGCGTAGAGGCGGTTCTTCCTTCGTTGCTTTGCTGGAATGTTGCGGGAATGTTGCGGCAACGGCTCGTCAAGACAAGGACGCTGCATGGTGCTCGCCGTGTTGTGTACTCTTTCTGGCTAAGTACTTGTTGGGCTGCGTATATTGTTTTGGAGGGTATTCGTATAAGATTTCATGAAAAGGGGAATGTTGACGTCGACTATAGAAAGAGTCCAGGACTATACCGAACGGGATGTGGCCATACTTACTACCAAGCTACTGGATACTATAAGTTTTGTCTCAAACTTACTACACCTGCTCCCATACCTGTCAGAACGAGATTGATACTTAAATCTACAAGAGGGCAGCGACGCCAGCGGCCATCAGGGCAAGAACGGCAGCAGGGGTGGTGGCGATGGACCGGATACCACTGCCACTCTTGTTGACAGCCACCTGTCCAGTGACTGCTGCGGTCTTGGTGGCCGACGAGTCGGAATCAGCGTTCGAGGGGCTGGGAGTCGGCGAGGGCTTGGGAGGGAGAGTGATGTTGTTGCTGCCGACGAGACCGACACCGTAGGCCTTGGTCGAGCCGCCGTCAAGAGTCCAGGTCAAGCCGCCGATGAGGTGGTCCATGAAGATGGGGTCGTGCCAGGCTGTTGTGGAAATTTGTGTCAGTCATGGAGAGCTTGGACAAGGGGTTTCAAGACTCGAAGCGAGCTTGGCTGGACCTGGGACCTTACACACGGTCCCAGAGCTGCACTCACTCTCGTTGAAGTGGCCGAGGGCGGTGTAGAACGAACGGCCGGTCTTGGGGGCACCGTCCAGAAGGGGCTTGGCCGAGGTTGGCTCCTCAATGTACCAAGCAATGGGGTGAGGGGAGCCCATGGGAGGCCAGTCGCCAACATTGTCTTTTGTCTGTTAGCTGAATGACCTATCAATGAAGGAGGGTAGAATGTTTTGGCTTGTGCCTCACTCACTGACGTAGCTCGAGTCATTGACGGTGACAACGACCTTGGCACCGTTGGCGCGGGGGTCGGTGCCGAAGAAATAAACCTCCTCCATCTGCGTGCGATGTCAGCACACTGTAACCGCGGCTGGTTGGTTTAGGGACAACGAAGTGAATATGCCACATGACCCCGCTGGCTGGGACGCCACCGAAAGCGCAGCCGATGGCTTCCGCATTTCCGTACCCGTCCGCCTGTTGGGGACACGAAACCTGCAATTCGGCCGACACCTCAAGCAACGACTCACGTAGGTCCACTGGTCGGGCATGTTGGCGGTAGAGGGGTGGTCGTGGGTAGTCGGCATGAAGGTAGCATTCTGCTGGTAGGGGTGGAAGTCGAAGTATGCTGAGATAGGGTAAGCATATGGGCAACAGTAGGAAATGTGGGCAGTGTGTTGCGAATGAATGCCACACGCCGTTTAGTTAGTGGCACTCACCTCCGAGTACCTGACCAAAGGCGGTGTCGTTGTAAAGACATGAGGAGGAGGCGTGCACGCCGGTCCAGCTACCACCGGACTGGAAATAACGGGCCAAAGCGGCTTTTCCACTGGTGTCGAGGACTGGGCATGTGGTCAGCAATGGAGGCGAACGAAAAGTGTTTCAGGTGCCATCGATCGTGCCAAGACAACGCGAGCCGGGGGAGAAACTCCGAGACCTTTCTTCACGTCGCAAAAGCCACAACAGCGCGGTGCAAACAACAAAGACTTACCCTCCTCGGTGGTGTGGATAAACATGATGTTGTCAAAGGCCGACAGGTTCTCATCGGTGAAGAAGTACTGGTCCCTTTAGGATGTCAGCTTTCATATCTCAAGATGGTGTCAACAAGACTCACTCGGTAAAGGTAAAGTCGATGCTGTAGTTGGCAGCGTTTTCCCTCAGCACGTCGATGGCAGTGGGGATCGAGTCGTGACGGAAACCAGCAGTCATGGTGTAGACGAGGACGCGGGGCATGTGGAGAGCCTGGTCGCTGAGAGCCTGTGCCAGTGGCACCCAGGTGGCGCCGATGGCAACGGCGAGGGGAGCAAGACTGTTGAACAGCATCGCGCGTTGTTTGGAAAGAGAGTGACTAGAGTTGAGACGGGCGATGCGAAGAGGGAGGACAAGGGTGAGTTCCAATGTGTAGGAAGCGCATTGTCTTATACATTCTGGCTGACGGACGGGCACACCTCAGTGCAAGGCGACTGGGCAGCCACCGTTGTGTCTCGCGCGAGCGAGTAAGGTCGCAAAGGGGACGACAGGCCAAGGCACGGGGGAGTCAACAAAGACATCCTCCATTCCTTGGCGGAGGTGGGGGCAGACGGGGACTCGAGGCCGAAGCGCTGCAGGGCAGGCGACGTACATGCGGCCGAGCGGGATAAGGGGCTGCGGATTCTGCGGATTGGATTGCGATCTGAACAGGCTCTCTCGAGAGCCGCGGCGGGGCATGTCGGCGGAATCCCCAACAATGCCGGAGCTGACTGTTTCCGAGCACTGGAGCACAGCTAAGCGCTGTTGAACCGAGGATGTTTGTTTCATGCGAGTATGCGTTTGTACCCAGGCACATGCATGTGTACGTACATTTGCTTGCAATTGCTTGCAGCGGTGAGACACTGAAGCCCCAACGGCCGCATGAGATGTGTCCAACGGCCTGCCGACGAAACACTTTGGGCTCATGTTTGGGGAGGCACAGCATGGCTGAGAAAACAGCAGACATTTCGCACACTCTCTCCGTAGGGATGGCCTTACTCATGGACACAGTACGTTATCGGCTTTCACTGAATCACTGGAGTCCCAGCCTGTGGAGGCCGCCTGGTTGTTTACATTCCATTTATCTGTTGGGCACCTCGCCTGGCTCGCGTGGTGCACCAGTCACTGCGGATTACTGCCCCAGCCAAGAGCCGGTAGATGCTGCAGATCCTTGCCGCCTATGAGCGCCATGCTCATATGTGTGACCTGCAAAAACTATACACTTCTGAGAGGTAACACGTCCATTGAGACACCCGCACGCTCTTCACTTCACAAAATAGGCGTGGCTGGCGGGAAACGTGGTGGTCGTGCTCTGAGCGATCTGAGCTAAGTATATCGTCCTGGGAACACAAACGTGCCTGTCATCTCTCGGTCCGAGTCTCAGCCCCCAATTGTTGATGGCAGTGGACCTGGTCGGCAGCCAAACAACACTGCATGTACAGTAAAGTACAGGCCAAACAAACAAGACACAAGTGGTCCATGTACACTTGGACGTTGGTCCTACCCAGACTCCCGGTCAGTTGGTTGACCTTGGCGACTTGGCCAGCCTGGACGGCAGTTGACACTATGCCGCCTTTCGTCAGAACCGACATGCGCGGCAGGCGGGGTCCGGGACGCGATGCGCGGTACTTGCGGCTGTCCGTTATTCTCGCTACCGTAGTGTTGATTGATGTCGTTGTGCGGCTCTGTACACTCCTCCACACCGCCTGTGGCGACAGCCAAAGGACACAAGATGGCCTATTCACAACCCAGTCGTGAGAAGGTGGCTTGCCCAGCCCCAATGACACCATAGTTGTGTTGCATGCGTGTCAACAACACGGGTGTACTACACAGTAGTATGTACGTCGAAGGACGGTCGTCGTTCTCATCTGCGCGCCACCAACTTCAGCGCGGGTGGCTTAAGAGCCCGCCTCAAACTATCCCGGCCTCATGAACAAAATAGATCTGATCCCAACCTGCCGTGTCTTGTGCCCCGGACGCCATTAGGTCATGTAAGCGGTATAAGGGACAATATCTGTCTGCCGGATCTCAGGCGTATGAGGGAGCGAAAGAAGTCGGTGTTTGTGAGACACAAGAACAACAAACATCCCCGCCATCTGCTCGCCAACATACAACGACCTCGATGAGTGTGGAGAACAACTGTCCTTGAATTGTAGGCCCCGTGGACAAGGCCGGCCATGGCACGCCCCCCCATTTCAGCATGGAACATACATACCGCCTTGACTGGCCAACATATCGCGTGGAATGGGCGATGGAGATACTGTCCTGAACGTGTGGCGTCGGTGGATGTTGGTTCACTCAACGCCAAGTCGTTGCTTTTGGTGTTGTGGCAATGCTCTCGGCAGGGAGTTAGGACCTTCTTCCATAGGAAAGAGGGTCACGCCTCTTGCTGGCAGCCCCCGCACACGTATGTACCATGCAGTACATATGTACCAGCTTGTGTCAGGTTCATGTGCTCGCAGAAAGCCGCCATTTCCGGCTTTGCGGCCAGGGAGAGAGAGGGGGTGGGGTGAGAGCCACGCGCCTGCCCACCCTCTCTCACGGTATCAGGATCGCATCCAGGAAGGAATGCTTTGACCCCAAGTGGACTACAAAGACTGCCTCAGCCGTGTTGTATGTATGGAACAGCACTGCTGCGTCCCTTTCCCATTAGCATGCGCGGCACGGCAAGGACATCACGTCATTCCGGGGCCCAGGTCTACTCAAGAGCTTTCTGCAGCTGCAACCAAGTGATTTGGCGTATACCCAATACAATGTCATCTATGCTATGTAGCCTACAGGAGTACCCCCTACAGGGTGGTGTGAAGATTGATATGAACAAGAAGCGCTGTCCCGTGAAGACGGGTCATTTAAAGAAGGCCCGACGACTCGAGGAGCATGACAGCCGAGTGAACAATCTCAGGGACGGTGTCGGTGCGGAGGTCGCAGACAAGGTCGGCGTCCACGGGAGCCTCGTAGGTGTCGTCGACACCGGTGAAGCCCTTGAGCTCACCCTCGCGGGCGCGCTTGTAGAGGTTGCGGCGGTCAACCTTCTCGCAGTACTCGAGAGGGGTGGCGACGTGGATGAGGAAGAAGTTGCCACCGGGGCCGGCGACAGCGTTGCGGAAGGCCTTGCGCGAGCGCTCGTAAGGAGCAGTGGGGGCGGCAATGACGGCGGCACCGGCCTTGGTGAGCTCCGAGGCAACGTAACCGATGCGGAGCATGTTGAGGTGCTTGTCCTCGGGCGAGTGGCCAAGGTCGTTCGAGAGCTCGGCGCGGACCTCGTCACCAAGGAGGAGCGAGACCGAGCGGGCACCGTGCTGCTGGAGAGTGACCTGGAGGGCACGGGCGATGGTGTCCTTGCCCGAGTTGTGAAGACCGGTAAGGAGGATGGTGAAGCCCTGCTGGGGGCGAGGGGGGTACGAGTCACGGAGGACCTTCACGACACCAGTGTACGAGAACCAGTCGGGGATAGCGGCGCCGGTACGGAGACGCTTGCGCAGCTCAGTGCCCGAAATGTCGGCGGTGGGGGTACCCTTGGCAACCTCGTCGACCGGCTGGTACTCGTCGGTGCCAGGGAGGTAGGTCATGGCCTGGAAGGGAACCATGTCGATGTGGAGCTCGTCCTTGAACTGGGTAACAAGCTCCTGGGCGTCGTAGGGGCCGTAGAAGTCCTGGCCCTGCGAGTTCTTGCCGGGGCCGGCGTGGTCACGACCAACAATGAAGTGGGTGGCACCGAAGTTCTTGCGGATAATGGCGTGCCAGACAGCCTCACGGGGACCAGCCATGCGCATGGCAAGGGGGAGGAGGGCGAGGTGGGCAAGACCCTCGGGGTACGAGGGCATGAGAGCCTGGTAGGCGCGGACACGAGTGTAGTGGTCGACGTCTCCGGGCTTGGTGAGGCCGACAACGGGGTGGATAAGGACGTTGGCGCGGTGCTGGCGGGCGGCACGGACGGTGAGCTCGCGGTGGGCACGGTGCATGGGGTTACGGGTCTGGAAGGCAACAACCTTGCGCCATGCGACCTTGTTGAAGTGGGCACGGAGCTCGGCGGGAGTGTAGCGGAGAGCGACGTAGTCGTAGTGGGTGGGGGCCTGGACGGCCTGGACCTTACCACCGACGTAGAACTCCTTGGTCTGGTTGTGGAGGTACGAAACAGCGGGGTGGGCAATGTCGTCGGCACCCATGACCTTCTCGGCCTCGAGCTTCTTGTCGGGGCGGTAGACGTCCTCGACGGTGAGGATGGCAAGAGCGGCGTCGTCACGGAAGTCACGGAGAGCGACCTGGACACCAGCCTTGAGGCCGAGACGCTGGACGTCCTCGGCGGAGACATCGAGGGTGATGGGCATGGGGAAGAGGGTGCCCTCAGCCTGGCCATCCTGCTTGGCGAGACGGAGCGAGTTGACGACCCTGTTGAACCGTTAGCATGGTGCAACACGATTGATAAGAGTGGCAGCGGTGGCGCGAAAAGCCGCCAAGAGGACACGGACGACCAATGTCGCCATCATCCGAAAGTGGCGTTCGGCATAAAAACGACAGTGCACCGCAGTAAAGCCGGTTACTCACGAAGTGTAGTCAGCCTCGTTCATGAAGCCCTCGAGGGGGGAGAAGCCACCGTTGAGGATGAGCTCGAGGTCACAGAGCTGACGCTGAGAAATGTCAGCTGCTGGTCTTTTCTTTGTTCATTCTGGTGATCACTACGCACCTCGGTGAGGAAGATGTCCTGGAGGAGGCGAGCCTCCTCGCGGAGCTGCGACTGCCTGGGGGCATCGCGAGCAACAAGGTCCTTGAGGACGCCGCCGTGGGGTGCGTTGGCCATTTTGGATAAGATTAGATGGAAGGGGGGTAGAGGAGGAGTAAAGGAGGAGGGGTGATTCGGAAAGCAGGTGGGTGGGTCGCTGATGATATATCAGTGTTGCCGGCACTGTTGGCTTGGCTTCTGTCGCTGGCGTGCTCGATAACTTTTCTGCACATGACGCAAGTTGACCATTATTCCAGATGGTTTTAGGGGCTCCCACGCGGGATTCACGCGTTCCCGGCGACATGTTCGGCCCCAGTCGGCGGTCTGGGCATGCTGGGCAGCCCATCGACGTCGCCGCGCGGTTGCCGCCCCACTGGTTTTGCGCTCCGGGGCGAAGACGACAATAAGGCCTTCTGGAATGGACGGGCAGATGGGATCATCAGCACGCCATCGGTCAAAACTGCCACATTGACACCGTGGGAGACTTTCCCAATTTGGATTAAAGTAGACAGACCCCCCACTTTACCTCGTGGCACTCGGTGACGCTATCTCGGCATTTATGTTGATCGTCTGGAATCCGGATGCTATTACAACTGGAATACAAGTTGCTCATCACGTCACACGTTAATCACAGCAATCACCGGTACCTAGGCGCCATGGTTGGCATGGTGACGTCCAACACCATTCGCCGCTTCACGTCACCCCAAGCATTACATTTCACGAACAGATAAAGGCAGACTTGAAGTTATGGCCAAGATGTCAACCCCCTCGTGTGCGGTGCGAGCGCTCGGCCGTAAAGAGCTGCGCCTTGACGGAACATTCTCGGTGACTCTACCACAGAGGTCGTGCTGAGCAAGACACATTGTACACACGCTGTACCACACGTTGAAATCATAACCGGCGCCCATCGACCGGCGGTCATGAACCTGAATCGCTGACGTCGACAGAGCTAAACGAGCCTCACCCTTACCGGAATTATTCCTCCACCTCCACCTCCATGGAGCGGATAATGTACAAGATGGATTACCGACGAACAATTGTCCCAACAACTCTTCATCAACATCATGTCTGTCCCTACTGAGCAGAAAGTTTGGATCCTTGCCAACCCTCCCGCGGCTGAGCTCCTCCCGGACACCTTTTCGCTTGAGACTCGTCCCCTTCCCGACCTCCAGGAGGGCGATGTCCTCATCCAGGTGGAGTACCTCTCCAACGACCCGGCTCAGCGCGGTTGGATGCAGAAGGATGTCGACCCCGTGCGTATACATATACAAGGACGTTTTGGGCTCAAGCTAACCTTTCTACAGAAGCGTCTCTATGTCCCTCCCGTTTACAAGGGTGACGCCATCCGTGCGACCGGTATTGCTCGCGTCTTGAAGTCCAAGTCCGCCAAGTACCCCGAGGGTTCGCGCGTCACCGGTTCGTTCGCTTGGTACGACTATGCGGTCGTCAACGAGAGCAAGATCACTGGCGCTGCCATCGAGCTCCCCAACAAGCCTTACGCGAGCCTCTCGGTCTTTGGCATGACCTCTGTCACCGCCTACCAGGGCATCTTCGACGTGCTCGACGTCAAGCCCGAGCACACGGTCATTGTTAGCGGAGCTGCTGGGTGAGCCGGACGAGGTCCGAAACTGTATCGCTTACTTCCAGTGCCGTGGGCTCCACTGCTGTCCAGTTTGCTAAGAACGTCATTGGCGCCAAGCGTGTCGTCGGTATCGCCGGTGGCGCTGCCAAGTGCGCCTGGGTCAAGCAGCTCGGTGCCGACGAGTGCGTCGACTACAAGGACCCCAACTTTGCTGCCAACCTGAAGGCTGCTCTCAACGGCGAGTTCGCTGACAGGGTTTTCGAGAACGTTGGTGGCGATGTCCTCAACGCGACCCTCCCTCTTGTCAAGCGCTTTGGCAAGATTGCCTTCTGCGGCATGATTTCGGCCTACAACGGCGAGAACCCCAACGTGTCCAACCTCTTTGAGATTATCACCAACCGCATCACCCTCCAGGGTTTCATTGTTATCGACTTCCTCGGCAAGTGGGCCAGCGCTGTTCAGAACGTTGCCGGCTGGATCAAGGAGGGCAAGGTTGCCATCGACGACGTCGAGACCGTCGTTTCCGCTACCATTGAGGATGTCCCCGAGAAGTACAAGCTCCTCTTCACGGGCAGCAACCGCGGCAAGCTCGTCACCGCCCTGGTGGCCAAGACCTCGTCGCTTTAGGTATAGGATGTACAGTAGATGTATGTGTGAAGTCTTATAACATGTCGTCATTGGCATTGTTTGTGGAACAACACGCCAAAAATGGTGGCTGAAAGCACACCAACCGGGCTGTTCAATTCAAGCCCCATCCCTCGAGCGTGACCATAAGCAAGTAGCCATGCGTTCGTTACTGCAATGACCTCGTTGTTGAGCCTTGCGACGTCTGTCTCGAACTGCCGGCGGCGGGTTTGGTCCATCTTGAACAGCGATTACAACGTGGCACACCTCCTAAGCGAGGATGCCAGAAACACATTGCTACCGGTGACCGGTGACGACGTTGGAACGTAGTGTGTTTCTCTCGGGCTCAGGGCGATGCCACGTTCACGACGGCCCACGGACCTCCTGGCGCGCATGGGGACGGAACGTGACTGCAGTGACTGAACGCCTCCTGCATCCTGGCTCACCCCATGACTGACTGGCTGACATCAGAGCCTTGTGGTGGTGATCAGCGGTGTGTGTTTGTGGCAGGACCATCCCTCCCGGCTAGTCGACCTGGGCACTGACGGCCACGGACCGAGCACGACGATGGCACCAGTGGGCAGACAGAGAACACCTCGCCATGTACAAAGCCACTTTCGGGTCATGGGGTACAACGAGGACGGGGGTTTGCTGATGGCCGCCCACCTGCACCCCCCGTCCCTCCACCTCAGTCGACTGCCTTTCGACCATCGTCGAGCACGAGCAAGGTTGTTGGAATGCCTGCTGGTAGTATTTGAAGGCCCCACGATTAGGATATTTTGTATTGAACGGAAGGTCAGCGGAACTATTTTGCAATCGCTTACGTGATTGTACAAAGTGGCGACACGTGTGGCTGTCTATGGCACCCTACACCTCAAGCTCTGTCCTCCACTTTGTTTTCAGACACAGCTATTCTCGCCATGCAGAGGTCAGAGAGACTCAGAAACACGAAGAGCGCGTAGGGGATACTCTGGGGGACACTGTGTCCGCCTTCCGCAGCTGCCAGCGTCAAAAACCCGCACAGGGCCGCACGGTTGGGTCCCGATAGACGACGCAATCCCGCCACGACGCCGGTGACAAACGGTAAAACGCACTCACATACTGCACTATGCCCCTGGTACCACAACAGTCCCTGGTACGAAGACGGTCAAGCTGATTCTGAGGTCCTATGGGCGTCTTTTCCGTCGTGGGCAGCTGCAGCTGGCTGCTGGAGGCGCAAGACAGGACGCTAGTCCATCGTCGTGACTTGCCCGCATCGGGCCTACAGGTGCCAGACTATGGACATGGAGCGCCGTTGGCCCTAGATCCCTCATCGGATGCCAAGCGCTACACGCACTGTTCGTGTAGGATATGCTTATCGTAGAGCCGCTCGTTGCCAAGCCCTATGCCTCTCCGGCTAGGTACCCGATTGTGTGCGCAGAGGATGGTCTTTAGGCACACGTGTCTCAGCCCGCGTCTGTGCAATCTGTTGCCAGACTGCAGATAACCGCGTTTGCACATGCCGGTGTTGCTATACGTCTGCAACCACTATCGGCCGAATTGGGCGGCCGATAGCAGGAGCTGCTGCTGCTGTTTGGACGAGAGCCGTATCAAGACACCGAGGATGAGGTCTTAAATTAGCTCATTCAGGCTTACACCTGCGCACCACCTAAATTTCTACTACGCATTTCGATGCCACGGACTACGTAGCACTAGGTATTACATGCACTGCCGTGCATATCGGCCGATAAGACACAGACCGTAGTGACGCCTGGCCAGTGGTGTTCGGTGGCCTGGAAACTGTTCATAATCGGCCGAGGTACTGGTCACGGGGATGGTCGCGAAGCTTCATGGTCATGAGAAAGCTTGGGACAAGGCACTGAAAATGACTGAAATATATATAAAACCGCAGCCACCCCTAGGAAACTGGGCAAGCATCGCCCACCTAAAATCGTTCGCCTACCATGCAGCTGTCCAACCTCGCTATCGCTGCCCTTGGCGTTCTGCCACTCGCCTACGGTACCAACTCTTCTTCCTCGGCTTCGGGAACCGCCACGTCCTCGGCAGCCGCCACAGCGTCCTCGTCGGCGTACACTCTCGACGTCAGCTTCCCATCGACAAACGACTGGTGTGCGTGAGCCCTTTCTGGCCGACATGTTATTTGCGGGAGGTGCATTTTCTGACTGGCAGGGGTCCTGGGCATGGAGAACACGGCCACATGGACGTTCACCCCAGAGGACCAGACCATCAACTTCACCATTGTGCTCACCAACCCATCGAACCAATCGCTTCTGTCGCTCAACGGGGACGTTACGGGTACAGTGTGGAGCGTGGACATCGGGTCGTGGCTGGGTAGCTCCACCGACATGGGTGACACCTAGTAAGTGGTTCGGCCGTCGTGGGGGACAAGGGAACGGGAAAAGGAGAAGATGTTGACCAACAAAAAGCGCAAATGGTCTCAAGTACTTTGCCAACCCCGGTGCCGGGTTTGTGCTGAGCTTCCGCGACGCTGAGAATTCTGGTGAGTGCCTATGAGTGTCGAGGTGAGACTCCTAACAGCTCCAGTCGAGTACGGCACGTCGCAGCCGTTCGAGATCAAGGCCGCCAACTCGACGACGGACCCGGCCGCTCCCACCTCGGATACGACCAGTGCGAACACCACGTCTACGTCAAGCGGACGCGAGACTGCGGGCGGTGCACACGGTGTCGGCCTGGTGGCGGTCGGGGTCGCGGGGGTTGCTGCTGCCATTCTTGTTTGAGAAGCGTAGGCAGGGCGAGGACCAGGACCTCAAGCATCGCAGAGCCGGGGAGGTTTGCTCCTTAGCATGCTGCAAACGTAGACAAAAGGTGACTTCAACATACATAGTCGGCATTATGCTCCCTCGAAACAGTTGAAGCCACATCCAACCAGTATTATACATGCACTCTCATATCATCAGACCATCGAGTTCTACCACCCCAAGGCCGCGTACAAGGGTGCCACTCCTCGGGTCCGTGGCCGTGGCGGGTGCGTCAGCAGGGACTGGGGGCCCCAGAACAGTACATATACACCTCACATTGACATCTATGGCACAACATATCCTGCAACACCTCCACACCCGTCATCGCGTAGATTATAGCTGTACAGCGGGCTGTGGTTGCCACCACTTTTCCCGTCCTGACGGCGTACAGTACATTCCAACCACTGCGTCTGGCTGCTACCAGTCAAAAGTGTCACAGGAGGAATGCCAGAGTGGCTGTCTTTCTGCTTGGTCTTCAGCGCCGAGAAGGTTTGACATGAAGAAAAGGAATAGGAAAACAGAAGGCGGTGGGTGCACGGGGCTTATGCGTGGAGCGTGTGGGTGTTCTGGCCACTGCCCCCTCTGGTATAACATCTTCGCAATGCCTAGCAACAGCACACGGTCATGTCTTTGATCTCTGCTATAGGTCGGTGAGATAGAGCAGCGCAGAGAGGAACGAGTATGGCATTTAAAAGCACGCACGGCGCCATCCAACAATTTCCAGGTCTACGGATCCATGGTTCACAGATGACCACATCCCAAGGCCCCGGGGACGGCACCGGCGCCACGCACATGAATTGAGACCGTCTACGGGCGTTTGCTGCTGTTGCTCGGCAGCAGCCGCTTTCACCATTGACATCCCTCGCCAGCAAATGCGAAAAAAACAACAACGCCACAGCCAAAAGAAACACAAGTACGCCGTCGGGGCCCCAAGGCCCCGACCTCGCAGGCCAACGCCATGCCCAAGTCAGCCATGATCAGCGATGAGCCTCCGTTCAGCCATGATCAGCCACAGGCCACAGGCTGATGCGAGGCGATGTTGTGACACCCAGGTGCCGTTACGTCACACGTTTAACGACTGCGGCCCCCCGTTTTGTTTGGCTGACCCTCGCGTGTAGAGGGGTACTCAAAGCTCAAAGTGCGAGAACATGGGCTTCAGCGAGAGGGAAGGTCGTTGGGACACAGCTGTGGACATCACATCAAGTTCGATCTTGACAGCAGGTGTCCCTGCAAAGAGCGCATGCCAGATGGCAGGACGCGCTAGTCTTTGGTACTCTTGGTGTGCTATTGTGTGCTGTTCGTGCCTTCGCACCACAAAGGAGATGCTTTGTTTGTGGGGAACCTCTACGTCACCTGGTCCCGGTCGCGTAAAACATGTGGACTGGTTCCGCCTAGTGTGCATCTATGTGAAAGAGGGTACCAACGTGCCAAACGGTGGTGGGGTGAATCGTCTCGGGTCTCGATGGATGACGTTTGTGCTGGATGGCGGAGCGAGGTGAGAGGCATGAGACGGGGGTTCCTCATCGCGCGCAACGCAATGGCCTTGGACTTTCTGGTCCATGTCGTCTCCTCGCGCCCTGTTCCTTGAAGGCGATGCAGATGGGCCCTTGCTTCGATCTCGTCAGATCGGACCCGAACGACGGACGTAAACTCGCGATGTCGTGTTGTAGGTTGGACACACCGCGCACGGCTGAAAGCTGAATATGTCGAATGTCGTGTCTTCCCACGAAAATAGCATCATTCTCTGGCACGCGTCTCCACAGACAGTCGAAAGTGCGACTCCTGGTCACCAACGTCAGTTACCCAGTTATAACAGTTACGCTCGACCCCCCCTTATTACATGCTACATGGAAGAATCCTTTCCGTGCCGTGCGTGACTGGGGCCAAGCATAACAGTTGCAAGTGTCTCATGCATGCACCCGCACAAAACAGAGCGACAGTGGTAGCTGTTTGACCAAACTGATAAACACCTGTCAACGGCGGCCAAGATCGCGCCAGCATTTATCAATAGCCCCCCCAAGCCCCCAAGCCAAGGCATACAGGCGGCCAAAATGCGACAATCAGTGCGTGCTCAGACGCCACCTAGCGCCACTGGGTGTGCATCCCTGATTCCGGACCCACATCCAGCGTGCGGAGAGCGCGCGCAGCGCGGCAGGCGGGGGGGGCTGTCGGGTGTGTGTGCCGCACGTTTTGCACCGCCACAGAAGCCCATTGACCCTGTGCGTGTGTGGTCTGTGTGTGGGGTGTGTGGGCGCGATGTGAAGCGGGGGTGCAGGGTGATGCAGGGTGAAAAAGAGGGAGAGAGCGGTCTAGACGTGTTCTCTTACACGCCAGTCCCTTTGGCTGCTTGGGCGCTTGGGCGTCCCGCCTGCGGATCCTGGGTGTTGGAGCGAGACCCAGTGACCCAGGGCCCCCCCATTGCGCGCCACCCCTAGTTGCCCACGCCACCCCTGCTGCGGATCGGACACACCAAACACACCCCACACGGCGAGCACGCACACATTCGAGAGAGGAGGTACGAGGTGTTGCTAAACGGGCCTCTCCAGCGTTTCTCGTCGTCGTCGCCGGCATATGACGCGTCCATCGGGTGGGGGGCTTCCCCGCGCGCACAGAGCGTGTACGGTGTCCCCCCCCCCCTCGCGTCCCAGGCGCTCAGGCGTGTGCACCCCCCCGTTCTAGACACACTGTCCACGCGTTCGAGGTCCGCCCCGCGCCCACACCCGCGCGAGCGCGCGCGCGCACCTTCCAACGTATATATACACTTCCCACCGTCACTCTTCCCCCCAACAACTTTCTCTTTCGCTCTCTCCTCCTCACACCCACCACCTACCCAACCACCCAACCAAACACAATGCGCGTCTCCGTCCTCGCTCTCACCCTCCTCGCCTCGTTCGCCGTGGCCCAGGACACCGCCGCCCAGACTGACGGCTCGACTGATGTCGCCACGGACGGTGCCGACGCTACTGGAACCGACGTTTCGGGAGACGCTACTGGTACCGACGTTACTGGAGCTGACACCGTGGCCGCGACTGACGCCGCGACCGACGCGGCCACCGACGCAACCGTTGCGGAGACCACCACGCCTGCCACTGGAGCCGCGACTGGAGTGAGTTCTTTAGTTCTTTTCTTCATCTTCCTTGCTTGCCTCTTCCTCTCCTCCCTCCAGAGGAACGTGTCTCTGAATACGGAGCATGTCTTCATCCTCGCCCTCCTTTACCCTCCCATGTTCCTGTCTTGAGCATGTTTCCTTCTCTCGAGCACGTTCCCCCAATTGGCCGATGATTCGTGGCGAACACGCGCTGACTCTTCCAGGCTTCCACCACCATGACTGGTGCCGTTGCCAGCGCTACCTCCAAGATCGCTTCGGCTGTCAGCGGCGCCTCGTCGGTCGTCGGATCGGTCATCTCGTCGGTCAAGTCGGACTCGACCGCCAAGGGCTCGGCCACGAGCGGAACCGCCGCTGCTTCGGCCACCTCGGCCGCCAAGGGATCGGGCGCCATCAACCTCTCAGGCTCGTCTGTCGGTATTGCTGCTGCCGTCTTCGCCGCCGTCGCCGCCGTCATGTAAGCGCAGCGTTCCCCTCAAGACAAAGCCCTCGCCTCAAAACGCGAAACCAAGCCCTCTTTTCGTTTATTCGTTTTTCTTCCTCCTCTTCACTTTTCTTCAAGACGAGCGACATGTGCACTCCCGTGTGCGCACGACCTCAAGATGAGCCACCTCCCCATTGCACGATACCTAGTTTTACATTATTCAGATGAGATGCAGTTACATGTCGACTTTAAAGGCTGTTTGTTGCACTGCGCCCAACCGCGCTCTGACCTTCTTCGCCTGTGCCACATGCCTTCCTCTGTTGCATGGCCATTCCCCATTCCATGGTCTTCCATCGCGTACTACTCAAACCACTCTACTCTACTCACCTGCATTGATCATGCAACCTGTTCATCTCGCACACATCTACACAGCACTCCCGCACCCCAGTCTCGAGCATCCCCTTTTCTCGCCGTATCGCCTCGCATTCTTCTTAGCCTCACTCCCATTCTGTGAACGCACAGCCTTGCAGCAGGGATATCACAATCGACACGGACCTACGCCTACGCCACTGGGACACACGTGCTCGTTACCGTGAGCCGCGGCCCAGGCGTGTCACACACACACCCCAATCCCACCCGCGTGTGACACAAATCGCTGTTGCTCGCCCCGATATCCGCCATCGCCCTCTTCCGTGAGAGAAAAACACGGCCACAATGGACCGCGCACAGTTGACACTGCATAGTGTACGTACCTCCAGGAGGACAGAAGTGGGAGCTTGCCCTGCTTGCCCTACATCCCTTCCGACTCACAGATCGCACTGGGGAGCCAGTCATTCCACACGCGTCGCGCTTTGCGTTGCTCGACCCTCTCTCGGGGGCGCGCAGAGCGGTGCTGGGGCGTTCTCGGTAGTCGGGACTCGGCTTGTGCGGGCAGAGGAGGGACACGCGGATCGGCAAACGGGGGATGAGTGGGTACCGAGCATCCACTCATCCCCGCTTCCAAGACGCCAGGTTGAGAATTGAGACCAGCGGGCTCCAATCAAGACACAGGGCGGGTTGTCGGTTTGTGAAATCTCGGCAAAACGACAAAAAAGAAGAAAATACCGGGAAACAAAAAACGCGTCGTCGCGTCCTGTCGCCTGTACGCCCTTTTGGCGTCGTGGGCGTGTTGTTTGGCTGGCACGGGGAACGCGACAGTACGAGTTGGTACCTCTGTACCTGCGGTCCAACGTTCTGTTGCTCATGCGAATGAACGTGGGACCAAGGGCATGCCGCTGCCGCTGCCGCGCGGGGCAAGGGGTGTTCCGGGTGTACGAGGCGGTGCCTCATGCTTCATGCCTCATGCCTCCTCACTCCAATGCGAGGCGCTTCCAGACCTGAATGATGGTGGTGATATCCGTGTCTTGCCGGTGTTTCCCGCCAGAGTATGTATATATACCTTCCTGGCCTGCAGATCTCATGCCCGCCTTCCAAACCAACCTCTGCATCACTATTACGCTAACATTATTGACAACAACTGTCTCCAACTGAGCCTGCCAAGTCCACCTTAGACAACCATGGCCACGGCCGCAAGCACAACAGTACCAACAGCGAGGCCCATGCCGGACACGCCTGCGGTGACGTGCGCACCAGAGCTCGCGGTGCCCGAGCTGGTCGCGCCCGTCGAGTTGGTGGTGGAGGAGTTCTTGTGAGTGGGGTCCTCGGGGTCCACGCTCGAGGTGTTGGACTTGACCTCAAAGGCGTCCGAGACGGCGTAAACGGCTGAAGAGGGTATGGTAAGCTACCGTCCACCTGTTTCAGGCTATTTGATCAGAACTCACTTGTCAGGTTGCTGTTCAGCAGAGTCAAGACGTAGCCAGTGCCAGGCTTGAGCCAGATGTCGTGGGCACCGTTCAAACTGTCCATTAGCTCACCATCACTGATCACACCACACCCTGGGACTCCCAGGTCAAGGACTTACTAGCTTCCAGCGTTGGAGCCGACGGACACAAGGCCCGAGGGCAGGGCGCTCATCCAAGCAGCGGACGTCTCGTTGCCGTTAATACCCAGGGCCGAGTTGTTGTTGGAGATGACGACAGTGAGCTCTGACTGGGGCTGGAAGTTGGTCCAGTTCCATGCGGCCGTGTTTAAGGTGTCCAGCACCCCTGCACACCATGTCAGCCTGCCGTGCAGTACTAACCCGACCATCGGGACTGGACCATATCAAATATGTACTCACACCAGTCGCTGGCCTTGGGGAAGAGGAACTCGGCCTTGGCCGTAGCGGTTCCGTTGGCCGTGGTGGGCGTCGAAGTGGAAGCCGCCGATGCCGAGTCGGTGCTGGTCGCGACCGGGGCGGCCAGCGAGAGTGGGAGAGCCGCAAGAGCGGCCATAGCAATATGAGAGAAGAGCATGGTGTATGTGGGTCGCGTGAAGGGGGTATGCTCATCGTCACTTGCCCTCCCCGTCGTTGTCGTTATGTACTCTTCCTTCCTCGCCCGAGGCTGTGCAGCAGGCGGCGGTCGTACAGTGCGGCAGGGCGAGGCGGCGGATTCACGCGACGGGTGGCGTGCCTTCTCGTGCGTACCTCGTCTTGGCACCAACCATTATTGGAACTCGGCGCAGTCAGTGCGCCGAAGCATGGGTGACGAGCACGCACAGTGTATTGGCTTGTCGGTATTGTACAATGACATGCTGTGCCGGGATGCGAACGTTAATGGGCCGCAGCGAGCAGCGACGGCCGGCCCGTCAGAAAAACCCTTATTTTCATCCACATTTCCCACATTTTTGTACCTGGCCAGCTGAAGAGGGATCGACCGCATGGGCCTGCGTCCCCAAACGGACAGCACACTCGCAATGGTTCCTGTGTTCTCTGACATAGGGATCTGATGATCTTCCACGAACGCTGTAGCCCTACCTCGGCCGGCGGAATGTGGCGGACATTGGTGTGATCATTGGGCATTGTGCTTGCACTGGAAGCAGGGTCTTATCGGACGGGGAAGGTTAGACTGGACCTCAACTGGTCAAGGTGCTGTGTGCGGGTCTGCTTGATTTGATCAAGCTTTTCTGGCCCCCGGTCACGCCCACCGCAGATGACAAACGCATTCGACCATTATTATGTAGGTTCATGTGTGCGAGGTTATCCCACACTTCAACAGATGCCCCCAACTACTGCTTTCCTCCGCGAAACATCTGCCAAGGTGCTGTTGTCTTTTACTTTGTTTCCCTATTCCACGCCTCGGCCGATTGAACTAGACACCTCAGACAATCATCCCCATACCCGCCACCCCAAGCAGAGCGAGGCCGATGCTGAACACAGAGGACGAGGGAACACGGTCCGTGCCAGACTTGGCAACGGTGGCAGCTGGGTCCACTGTAGCGTTGCTGGCCTTGATCTCAAACGATGCCGAGGTGGCGTACACAGCTTTCACGCACAGGAGTCAGTACATATGTGTCCGCAGTACTCGCCCGCATCAGCGATATTGCAAAACTCACCAGTATGGTTGTTGTTGGTCAAGGTCAGTACGTAGCCGCCACCGGGCTTGGCCCAGGTCTCCAGGCCGCTGGAAGAGGCGTCAGCGACGCGCACGATGGTTCAAGTGGCCAAGTGGCCTGTTGATCCACTTACCTGACGGGCGAGACGTAGGCATTGATCCCCGTCGCGGGCATTCCAGATACCCAGACCAATGGCGATGTGCCATTCAGAAGGGCAGTGTTATTGTTGGTCACGGTGAGCGTCAGAGTCGTGGAGTTGAGTTCCGGCGGGCAGTTGGTCCAGTTCCACGCCGCACGGTTGTCCTTTGTGAGTGTCCACCAATTGGCCGCCTGGGGGTAGTCGAACACGGCTGCGGGGGGTACGGTGGGAGCATGGTTGCACACCTCGGCTGTGGGGAGGGCCGATGCGGCGGAGGATGTTCCAGCGGTGGCGAGTGGCAAAGTGGCTAGGGCGGCAAGGACGACCTTGATGAGGAGCATTGCAGCGAGCGTGTCCGAGTGCTCAGTGGATCAGCGGATCGCACAATGGAGGTTGCTCAGACTGTCGACTATGTATACTACAGCCAGACGAGGCTAACTCTGTTAGCGGGCGACCAAGTGCCCGCGTGCCGTGAACCGGGACCTCACGTTCACGAGGAGTGCCCAATAGTAGCTCGCAGCACCCGACGAGCAGCGATGGAGCGATGGAGTCGTCGGCGTGCACCTCGTGATCCATCATGGTGCATTGGCTGGGGTGATGGAGCAGCTAGTTGCACCTCGTGACTCGTCACGATGCTTTGCTTGCCGTCGGAAAGAAGATGGTCCAGCTCTAAAGTATCGGAAATCGCTCAGTGTCCACACAAGGTTGCAAACAGCGGCGGGGTTGCCCAACTTGCACTGGCCGGCGCTTGCTCCAGAGATAACATGTCGTCCTTGGCATCCACTGGTGTGTATCTATCAATAAACATGTTAAACGGACTTGGCGCCGCTTGGGCTGGGACGCAATTGGAGAAACACATACACAGCCATGGGTCACGGTGATTTTGTCAAGATAGTGCTTGGTAGTGCGTATTCCCAACGGGAGCAGTTGCATACAGTGGCCCGCGCTACCGGCTCTGTTGAAGAGGCCGCAGAGCGGACGTCGATGGAAAGCAAAGAAGTGTAGACCATGACAGTTTCACTGCATAGGCAACTCTGTCGCAGCAGGGTGGGGGAGACACTCCAGGCCGTTGGACATAAGGATACGATCAGCTCACATCACTCGTGCCGAGGCGTGACCTCACCGAAACCTCTTCCACCAGTCGTGGTTGTATCCAGCAGTGTGACATTCACCAGTCTGGGTTAGTAGCCAGCAGTGTGACAACCCCAAGACTTGGCCTCAAAAGTCAGAAAAGTCAACAGCTTAGATTCAAGAATAACACGTCTCGCTATGTATACAGCATGTCACTCCTCCGTATCGTACAGTGGTGGCGTTTGACAGCCGACAAAGTGTCCCGCCTCCCGCTCCCTCAGCGAGCGACAACGCTGGCTCACTGCTTGGGCTCATCCTGCTTGACCTTGAAGGGTTCCAGGCCCGCCCTCTCGCGGAGGACGGCCGAGAGCGACGACCAGTCCATGTCGATTCCGCCGAGCTCGACCGCGCGCTCCATGTGCTCCTTGGCCAGCGCGATGGTGGGGAGGTTGACGGGGTGGCCGAGGTCGGCGCCGACGTTGAGGATGTTGTTGGCGTCCTTGAGACCGCCTTCGAGGCGGAAGCCGCCAGCCGAGCCAAAGGTGCCCTTGCCAATCTTGTTGCCGTAGGCGCCGTACGAGGGAGTGGGGAAGAAGAGGTCGATGAACTGCTGGAACACGCTGGGGTCAATGTCGAGCGCGTCACCAAGGGCGTAGGTCTCGGCCAGAAGCTCAATCACGCCGAGGATGAGGGCGTTGCCCATGAGCTTGAGGGTGTTGCCTGAGAGTAAGCAGAGGACGACGATGAATAGGAAGAAGAGGCATAGCTGTAGGCCGTTGCGGGAAGACCACAGTAGCTACTCCTCCGCTCCGCGTATCCAGACTCACCCTTTTGCACCTCCTCGCCGAGGTCGAGAACCGCACGGGCAAAGATGTTAAAGAGGGGGCGGACCTTGGCCTTGGCGTCCTTGTTGCCCGCAACGACCTGGATAAGCTTGCCAGCCTTGGCAGCGTCGGGGCGACCAAAGACGGGGGCGGCGAGGTATGCGTTACCCGACTTGGCAGCGAGCTGCTCGAGGGCAACTACGGCGGGCTGTCAGCTGTGTTCCAAGCCGTCACGACCGCGAGTAACGTACTGGAGGTCTTGGGGTTGAGCGAGCTCTGGTCGACAATGACGGCGCCCTTGGCCTTGGCCGTGAGCCTGGTGACCACGTCCGTGGACGCGGCGTCGTTGAGCACGCTGACGAAGATGACGTCGGCGCCCGCGAGCTCGTCGACGTCGCCAGCGGCGTATGTGACACCCTCGCCAAGCTCGGCCTTTACGCTGTCGTACTTGCCCTTGGAGCGGTTCCAGACCGTCAAGGAGCCGCCGTTGGCACGGGCATAGTTGGCCAGGTGGACCGAAAGGTTCTCGCCCATGTTGCCGAGGCCGGCGTACGCAATCTTGAGACCAGCCATTGTTGTTAAGAGATGTGGAGGGTACAGGTGAGAGGAGGTGAGGAGTAGGCGAGTGAGTGGGTGACTAGCTGACAGCTAAGAGTGCGGAGGATGTGGGGAATGGGGCAAACACGCAACGGGGGAGTCACTATATGTAGCTGTCGAGAACACAGTCTGAGCAACGGCCTTGTGAGCGGTGACTAAACATGTCGAGTCGCCGCATGTAATCATCATCGGAAGTCTCCATTCCGTGACGTAGGCGGAGACTAATTTGGGCTAAGCTTGGGTAATCATGTCCTCAACTTAGGAGTCAATGTCCTCAAGCAACGAGTCACGCATGGCATCTCCACAACATCCCCGGACGTCCCCGCACCCCGACATGCTCCGTGCCCCGCTCCGTAACATGTACTATTCACCGTACTCGCCCACTCTGTCCCGTCTCCATGGACTTCAGCAGCCACCGTAGGTTTTGTGTATTGATCGGAAATGTCGGACCCGGATGGCGGACGAGAGATGCGCGTTTGGTCTCGGCAAGGTCGGGCTGCCGTCCAAGTCCATCACCCTGAGTTGGCCGCGATTATCGAATATTATCAATTCACAGGCACGCAAAGCAGGCAGCCAAGACCCAAGAACGAAGCTCCAAGATCAACAGGGTGGTGGTTGTGTCTCACGCCTCAGCATGTCGAGGTCAATCACCTCTGCGCCTCGAGCACGGCGTGTGGCACGGAGAGCGACAAGAGGTGCTTCCAAGTCGATCAGCTCTGCAATGTCGGGCAAGGCCAGGTCGAGCTCTGGATCAGGGAGCAGCGAGCCGGGAGGAAAGGCAGGGTGGTGGATCGGGTCGACCATGAAGGCGTACAGCTTGTGTTGGTCGTCACCGTCAGGCTCAGTGGTGGGGTGTGTCGTAGACCAGACATCGCGCGGGGTAGGAAAGTAATCAATCGTCGTCTTTTGACCTGGCAAGTTGACTTGGGTTCGCATGCTGATCCATTCGTCAAGGAGGATGTAGTAGAATCGCGCCTGCGCGTGAGTGTTACTCTCAGTGACGACAACTCACGAGCGGGCTCGCCCACCCGACTTCAACGCTGGCCCACGCTTCTGCAGGCCTCCGAGACGCAGGGTTGGCGGCGAGGGCGTACATCTGGTGTTTGCCGCCGAGCAGCTCGGGCATCTCGTCCTCGGTGTATAGCCCTGGGATCATGTGGGGCGAGTTGACAATCGCCTCGAACCAGCGGCGCGTACGACACTCGGCAAATGGCGAGGTTGCAAAGAAGGCCGAGCGGCCAGCCATGATCTAGGCGTTAACTGACACTCTCAGTTGCAAGCTCACCACTCCAGTCCGGTCGGCAAAGCCTTCTGCCAGACGACGTTCCCGCTTCAAACGCTTCATCTCCAGGTCAACAGGCACTGGCTTCGGATGCTTGCGCGGACGACCAGGACCCCTTTTCGCAGCTGGGGGAGGGAGAGTATCCGACTTGCTCTTTGGCGAAGACCACGCTTCTTGGGGACAGGCGGTTTTGATGCCTTGCTAATGGACGATGCCTTGGGAGGACGAGCGATACCGCCCTTGCCAGAGGACTCGGGAAGCGAGGTGAGCGGCGAGTCGTCCGAGTCGACCACAGGTGGCCTGATTTTGAGCTCGAGAGATCGCTGGCGCTTCTTGGGTACCGTTTTGAGTGCCGCAACGGCAACCTCCTCCTCGGGGTCTGGAGTGTCCCCGGTATTGATCTCCATAAACACTGGAGCAGAGTCACCTTCCGTCCTTGGTTCAGATCCGCCACTTTTGCCATCGTGGGGCTTGCCGTCGGTGCCAGTGTCGAGACAATGCGACCCGACTCTCCATGTGGCTGCGCGCCCCCGAGATACGCTTGCGAGCGCTATGGCATCGGGGAGGGTCGAAGGTTGCTTCGAGTTCGCGGCCCTCATTGCCACTGTACCCGCGTCGTCCTCGTCTTCGCTTTCGGCGTCGGTGGACATGAGACTCAGACTCGGCGTCGGGCTAGTCCATCGCTCGCGGAATGAATCCAAACGGGGTTCCTCGAGCCGAACGTTCCTTTCAGTTTTGTCGCCATTGCTGAGGTCGTCGTCATGGTGGCTGCTCGTTGGGGGTGCTGAACTTGACGGCCGTGACTCCAGGCTCAGGCCCGAGAGACCCACAACTGGTGGTGACGGCTGTCTTGACATCGACGGCTCGCCACGTGATGGTGACTCCGGGGGCCCACCGTTACCTTCACTGCTGCTCGGACTGGATCCAGCTGCGCTGCGCGGTCCAGGCCGGTGCCCAGTCTCGGTTCGGTCCTCAGGACGCTGCCTCCACATGAGGCTCGCAGGGTCGGAGGGGTTCGAAGAAGGGTCGTCAGGCGCGTCGAAAGGCAGCCCGGACCTGGATGTCAGCTGCCGTGGTCATTGGCCTCCGCTGCGCACCGCGGTCCGTCGCGCAGCCATGTGTCCCTCGAGGCGGCGGGGTGCGAGCGCGGTGGGACGACCCACATCGAGGCGGACGGGTCGGAGGGTTTGCCGGAAGTCCGAGTCCGAGCGTTCAAGGGTTGCGAGGGCACGGAGCGCGCCGGTTGGGCCTCTGGAGAGAAAATAGTTGGATGATGGGGCTGAGGGAAGACGTGGAACGGGCCTGGCGCGTCGCGTGGAGGGTTGTATCCACGCGTGGAATACACAGAGGGACCTTGATCAGGACGTTCGACGTGCAGCCTGCTGCTCTCTTGCATGGGGGCACGTGCACGGAGGCGAGAGGGGGTCAGAGAGAAGCGTGAAGGCTCAGGAGATCCAGTGGCCGATGCAGAGGCAGAGAGCGAAGGACTGAGCATGGGAGGAGCAAGTCGAAGACGGCGCGCGGGTGGGGTTTCCGGTGGTGGTGCAGGAGGTCTTGGAATGGGGACGTTTACGAATACGAGTGGTAGAGGGCCTGTTGGGCGGTCGAGGACGTATCTCTCGTATGTAGACATGCAGGATGGGAGGATGGATGTTAGAGGTGGAGGGCAAAGAAGGAAGGTATCAATCAGTGCAGCGGACTGAAGTTGATCGGACACTAAAATGTGTGTGTGTGTGTGGACGCGAGATCGCCACCTTCAGCTGTCATGTTGACTCAAGTTGACTCACCACTTGCAACCGTGCCATCCATCAACACCATCCCCATCATCAACACCATCAACATCACACAAACTGCCACACTGTTCTGATGGCGGCCGAACCAGCGTCTCGATGAGGTCATCGCAACTGCATCATCCACACCCCCTCAGCGGCAAAACGTGGCCAGGTGGGCCGCTTCGGATCTTGTTCGCGGCGGCTTTCGCCACCGCGTTGTCAAGTCTTGGCTTTCCCCTATTACTGCCAAGACCATAATGCTGGGCTATGAGGCTATAGGCTGATTGTCTTCTTGCTAAAGGGCCCCAGTAATATCGCGCCTGTCTTTGCCCAAAAGCCGGCCAGGATCACAATGTTGGGGGTGGCTTCCGACGCGTTAGCATTGGACAACAGCGTGCGCCATTTTATGGCTCATGTCGGCTTGACCCGACGTCGACCACATTGTTGGTTTGAGGGTGTGACGCGAGGCGGCTGCTAGCACCACAATATATCTGCCCAGACCCAGGGCTTGTGGCCTTGCGGTATGACTCTCTATCGCAGGTGTCCGCCCAGCCGTCAGTCCAACAGACAAGGGGACTCGCTTTGGGTGCGGAACACATGGGCTTCAAATTCATGGGTTTGAGTGGCCCACGGGCCCCGCAGTCATGCGTGGGCTCTCCGGGGTACAATACCTAGCACTGTGTGGACCGCAGACGCGCAGTGTATGCTGGCGGCGCCAGCCAAGCAGGGCAAGGTCTGTCCAAAGCGTCCAAGCGCGGTCGCAGGCAGCTTTTTTGTGTGGCGCCCAAGAATGGGGCGGTTGCAGACAATGGGGGCGGTTGCAGACAACGGCCTGAAGTGCTACTGACGCTCGCACAGCGAACGAAAGCATTCAAATGTTAAAAGGAGAAGGCTGAGCTGAGCCGACCTCAACAAGAGACGATGTAAACGTGCGCCGGCGGCATACAGAACCACAGAGGCCGCAGACAGTCCCGGGGAGCAGGTGGTGCTTGAGATTTCTGTGGCTCGTACCGGTCCAATTCTGCATGTTCGCCGCAAGGCACAATGGCGGTGCGGTGTCGAACGGAGCCCCCCAAAACACCCATTTTTTGTGTGTGCGGCCAGTGTACCAGTGGCCAGTGTTAGGAGCCTGTTACCACCACCAACCATGCCGTGTTGCCAAGGCTTACGTCCACGGCAGTCGCCTGCCCCACACATGTTGCTCGTCGCCGCGTCCTGCGCATGAAACTGTTAGAAGAAAAGCCCGCATCAATAGACCCGGTGCGCTGGTGAGGGCTATATCCGAATCTGCTTTTGGCCTCTCTGTGAGCATGACGTGCATGGCGGCCAGAGCTGGGCCACGGTGCGCCAATGCCAAGCCAAAGCGGGAGCAAACCTTCAAACCTCACACACACCACCCGCGTTCCCTCCGCCGGCCCTGTGTGCCCTGGTTGCCGCGCGCCCGTAGCCTGAAAGATGTCCATGCGCACCCTTCTCCACAGCGCTCTCACCAACACGGTCGTCTGTGTGGTGTCTCACATCCTCTTCATCCCTCAACACCTTTTCCCACTTTTCACCCTCTCTTCACTCCTTCCAACAGGGCAACAACTCCTTCTTCTTCTTCATTTGAGCGCCGCCAGACCAACTGCGTCTTTGCACTCGCCTCTCTGTCTCTGTCGTCGTTGGCCAGCAGAAAGCGTGACGCCAAGCACTCCAACACGCCAAGGCCATACAAGACCCACCAAAAGTCGCCCCCCCCCCCGCCCGCCGCCGCATATCCCGCATTCGGTCCTAGCCACGCGCGCGATCATCACTTTGCACCGCCTCACACCTCCACCCTCCAACTTGTTCTTAATCCACAACATCATCTCTTAATCCTCAACCACCACCAACACCTCACCTACGGCCACCCACCACCGCACTTCTTTTCTGGCCACCCACCATGGCGCCTTCGCCACCACTCATCGTGACCACTGACCTGGACGGCCCTCATCCTGTGGCCGACCCAGCAGCGGCATCACCTGTTACTCCTCAACGCCACCGTAGGCAAGACTCTGAGCTCTCAGATCCCACCCACTTGTCCCCCGCTGCCGCCCACGGCGTGTCCCTCGCTGGCCACTCACCAAGCCCATCCGTCTCCACCGCCCTCACTCCACCCTCTCCCACTCTGTCCAACGCCTCTGGTGGCTCTGTCCACTTTTCGGACGAGGCCACCACGCCACTTTCATCGCCTGCGGACAACCTCGCCCCGATCGGCGAGGACGGCGACCTCAAGACCCACAAGCGCGACTGGAGTGTCGGCACCTGGGGGTCATCGGTGGAGAGCGAACCGAGCCGTGACCTTTCCCCGATGTCTGCCAAGCCCGTCAACGGCGACATGCACGTCGATGCCGAGGGCAACAAGGTCGAGGCACCGCCCATCGAGCACATTGATCCAAACAAGGACAACACCGACCCCACTCCGTTCAAGGAGAAGCCCTCGCGCCTCGCCATGCTCGTTGACCCCAAGAGCTTGAATGACCTCGAAGCGGTACGTTTGCATTGTTCTGCTGGCCTGGCCTGGCCTGGCGTGTCAGTGGCGCCCCACTACCCGCGCCCCCTTATGTCACAGCGCTGACGTTTATATTCAGATCGGAGGTGTGACTGGTTTGGTCGACGGCTTGGGTACCAACCCGACCAAGGGTCTCACCACCCACGACGGTGCTGCGCCCCGCTCGTCTGCCGAAAGGCCGAACGGCGGGGGCCAGTGGACCGCCAACTTTGACGACCGCCACCGTGTCTACGGCCGTAACGATCTCCCCGAGCGCAAGAGCAAGAGTCTCTGGCTGCTCATGTGGATGGCGTTCAAGGACAAGGTCCTCATTCTTCTTTCGGTCGCCGCCGTCGTCTCGCTCGCTCTCGGTCTGTACCAGGACCTCGGCACTGACGGCGAGGAGATTGCCTGCGACATTACGCCTGAGAACCCTGACGGTCTCTGTGTTGCACCCAAGGTCGACTGGGTCGAGGGTGTCGCCATTGTTGTTGCCATTCTTATTGTCGTCCTCGTCGGTTCCATCAACGACTGGCAAAAGGAGCGCCAGTTCAAGAAGCTCAGCGACAAGCGTGACGACCGTACCGTCAAGGTTATCCGTGACGGCAACGAGCAGGTTATCAACGTTCGCGAAATCGTTGTGGGTGACATTGCTCTCCTCGAGCCAGGAGAGATTGTCCCCGTCGACGGTGTGTTCCTCCGTGGCCACAATGTCCGCTGCGACGAGTCTGGTGCCACTGGCGAGTCGGACGCGATCAAAAAGGTTACCTACGACGAGTGCATCGCCGAGCGCGACAACCTCCAGCCTGGCCAACGCCAAAAGCTCGACTGTTTTATGATTTCCGGTGCAAAGGTCCTTGAGGGTGTCGGCGAGTACGTTGTCATCTCCGTCGGCACCAACTCGTTCAACGGTCGTATCATGATGGCTATGCGTGGCGAGACCGAGGAGACTCCTCTGCAGATCAAGCTTAACGCTCTCGCCGAACTCATCGCCAAGGCCGGTGCTGGTTCGGGTCTGATCCTCTTCATCGCTCTCATGATCCGCTACTTTGTCACCCTCGGCACCAACCCGGACAGCATGGGCTCCCACGGCAACCCCGCCACACCCAACGACAAGGCGCAGGCCTTTATCCAAATTCTCATCATTTCAGTCACCATTGTCGTCGTTGCCGTCCCCGAAGGTCTGCCGCTCGCCGTCACGCTCGCCCTTGCGTTTGCCACCAAGCGAATGACTGCCCAAAACCTGCTCGTTCGTGTTCTTGGCTCGTGTGAGACAATGGGTCACGCGACTGTTGTCTGCACGGACAAGACTGGTACTCTTACTCAGAACGTCATGTCGGTCGTTGCTGGATCGCTTGGTGTTCACGGCAAGTTTGTGCGCGACATCAAGGACAACCAGGAACGCTCCATTGGCGACACTGATGGTGCGGCCCGTGACGACTTTTCGTTTGACATGGACGAGATGAACGCCGTCGCTTCGCCCGAGCTCCAGACCCTGTTCAACGACGCCATCTGCATCAACTCGACCGCGTTCGAGGACAAGGACGATGCCGGTAACCTTGAGTTTGTCGGCTCCAAGACCGAGACTGCTCTCCTCCGTTTCGCTCGCGAGCTCAACTGGGCCAACTGGAAGACCACCCGCGAGGGTGCCGACATTGTCCAAATGATCCCATTCTCGTCCGAGCTCAAGGCCATGGGTGTCGTTGTCAAGAACGCCGATGGCACCTACCGTCTCTACATCAAGGGTGCTTCCGAGGTCCTCACCAAAAAGTGCTCGTCCTACGTCGACGTCCAGCGCCAGCCCACTTCTGGCGTCCACACTCAGGCCTTTGACGACTTGGCCATGAAGAACATTGAAAAGACTATCATCTTCTACGCCGACCAGACCCTCCGTACCCTTGCTCTCTGTTACCGCGACTTCCCCCAGTGGCCCCCCGCTGGTGCCCCGAACTGCGCTATCGATGACGTCCCCTTCGAGCTGCTCTCGCGCGACCTCTCCCTTATCGCCATTGTCGGTATCGAAGACCCTCTCCGCCCCGGTGTCCGTGACGCTGTCAATGAGTGCCAGGGCGCTGGTGTCGCGGTCAAGATGTGTACCGGTGACAATGTCCTCACGGCCCGCTCAATCGCCAAGCAGTGTGGTATCTTCACTGCTGGTGGTATCGTCATGGAAGGCCCCGTGTTCCGCAAGCTCTCCGATGCCGACCGCCTCGAGATTGTGCCCCGTCTCCAGATTCTCGCCCGCTCGTCCCCCGAGGACAAGAAGCTGCTCGTCAAGACTCTCAAGTCGATGGGCGAGGTTGTCGGTGTGACTGGTGACGGTACCAATGACGGTCCCGCACTCAAGCTTGCCAACGTCGGTTTCGCCATGGGTATTGCTGGTACCGAGGTGGCCAAGGAGGCTTCGGACATTATCCTCATGGACGACTCGTTCTCCAACATTGTCCTCGCCATCATGTGGGGCCGTTGCGTCAACGACTCGGTCAAGAAGTTTATCCAGTTCCAGATCTCGGTCAACATTACTGCTGTCGTCATCACCTTCATCTCGGCCGTCGCTTCGGCTTCCGAGTCGTCCGTCCTCACCGCCGTCCAGCTGCTCTGGGTCAACCTCATCATGGACACGTTTGCCGCCCTTGCCCTCGCTACCGACCCGGCCTCGCGTGCGTCGCTCAAGCGCAAGCCGGACCGCAAGGACTCGCCCCTCATCACTGTGGACATGTGCAAGATGATTGTCGTCCAGGCTATTTACCAGATCATCGTCTGTCTTGTGCTCCACTTTGCCGGTCGCCACATTCTCAACATGCCCTATGGAACCGCCGTTGAGCAGGCTCACTCGTCCGCCGAGCTCCGTACCCTGGTCTTCAACTGCTTCGTGTTCTGCCAGATCTTCAACCAGCTCAACTGTCGCCGTCTCGACCGCCACTTCAACGTCCTCGAGGGCTTCTTCCGCAACTTCTGGTTCATTGGCATTTTCATCATCATGGTTGCCGGCCAGATCCTCATCATCGAGGTCGGTGGCGCCGCCTTTACCGTCCAGCGTCTTGGCGGTCGCGACTGGGCAATTTCGATTGTCGTCGGCTTCCTCTCCCTCCCTCTCGGTGTCCTCGTCCGCCTCATGCCCACCCAGCCAGTCGAGACCTTCCTCGTCAAGATGAAGATCTTCCCCGACCCCAACCAGCTCCCTGTCACCTCTGACGAAGAGTCCGAGTCGGACGGCTTCATCTACAACCCTGCCCTGGAGAAGATCAAGGACAACCTTACGACGTTTGCCAGTATCCGTGGTGGTCGCGTCAGTGGATCCTCCCTCGTTGCCGGATCGCGTCACGCCCAGCTCCGCAAGGCCGACATCCAGCTCCCCTCGCTCCTCGCCATGGTCCCCACTCTCATTGCGGGTGGTATCGGCGCCGGTCCCAACTGGGTCACCCAGACCAACGCTCTTGGTCTGCGTAACCCTGCAGCTCACGACCCGAGTCGCTCGACCACGGACCTGTACGCCGGTCGCGTCCAGCTCCACCCGGACACGGACCCCAGCGATCCCCTCTACGCCAAGTTCGGCCTCACCCCGCCGGGCCGCGACGAAAAGAGCTAGAGCACGGCAATAGACATTTCCGCCACTGCTCGCTCTTGGCCCCTACCTCTTGGCCCCTACCTCTTGGGGCCCTTTCGGATAGCGCAAGCGAAACACCCCCACATCTCCGTTTGCGCTGTTGCTTTCGTGCAAAGCCTCTACTTTTCTTTTCCTTACACACCCCCCTCTGCCTCCGTGTGCGTGTGTCCGACCTATCGGCACAATATCTTTCCCGCAACACGAACAAACCACCATAGAAGTCGCTCATTGCTGTAACACAATATACACGCCGGCCGTCGCATTAGTTGTTTCCCCCTCTCCTCCTATCTCTCTCTCTCTCTCTCTCTCTCTCTCTCTCTCTCTCGATTTCTCCCCTCCCCTCGGCGCACGTAAAAGGTTATTGGGTGTATGAATATGCAGTGCATAGATGCCAGAACTGAGCGAGCAGCAGGGCAAGAAACGGGGGCGAAGGAGTGGACAGACCCCAGCCCAGCTCAGGCGGGTGGTTGAACGGCGTTGCTGACGCTGTTCGCCACAGCGCAACGCTAGCGAGCAGCAGGCCAGCAAGTACACATGCTGAGACAAGAGCGGCCCGCATCAAAGGAGGGTGGTGGCCACTGGCCACTGGCGCTCGGGGACCAGGGGAAGGGTGATGTGGGGGACGTGGGGAGGGGGGGGGGGGGGGTCGTCTTGAGGCGCTGCCTTTCGTACGATGCCAGTCAACCCACGCTCATGGGACGGCTGGACGACACAATTACACATACTGATATACTGACCTGTCTGCGAATCTGTAAACCCAACGAAGCAAGAGTGCAGTACAGTACAGTACAGTACAGTACAGTCCATCACGCGGGATCACGGGAGTTTGAGGGTATGGTCCTTGGGCGACCTACCAACCACTGTGCGCCCGGGCACACGCGCGCGAAGCATCCACCCACCCAGACTCTAGTACTCCAAAGGACCGCCGTGTTCTTCTGTCATTCGATCTGGTGCCGGATGTCACACTGCTCCTGCTCCTCCCCCCGACTTGTTTGCACGAGCGCCTGTATCTGGCTGGGGACATTCCTCGTCGACGACAGCTTGCAGCTTGCTTCGTTGTGCTCGCATCCAAATGTCTTGGGACCACGGACGGTGCCTTCCTTGGCTTTTGCCTCCCGTGCCGGTGCCGGTACGGGGTGTGGGTGGCTGCCTCGCGTCTCTCCACAAAGTACACACACACACACACGCCAAGGTGCCTCTGCAGTGGCCACTGGCCACTGGGCTGCGTTTGCGGTGTTTGGCTCTTTGCCGTCCGCGTTGCGAGATCTAGACTGAGAGACCTGATGGGGTGTAACGGCCAGAGAAGAGGAACGGGCGGAGGGAGGTGTGGGTGGGGTTCATGCATCCCCCATCTCGAACCGCTGGGGTGGCTTGTGTGGATGGGGCCTGGTGGTACATATGCCTGTTGCCTGTACGCTAAGTTCCCCCTCCTCGCTTGGTTGGGTCTGTCTCTGCCCACTGTCAACTGGTCCAGAGTGGCAACTGAAGTACACGACGCAGACCTGGGATATAGGTCTGACGGCTACCGCCAAGTTGTACCGCCCAGTCTCGCCGACGATGGCTCGCATGGATGGCATGGATCTGGGCTGGAAACCGTCTGGCCGGGCGACAGACCGTCCGCCCATCACACCTCCCTGCACCCTGCGCGCTGCACGACCCATGATGCCATGATTGTCCCCCCTCCCGCCGCATAGCGCGCGCATCACACCAACAGGCCAACAGGATGCACCGCCGCACCTACTCGACACACCATACATCATACTCCAGGGGCAGGGGCCAGCTGGGACGAGGAGAAGAGGAGAAGGTGGCGTGCGGCGCCGGCTTGGGGTCAGTGGTCCGAGCGGTGTGTACGGCTTGGAAACTGAGGCTGGGTTTTGGTCTCTGTCTCTGGAGCGGTCGTTGTCGTGGATTGGAGGCTCAGAGACAAACAGATACCCAGCTATACAGATCTGGTCACTGCACGTGGAAGGGAAGGTGCCCAATTGCCCAAGGCACAGGGGGTTGGGTTGTGCATCGACGCTGTTCTGAAATATGAGGTGTGCAGAGACAATGTGGCGTCGGCTCACAAAGTGGCGGCGCTCGTTTGGATCTTTGGGCGTCCTGCCTCTGTTGTTGTTGCGAACAATAGATCCATGCCGCGCATCATGAACGGCGAGTAACACTGCGACGTTGCGGCTAAACTGCCCAAGCAAGAGGTTAGAACCTATCAAGCCTTGTTCACGTGCGCTGTACCCTTTGCCTCTCTGCATGGGTGATACGGGCTTCAGGGAGGACGAGGATAAGACTCTACGATCCATCAGACGTCGGTTCTCCCTTTCGACTTCTCTCCCATCACTTCACTTCGTCTCCTATCGTCTTGCTTTCTTCTCTACCAGTCTGCTGCTAGGCCGTTGTTATCCTACCCACTACACTCCCCAGCAACTCAGGCTACACATCCCCACCACCCCCGCTTTCACTCCTTCCACTGCACCCCTCGCTAAGCACAATGGCGCCAACCTTTGTCGACCTCGCCAGGTCGGCACCCAACGTCGCCGCGCGCGGCATAACCGCCCCAACATGTGTGATCTCATGCATGGCCAGGGGAGATACTACTGGTTGCGCCAGTATCATCGACTATACGTGTCTCTGTGCCAGTGAATACTACACCACTAGCGTTATTGTGAGTCTGCGCGTCTCTTCCTTGGTGACACGGACAACAAAGAAGCGAAAGTGATTATCCTCATTGTCCCCCGGAGATGTTATTGTCTTCGCCATCACAAAGCCTCCCAACATGGCCAAACACTGCGGGCGACTGTCGAGCTCTGGTGTATTTCCCTCTTTCTGCCTGACGACATGAATACAGCTAACGCTTCAGACCTGCTGGAACGTCAACTGCAACAGCACAGAGTACGCCAAGGGCCTCACCTACACTGCCTCTGCGTGCGCCGTGTATGGTGTCACCCTCGTCCCGGCCACCAGCACCGGCGTCAATGCTGCGGTGGCTACTGTCCTCACTATCCCCCCAGTCATCTACTCTCGTGCCGTGTGGAACATCCAGGCGGTCGTGAGTGTTCATTCCATCTGCCCCTCTCCCCATCTCCCATGTCACCCGCGTCCCCGTCCTCTTTGGAGAGAGCCCTGTCTTTCCCCCCTTTCTACTCCATTCCTCCTTCCGTCATTCCATCGTTCTCTCCCTCTCTCTGTGTCCCCGGCGGCAGCGACAGATCCCTCATTGTTATTGATGGGTGGAGACGACCACCACCGTTGGCTTGGTGCCTTTGGGATACGCCGCACACATGTTCCTGTGCACGGCCCAGGCGCCACATTCCACCAAAGTTCCTCGGGGGTGGGATCTCATTTCCTTCATTCTATGTCAGCTCGGCAGCAGCCACTGACGTGTGTCTTCTAGATGTCTTCGATATGCTCACTCGTCCTCGTCGCCGCAATCATCCTCGGATTCATGTCGTGCCGAGCCCAGGCGCGCCGACAGGCCATGACTCAGGGGTACGCACAGCAAAACACACACAGACACCCATTCCAATCACATTTCTGACCCCCTCGTCTAGCAGCCACTGGACTGGACTCCCATCGCACATGGACACCAAGAATGGTACGCGCACCCGTTCGCGTCATGGCAGGTCTGGCGCCCCCCACCTCGATTCGTTCGGCCACCTCACCACCATGGACCTCACGCGCACCGTCGACAGGGACCTCGCCTATCCCCTTCGCAGCGTCAACCGCGACCCTTCCGTGCCCCGCTTCACCAACCGTCTCCCGCCGGCCGGCCAGGACATGTGGGGGGAGGAAGCGCACGAGATGCACGACATCGAGGGCGGGGGTAGCTGGAGGAGTGGGATGGGTCGCGCGAGCGGCAGTCACGCCAGCGACGACGACGAGGTCAAGACGCCCTACGGCGGCAACTCTGTTCTCGGACACGAGGACGAGGACAAGGACAAGAACAAGTCGGCCGTTCCCGACCCGGAACCCGTCGACGCCCTGTCATCTGTCGGACTGGCGGGCCACAGCCTCGCAGAGATGGATGAGGCGGATGCCGAGCGCGAGCTGTCCGTCGTGGATCACATCGGTGCCGTCCCAATGCCGCCGACCCCAACATCGATCGGTACCATCATGCGCGGCAATGGGTCCGAGTTTGGTGGCAGCACCACACACCTGAACCGTCCTTGAGCGCCTAGCGGGCGACTCCTGGGCAGGCGCGTGGCCATCTTCCATCATACTTTTGTGCATAATCTTTCTGAGGGTAATCATTTCGGGTCACTTGGTCTCATTTCATTGTACATAGAGCAACCGCTTCATGCAAACATCTACTGTGACCTTTGGGGCGCGGGCCAGGCCGGCTCTCTGAGGACGACCGAGGGAGATCTCTCTCCGGTCACCCCAAATCGCTCGCACCAACACGAGGCCATTAGTGGCGTACTGTACATGCACACTTGTACAGGGCACCTGTAACTCTTATCGTCTGGCGGTGGCGTGTGTGTAAGCTGGGCATTGGGCTTATGCACAGGTCCCGTCCAGAACTGACCATGTGTGCAGACATCTAGAACACGGAAAGCCACAGTCAGAAAAACGAGCGTTCTCCCCATCAGTTCAAAACCTTGTCACACTGGACCATGGGAGTGTAGTGTGGGACCGCTATGCTGGAGCTGGGGCGAGGGGCATGGCGGCTGAGAAGCAGCTCCTCGACACGAGGCGTCGACCCCCAGCTTTGGATATCACCTGCTATAGCTGGCCCGGCCAGACTGGGCGACATCGTAAGTCCATCCCATCGTGATCCAGTGAGCCACGAAAAACAGCAAGCTACCGCCACAACACACGCCACGAACAGGTGCACATGCCTGTGTGTGCGTGTGCGTGTGTGTGTGTGTTCTCGGCGGCGGCGGTGGCGGCGACGACAACGACGACGACGTACCCCTACGCCGTTGTGTGATGCGCAGACAAGAGGCGGGGCGGCGTACGGCGTGGCGGTTGGCGCGCTCGCCATGGAGTCCATGGTCTGGGCGTGGGATTACACGTCACACAGCTCAAATCCCAGGTAGCCACTGGCAGACAGCACGTCGGTGTCGCGGGGCCGGCGGGGCATGCGGTACAGAGCAATAAGCGACCAGAACAGCCGCCGTGCAGACCTGACCCCCAGCCGCCCTCGAGCTCGGCCCTCGGACACCCCTTCACGGAGATGAGCATACGTGAGCACAGTTTGCATGTCAGATCCCTCTGGCCTCTGGGCGTCTGAAGTTGACCTGGCCAACCTCATTTTCGTGCTTGCATGGAGGTGGATTGTTATGCTTGACGGGCCGCGGAGAGGACCGTTTTTAGACAGACATCCAGACGAATGAAGAAAAAGGACAACCCAGTTAGTTGCTATACCTCAAGCAAGACCGATCCACCGCCCTGCATTCAAGTCCAGGTTGTATTGTGCCCGCACGTCAGAAACGGAACCGTGAAGAATGCATTGGGTGGTATCGATACCAGGATATCGGTTTGAGAGTAGCTGACAACTAGAACAACGGCAAACACAATTACTCTGTGTTGTTGCTGGGGCGGCTGTCCACCTAGGCCTCGTTGGAGGTCTGGCCGCCCTGGGGCTGGTCAGCGGCGGCGTCGACGGCGACGACGTTGTGGCCAACGCCAGCAATCGCGGCTTCGCGGTCCTTGCGGCGCTTCATGATCTCGCGAATGGTGTTGCCCTGTGGGAAATGTCAGCGCAGGGACGCGGCGATGTAATGAATGGGCAAGGGTCTCAGAGGGCGAGCACATCTCCTCTAGCAGCTCCCATAACAGTTGCTTGCTACTCACGGCATTGTCGTGCGTGGCTGTGCGCCAGCGGTAGCCCTTGTAGAGCTTCATCCTCTGCTTCTTGCGGTAGTCCTCGACGCCCTTGACGATGTACTCGGCCTCGAGGATCTCCTCGCGCTCCTCGGCAAGCGCCTTGCCGGCCTCGACACCGCCCCAAGTACCGGCCCTCATCTCCTCAATGTCGTCTGGGTAGTGGAATGGCTCGGTGAGACCGACCACGGCACGCTTATAGTTCTTAAGCGCACCGCTCTTACGCTTGATCCGGCCACCAGCGACACGCGTGAGCTCGCCAAGGTAGATGTCGGTACGGATGAAGGTGACGTCGAGGTCGTACACGGCCGAGAGGTAAGAACGCAGGTCGGTCTTGGTCATGCCAATGGGGATACGGAACGTGGCCGTCCACGGGTCGTAGGCCTCTCCGGGAGGGGTGTGGTTGCGCACCAGGCGGATCTGGATGTTGGGAAGGTAGATCTTCTGCGCAACAACAGCGTCACGCCACTCTGACTCAGTTGCCGGAGCTGCGCGGGGAGCACCCTCGCGCTTGAGGTGGCCCATGTGGCTGTCGACCTGGACTTCCTGGGTCACAGTGTTGACACGACCGTAACCACGCACACGCGAGCGCCACTGGTTCTGGGACTTGAGGAAAGCGCGGCGGGCCGACATCTCGTCGCCCTTGTACTGGCCGGCCAGGCGCATCTTCTGGAACATGTCCTCGAGCTTGGGAGGAAGCTCGTGTGCGTTTGCGCCAACAAACTTCTCGGGCGAGGTGAGAGGAGAGGGCTTCTGGATGTCGGGGAACTCGGCGCGGCGGCGGCGGACGGCGAGGGGGACCGAGCCAGTCGTGCTGGGCCCGGCGGGTGCTGTGGGCACGGTGCTGAGCGCACGGCGGAAGAGGCGGGACATTGTGGTCTATGTGATGTCGACAATACACCTCCGAGAGCTGAAAATGTCGGAACAGTGCGTCGCGCAAAGAACCAGGGCGTGGGTGGGTGTGTGCAAAGCGGCGTTGTAAAATATAGGCCTACAGAAAAATAGGCATTGGACTTTTGGCGCGCCTGTGATATAGTCCTGGACGGAAGCAAATGGGCGGGGCCAGGTTCCTCCACGGACGCGCCTCTTGCTGGCTCTCGATCGACAGCAAAACAACAACACAACCACCGTGTGCTGCATCCATCCTGTCTCTACCGTTCCTCGCCAACCTTTTTCAATCACTGCCATCAACCCCACGCGCTCTAGAGGACACTACGAACCATGCAGTGCCTCGAGGCGCGTCTAGCCTCGTATGTGGCCATCACAAAGCCCAAAAAGCACGCCAAAGTCGCGTTCCCCCTCCAGGCCGACTCGCATCCGCACCTCACCCCGGCATCGCTCGCCGCCGCGGGCTTCTTCCATTACCCAGGCAAGGAGTCTGACCCAGACTCGCACGACACGTGCCGCTGCTTCCTGTGCGGCCTTGTCTTGGGTGGGTGGGACGAGGAGGACGACCCGTTCGCCGAGCACGTCAAGCGCGATGGCGACTGCGCGTGGAAGGAGCTCGTATGCAGGATCGAGGTGGACCGCGCCGAGGGTGGCCCTGGGCGCTTGAGGTATGTTTGCATTTGGCAAGGAACTGGTCAAGTCGTACCGGTGCCCGCGGGATACATGCCCATGTTGCTGCGTACCTGCACGCCAGCTCGCTCGCACCGTTTTCCTTAACGGTAGAGCAGCACCAGCTGACCCGTTTCAGAACAACATACCCCGATGCCGACTCGCTGCCGAGTTCAGCCAAGAGCACAGCGTACAGGGAGAAGACGTTTGGCGACTGGTGGCCGCACAAGAAACCGAGTGCCAAGGTCGTAAGTCATCACGTGTTTGAACCACTAGCTGACAACAGCTTGCACATGCCGGTTTCATCTCGACACCCTCCAAAGCTGTACCGGACGGCACCATGTGTCCTTTGTGCAAGTACGAGGTGGAGGAGTGGGAAGAGGACGACGACCCGCTGTGAGTGGCTCTGTGGCATCTAGTCAACTAGCAGCATTTTCTGACAACATCGCACAGTGCCGTGCACCAGAAGAAGGAGCCAGCATGCCCATTCTTCACCGCCGCGGTCGAGAAGGTAGGTCCTTGGTACGTTCATCGCGCTGACCAAGCAGAAGACGCGTAGGAAGACGACAACAGCAAAGCGTGGGCGCGCCACCACAACCGTGACACGAGAAGCGGACCCCGAGCCTGAACCGGAGCCCGCAATCGAAGCCCAGGCAGAGCCGGAACCAGAACCTGTCGCACCCAAGCGGCGAGGACGGCCACCAAAGGCCTCGACTGCTGCGTCCTCGACTACTGCGGCGACCGCGCCTTTGGTAGTGTCAAAGCCCGCTGCCACTGTGACGCGTAAGACTACGCGTGGCAAGAAGGCAAAGGCAAAGGAGGAGGAAGAAACCACAACTGGGGAGCCTACTCCTGCGCCAGAGCCCGTTGCCGTCGAGGAGCCACAGCTGGTGGAGGTCGAGGAGGCACCAAAGAAGGCCCGCAAGACCAAGCCTTTACCAAAGAAACGGACTACGCGCAATACGGCCGCGACGATTGAGCTTGAACCAGAACCGCCAGCGGAGGCCGAGCCCGCGCCCGCTCCCGCACCACCGGCCAAGGCCAAGACTACAAAGGCAAAGTCCAAGGCCGCTGCGGCTGCTCCACCACCAGTTGAGGCCGCGTCTGAGCCAACACGTATCCCGGTCCTTTCTCCGCCGCGCACAGCCAAGTCGGCCCCAGCCCGCGCCCTCTCCCAACTGGACAGGTTCGCCAACTTGCCCGCTCCAGCCGCGCTCCCTGGCTCACCAAAAGCCACCACTTCAACAGCACCAGCTCCGGCGTCCCCGTCAGTTCGGCACGCCATTGCCGCCATGGTGCGCGAAGCATCTCCGGCACCAGCGCCAATAGCAGCAGCCCCAGCCGCAGCACCCGGATCGCCCGACAAGGCCCTGCCGCCTCTACCGCCTCTCGCACCGCTCACGGACGAGCAGCGCAAGATGACGCTCGAAGAGTATGTTCGTCAGCAGTACGCTGCGCGCGGCGACGAGATGCGCGCGGATGGAGAGGCCTTGATCCAGAAATGGGAGGCGAGGACCACAGAGGCGAGGGCTAGGATCGAAGAGTCTTAGGCATGCTACCCGTAGGGTGTGCGTGTGTGGCGATGAGGGTGTCACCAGAGTGACCAACTTGGTGGAAGAACGTGGCCCGCCCAGACTGGCGAGGTACCACTTGTATGGGATCGCTGGCGCGAGACCCACCGGACGAGGAGAGCGTGCGACTGATGTAAACTGCATGGGACACTGGATATGCATGAAGACTACGGGGTGGTCTTCAATTGTCTTGTCACCAACTTGATCTGCAATTGCCTCTATAGTTGTTCGGCACTTTACGCCCTCACCCAGGCAGGTCCAGTGTTTTGCGACTCTTTGACAAAGGGTACTGATGCATGGCCGCCGAGCGGCTCTCTATGTTGCAACAGATGCTACATTGCGGGCAAGGATCCCAGACCCGGCCCTCGTGCTCGCGCGCGCGAGAATAAGAAATATTGTCCTTCGCGCGGTCGTGTGTTGCTCACGCTCTCGCCTCTCCCTCCCTGCTCTACACCTCCCTGCGCCCAGCGCTCCGCCGCTCGCGGCCCCTCCCGGATCTTTGGGAGTAAAAGACAAGACTATGCGGCGAGCAACGTCGCATAGCTGTCTCTTTGTCTTAGATATTTCTAGACTCGAGATAAAACCCCGTCCATCGTCATCCAGACAACTACACCTCCTGGTATGCAGGGTGCTTGCCTCCCTCGGCTTCGCGATCACGACGCCCCACAAGCGACCTCGAAGGGTTGTTGTCGTCGGTATCGCTCTCCTCCTCTTCTGGGAGCTGGGTGAGGGCCATGCCCTCCTCTTCAAACGCGTTGAAGAGGGTCGAGTTTTGCTCGCGGAAGATCCTGGAGCGACGGCCATGCGAGGCCTGAGGGCCGTCGACGCCGTTCGCGCCGCCGTAGCCCCACATGGAGGGGCCTTGCGACTCGACAGACAGGCGGCCAGACATGGACATGCGGGGGTCTGAAACGTCAGTTATCAATGGCCAACATCTCTGGTAACGTGACACTCACTCATGAGACCCGTCTCGAGGCTCGAGGTGTGGTGCACCTGCTCGGGCTGGCGCGAAATGTTGAGGAGGTAGACGCCCATGAAGATGACAAGGAAGCCCATGAGGAGCGAGATGGTGTTGACGGCGTCGGTCGTGTTGAAACCCTGGAAAAGAATGGCAGACGCGGTAATGGTGGCCGTCGTGAAGAAAACATAGTAGATGGGGTTGACAACGTTGGTGGAGAAAGTGTCGAGGGCCTTGTTGAAATAGTTCATCTGGATCAAGATGCACCCAATGACAACAACACCAAAGAAGTAGGTGCTGAAATACGTGAGCTGGTTCTTGCCAGCAAACGTGAGCTTGATGGCAATACCAAAGCCCTTGATGGCCATGACCGAGATGGAGCCCACGAGAGAGCAGATCGAGAGGTAGACCATGGGGTTGGTGGTGCCGTACCGGGGCACTATGCGGAAGATCATAAAGGCGCAGAAGACGGTAACGAAGGAAATGTAGATGAGGAAGGCTGGCAAAAGTCAGTTCGCAGACCGTGGAATCCAGTGCCTTGTTACTCACGCATCTTGGCAGCAAGGTCGAGAATCTCGTCGACGCTCTCGACCTCCTTGTCAGACGGCGCGTGCAGAACGATAATGACCGAGCCGATAATACAGCTTGCGCAGCCGCACACGCCTAGCCTGCCGAGCTTCTCGTCCAAGAAGAAGGATGCGAGGATGGCGCTGGGGAAGGGTCAGCGGATATCCGAGAAGGTGCAACGGCAACCCGAGGCGTTGTTGGTCCAGCCCGCCAACTCGATGGTGAACGGCTCGTGCGATGGACCACAGTACGGGCCATACGGTAAGGAGGGGATGGCAGCTGCAAGGGCTATGCCCCAACGCCAAGCCGAACACCCCCATGCGGTACAAAACTCACCCGATGATAACACTCATGGCACCGAGGGGAGTGACGAGGATCGCGGGCGCGAACGTGTACGCGGCAAAGTTGGCCACTGTCAATTTAGCATGGCCTCTCTTGTCGCTTCAACTGGCAAGGCTCACCTTCACCTATCACCACTGTAAATTGTCAGCCTTGCTTTCATATAATTCCCGAGGGCAGGCCATAACAACAGCAGCACGCCCCGCCATGTCAACTCACTAGTGATCATGCCGGCCCACCAGATGGGGTTCTGAAGGTACGCAAAGTCCGTAGCTGCCTGTCAGTCTCCTATCTATCCGTGTGCCGCTTGACGTACAGGCATTGCGCGGACCGGTCTGGCGCTGGTGGCTGTGTGGGTAGTCGGCCGGGCGGGTCGCGGCATCGTTCAAGCCCTACAGCTTAGTTAGCACTTCCTCTCCCTCGGCGGCGGTAGATGACCCCAGCTCACCTTCTTTGTAATGATAAAGCTCGAGCTGCGCAACAGTGTCAGCTACGCGACCCAACTTCGGACATGAACACGTCTCGGCCACGGCGACAAGCGTCTCTGGCCAGCACGGATTGCGTTGCGGGCAACACACAACCGGGTGGCGCGAAGGCAAGAAGCGAGCAATGGCGCGGTGCTTGCGAGGTGGTAGCAGGACGTACCCGATGAGGCCTGAACTGGAGAATGCCAGTGCGAGGCCGATGTACTTGTCCTCGATCATGGTCGGTTGGAAGGGTGGAACACAAAGTTGTACAGACACGAGAGAATGGGATGCGCACCTAGATGGACATCAAAGGGGGCGTGGCGCGCGCGGCAGCGACAGAGACAAGAGGGGGCAAAGTGGGCGCGCGCGGGGAGACCGCACCAGGGGAGGCACCCAGGGGAGGCACGGAAGCAAAACAACGTGGCAGCTATTAGGGCACGCAGTAATGCTGCGCCGGGGGGGTACGCGGGGGGTGGTATTAGATGCTGTCAACTTTTTTTATCCTGCTGGTCCCATCTTGGCTTTAGGGAAGGCCCCACGTACTGTACATGGGGAAGTGGGGAGAGGGAGTGCGTGCGTCAAAAGTCGACTGGTTGGCCACAACAAAACACATGCACGTAGTGGCATTCTATCATTTCTTCTGCGCACCGGGTCCATCTGGTCCTGTCCTCTACACAACCACAGAGCCGCAGAGCCTGACTGCGCGTCATTGCGTGGGTAGACCCAACAACGGCCACTGCCCTTGAATAGCCAAGGTCCGAAAATGCAATCAAACATCTTAGCGCTCGTCATTCGACCCGTGGCAGCCCAGAAGTTGGTGGCATAACGAACTTGCTGGGTCTCCCCCATGCGCCTCGGTGACAAGCGATGGCACTTGCATACCCACCGCACATCCATCAGCCTACTCGCCTGCGACAAGAGAGACTTGTGTGTGTTGTGCCGCAGTGCACTTTTCCTGTGCACCATGGTTTGTGCGTCCAAACGCCCAGGGAGTGTGTGGAGGGAGGGTGTACGGCAACGCCACAGCAGTCGCCTCTCGACGCCACTATCGCACCCAGTCCGCCTGCGACGCGCTCGAGGAAACAACAGTGGCGGTCTTCGAAACCCATGGCGTCTCAACTAACATGTCACCACCGTCTCTTCGTCTCTGTCTTCCTTTTTGCATCTCCTGGACACCTTTATAACTCCACCGCGCGCGAGATGACCAGCCCACTATCTCCAAAATGGGGATATCGTCTAGTGGTAAGACACAGACTTCGCATTCGGACCTCCTCGAGCTTCAACTTGAGAGCCAGCGATCTGTCTGTAACCGGCGTTCGATTCGCCGTATCTCCAGTTTTTGCCTCGCTATGCATGTCCTTGATGTTCTGGGAGCGTTTCTGATGCAAAGCAATGTGAAAGAAAGATTTTTGGTGGTTTGACAAGGTGTTGTGGCCGGTGTGGTTGAAGTGCCACAACCGTTGCTGATTGCCGATCGTCGTCACTTTTTGCCTCATTGACGTGCGGCTGTTGCCGCACGTGTGGTATTCAGTACCGACGCCCGCAGTCAGCGCGCCAGGCGCAGCGGCTCCAACTCTGTGGACACACTGTCACTCAAGTGGTACCCCAAGACTATCTGTTGACCGGGGGTCTTCCTCATCTGCGGAACCCCGGCGCAACGAGACGGGTGTCCTTTCTTGGTCTGTGTCTTGAACAATGCTAAATTTTGCATGTCATGAAAGCTGCCACTACTGAAGTATGCTCATGGATTGGTTACAATTGTTTCTACCGTTGTCTTACTCGGTCGGCTCGCCCTTAACGGCAACCTCCTCTTCAGCGACGACGGGCTCAGCCGCGGGGGCAGGCGTGGGCTTGGGTGCGCCGATGGCAGCCAAAAGCGCCGCCACGTCGATCATAGGCGCGGCAGGTGCCACGACTGGTGCAGGAGCAGGGGCAGGGGCAGGAGCGTCGGTCTCCTGCACAGCTGTGTTGGCAGCAACGTCCTCGGATCCTCCCTTGTCGATCACAACCTCCTCCTTCTCTTCCACATCCACCTCGGGGTTCGCCTCCTCGGCGCCCTCGACCGGCTCGACCTTGACACGTTTCGAGTCGTCGGCGTCACTTGCGTCGTCGATGGCCTTGCGTTTCGTACTGCCATCCTCGCTAGGGGCGGGGGACTTGGACCCAGCGCGCTCGTTGCCAAGCAGGCGGGCGGTGACGGCCGACGACATTCGCGTCGCTTTGCATGTTGCGTGGTAGATCTGGATCGTCAGCTACGACTCGCTCAATGTGAGAGCCTTCCTAGTTGACTCACTGTACCCTGGGTCTCGACGGCGTTCATAAAGACCCACTCCTCCTCATCCTCGCTCCACTCCGACTTGAACTGCTCCTTGCAGATGGGGCAGGGCTTCTTGGCCTTGACGGGGTCGGAAGGCGCGGGCACCCACTTGCGCTTGAGGGCGGCGAGACGCTCGCCAGTAAGGACCGGAAGGGCCGAGTCGCTCTTCTTGGGCGACGTGCTGGACGGGCCAGCACCTTCGACATTCTCGTTGATCCATTCCTCGGCCCTAGGCAGCCAGCGACGGTGCGCGCCGCGACCGTCCGTCTCGCGTTCCTTGCGGTTACGGCGGAAGTGCCAGTCCATGTGGGCTTGGAGCTTGTTCTCGCCTTCGGGGAAGCGGAGGCCGCACTGCTTGCACCGGACTGGAAGGTGGGAGACGGGAAGAGACAGTTTTGAGAGGTCAAAGACGTCGATGCTCATGTCGAGCGCGAGGATCATGTCCTCGTACGAGTCGAGACTGGTCTTCGCCGCCGCTGAGGGTTCGGGGGTGCGAGGCTGCGAGAGAACGCCAGAACTGTTGAGGTTGCGCAGAATGTCGGCGACGTTGATGGCTGGGATGGCCGCAGGGATGGCCACGGGAGCCTGCACGGGCGGGGCAGGCGCAGGTGGGTACTGCTGAGCTGGAGGCGGGTACTGCTGGGCCGGTGGGTAGGCAGGATACTGCTGCTGGGGTGGGTACTGTTGCTGTTGAGGGGGCGGGTAGGCCCCGCGCGGGCCGTAGCCTCCATACGCAGGCTGGGGAGGGCCAGGAGCAGGAGCGGGGATAGGACCAGGCGCGGCAGCGGCAGCAGCAGCAGGAGCCGCCAGGCGGGCTGCTTGAGACGAGCTGGGCTCCAACCCAGCCTTCATAGCGCGAACCTTCTCTGCAATCTCTGCAAGCTCCTTGGGGGCAACATGAGAGTTTGTGAGGAGCTGGTCGATTTGGACAAGCACGTTGACAGTCCTGGCGCGCTTGGTGGTGAACTCTTGCGCCATCTCGGCCTCCTTTTCGCGCAAGAAGTCACGCAGCTCGTGCTGAACACCAATTCTGGTCAAGGCCACTGGTGGTGCCGCTCCAAGGATTTCGCGCTCGACAGTCTCGCGCACGCCGGCTGGGTAGAGCTCGCCACCGTGTTGTCCGCCTGTACGCCAGAGCTTGAGCATCTCCTCCATCTTGCTCTTGGTCACGCCATCCACCTCGCGGTAGGTCTGGAGATACAAACGGGGCATGATGGAAGGAAGGTATGTGTCGGTGTATGGCGGGCCCACATTCTTCGAGATCGAGTCCAGGAGGTAAAGAAGGGGGAGCTTGCCCTGTGGTGGAGCCTGCATGGTTAGTAATCGGACTGATCAGTGACATGGCTAACAAAGACGCACCCTCAGAATTGCGGCCTCAACTTCCTCGACAATTGCCTGCATTCCGTTCCAGTTGTTCTGGTCGCGTTGGTTCATAGCCTCGAGCGAGAGGGTCTGGATAATAGGGCGCGAGTTGAATGTGAGCTCAGCGAGGCGGTCCGCGTACCACGCGCGAAACGGATCTGCCGGGGGCGCTGGCGGCTGCGGTGCGCCATAGACGCCGTAGTGGTTCTGAGGTGGGTAGTGACCGTATGACATGGTTGATGGGGGGAAAGGCGGTGATGTGTTTGGAACGTGTGATGGTGCTGCAGGAGGGGCGTAAACACGACGTGGTCGTTCCAGTCGGCTCGGAATCCGGCGTGAGGAGAAAGGAAGGGAGATCGATAGCCTAGTCGTGGACACGAGAAGAGGTGAATGAAGGGCGGATGAGTGGACTCTGGAGCAGTAGAGAGACGCTCGAGAGCTTTAATTAGTGAGTTACAGCCGCGGTGAAGCGACGGCTACTGGACTAGTTACAAAGCCTACGCGTGTGCTTGCGCTTTGTTGCCTGGGAGACCACGAAAACGTCACGAAGCAACTGACAGTAGCAGGGACTGTATGCTCTATGGAGGAGCTACGTCGAGGCTAATGCGTGGGATGATGGGTCAGAGAGGTAGAGGAAACGAAAGACAAAGGAGACGTTGAGAAGCAGATCGTCACCTCCTTGTGTGATGACCAGTGGCGAGCGGGGGAATATCTGAAGGATATTTTTTCGTCATTTATCCCGCCGTGGCTCTTCTTCGTCTTACCTTGATGTCTTCCATCAGCGTTTCTTCCATCAGTTCAGTACAATGCTCTGCATCCCAACCCAGTCCGGCCCACCGTGCTCTTACGGTACGTATATTAGTATATCTATGCATGGTTGGTACAAAAAAAGCGGCCAGTACTCATGGTTCGTCGTCGTCTGCGTCGATTGGCCCTGGTAATGAGTATTGGACCTTGAGGTTGGCCGCGTCTTGGAGTAGCTGTTTGTCAGTTCCTGTATGATCCAGCTACCTTACCCTATCGACATCCATGGGTGGAAGGTCCAGCAGCATGAGCTTGGCCTCGGACCCGTCCAGCTCCTCGAGCGTTCTGTTGTCAGCTTTCGTCCGTGCCTCGTCAGCTCACTCTTTACAAGTTGCAAGAATCGCTACGCAGACGTAGCAGTGCAGCGCAAACATGTTGTCGGCAGCGAGATAAGAATCTGGTGTGGTCAGCTTCCGTCTTTTCGGTCTCCTAGCTCACCCCATAGCCTCAACACGTCGCCGAGCCACATTTCGCGCGAGAGCAATGTTGTCATCCACGACATTGCCACGGCAATCATAGGTACTTGCTCGTCCTCAAAGTATGCGTGGAGGTCTGGGAGCGCGCTGCGGAAGAGGCCGAGGATCGTACCGAGGCGCGAAGGGAGCGGAGGGAAGGAACCTGAAGGATTAGCTATTGTTGACTGAGTATACACTCACTTAGGCGGTCGACGAGCTTTTCAAACGAATAAAAGACAGCAAGAGGTCGCGAGAGAACACAGACAAACGGCGTGGCGAGGTAGACCCAGTCAGCAGGGGCCGGAGGCATGCCTGGGGCCCATGCCGGCCGGGGTTGGAGGTCGCTGTGTGGGTCTGGATCGTCGGGCATACCCGCTGCATGCCAGTACTTGCCCAACACCTCCTCTATCAGGGTGAGGTAGGCGTGCCGTGTTGGCGGGGCCGAGGGTGGTGGCAAGAGGAAGCCTTTTCCACGCCAGCTCATGCCTCCGTCCTCAAGAGATAGCGGTGGTGGGGCACCTTGCGGTCCTGGTGGGAGGTTTGGGGAAAAGCTCATTGCTCCGCTGAGTGTTGACATTGATAGACTCGACCCCGGGCCCAGAGATGAGGCACGCGAACCGGGCAAGCTCTGTTCGGAGGTGAGAGTCGTGATCAGGCTCTCGTATGTCGGCGACTCGAACCGACGCGTGTGGTGTGCCAGCGCTGTTTGCAGCAATGTGGACTGCAGGTCGGACGGCAAAGACGAGGGGAGCGCGGCGTATTCGGTCCGCAAGATCTTGAGAGACGTCATTTCGTTTGTCTTGTCCGAGCTGAGCACGCCGAGGAGGTACATCCACACTTCCTGGGAGAGTTAGCACGTGCTAACAGCAAGGTCGGCAGTTTAAAGCAGCCGTCGACAGGGGGGACGGCGTGAGAACGTCTGACACCTGACCCAAGTGTTTGATCGCCACGACTCGACGTTCGAGACTCTGGTCTTTCGTCTGCCGCTGATCACACAATGAGCCAACTCACTCCTCTCACACGCGGTGACACGCCGTTCCGCGCGCTCTCGCGTAACTTGTCAACCTGTACATGCTGTTCGGCAGTAAGGAGCTCGATGTAGTCTTGGAGATTTGTCGACATCCTGCGTACAGGTGGGCGAAGGATCCGTTCGCGGACGATGGACGCACAAGTACGAAGCTCGAGGGGTTGCGGAGGATGTGGAGAACTGGGGTGGACGGGACTCGGTGAGTGTCGGGAAAGAGGGATGAGCGCCGGCTCAGCGTGAGGCGGTCGTGCAGGGGTCACGAGATGCGGATAGCAAAGGGCCTGTGTTGGCTTCCGTGGGGCTGGGTGTAGATGTACGAAGGAAGAAGGTGCATGTTGATGAAATGTTGACGGGCCGCGAGAGTGTGGGGTACGACGGGGTTGGTTGCTCGTGGTGGAGGTCATTGTCGGTCACGTGTTTGGAGGGTGGCAAGTGGCGGGGAAGAGGCCAAGGTAGACGCGTGCCGTCGCCAGTTTGAAGCGATGATTGCGCAACGTCCTGGATCCATGTGAAGTAAGAAGAAGAAAGAGCTGAGCAGGCATTGACGTGGAGAGCGATGCGCCTTGGGTTCTCTCCCGAAGGTCAGCATGGGAGGGCGCAGGTGTGGGATGATGCCTCGTGTATGGCGTCACCATCGGATCTGGGGGCCCAACAAACTCATGAAGTGCACGATGTTTCCCGTCGAGATTCACTGAGAAGTGACCTGTAGGCAAATTCATGAGGAAGTACCATCGGGCACGCACATGATGCTTTACGTTCTTGTTGGCCTGGTCGCTCCAATGGAGGAGCTCAAAGCTCAGTCGTTGTTTGGCGGGCTGGGTGCTTTGTACCGCCACTAGGACTAGATTCTGCTTTTACATTTCATCTGGTAGCTGGAGAGATCATCGTGCATCGTGCACCCAGGTGTTCACGAATCCACTACCCCCAGAGCGCTAGAGCACTCGTTGTGACCATGCGGCCGAAACGGCTCAGCGGTTTAGGGGTCGTTGTCCACGAACTTCAACCTGCTCTTGGCCACCACTCCTGCTCTTCTTGCCTGCGCACCTTTCGAGAAGACTCAAGAAGTCCCGTACCCTGTTGAAACCGGCACATGTCCATGCTATGCTATGCGCTGTGCGATGTTCACGTTTGGTATTGAAACAATCCGTCGTCCGTCGGCCCACAATAATTCCAATATTCATGCATTTTCAATGTTACCAGATATTCCGTTCGTCACGATGGGCGTGGTGATCTGTCGCAGCTCGCAGGAATAAAGTGCGCGCCCCATGCACCGCGTCTTGCTCAGTTTCGACCGCAGATAGATGACACACAGGCCCATGCATGGGCAAAGGTGCTTGAGCTTCTGCGAGAAGGAACATTTGACCGCCACTGTCTCGGCGTGAGGCGTCGTTCCCACTGGCGTCGTTCCCACTCCACCCACTAGTTTTGGACTTGAACCGCCAACCCCCACCTTGTTGCTTCTCTGTGAAGAGTCAGAGTGACAACACGAGTAGTGGGTTCAGTGCTCGCCACCCTCCGCACAAGACGCCGAGCCTTGCGGCAACGTTCGCACGCTCCGAAGGGAGCCGTCCCTCTCGGGCTCCCCACCGTGATAGTCATGCAGTCACGCCGTAACTGTTTGTGAGCCAAAATGAAGCCGACCAACTTCCCATCGGTGCATACTGCATTGGTGCAACTCGTCCAACAACCCCAAAGGACCAAAGCTTCCGATGCAAGTGCCCGTCTTCACATGACTTGCGCCGCCCTGCTCGCCATCCCCAAGCCTAGTCAAGCAACCCCAGATACCTCGACGAGGAACACAGCCAGTGCGGGATCGACGGGCACCCGTAAATTCAAGGTACAGCGCACCACACTCCAAACATCTCGGCACAGAAATCGTTCGGCATGACATGAGGTCGGGCAAAGCGTCAAGAGGCCAGAGAGTTAGCGAGGCACCAGCACATCACTCCGTCAATTCGGCACACAATTGTCGTCGTACACCATCTCTGAATGCTGGCTCCACCTCTTACTCGCGAAAAGGCGCGTAGTAGTCGTCAATGTGGCTTCTCGCGGACATGTACTCGGGCAGATGGGTGCACACCTCTGTGGGGCCATGGGCAGCTCCAATGGCCGTTGCGCAGACGGGAGAGCGCGTCGTTCCTCGAGCCAACATACCGCGGCTTTATTTCGCGTCATCCTTCACCCCTCGATCCCGAGGTTTTGTCGCTTGTGTTTGACTGCCTCGTTCCGCCGTGTTCATGGGAGCAGACACATGCACCCTCAAACACAAGGCAGTTGCCTGTATTGTGACGTACACCTGTTCCCCGTGCCGCCGGCTGGGCGAGACGTGCTCTTATGACTGACGTAGTCTCTTCTCGGCTGGGATGAGCTTCTGCTAGACGCCGTGTGCCAGCCGCCTACGCGAGCCACTGACGACAAACGTCGTCCCAGGTCGTCTACGATGTCCGTTGGCTGCGAGGTCGGATGCGAAATGAACACGGCAGCGTCGTGTGGCAGTGGCCACCGGCGCACTTGCCAAGAGTGGGCTTTCCCAAGAGGAGACAGATCGCGGAAGGCAGATATGCCACACACCGTCAGAGGGTGTGATATCGACCTGGGCCTGCTCTGTTGTCACCATTGGCCCCTTCCAGCATGCAGATTCGGCCGTAACCGCAGTCCTGCCGTTTGCCTCCGATACCCTGTGACGCAAGCAAAGGCAACGACTCCAGGCGTCTTCAGCAACAGCACCAAAGTCAACAAGCCAAGTGGTGCAGGGTGGAATCCCCAAGACGCAAAGAAGGCTTTTCTTGTGGCCTGTTCTCGGCAACTATCTCTCGATCGCGACTGCTGTGGCCATCCACGTCACTGAGTTTGGTTCCCACACATCGCACACATCCGGGACAATGGGTAGAGCGGGTTGTTCCTGGGAGGAGAAGACGCATACAAACCACCCTACCCTCCGGAAATTTGTTTGATTTGATTTGATTTCAACAGTCGTGTCCTCTGCCTACCTCCGCTGGATGTCCTTCCGTCCTTGGCCTTGCGACGAGCAGGGGAAGGATGTCGTATGCATAGAGACGTTCCTACTCCTGTAATTCTCCCTGTCTCGCCTCGCAGGGCAGAGCCGTTTAACTCGCACATACCGCGTTGATGGTGGAGCGGCAAGGACACCAAGTGACATGTCGCGGCCAAGTGATTCTCGCACCACCGCCCCCCCCCCCCCCCCCCCCCCGGTCTCCTTCGTCCCCTGCAGTGAATTGCCTCCGGAGTGTTAATGTCTGTATCGTGCCTCCTTCTCGTGGTGTGCAGGCACTCCTGCAAGGTTACCGTATGTCGTGTGACGTGACGTGAATGCCGAGGTGGGCTTCTCGTTATGATCGTCGCCTCTCTGTGCCCCCTCATCTCCGAACAACAAAGCGAAAGCGTCCCGTCCGGGGTTGCTCCGACCTTGGGGGTCATGACAGTGTGTTTTGCTGTGTAGGTCTTGTTCGGGTCCGCTTGCGGCCAGGTGCGCAAGGCGCTCGGGAGACACTCTGGCCATACGTGAAGGCGAACCACCATGGCCGATCTCAAGTGGCATTTAGTGGGGCCGCTTGAAGGGGAAAGAGAGTGTGGGCGGGTGCTCGATCGTGATTCAGGATGGAACGACACATGTACAGGTGAGAGTGGGTGCGCGCGGTGGCCGGGTTCTCGACGCAGGTACTGTATGTAGTGGGCTCAAAGGTAAGGCAGAGTGCCACACGGCCCATGCCACACCATATGTACAACCACTCTCACATGCCACATCTGCACTGCTGTCTGCAACCATTGAGTCCCGAACTGTGTCGTAAGGTGCTCATGAACATGCACTACGTATTACCCTCTACCATGCTATATACAACATGACTCCTCACGCCACTTGGGCGTGTGGGATGTTTTGTGAAATCTATGAAATTGTGACCCACGCCGCATCGTCTCTGCCCTCCAAACCTCAATGCTCGCCGAGGCTGCGGCGCATGTCAGCCCACAGCCGTCCAACAGCACCATCATCCAACTCGGTAAACTGGATGACCTTGCCGCTGTGTGCTTCTGTCGACGTTGTTGCTGCGGGCACACGAGCGTGCGGGTCAGGATCGTCATACAGCGTCTGGCGCGTCGCGGAATGGCGAGCGCGCTGTGCTGTGAGAGACAGAAAGGTCTGCGGGGAGTGGTGATACATCCTGCACAGCGCGTCAGTGTCGGTGTGGCTAGAAGACATTAGGGATTGGGTAGCCACTCACGACCAGACCTGGCGGTTCACCGCCTCGTGCTCTGTCACGGCGTCGAGAGCCACCGTTTTGAAGCTAGCCTTGAGGGCATGCAGGAGGTGTGGGACATGGTCTACGTGTGGCTGCCACTGGGCAAGTCGGCCGCGCGGGATCCATTCGCGCGTCTTCGGGTCGACAAGGGCTGTGGGTGCTTAGCAAGATGTCTGGAACTGCCACACCGCCACTACTGGGTCCAGCTGCCACACATCCAGTCTCGCATGGACCCAAGACACACGCCAAGACGGGTATATGGGGATGTGCCTCGTTCGTGAGCGGGTCAACGGAGCGCCGGACCACAAAGACCGACGGGTGACTGCTTCGCAGTCGACATCGACAACACGTCATCGGCCGGACTGGGTGCGATGGGGAAGCATCGACGGAGTATGACGGCTGACTGGCAGGGAGGTTCTGGGAACCACATGCGTCCGGGAAGGCTGGTGGCGGAAGCTCGATCGCGATCCTGTTTGGGGCAGGGCGTTGCGCCTATCGACACCAGCACTCCATCGACTCCATCGCACAGCCACAGGTCGCAACGTCGCCACGCTTGTCCCCCACATTGACCGGCCGTACCTTCGCCGCCGCAGTCGCAGCGTGCGGGGTCAACAGAGTGCACATCGCTACTCCCCGCAAGTGCGGAGGTGGCCTGCAGGCGACCCAACGAGGCGGGCGGGGTAATTGGGAGCATGGTGCCTCCGCCCCGCTGTGACCCCACCTCGTGCGCAGCCGGACCGGTTACGACGACCCGACTGTCCTTTGCCCGCTGCGGGGAAGACGCAGACACTCACGGTGGAACACGTCCGAGTCAAAGTGTACACTGGGTCGTGCGCGGGGATACGCGGGCGGGAACGAGAGCGTGAACCGGAGGATGCTGCCGGCGTAAGGACCTGGTTGTTCTGTCAGGACGATGCTCCGCTTGCTTCGCGGCCCTGTGAGGGGCAAGAGTGGGTCAGTCTTCTACCTACCACGGTGCACGAAGAAGACGCCCGCCCAGCGCAGGAGCGTCTCGGACGAGGGCATGAGGTACATGCCAGCGGGGCAGTTGGACGGGGCACGGAGTGACGAGCTGAGGCAATGTCAGGATGGCTTGGGAGGATGGTGACAGAGAAGCCAACGCACTACTCCACAGCGAGCTCGGCGGCCAGCAAAGGACCAATCTCCGGAGGCGCCACGGCGGCGGGCTCGGGTGCGCGTGATGAGAACATGCGTGTGTTGCTGTTCTTGATAACTTGTGTTGTTGTTGTTCTGGTGGTGGACAATGTCGCGAAACGGTATAGCGCCAATCGTCATGACGACACGTCGAGCCGGTGGAGGTATTGGCATCGCGTGGGGGTCGCATGGCACATTTGGTTCCGCGTGGCCTGGGTGGCAGCTGTGGCATGGTCCCCATGCACCAATGTCCCACCGAGCCAGCTCCACACATTCATGCGGCCTGGACACGAACCCCACACCCACCTGTGCGGTATGCGTACGAATACATGCAACCACTGAGGTACTCGCTAGCCTGTTCTCGCTGGAGCGGACCGCCAGGTCCCCACTAGCAAAGTCACTTGCCCACTCTTCTAAGAGATGCCACAGAATGGCAAGTGCGTGGCTGGTGTGCAACTGGTGAACACGCTATTGAGGATATTCCGCAGATCGCAACTCTCGACTCGGGTCTCGACTGTTCGGCGTCCGATGACGGGGTGTACGGACACACAGCTTCTGGTATGCCCCGGTGACTGGTTGTTGTTCCTGTCTCACCTCTGACGTTGGAGCTAGCATAATTATCAGCCTTGGCGCCCATTCAGCGGAACGCAGCATCCGCACCGCCGCAAAACGCCACTGCCGGCCTCGGCAGGTGCCATGTTCATGTCCCTCTCTCGTATCCCGTTTGCCCACTTACTTGATGCGTGCGGGTCTGGTCCGTTGCGTTGATCGCCGTGAGTTGACAATGGCTTGTGGACGCCTGGCCGAGGCGCTCGGCGGGCACTTCGGCATGCTCCACGGCACGAAGGATGTCACGAGCCCAAGGGAGGCAGACGACCGACAGCGAGATGGAGCTGCAACATGTCACAGAGCTCCTTGGACCTGAGGCACTGAAGCAGATTCGTTTTTCTGTGTGAGGCAGACAACGGTGGAGGTGGAGAGAGAGTATTTCCGTCCCGTGCCTCCCCCTGATCATGTTCCCATGCAGCGGTGCGTAGTTTGCTGGGAGTTGGCTCCCCGTGCCCCAAGCCAAGAGGTCTAGACTGTTGTGGGGTTTGTTGTTGAATAGACCAAGAAAGGCTCGGCGGGGCTTTGTTCCGTGTGCATCGGACACGATGGGGGGTTCCGATTCAGAGTGAGACCGACCCGCAAGTTCCAGACCCAGATCGTACGGTCAGTGATGGAATGGTATTGTCTTGTAAACATGCACTTGAATGTCGAGGACAAGGATGTTCAGTTACGAGACGTACGCAGCTCGCGTGACCGAGTAACTCAGATCCCTAGGCCCCCAGGCCCACGGGGCTCTACTGTTGGTGTTGAATCGGTGCCACTTTTGACAGTCAGCGTGCCACAAGCCATATTTCATCTGAGGTTATTGTCTTCTCCGCAGGCCTCCTTGGACGGGCATGACGGGGTGTTATTGTATTGAGAACAACCATGTTTAGGGGAACTGTGGCATTTGTGGGGGACGTCGAGGAACCCGACACGCGAGGGCAACTGGACCGTGCAGAGGGGGGAGCCAAAGGTACCTGTGCCAGTCAGTGCCACCTCCTCCAGAGCATGGTCAAGTGCCACGCGCCATGCACAGCGCATGCAAGACTGTACGCCGCGAGGCAGACATTTCCGGGCGTCTAGAGCGTCTAGAGGAGTGACTCGGAAGCAACCGTGCTGTCTTGGTCGCCGGCGCCTCCCATGTCCCCCTCCTCAATCCTGCTGCGCTGTCGCTGTTGCTGTTAGCCGGTGGCTTTGCTCGTGCCGGGTCGGGCCGGACCACCATTTGCATCCGAAGAGTTGCGTCGTGTGTCGGATTGTACTGTGTGGCATGGAACGGCCACGGAGGCCATGCCTTTGTGGGTCAGTACAGTTTTGCAACAAGTGGCGGTGGGTGTCGCAGCTTGCGGCGCGGACGTGCGCGACACAGAGACACAGGTCTGTCCGGCAACTTGTCATTGTCGCGCAAACCAGTGGGCTCGTTGGCGCAGGCGCCACTGGAGACGCCACATGGTGTATCCCACCTCCCCGCGCCGGTTCCTCCCATCGCCTCTCCCACACCGGTGAACCCCGTATTCAGCCGCACAACCTGCCCGCACCGGCGTTCTCAAGTAGCCACCTGCAGTACCTCTCGTACATCTCCAGCCAGTGGGATGTGGGGGGGGGGACACAACGACACATCGGCGCCCGGGTGGGGCGTGATTGCGGCGCGTTCATGTCCGCCCGCGCCGGTCTCCTGGTGTCTCTCCGGCGGGCAGAGCCGCAGCAAGGGGATGGTGGCGGCTGGCTGGCTTGCATCGTGCACGCCGTCGGCGGTGGCCGCTTCTGGAACGGGAATGGGACCCACTAAAGCACGAGATGGGTCTGGGAATTGGGAGTTGCGCTTGCAGGTGGCGTTTGGCATGTGTGTGATTGTGTGTGAGTGGTGTGTGAGCTGTGTGTGCGTTGTGTGTGTGTGTGTGGCAACTGCCGTTACAAGCCTCAAACGCGGCGATGGCCATCGGGCCTCGATGTTGGGAACGTGCGTTCTTGCAAGCCAGTACTGAGACTGGGAACCCCAGAACCATGCTGTGTGGCACGCGTTGGTTGCCGTTAAACGACGCGAAGACGGCACTGATTGAGCCAGGGTTTCACCGGCTGTGTCTTTTTTTTGCGGTGGGAATCACATTCTGTGACCGATAATTTTGGTCCGGCTATTAGAAATGCGTGAGAAACGACATCCGGGCCGCAGAGTGGACACGTCGACGTCGACCGATCGCGTCGTGCGCGTCGTGCACCTGTGTCTCTCCACATGGGTTCGTGTTGTGCCACTCATGTCCCTGCGGGTAGTGCCACCGACGCCCCGACGCCCGACGACTGGACGGATCGCCCGGCCCGCGTAACGCGGCGCGGCGCAAGCACGCTGTACCAGGTGTGTGTAGTGCACAGTGCACAGCAAGGCCCTCGAAAGAGGCGGGGGGTGTTCCAGGCCACGGATACTAGAGTATGCGGCTGAGCAGTCCATGTCTACGCGACGGGTCCAGTAGTGGACGTTAGCGGGAAGCGGCTCGCCGGCCACACCGGAAGCAGTTGAACGCGGGGGACAAGCGAGAGAATAGGAACGGGAAATAACAATTACCATCCGAGAATATGGCCACACCCTGACGGTGTACGGTGACAGCATCGGCATCTCTCGGCCAGCAAGGTTGGAAAGAGTACGCACTACCCATTGGCTGCATGCGCGAGAGGGACCCATTGCGCGTCCATTCCTCCTGGACCCGGTTACTTTACACAAACACCATGCGGGGGGCGGTTCTCACGGTTTCGCGCATACTAGCTAAAAGCAGTGTGGCAAGATGCTGCGCGGCGGGTGCACTACATACTATTCTGCGTCGGTCCAGTGCTGGCAAGACACCAGGCAGCTAACTGCGATGGCTGGGTGCTACGGCGCGTACGACTGCAAACATCTCGGCGTGAATGCAGTGTCGACTGTCTTGTCTTGGCCTCGTCACTACGTGCAACCTGAGATTCACGGATAAAGCAAACATGCCCCGCCATCTGGCCTTCTTTGCCTTTGGTGAAACCCTAGATTAAACACTAGATCTCGAAAGGTGCACAAAAGCTTTTGTACACTGTATGACGCGCGCAGTGTTCGACGCAGAGAGCTTAACAGCCAAAGAAGAGCTTTGAAGGCCGTCTATAGCCTGGCTATAGCCTGGATCCTGGTCCCCGAGGTCGGGACATGTCGTCGATGACGCACATTGTGGGCCCTGAGTTTGCACGCCGCATATCGGCCCGGATCGACATCCTTCCGGCTTGTCACCCCTGCTAATTAATAATTGAGTGGATTGATTCATTTTAACGGACCTGTTGCATCCCATGGGCAGAAACGGGCAGCAAGGCAGGCGGGGGACATGACGCATATGCACAGTGCACAGGTCGGTCGAAGGAAGGACGCGAGAGCATGACTTCCCCCACGGCTACTCGGCGACGATCACATCGCACCGATCTGCGTGCAAGGTCCGAGTTTATCGTGCCAGAATGAGACGCCGCGCCCCCATCCCCTCTCCCTCCCTCCCCTCCCCTCAAGCGATGTCGCACAATCGTGTTCACATGCCACGGAAATGGAGACAAGGTCACCGACAGCCCCGTTTGGGGGCGTGGCTATACCGCCACGGATGTGCATGCCACGTCGGTGTGCCATTCGCAGGAGCGAAGCGCGCTGCGCTGCGCGTCTGGCGTGGCAGACTGGGCCGCACCATTGTGAATCAAGTGGGTCGTCCAACCCGCCACGCGCGCGCATCATAGGTCGTGGCGGGCGAGTGGGTTGGCGCTCGACGACGACGACGACGACGTCTTCCCGGGCAGTGCCCAACCCGGCAATCAGGTTCCCTGCACTCCAGTACGCGAGCTTTACGGCAGTGCGCATCAGATGCGTGAACCCAAAATCAAATCAATCCAAACAAAATTGGTCAAGGAAATACCCATAACGGCGTCCCCATATACCCACAGAGCGGACCCATGCGGTCACGACCTCCACGGGACGCTGCGGGCCGCCCCGCGCCGGACGTGATGTTGTGATTGCTGTGAGTATTATGAGAGGCAGCGTACGACGCAAAAGTCTAAATCGGGCCCAGAGGCGAGGGCGTTGCTGTATGTACGAGCAATGGGCTTGCACACTGCACATGTGCACGCACCCCATCCCCACGGCCCATGGCCAGCCCATGACCCCCGACCCAGTCCAGACAAGCAACATTGCGCGGTGTGTGTACATCCCCCCGGTGCGAGGGTGCAGTTAAGCGGTGCGATGAAGAAAGAGGGGGACACGGCCTGTGTGAATGGTCGGGGGCCTGTGAAGTGCGGATGTGCGCCGGATACACTTCGGGTCCTCGCCGCTCGCCGCCTGCACACCACAGACCCACGACGCGCGATCCCCAGCCCAAGAGGCCAATTACAGGTTGGGGGGGCTTACAGGTGGGGCTGGCTGGGGTGAGGACGAGGGTGGGCGCGGCGTGGAGGGCGGTGGGGACGGACTAGTGGAGTGGGG